AGCGATCAGTCGCGTGATATCCGAACTGAGTAGTGGAGAAAAATCATACCATAGGCGGCATCGGGAGAGTTCTCGAGAAAATAGGTCTTTGTCAGGATGGAATCGGTGAAATATTCATTTTCGTCAAAGATGAATTCCAGTTTGAAGCCCTATTGACACCATCATGTATTAAATGCTAGTTCATTCGTTCACATTTCAGACATGAATATGAAAGCTTCATACCGGGTTGTTGTCTAGATAACCGACTTTTATGTCTTTCAAGGTCTTTAGGGCATCCTCATCCCTATCAGTGATCAGATCGGCAATCGTCGGCTGATTCTTGAAGGCAGTCAACCAGAATTCAGGGATCCCAGGAACTCTTTCGGACGGCTGGCCCTCGGGCTTCTCATCTCCTTCCTTCAGTCGTAAGCATAAGATAGTGTTGATTAATTATGCAAAACATTGAGAAACTATACCGGTGCCTTCTCGGGTACTTCCACTTGTCGTTCACATTCCTCATCAGAGGGCTCCACTTGTCCTGTAATGATATCGCGCCTCTACCAGAGTTTCAGTACTCAGTTACATTTGGTAGAAAAATGGAAAGGTAATCGGAAACCATTCACCTTCTCATAAAGAGGTTGATACTTAGTCAGATATTTCTTTTCGAGAGCAAGAACTTCCTCTCGAAAGGCCGCCTCAATCGCCGTATGCTTATCCTGAAGATCACATTTGCTTAGTGACGAATACTACCTTCAAACTACTTAAAATTGTTTGACACACCTGCAGATTCTGAAGAGCGTTCAAGCGCCGCTTGACCTCAGCGGGAAGCGAGTCTATATAACCAGACGGCCGACCAACGAGTGAGTCCAGTCGATTCTACGCAGGTAAGCAGCGTGAGTCAGAACACCGCCATGTCCAGAGAGAAATGTGCGGAATGTGGACGTACCTGAAGTGCCCCGAGCAACGCTGGGTTCTGGAAAACGTTACCCGCTGGCACACCTGTTTGAGATGTAGAGTGAGTACCAATCAGGTTGAATAGTAGTCAAGTCTGTTTCTCCTTTAATAGTATGATAGGTTGTGAAGGGTTCGACTCTTACTTGTTTCCTCACTCATTTTTAGTGGTGTGCAAAGGAATGTGATCTCAACAAAGGGGATTTTCGCAAGGTGGAAGAGCAACCCTTGAACTTGTTGCCATACCAACAGCACGTGTGGGTCATGTGATAGTATCTCGAAAGTGCCTTCGCTTCCTGGTGGGTTGGCGGTGGAGGACGGATTGCACAAGGCTGGGCAGTCATGCCGTAAAGTTCTACCTTGGTGCATCAACTCAGGCCGATTGGCGATATCACGGATATTCATATGGCAACATATAAATGTGTTTTCATCTGGTGCCGTGCATGCGGGGGGGGGGGGTTGTAGTAACGATTGCCAAACTGATGGAAGTTTGCCCTGCTACGGTTTGAAACAAAGCGAGTTGGTGGGACAGGAGGACTTCAGTCCGGGTAGGGCATAGTTGTAAAAAATGCTGTACCAATTACTATTAAATATAATAGAGTTAGAAAGCTGAGCCGCAAGGTAACAGTGCGATCTAATTAACAGGCGGGCATCATCCTTTATGAGCTACTTGCAATCATTGCCCCTGATTGTAGGTAGGTAGGTGGTGGGTCATGATTATGATTTTGACTACATCAGTGGCCTGCTGACCCCGTCTCTCAAGCATTGGAAATATGTCGTCCAACATGGCAGGCTGTTCACCTGATTCTCGGTAGCCTGCATCAAGTATGCTTTGTTCAAGCCGTTTCTACGACGAGTTTCTTTGCATGGGATGATGAAATCCGACAAATCTAGTAACATGTTAGTTAGCATCGGGGCGTGCTGTGTTGGGTCTTGTATGGGGGTACAGCGACTTTTTGTAGTGACGTTGCGAAAGTCACCTGATCCAAAGGAATTGGAGGATCGTACAGATTTGGCATTCCTGGCCATGATCAATTTCACTAGGCAATGGATGACCTGTTGAGACAAATCAAAGCTGTCGAAAGGGCGGGAGTAGAAAAGCCCTGGGCAGATTTGCTACCTGTTCTTAAGGCGGCTAGCTCTGCGGTATTGTGCTCATGTACCGTTGATGGCCAGGACCCACTCGACCTTTTAAACCCGAAAGACCACAGCCTTGCTTACCTCTTCATCCTAGTCGCGCGCATGAAGGCGACCAATGCTGATGGAGGGGTTCTACTGCAAGCCGCAATGCGCTTTGCTGAACAGTTTGAACGCGATCAGGTTCTTTTGGCGCCAGAGCAAATGACTGCTTACGGGGAAGCCACAGCCCGCCTGGCCGACAAGATTGATCGACCCATAAGTTCAGTGCGTCCAATACAAATTGCTTGTATCAGATGGTCGGGTTCGAAAGGAAATCACCTTACGTCGCTACATCGTATGGTTTTGAAGTGCTGCCTACTTGCAAAAACGTATCGTGCTGCACTTCCTGTATTGGATCGGGATATAACTGAAATAGATCCTCAATCCTACGACCTGAAATACCAGGACTTCTTATTGCATTACTACTACGGAGGCATGATTTATGTCGGATTGAAGCGTTTCGAGCGGGCACTTCAGTGCTTCCATCTGTGTCTCACGGCGCCTGGATTCGTTGCGTCCGCAATACAGGTCGAAGCCCATCGAAAGTACATCTTGGTATCTCTCATCTTGCACGGAAGAAGTGAGCCTTTGCCAAAGTATACAAATTCGGCCGTTTTTCGAGCATGCAAGCAGTATGGCGCAGCCTACCTCGATTTTGCGCATGCGTACGAATCGCTCAACTTTACCCGGATAGAGACTGAATTCAGGAAGAGCGAGCAGCAATTTGAAATCCACGGCAATCGGGGCCTTGTCATGCAGTCCATGACAGCGCTGGTTCGTCGCAACATCCAGCAATTGACGCAGACATATTTGACATTATCGCTATCAGACATCGCAAAGTCGGTAAAACTTTCCGGGGCAGCAGAGGCCGAGCGTATCGTTCTGCAGATGATTGAGGATGGGGAGGTATTTGCAACAATCAACCAATGTAGCGGGGGAATGGTGTCGTTCCGAGATGCACCAGAGACCTATAAAGCTATCGAAACCATGCGAAGGCTGAAGGGAGAAGTAACGCAGGCTATTGATCTTGGGGAGCGAGTAATTAGAATGGATCGAGCCCTTGGTCTGTCCAAAGACTTCCTCTCAAAGATCCTTCATGGCGAACGAGGCCAAGGTGCGAATATTGGGACCGCGGATGACGACATGTTTGGGGATGATTCCATAGGAGAGTATTGGGCCGGAAATCGAGGGGGGGCTTAGAAGCTCCTCATGTATATATCAATACATACATTTCTTTTAAAACAGAGTATGTATAGAGGGAGATCTCCATTATGACTACAATTGGCTGAAAGGACGTAAACCAGTCTGGTATTATGACAAATGACCTATCTCAAGCTTCTAGGATGAAATAGGGAGCCCATATTGCATAGTTCACCACCGCAGACAGCTCATGCGAACCTTCGGTTGTACCCGGTCAGACTTCCGAAGTGAGCGCTTGCGATATTGCCATCCGGAGACTGTTCAACATCCTATTTAGCGGGTATACGCTTCGCTCCAATACACATCCGCATGTACTAGCGGACCCATTTAGCATGCATATGACCTCACGCATCTCCCCTGGCGTCCGAGTTTGTCGCCCCCCAATACTGCTTCAAGTAAGGCTCGAAGACGTAAGCTCCAGTAAAGGCTGACACGACACCAACAAGAACGTAAACTTTTAGGGATACCGATCCCGTCCGCTGCGGAATTATGGAGTTGAGGAGAGGCTCCCGTGGACGCACTAGACGCATTTTGCAAATCAAAACTTCAAGGCGAACAAACTCTAAGCTGCCAGCTGCTTTTCCAATTTCATTTATATCCCTGTTGCCATGACAATGAACGTCGACCTAGCCAATGGGTCAAATACCAAAAGCATTTGCGCAAACGTTTCTAAGAACACTACAGTGCAAGCGCGACTAACTTCGCGAAAACGTCCAGCGCTTTTGATTGCTATTTACAGATATACTTGGCGGATATCCTGTTGTGCAAACGCTATTCCGCAGGTAGGGCACTTCCGCTGGCGGGACGTCCACATGTCATCGATGCAATCCTTGCTAGTTACAAAAACATATTCTCACGTTATTTGGGCCCATGAATGAAAATGACAGATCTTCTGTGCTCTTACCAGAATGTGTGCATGCATTTATTTAACACATGACTTTTGAAGTTATTATTGCAACTGCTGCACTTCAGCAAGAGCTGGTAATCCGAAAATCGAAAATCAGTGAAGTTCACAAATAAAATACGATACAGACCACCAGTACCTTATACTCTTCAATTTGTCGCATCAAGTTTGTGTCGGGCGTAGTCTCGGACTTCGTGTATTTATCCAGTCTTCGCTGTAAGATTTCAACCTCCTCTCGGGCTTTTCTATGTTCTTCGGCCGTGTTCTCAAGGAGAGTGATTTTCTTTTTCAGTGCGCTGGTTGCCTTAAAGCAGTCGAAGTGCGGAAATATATCATGAATCCCCTATTACAGAGCAACATTCTCGTCTAATGTGACCTACATTGTCATACTTCGCAGACCATCGCTGCTCTTTATCCTTCAATCCAGCAACTTCACGTATGAGGTCTCCACATCGTCTCTGTTGCTGATCGCCTGCGATGCTTTTTGCTGCTAATTCTTTCTCTCGTGCTTGCTGTAAAACCTCGATTATTAAAAAAATTTGGAGACATCAGGAAGCATAAGCATAGTCACTAACCAGTTGCTGCGACAGGGCCTTTTCGCGCTGTTCAAGAATTCGTATTTGCTCCAGTTGCTTATCAGACTGCCGTTTTAATGCTATCCCAAGGTTGTTATAGGTTGTGCTTTGCTTCGTAAGCATCGCACATTTTTGATCGTATTTCGTTTTCTGGCGTTGCCTGGAATTAGCACTGAGCACTAGCAGCGGACAGGACTGGCTTGATTTCATACCTCAGCCATCAGTCGAAGGATATGGTCTTCTTTCTGCGCTAAGTTGAGCACCTTCCGCGAGTTTTGATCCTCCAACTCAGCCCACGCCTTACCAAGCGTTTCGATTTCCGATAATAACCGGGATTCGGTCTGAAAGGCACTTTTGAGGAAACGCAGCTGCTTGAGAGTTTGCAAGGTAACACTTACTTTTTCATAGTATTCAATCTTTCCTTGCAATTTCTCGAGCAATGCATCTTTTTCATGTAATTTTGCAACCAGATGCCCCGCGGCGTCGTCTGAGTCTGGAAGGGTTCCGAAACATCGTTCATATGACTCTAGCTGGCGTTGCGCGCTCTCCAATTCTCTTCTTGCTTGCCGCTCCGAAAGCATTATCTGCTGACGTTCTACAACACTTTCGGAAGCGTCCTGATACGAATTAACGGTATCCTCAAGGCTTTTGATTTTATTCTCTGCAGCGCTTCATAACGCGGAATAATTTACATTTTGGATAAACCGGGAAGTAAGGATAAGGCGAAACAAAGTACTTACCGCAGTTTTTGCCGCAAATCCTCCAACGGATTTCCGTCTGTCGCTTCTTCGAAAAAGCGCAACAAAGCTTGATCTCCCATATCGGCTGCAATTTGCATCTTCAGCCTTTGAAGGTCTGCCTCTAGACACACGATTCGATCCTATGATCACTCTTGAGTTGGACACGCTATAAATCTTCTGTCTGTACCCTCATTACCTTTCTGGTGTTGGCAATCACGCGGATTTCCTGCATTTGCACGATTTCAACCTCATCCTTTGAACATCGCAGATCCAGAGCATGTTGCAAATGATCACGATTCCCGCGAATGCGCGTTAGGTCGCCCTCCAGCTTGCGCATTTCTGTCTCCAACACCTTACGACGTGAACTCTCCTCATTCTAGCATATTAGGGAAGAGACGTAAGCGTTGCGAAAAGCACTAGAAAGTACGAGAATATTCGAAATGATTCCGACCTCCAACTCTTCAGTGAACTTTCGTCTCTCGCTCCTCAGTTCCTCAACTTCCCTACTTAGCTTCTCTAATCGAGTTTTGATAATCTCATTCTCATTGACATGATATTTATACTCTTCCTCCAAATTTTTATAAATAGGAGAGTCCCGTATTCTGTCATCTGAAAAAATACCGTTTGCAACCTAAGGAAAGGCTGTTAATTCAAGGAGAGGAGAGAAACATAACCTGCATTTGTGCATACCTGTAGTCGCAATTGTTCGAGCTCATGCATCAGTTGACCTTTCTCAGCCCGGATTCGCTGAATGTCAGCAAGTCGGATCTCTGCCACCATCGAAGCAGAATCGGCTTCTTCTTCGCACTGGTAGAAAACGGTTAGAAATCTTCGGTAGCGATCACTCAGCCCATCAAATCTGTAATTACTTTTCTTGGGGGAGAGCACATTTCGCTTTCAATTTTTATATCCTCCTTCACAATTGCTGCCGGTTCGGTTTTCGACCGATCCAGCTTTCGCTCAACGCTTGACAGACGATCCCTAGCTACACTAAGTTCGTTCTGCAAGTGACGAGTTTCCCTTTTTCGCAACGTCAAGTCGCCTCGTAAGGCGGAAACCTGTGATGCCAATGTTGTGAGCCAGTGACGACGTTCTGGTGGCCCTCACCAAAGACTACCTCGAAAGTCAATTGTTCACATCGTGCCTGCAGATTGTCGACCTTAGCACGCTCAGCACGCAATTGTTCAGAATCACTCATGTTACGGGAATCTGAATCTGGAATTGTAATTCTAACTATGAACAAGAAATATATACTAACTGTAATAAACATCTACATGCTACTTACCATGTGAAGATGCCAGAATAGCAGCTGCGGAATCGATTCCTCTTAACAGATCTTGCAGCAGATTTCTTATGGAAACCCACTGTTCCCGCATTGTATTGTCAATCCCTTCAATTGAAATTTCGGGATCTGCCAACTGTTTCAGCAATTCTGAACCGTATATATCTGTAAGTTCCTATCATCAGTGGATCTTGCCATTTGTCACGATAGGCATGTCTGCGACCCTACCATCAGTTTGGTATTTTCGGATCTCCTCGCCCCTCAACGATGAGTTCATCCGATCTCGAAAGTGTAGCAGATCTTCAAATACCTTACATGTGAGTGCCCTCATGAGATGCCATGATTATAACACGTCGCGAAGCTCTAACCATCTCCACCATACCTTGGTACAGTAAGTGTTTACATGTACTAATGTGGATTCAAACGTCTTCTCCTTCTGCTCGAAAGCCGTAAGTCGTTCCGCTGCTCGCTCATATCTACGTTTGTAAAACTGCATTTGACGCCAAATTGCCTTCTTTTGATATGCCAAAACGCCCGATCCGGGTATATCGCCGTCCGCATCTTCCTGATGAACAATTTCTGTCAAGAAAAGCAAAGCCAAGGATCTAGGCAACTTACGTGCCCGACGAACTATTACCATATCCATTTCCAGTGCAGTCCCACTAGATACTGGCTGACGTGATACATTTCCATCATAATTACTCAACCTGACCGGTCGGCCCGAACTGAGCTCGTCATTGCTGGGACCTATATACAGAGAACTGGCCGTATCGCCAGTGTATTGTTTCTTGGAAGGATGAGCTGAGTCTTGGGAAAAATCCTCCTCTGCCCTGCGCTTGCGCTCTTCCGGGGTGTGGAAATCAGACATGCAGCGCTGGAGGAGACTGTAGTGCAAATGCCAGCACTAGAAGTTTCCGGAAACAAGGCTATAAAGGCTTGTTGTACTGCTGTTTAGAAGAGACGGGACGGCAAAGTTCTGCAGTGATAGTACCTTGCTGATCACCGTCGGAGCCAAACTTCACGTCTTGGAAGTCCAGGTTGCTTAGCAACTGTAATGAAAGTCCAGTCAACTCTCACATTCATGCCATCCGATTCTAATAAAATTGACCTGCCCTCAAAAATGAACAGATCAGGTCCAGCCAAGTTGCCCGCTCCAAACTCTTCAAACATCTGGAGAGAATTGCTGAATCCGGGGAATGTGAAGATTGTTTTCCATGCCGGCGTGTAAGTAGCTTTTTAGGGCTGTTCGACAAGGCTGCGCATCAACTCATACCCCGACCTAGCTATACCGCTGCGGTCTGGTTATTCTCTCAGGCTGGAGACCTCCTCATGGTGTAAATGTGGAACATCTGCGCTGTGGAACACGTACGGTTATAAGAGGCGACTATAGCAAGTCAACGAGCCCTAGCCTGCGCCGTCGTGGGGTGATCTTTGCATGGGGTTGACAGCGATGGTCAAAACATTTTTATATAAGGAAATATATATCTCGGGCTTTTGTATGTGGGGCCCCTTAATGTGGGGACCTCTGTTTACGCAGAAGGCTTACCGTCCCCCTCTCTGGGATTTCCATGAGGGAAATTCGCTTTCGCAGATGGTCGATGTCTGCTCGCCTAATTTTGACCCGCAAAGAGGCTTCAACCAAATGATCTGCCTCGAGCTTGTCCCTAGGAAGGTGAAGTAGTAGGCTGAGTATCTCCGCGTTCGTCGGACATTGCTTCAACAAGGTATCTGTATTGAGGAGCTCATTAGACCTTCCTTTCATAATCGGCTGGAGCTCCTTTACCTCTATTGACCCGTAATATGGCCAGACCAATCCGAAATAATGGCTTGACTCCTGGAATGAGCATCCTCTGAATATAATGCCGGAGAATTTTATGTAGTGGTCAAAACGTTTGGCTCATACCCACCTTCGCAGTACAACATATCCCATACTCGGAGCACTGTATCCCAGGGCAATGTCGTTGTATATAGTGTCAGAAACCATTGTGTTATGTACATCAGAGGGGGAACTTCTTGCTTATCCTGTATCAACTGAGTGTTTACAACGTGTTGCCGATTCTCGAATCTGATCAAAACATCTTACCAGATGGACAGCCAATCGCTTGGATGTTTTATGAAGCAGAACCTCAAACACTGCCGCATCCATACGCAGCTGCAGAAGCACGGGTGTGAAAAAGTTTTTGAGGTGCTTTTCCAAGGTACTAACGAGCAACCAAAAGCTTTCCTTCCTCCAAAAAGTGAGAGGCTAAGTGAGACTTGTAACAGAACTCTCCGCTACAGCACGCCCACTTACCTCAGGCGGCATGTGCATTAGCATCATCCCCGCCAGCATCCCCATCCCTTGGCAGTATCCGATCTCGGGATTGTAAACGGCGTACGCGCGCAAAACATTCCGTAGATTTGTTTGCCTAAACAACTATCTGGATGAATAAAACCCTCAAAATCTCACCCATGAGGGGAAAAGTCAACCCGTACCCTTCGCCCCCTTCCTCCGCAAACATGCTATGTTCTACGCGGATGATTGTTTAGACAGCGTAGATTCGAGTGCAAAGAAATTCTGTAACGGTACCTGGAAAGCATCGACTAATATCCCGTTCAATCACTTCGAACAAGGGAGAGTTTCCTTCGGCCAACAACCGCTAAATCGATGAGTGACAAAATCAGATCATAGTCAAGAGTTTAGGATGATGCACAAGCTTGATTTACCTCATATATTCCTGGCTCTTTTAGTTTATCGCTTCCCGCCAGAGCGGTCCAAGCTTTTGCTCGTAGTGATTCCGGGATCCCGCTCCTGCCCAACTTCTTTATCTAAGAAAACCTTCTGCTTCAATTTTCACTGCAAGGGGAGAACTATAATTCGTGTAAGAAGACCTTGGATCGCTTTTTAGCAAACTGCTTATCCCAATGGGACAGAAGATCCAGCCACTGCTGCTCTTTGCTCCCAACGGAAACCTTCTGCTTGCCACTAGATGACGAACATAGGAGGTGTAAGCCCTACAGGTACTGCCAGTCTGATCCGTAAACAAGCAAGAACCTTTGCGCCATGCCTATTGCCGCTGAAGAGGGGTGGCTGTGATTCGTCGGGGAGGGGTCACGATAAAAGCCGTACTCGTCCACAGCCATTTTCTGTCGTCTTACAACTGTCTCTTGCCGGAGTAAGCTCATAGCAGAAGGCTCTTGCGCTGAATTAACTACAGGAGGGATTGCATGCAGTTGAGCACCGACTTCAGTTGGTACCCGACTGCTAGCATCGTCCATTGGAGTGCCACGATCTGAATGCGCATCGGCAGAAGGGGCCACCGACGATAGGTCGTCATCGCTGGTATCGCTCGCCTCATCGTGCATTCCATTTTCGCCACCATCCGAGGAAAGAGATCTTGGTAAAGGTATAAGCTCGGGACGAAAAGGCCCGGTGCTCATCCTTCTGACGAATGTGGAGGCACCCTGACTTTGTCCTTGGTCTTCAACAACTAGAAGACACTCAGGTCCGGGTCGCTGATACAAGCAGTTATGATTTCAGCGTTTCTTCAGGCAACAACGAGTTTGTGATAAACTTCAGGATAATGTCTCGAATGCAGGTGGACGATGAACAGGTGCCAAATGGGTGAGACGGTGGGCGGAATAGCAAACCTGCCAGGCCATATGCCGTAAGCGCAGGTCACGTGATATACTGGATCATACGAGATGTCATTACGCGACACCTCGGCACACATCGACGGTCAATTGTTGGTTGCGAGCCCGTGCAGGACAAGATGGTGAGCATTTACTACCCGGAATCGAAAAGCTGAGAACTGAGTGGATGGTCTGTGGGATGGATGGATGGATGGATGGATGGATGGATGGATGGATGGATGGTTGAATCATGTTTGACTGGTGGTCCCTATCAGTGGAGATGCGGGCTCTGAAAGGCAGCGACTGCTGACGGTTAGCAATGTAGCTATCCATATTGGGCTGAATATTGTATTGTCACCGAATACCACCCAGTACAACCTAACGCGTGGATGTGGGTGGAACTTGCTTTGATTTGGGATGAAGGTTTGATGTTTTCAATCCTCACAAAGTTATTATTCAATTTCGCTTAGCCGTCCCACAAGACATTTCGCATCAAGCGTATTTTGGGCAAGAAGATGAAACAAAACCGCCCTATTCCCAACTGGATACGCCTGCGAACTGACAACAAGATCAGGTATATATCGGCTGCTCAGTACATGAGTTTGCTCCGCCAGGACTTACAATACTATCGGTGTGCCAAATGATTAGATATAACGCCAAGCGTCGTCACTGGCGCCGAACCAAACTCAACCTCTAAGTAGCCGCCGGTGTGGCCATTTGCGAAAAGATAGCATGCGGCGGATTCTCTTGATTTTGTGCGGTTGATGATGTGGGAAGATTCATGAAGTCATTCAAAACCCTTTTGTGTCGTGTTCAATCTAGAACACGGTATGCCAGCAGCTTGTTGCCTATTGTACAGTTTCTGCAACAGAATCCTATACCTCAGCCTTGATGACAAAGATGCGGCAGCGTTTATATTTATTGTACAAATGCGTCCGTTTTATTTGCAGTAACGGTGGTCTCGTCATGCCTCCAGTCTTGTTCAGATCTCTCACGCATGATGATATCCACGGCCCCAGTCAAGGCATTATATGCATTCTCAATAGACGCCTTGCGCATATTGGCATTGCGTGCGGTTTGATACAGGGGCGTGTTATCATCATCTATATCTGCCTCCTGTGCTAGTTGCTCGTTGCTCAGACGTGCTAACGTCATCTTACCCGTCTGTGCGGCTCCCTGAAGGCGTTCGAGGATGGCACCATATTTCTCGTTGTCCTCCATCAGATTAGCACTGGTTTCAACTTCTGTTGCCAGAATCCCTACAAGTTCCAATGAAGTGTGCAACCGATTCTCGACCGGATCATCTACGGTATCCTTCTGAAAGGTCAGCAATATACCGGTTATCTCTTGTAGCACACTACTCAGACGATCTGCACCGCTGCCAGAGACCGCGGGGGCGCTGCGAGGGCCTTTCATGTCGGCTCCAATATACGGATTAATTGAATCAATGAGTGAGCTCAATTTCGATACAGCGGTCAGTGTGTTGGAGCGTGAACGAGTAATCGCCGATTTCGTCTTATCGGCCATGGTTGTAATGTCTTCGGTGCTCATCGACCTGCGAATACTGGTGGACTGTCCCACCTGTTGCCGCTTATACAAGCTACCGGACGTCATATCGAGATCATCATCTTGGGGAGCTATGGGGGAGGCTGCGACTGCTTGGTTCTGAAGGATGCTGAAATCTTCCTTATCCGTGTTCCCAAGTGTTTCCGCATCTGGAATCAGAGTTATTAATAGATGTGCGGATGATACGACACATTCTAACACATGCCTTCCGTATCACCGGCTTCATGAATCGTTACATAACAGGAGGGGACCCACCCACTCTCACCCCTACATTCGGCCAGCAACCAATGTTCATATTTGTTTCTAACCAACAGCTGATCTCCCTTCTTAATGCTAAGCTCATTTGGTGAAATTTTGGTGTAATCATACAGCGCAACTCCTTTCTGTGTTGCCACCCCAGGATCTTCCGCAGTTTTGAAGTCATCTCGTTCGCTCTGTGCCAAACAACCCTCCGGTACCCATCCTAGCTTTCCTTCCTTTTCCACAATACACCAGCCCCTCTCCCGTCGCACGATTTTAAATCGATCACCAATCGCTACGTCCACTTCATCCTCCAACGTCGCCTGATACTCGTAAACCGCCACTGCGTTAGGCAGGTGTTCTCGATCTGCTTCAACGCCAGATGGTGGCATGTCGGCACCGCGGCTGGAAATGACTGGGTTTTCGCTCAACCGTGACGCGGGAGATGTCACCTGCTTGATATGTTTCAAGGTAAAGGTGGGCACGGTACTCTCATCCTTGAGGTCCTGGATAAGGGCAAGTGGCCTCTCGTCGAAGCTTAAGCAGCGCTCTTTCATGCTGTTTAAGTGAAAGAAGAATGATATGTTTGAGGCACAGCAATCTTACCTGAGCCTTTATGTCGCATGAACAGCGCATAGTGTTGCCAGTCATTACGTATTTTATACTTGCGAAGAATTTCAGGTAAGATTTCCGCACAAGTATCCTCCATCGATACCTGTACTGTTTTATACGGTTCATTTTCGCGATTCATCTGCCTATCGGTGTAAATTCTGACAGCAGACACATTGCCACTCTAAAAAGACTTTAGGTCTAATCCGAGGAGTCATACACTATGTTTCACTTACCCGGCCAGGGCGCGAACTATTCGGTGCCGAAGATATTTCCGCGGTAAGCGTGTTGCTTGGGACTTTGACGGCTGACGGTAACTTGGATGGTGTCTTGGCTACTCCCTTCCCAGATGTTGGTAACTTTAATGATCGCTTTGTATCATTTCTGCCGGATTTCTTCTTCTGCTCAAATTCCTACGAAATGACATGGGCGGATTTAGTCGTCACATATCTAGGACATCACAAATTGCAAGTTATTATAAATCACCTCGTACTCTTTCACCATCGACCAAACCGGAGACAGATCCTCTCTTATCCGGACAATCTCAGCTGACAAGTGCTCAATCTCCTTTGCAAGGCGATGAATGCTCTGATCTGGTTGCGAACAAATAATTAGGACTGACGAACTTCTTCCTCCAATGCGTTGAAAACTACCTTGTTGCTTTACGACCGCTTTCAGGCGGGCATATTCTTCAGGATCTGATTTATCGTCAGCTCTACTTGATGTACCACCCTGCTGTACCACATGTGAATCTTACAAGACTTAGTGCGCATATCGCAACTTGCAGAAGACGCCGTAGCGTGGAGAAGCGCCCATACCTTCAATCCTGGAGAAGCCCAGGAGCTACCTAAGGTACGAACGATGGTATGTCAACGCCAGTGCTCTGGAAGGGTAATACTTCAACTCGCTCGGGCGAATAGCGGCTATTCATACTTTCTGGAACCCAGTCATCCTGATCGAAGGGAATACCCTGCGATATCTTCAAACCGTAAATTGCGCGTAATAAGTTAAGGCGGTGTCCAACCGATTTGATGTCGAGCTCTTTCAACATATTGTGGTCGGCGTGAACCAGCACGTCTCCAGATATGTCATTTTCTAAAAGCGACGAGAATAAGATTTATTGGATAAGAGCCAAAGCAATATGACAAGTACCTCTAAATTTTCGCTCATGAAAACCAAGACCCATGAATTTGATCCATTCCACTACTTGATCCACACTCCAAGTGTTCATCTCGACAAGACCATAAACAAGCTGAAAACCAGCGGCTTAAATGCTCGAATCTCGCACTGAATGCGATCTTGGCCACGGGTGGTGCTTTTAACCATTGCTAAGCATGGCTTAGGTTGGTGTTTCTCGGCTTGCCGCGACTGCATTCCAGCTCCGTTGACTTCCACCAATATGCCACAGATTGAAGAAACCCAACAAAATGTCCCCACGATAGGAACTCAGGAACAGCCTCCGACTCCCAGTCGACCGTCCTCGTACTCTTTTGACGCTGCCTCTTTGCGGCAGCGCAATGCGCCTTTGCGGGAAGCAGTCGGATCGTCCACCATGTCGGCCACTGCCAGCACGGCGTCACCGAGTGAAAGCGACAGAGATGACGAGGGAAATGAATTTGAGTGTAACATATGGTGAGTATAAGAAATTGGTACATTCATGTCGTTTTGACCAACGAAAAACTTATACGTCCAAGTCTGGAAATGGCGTCGAACCCCATCGTCACTCTCTGCGGCCATTTGTTCTGTTGGCCATGTATGTATTGTTCAACGCCACCACCTTAAATAACGACGTACTTCTAATCATGTAAATTTGCATCCAAAAGGCTTACATAGATGGATGCAGTCACGGTCACCCTCAGCCAATGCCTGTCCGGTTTGTAAGGCGAAGGTCGAAAGAAGCAAATTGGTTCCCATATATGCACGGGGCAGGCAATCAAAAGACCCAAGGGAGGAGGTTATTCCTGAGCGTCCCACTGCGCAGCGACCTGAGGCGGCACCATCGCAGGCGAATCGCGGTTGGGATAACTTCTTCTTCCCCGGAGGCACAATACCTACCGGCAACGGTATAACGGTCGGCTTTGGCCTTTTTCCATCCTTATTTGGCCTTCACTATGTAGGTTATAGGACACTACCTTGCTAATGACTGAAAGCTTCTCATCCATATTTTGTCAGACTTTTGGGGTCCCTGCGCACTTGGGCTCTCGTGACCGGCAGGCGCAAGGTCCGTTTTTGTTGGCATAGCCATACTCAATCGACTCTCTCATCCTGTTCTCTTCTTTCAGTCGCCCAACAACAGGCCTTTCTCTCTCGGATTTGCATGATGGTGGGGATTCTGGTGATGATTGCGATTCTATTATACTAGGTAATATTGGTATGAGTCAATGATTCGGTGTATCTATTAACCTTTTTGAGTCCCTCAACAGTAAATAAAAACGCACTTTGCATTTGGAAAGTGGCAAGACGGTACGGGCTCTTACTTGGTCTTTTCACGTGTCCGGCATTCCCTCAAGTCCTGGATTCATCCAATATAACGGACGATTACTTGTCCCAGTGCGCGGCAAAAGCCATAGCCAGGAAGTCATGCGAATGGCGTTCCGTTGGACGAGATGAAGACCAAACGATGAACCTCTCGATCAATGTCGATTCACGGACGTCATAAAAACTGGTTTATGAATTGCAAAAATTGCTGCAGTCTCATTTTGTCGTATTACATAGGATTTCTTAAATATTGCAGGGACCCTGATTTCTTCGCTCATTGCCCATTTTGTCAATGAAAGCTGCTTGTCCTCGATGTATCGAGCTCATTAGGTAGAAACGAAAACATAGAAGTTTAATCCATAATATTAGAAAAGCGTAGCAGCCTCTGAAGATGCCAAGTGCACAGAACTACTATGCGCCTGTGTCCTTATGTGCACGCAACAAATATTCGGATGATTCGGGAATATAGCAGATTCACGTTCTAATGAAACAGCGGATAGGTTTGCAATATTCATTCAAACTCCTGTTTCAACACCCATCTGCCCTTGGAGTCGAGATCACGTCGAAACTCTGCGATTCCTTTCAGCATCTTTTTGAACATGACAGCATCTTCCCCATCGACCTGGCTGCGGAACGCCTCTAATATCTCACTGGTCGATGCACTGCCACCGCAAGAGCTTAGAAAGTCCCTGATTCGAACGGCCAATCCTTCTCTCGACGCTACGTCTATGTCCTCATTAGAAATCGGTACTCTAGCAATACCGTCGCTATTACGTTCAATAGCAGCTCTTTTGCGTAGATTGACCAATATCGCAGAGGAGCTTGGTGCTCCGACAGAATCGGTTGTGGGTGCAGCCGTCTGCGGAAAGTCAGTACCAGCCTGGACATTGCGGAATCCTGAAGAACTACCGCTACCAAATAACGCAGCCGGGTTCGGTGATACAGACCCGCTGGTCGCTGGAGTTGCACCGGTCGCTTTCGGCCCGAATCTTCTCGGAGCGTGTACGGCAGAAACGGAGGCAGGTGCACCTGCTGCTCCGCTTCTTCCTGTGAATGTCGGTACGTGGATGCCTTCTCTCTGCCGTATACGTCTTCGACTTCGACGCAAAGCCGCTACAGCTTCATTTGCTACCCGAGATGCTTCTTTTTCCACAATGACAGTCTCCGGACTTGCAGCTTCTACTATGACGTCATGTCGCAGAGCAGAGTGAACCCCAGACTTTGAGAAGAGAGCCCTCAACATTCGAGAATCGTCGTCTTCTAGGGAGATCACATCGCCAGAACGTGCTTCTTGCGGTGATGACGTGTGGGCTTCCTCTGGCGAATGGTAGCTATCCACTTTTTCCAGATCGTTGATGGTTGAAAGATTTTCAATCTGCTCAGTGGTATGTATTACCGCTCTTCCCTTTCCTTTGGTGTCCGTCGTCATTTGAGCTTCTTCGAAATTAATCTCCGCATCCGTCCCGTGAAATAAGTCACCTGTTTCGGTCCCTACATCGTCAGCACTCCCAAGTGTAAAAAGATCATTGAGATCATTGCTCTTGAAAAACCTCCGCTGCCTCGGATCTTTTAAGATCTTGTTCGTCAAATATTGCTTGAAAATTTGCCGATGATATATTTTCTCTTCAATCGTCCCAGAGGTCATGAGGCGGTATATGGTCACGTCCTTCTTCTGCCCTACCCTCCATGCCCGCTCGCGAGCTTGAACATCGGTTGAAGGGTTCTAGGGAATGGCGAAGATGAGTTTTACCCAGGCGTGGGTGGGATGGGGAAAGTAATGCTTGGCCGTACCCAGTCCGGATCATATATGATTATACGATTTGCCCCCGTAAGATTGATCCCCAATCCACCCACTTTTGTCGTCAACAGAAAAACATAAATACTGGGATCTTCGTTATATTCGTCGACCATGGCGATTCGATTCTTTATTGGCGTCGTACCGTCCATACGGCGATACTTGTAGCCTATAATACCCGTGATTGTTTCGGTTACATTACCTTCATGGAAGTTCGAGAAAATGTATCGCACCTTCGGTTTTAATAAACTTCTCCAAAATCTGCCGGTGGAAGCCCAAAAGAGATTAATGAGATCATCGTGTGCAAATAAGATCACCAGGCCGCAGAACACATACGTCCTGCATTTGACGTGTCTGGCAAAATAGTAGAGTCTTATGCCCCTGTTTCTTCCACATTTTCAGAAGCGCCTGCACAACTTTCAATTTTCCAGATCGATCGAGAGCCCCGTAATTTTTATCCTATGCCACCATTAGCATCAAAACATATGTCCATGACGTGCAGCAGTGGTACCTTCGAAAGCTCATTCCTGGCTAGCAAATCGGGATGATTGCATATCTTACGTAAAATATCAATTCCATACAGCGCGTGCCGTCGACCTTGTAGAATGCTAACAACCTCATTCGATTTAAGGAATGCCTGGTATTCCTGGCGCTGCCGTTTCGTCAATCGGCAGAATAAGACCTGTTCGCTTTTCTTCGGTAGGTCAGCCGCAACGTCTGCTTTTATGCGCCGTAAGAGGTAGGGACTGATCAGGTCTCGTAATACGCAGGCACACTTATATGCCGTTTGAACTTGCACATTGCTGGCGTTCGCATAACCCCCAATGCTAATAGGAATTGCAAATTGAGATTGGAATACCGGAAGAGTCTAAGGGTAGGATTGATTCACTCAGAGCTGCAACAGGGAGGTCGCAACATAAGGAATAGATGGACAATACCCCAAGTCGGCCAGGGAATACAAAATCATACAACGACCATAGCTCCGTCAGGTTGTTTTGAATTGGAGTTCCGGTGAGAATAATGCGGTGGGGTGTCTTCCAGAGATGGATACTTCAGGATACGCACACAATATAAACAGAAAGGCAAATCGCACCTTAGCGTACCCTTAGCTGCTTGCAAGCGAGCGTAATCTCGGCATCCGGGTTGCGAATCTTGTGTCCTTCATCAAGAATACAATACGCCCATTTAACCGGAAGAAGTATGGACGAGTATACTCGCACACCAGCGTAAGTGGTAAGAATTACATGACCTGCAAATGAGAGATGAAGCAACAAAGACATGCCCACGTGCTAGACTACTGTTAACGCACCATGCTTCACTAAACGGTCCACCAACGCGCGCGCTTTGCTCAGCATCTTTGTAGCTTTTGCCGATAGTTTTGTTCTTTTCTTAGGCGCCTTCTTCACTGTGGGCTTTCTCACACCTCCTCTTCTGTCTTCATAAGGATCGCCATTTCGGTCATCTTCTCCTTTTCCTTCGTCATCATCATCATCAAATATGTCTTCTTCCAGACTGCGTGAAGCCTCGTAATCTCCAGCTGGTATAGATTCTGCTAAACCACTGCCTGTAGAATGAAGAATGGCAACCCGGAGCGGTGGCCACCATGTGTGGAACTCTTGGACCCATTGTCTTAGTACGGTCGCTGGGCAGACAATCAATATCGGTCCATTAAGCAAACGTGAAGCGCTAAGGCCGGCGAGAAAGGCAATAGTTTGAATGGTTTTGCCCAATCCCTGAAAGTCATTGGTTAATCCAACTGCAAATCCACATCGCAGTGAAATATCATGCTACCATTTCGTCCCCAATGATACCTCCAGCTTCCTGACAATGTAGCTCCCACAGCCACTTAGCGCACGTCCGCTGGTAATCAAACAACGCATTGTAGAGGTCACCAGGTAAACGATAGCCCCCTTCAAACTCTGCGTCATCATCGTGCGGAGACGGTTGAAACATCTCTTGTTCGGGATCTGCGTCCAGCAAGTGCCGATGGTTTTCATCTTCCACGTTACCCTTTTAAATGGACACGGATAAGTTCTATTGATTATGTGAATGATTATGTGGAAGTCACCCAACTGTAGCTAACCGCATGTCTAAGGCGTTTTAGTCGCCGACGTCGAGCCCATGCCGATATTCGCTTTTGGTATACAGTTTCATCACCGTCATCCACATGCCGGTCTACGTAGCGTCCTTTTCTCCCATGCTGTGAGTGGTCGGCGCTACCCTCAAGCATGCGTTCGTCATCATCCGTCGATAGCGCGGTTGCACTGGCCACATCCTGGTCGCTCTCCTCCAGTTCTTCGGAGTCCTCATAATCTCGCTCATCAAATGACCGCTTTCGTTTGCTTTCCCTCCGGCGGGAATCCCTTTCCTCATCTCGTATCGCTCCAATGTCTGCATTCGGTAACATGTCGACAGGCAAATCTTCAGCGACCCGATCCGCTGCAGTGTCCTCATCGTGCGAAGTACGGCCCTGAAAATTAACAGATCGCTCTAATCCTGCGATGCTCGAAAACGGTGTTATCTTTCCCGTACGTATCAAGCGCTCCCGTTCCGTTTCCTTCCCCGAAATTCCGGACTCCGGACCTTCAGAGGTGAGCGAGCTTCTGCGCATCCGAGCGATAATCTGGCGTTTTTGCGCTTCTAAATCCTCAATCTGGTCGGTAATGCGCTGCATGCGTCGATCAATACCGCGTCCAACGCTAGAGTTTGCGTGATGGTCGCTCGCCTTGTCCTCTAGCTCTTCAAGTTTACCTTGAAGCTCTCTGCGTCGCAGATATTATCCTTCAATGAGCACACCGGCTGATATGTTCACAATGGCTTATATACCAACCCAAGTTTCTTTCGTGTTTTCGCTAGGCGCTTTACATCCGCCTCGGTTTCTCGTTGTCTTAGCGCTTCATCTGCCTGTGGTCGTTGCTGTTCTGTAAGATACCGGAGGGAGAAGTGTCTTCATGAAAACCACGCATTTCGTTACCTGTGCCATGATAGCTCTTTCCATTTCAGTTTGATCAGTGACACCAAGCACAAAGTCAGCCCCCAGCTCATTGGATATCCCTTGCAGATCTGCGTTGTCGCCGAATGCGATAGACGGTATCGGAGCAGGCAATGAGCTCACATCCTCTCTTGTCTGCCTTTCTTCCTTGCTAATGTTTTCAATAGTCGCCACGGTCTCCGCTGTGGCGACTCCAGATATTTGGGGGGCAGGATCGTTTTGGTTTTCCATTATCTATCCTCAGAGATAAAGTATCAGCTACTACTGATGGGATGGCTTTGAACTGTGCTTATTGTTTAGTTAGAATGGCTGCCAGTGGTATTTTCTGCCTATTGCGTCGAGATGTCGTATAAGAAAGAAGTTGCAACATTGAGAGTCCCGCTTAGCAGGTGCGAAGTTTAAGGGTTTCGGAACTCGTGTCTCCACGCATAACATGGAACCATCGGGAATTGTTATTTCAGCAAGTGAGGATAAATCACATCAATCTACCAAACATATGAGCGGCTTGCGCTGGAAATGAACCACAAAATCATCGTTTGGCAGAACCATGGGCAAGTTTCGTTGTTGCTGCGTGCTCGTGGGTGACTCACCTCGTTGCTACGCGCGGAAAGGAACCAATCAGCGTGACGGTTAGCGCCTTCACACAACCCAGGACAAAGCCGCCTTCCTGCAACTTGACAAGCAAGAGTCAAGGACAAGTCCATTCTCGTCGTGGTTCGTGTCGTCGTCGTCGTCGCCGCAAAGGGGTGGGGTTTAGGACGATTGAAACCTGTCGTGTCCTCCTTTGGTCGCATCCGTAGATTTTGCACACGCTGCCGGAAGACAGGTGGGACGCGAAAGGATCTACGACGGGGGGTGGGGGGGGGGGGGGGGGGGAAGGTTGTATTGTTAACTCATGCTCTACAATCTGGGTAGAAAGAGATCTTGAGCTACGATGTCTAACGCTACTGGTAGACAACTTTTCGTTGGCAATGTGAGGCACTACTTGGAATCACTGTTTTGTGAACACCGGAACAGCTAACCCTAATTTGTCAATATCGCAGTTGCCCTTTATAATCGGCTGGCAAGACCTGAAGGACTTGTTTCGAGAAGCCGGTAAGAAGAGCCGTGTATATTCATAGTGGAGTCTGCACATAATCTGTACAGACCCATCGCTCATGGATACCTAACGGCGGAACCTCGGTAGGTACCGTAATCCGTGCCGATGTTGCCACCGGGCCTGCTGGTCGTTCTCGGGGTTTCGGCACGGTCTTGTTTGCTACGGCTGAGGAAGCACAGGCTGCCATCAATCTCTTCAACAACTATGATTGGAACGGTCGCAAAATCGAAGTGCGTGAGGACAGAGCCGTCGCAAGCACATCAGGGGTCGCCACACCTCCCATTGCGATCGGTGCAGCGCCGGTAATTAATGGAAATGGTGCGTTTCGTATCCTGTTGGTCTACTGGTTTATATCTCGCCTAATGCTCAGAATCTGATTGATAACAACTGCCCTTGTTCAGGGAATGTCAACGTTCGTGCGTTGTACGTGGGGAACATCCCATACTCTGCAGGCTGGCAGGATTTGAAGGATCTATTCCGTCAAACTGGAAATGTCGTTCGCGCGGATGTTCCACAAGACTTTCAGGGCCGGTCTAAGGGATTCGGTACAGTTGTTATGAGTACTGTAGATGAGGCGCGGAAGGCAGTGTCGTTATTCAACAGTTATGAATGGAATGGCCGGCGCATCGAAGTTCGGGAGGATAGGACATTTGTCGAAGGTGCTGCACCGCGCGTGAACAACAACGCCAATTTTGCTACACCTGCATTCAATGGAGGCTTCTCTCCAGTTTTGAGTGGTGGAAACACTGCCGGACGCCAGTTGTTTGTCGGAAACTTGCCGTTTACAGTTCAATGGCAAGAGTTGAAGGACCTTTTCCGAGAAGCTGGAAACGTCCAGCGAGCAGATGTGGCAATGGACAACCAGGGACGAAGCCGTGGATACGGTCAAGTTCTGATGGCTACTGTGGAGGAAGCGCAAATGGCTATCAAGGTGCTTAACGGTCGAGAAGTGCAGGGTCGGACCATTGAAGTTCGAGAAGATAAATTTGCCGCGGATGCGTCCAGTAACATTCCTGGGACCCAAGTGTTTGTTGGAAATGTATGTAATTGGCACTACTTGATGTCGCTTCAAGTGATACTGACGAGTATTTGTCCCTTGCAGCTCCCATACTCATCCCGATGGCAAGATTTGAAAGATCTCTTCCGTCCCCATGGGCTAAACCCTGTACACGCGGATATCATGGCGGAACCAGGTACAGGGCGCTCAAAAGGATGCGGAATCGTCCGCTTCAACACGCCAGAAGAGGCTGAGCGCGCCGTTCAGGAAGTGAATGGTACTAATGTTGGTGGACGGAACGTGATTGTGCGTTTGGATAAATTTGCGTGAGTCCCCGCCTATCTCAATGGACTGGTGTGTCTAAAAAGCAGATCCTGAAAGACGAAATCAAAATAACTATATGATGCGATGAGAATGTGATGTGGGCATGTATCATTAGTTGCATAGTGATAGCATAATGTGTGTATATGGGTTGGTTGAAGGCAAGAGTCTCTGGTGCAGTTAATAATCAGCTTCCCAAAACCAAGCGGAAGCGGTGAAAATACTAGTTGTTGCACTACTGATGGATCACACGGTAATAGATCAAAAGGTGAGATGAACGCGTGAGGCCTCTGTCCTTGTCCTGTTACCCATTCATCATGTCAGTCGTCGAGACAACAGCTGTCTTCCAGGTATTGTACATTAGCGTTATTCACAGAGTGTAGCGTTTGCGTGAACAATCTTGTCATATGCATCGGATCGCTGGGTTGCATGCTCTGATGCCTGACTTTTAAATATTCCAGCCAGATCTTTTCAAGGGCAAGGTTGCGTTCGTGACCGGTGGGGGAAGCGGAATATGCAAGGGATTGACAGAAGCGCTCCTGAGGTTTGCAAACGCTGCACATTGAGAACGCGCGCCTTACCATTGACGTTGACTTGTACATATCTTCAGACATGGAGCAAAGGCTGCTATTTTCAGCCGAACACTTAAGAAATTGGAGACCACGGCGGCGGAGCTATCCAAGACGACTGGAAGCGAGTGTATTGCGTTAGCCGGTGACGTCCGCAACATTTCCGATGTTGAGAATGGCCTCAAAAAGGCTCACGAGCACTTTGGTCGTATCGATATTGTCATATGCGGCGCTGCTGGAAATTTTTTGAGTACAGCGGAAAACATCAGCGCTAACGGATTCAAGGTATACATACATACCCCCAGCGCATGTAACAGGCTCCAATTGGATTGTACATCTAATACTTGAGGATACATTTAGACTGTAATTGATATCGACTTGATTGGCACCTTCAACGCGTCCAAAGCTGCGTTACCATATTTGAAGGAGACACGCGGGTCTTTGCTAAATGTCAGCGCAACATTTCATTATACGGGCATGCCCCTGCAGGTAAGATATTCTCGCAACAGGTGGAATTGCGACTGTTGGGTTCTTATGCTGATTCAACACTTTAGGGGCATTGCGCGGCTGCGAAAGCTGGTATCGACGCGCTGACGAAGTAAGTAAACCTATTGTTATTTACGGGTTCACGCTATACTGCTGACAATGACCGATGGTAGAAACCTTGCAGTCGAATGGGGGCACTATGGCATCAGAGTGAATGCCGTAGCTCCGGGGGTGAGTGCTCTACTCCAATCCTCTGTGGCAGAGACATGGCTTCTCTAATTATGTGCAGCCCGTCGAGGAAACGGCTGGCTTCGATAAGCTTAGTTACGACAAGTCCAAGAACCAAGATATGATCCAGCTCATCCCTTTGCAAAGCGCAGGTGAACATCGCTTATCCTGTAGATGGGTGCGTTTGACTGCTATTCGCTCTGGCTAACTAGACGAATATTGCAGGTCGCATTAAAGACATTGAACACGCCGCGTTATTCCTATGTTCCCCTGCTGCGCGATGGGTAACAGGAGCAATTCTGGTAGTCGATGGCGGGCACTGGTATGTGGGGTAACCTTTGGTCATGTTTTAGGAGCATCTATCTAAATTTTCTTTTCAGGCTAACAAACACAGGGCTTGCGCCGCCTGCTGTCTGGAGGGGATCAAAGCTTTGAATCAAATAGCTCTAGTGCCGTCTTTATGTGGTAGCTTTTGTGTCAACCTGAAACAGCTGAGGTATTACTCGGTTTCATTATCGAAATTCAATAAATAGGCGAATCTACTTGCTGGCTTGTGCATGCTCTATATACCCTATGCGCTGGTCTACCACATCATCGCGTCTTCCGCTTCGCCAAAGACACTGTTCTTTGTTACCGTAAACTGTTCAGAAGTCACCTCCGCGATTGGTTTTCCTTTGAATAAAGCCTGACCATTCCGCCTGATGAAGTCCGAGATATATTTGTTCATTTGCTCGAACTCGAGCAAAAATCCATCATGGCCTTCAGGTGATATGATAACGATTAGCTCCGCATTGGGAATGTGCTCTGCCAGCTCGCGCTGTTCACCAATGGTGAAGAGACCGTCGCTTTCTATACCTGGACAATTATTAAGGATTAACAAGCCAGATCAATTCTACATGCTTACTGAATATGAAAAATTACCAATGACCAAGGTCGGTTGCGAAATTCTGGTCAATACTTCATGAAATTCTCCCCTCCCTCGTGATATATCGTGAGTGTCCATTTTTCGCGTAATGGAGATGTAACAGTTTGCATCGAAGCGCTTGACAAATTTATCCCCCTGATATCGCAAGTAACTTTGAGCGGAATAAACACGAGGTGCATTCTCGCCGGCCATCGCACTGGCGGCTTCCGCTGCGGCTTCTTTGGACTGGTGGAGTCGGATTTTGTGGCCTTCGTTGTGGTGAATAGCGGCACTTTCGTAAAGATTTCGTGTTGGTTCATCAAGAGGCTTCGGGGGCATCACTTTGCGGCCGAAACGGGATTCGAAGGAGTTCCGGGAGCGGTATGTCAAGAGCGCCTGCATCCGGGCCGCCGCCAGTCCTGTATTTGGTGGCTAATTCATGAACGAGAAGGATGAGATCAACAAAGAGAGATTACAGCAGTAGTATCCGACCTACGTTTTCTGCAGTATAATGTCCATTGGCTGTAAAGCGCATCAACAAGATAAAGGATCGCATTAGCTAAAGGCGACGCCAGGAGCGTGATGCAAGATGTCGCAACGCATACCGTAATTGGGATCACTATATATGGCTTGTCGCTGTGCCTCGCCCCAACTGATACACCATGCGGAGTGGCGACCCGAGGTTGCAATGGGTACAATGTTCCTGACATACTCGACCCCAAGACACGCCCACTCTAGCACCTTGTCGGAAAGAAGAGAGGATTTAGATGACCTGAAGTTTTCTACCTATGTTCACTTTGGCTGTACCTGCATTCCTCCCATGGAGCCGCCAATCGCGAATTGAATCTGTTTTACTCCAAGGTTGTCCAGAATCTGTTTATGCAGTCTACTCGTTCGAGATTGTAAATACAAATGAATCTTGGTGATTGGTTGTATTTCTTGATGTTACCTCACATCATCTCTAATGGTAGCAATAGGAAAATTCGGACCGTAAGGTTGATTTGTCTCGGGATTTGTTGTTACAGGCGAAGCGGTGCCATAAGGAGATCCAAGGACATTCCCACAAAAAATGAAGAACACATCGGTATCAAATGCTCTTCCTGGACCCAACAATGGACCCCACCTACGGAACATAAATTAGGAGGCCCGTTTGAAGCTTTCGCTGCCGAGGTTTCACACACCAGTCTTCAACGTCCGCGGACCCTGATAGTGCATGACAGATAATCATGGCATTGGTTCCTTCAGCGTTTAGCTTTCCCCAGGTTTTGTATGCCACAGGGACATCCCGAAGTGTAATGCCGGACTCAAGCTCAAACGAATCGAGGTGAACAATGGTCTGTTCGGCAATGAGGTTCCGGAGGTCTTTTTTTTGCGTAAAGGACGTCAGCGGTTCCTTGTAGCTCCTCATATTCACTGTGCAGACTTACTTGTCATCTCCTCTTTCAGGCTATGGGCGTATTATAGGTATGTGCTTTGCTGGGATGACCAGCGCTCCCCAAAATGTGCTGTGAAAATGCTCCTGGTTTGGTCTGATCACAGCTAAGCAGATCTTGCAGTCAATCACAGGTGACGTGACTCACGCACGAGCAGAACGCCAGGCTTTGCATCCGCAGCGCCCGGAATTCTTAATCGGTGATTCTCGCTGTGCATCTGATACCATCTATTTGTTACTGCTCCCTTTGACCTTGTGCTGGACGGTTGCTTATTTTGTCTTGTCTTTTTGTATTGGCATCTCGTTGAAAAGAACATCTGTCTCCTTCAACCCGTGTTATTTACCCCACCACTTTACTCATCTGTACTGAAGAACAGGGACGTGAGGGAGGCGCAGCGGAATGCTGATTGGTCCTTCATTGCTACGTTCTGCTACCCGTCAGTCAGCGCCCAGTACTGCGGACAAGGGACATGGGAATACGGAATCTACCGCTTTCCCACAGGATATATTGACGTGCGTAGGGGGAGACTGGGCGTTCTTCATAGCGGGTGTATTGACCTAATCCATTCCAGTGGTCCATCCGCGAATAGCACGCGAAACAGTATGAACTTTTCTAACTCCGCCAACAGCGAGGACGAGTCTAGTGGCGGGTCCCAGCATGACGTGCCGGTTACGACAGCTTCCCTAGCAGCAAGTACCGTGTTCGGTCGAGCGGATGAGAATAGGAAAAAGGTAATGAACACAGGATGGATTATGTTTAGACATATGGCTAATTTCCATTCACATTTCATAGGCTGGTCCATGTTGTGACCTTGATCGAGCCATTCATGCACTCTCACCAACTGCATTTTTGCCACCGTTCTCCGTTGAAATGTCACGATTACCAAAGCCCGTAATAACGATAGTCGAGGTATCTTGTACGAGTTAGTCAAATCGGTAACAGGGATGCAACGATGTTGTTGCTAAATTCTGTTGTGTGAAGGCGCAAAAGAGCAATGACATGTCTGGCGGACCGTATATCGCGTATATAATTCACACCGATATCCCCGATCAATCGGTGCACTATGAATGCAAGCACCGCTATTCAGAATTTGAAGCGTTTCGAAAGCTTTTAGTAAAACTGCACCCAACTGCTGTTGTTCCTCCCATTCCCGAAAAACACTCGGTCGCAGACTATGCCGTCAAACCTGGGAAGGCCAAAGAAGATCCACATATAATCGAAAAGCGCAAAAAAATGCTTCAATCGTTCTTAAATCGAATCGCGGCACATCCAGTTTTGCGCGAGGAACATGTTTTCCATAGGTTCCTAGAAGGTGGAGCAACCTGGGCGGATATTTTGTCAAGTTCCGGGCTCGGTTATTATTTGAAGAAAAGAGATACGGCAGTCAGCGTGAGCGAAAAGGGGTCTCTCAAGCGTCCAGGTGAGTGGATTGCAACTAATACCGACGTCGTTCAGATCTCCAATGTATTAATCTACCTTATAATGTTAACAGATTCCCATTTCCAGGCCGCAGAGGATTATACAGCAAAATTCGCCTCCCAAATTGTACAAACTCGTAAAGTGCATAAGTCAATGCTTAAGCACTCGTCCGATATGGCCGCTACCTACGCGGAACTTGGTGCAGCATACAATGGGTGGTCATTATCGGAAAGCAGTTTAGCCCATGCTATCGAGCAGGTCGGCCAGGCTGTTGACTCCACGGTTAGTGCTACTTCGCAGTTGGTGGCGGCTTTGGAAACAGGATTTGCGGTGCCACTCCAGGAGTACACCCAGTTCTCAAAAGCCGTCGAGAAGCTGTTGAAATGGCGACATAAGAAGCATGTGGAGTATGAAACTCTATCGGATTCGCTGATTTCCAAGCAGAGCTCATTGCAGAAGTTGGAAGCGTCCGAGTCTGAAGCGCAAAGGCTGTCAGCTGTTTTAAATGCTGAGGGAGTATCTGGGCACACCCGGCAGCTGAGCACGGGAGGAGGCATCATGGCAACTCTAAACTCTCTCATCGATAACGATCCTGCTATGACACGTCGTAACAATATCTCAAGGACGAAAGATCGCATCTCTACGATAGAGGAGCAGAGAGAAGTATGTAGGGCCGAATTGCAGGTTGCTAATGAAGAAATACAAAAGGATCTGGATAGGTTCCAGATGGATAAGGTGAAAGATTTGAGAAATATGTTACTGAGCTATGCTTTAGCCCAAAGAGATTTCCACCGAAAGGCCACCAAGGCTTGGGAAGAAGCCAAGGCAGAGGTGGAAAAGATCAAACCGTAGAATACTGGGTTGATGCAGAAATGTAGTGATTGTTGGTGGGAACCCGCCCTGCGATTTGTATCGTTTCAAAAATGAGCAGCGCCTTGTCTTGCGCTCTTTTTGCACTAAACTCGATAGTAGTTATCTGAATGTGCGAACTCTTAGTAATAAATTCTATTTCGGAGTGCACCGTGGTCGACGACAACCAAAGTCACGAGTCTAGAGGAATTAGGGAAAAATGGAAATATTGAATCGGACGCAATAATGCGCTACTTGGCGAAAGCTGCGACATACCCTGCAACATGAGAAGCGAATGTGTGCAACTCGTCGACGAGCGTCGGCACACCCTCCGCGCTGGTGAGTGGAGAGGTGACCTCGACAATCCACGAGTCATCGTTACCATCTACCGGAACACTACTGGTGACTTTATGTCGCGTATCAAGCTGGACGATCGTAAGTGACCATCGCTTTCAACGTGAAGTTCTTGCGGATTGCTCCACCTACGTGGTATATTCGAAAAATGGCGATTCTAAGGTTTCGGTAGGTGAAATTGTAACCCTTCCGGACGAATTCAAAATTAAACCTGCACGCCAAAGTCAATTACTACCCCGCAGTAGCGCGGCTGAACGAAAGCACACCAACTTGTAGCCTAGCATTTCCATGTATCTGAATGCATCACCCTTCACTTCTGACTCATACACAACTCGTTGAGTAGCACGTCGTCTATTGCCAGGTTTGGGAAGTTCCGGTGTGCCGAAAAAGCATATCTTCCTACGATGAACAGAAAAACAACAATGAGCACAAGACTGAAGGACAGGGGTTTTGATGTAACCGCCCCGTACCAATTCCGATTATGTAGTTTTGTGAAATTGCCATCGTCATCCAACACATTCGCACGTAACCGCAGCACAGTGTCATCGTTGCGCGCCGGTCCAAAAGGCGTCTCCACTGTAAGAGGGCAGTTTCGCGCTCCCATCACCAACACGGCAAATATATTGTGTAGGCCGCTCACGTACCTTCTGGAATGAATGAAATCTCGTGTTCCCATAAGTTTTGGCTCTCGTCAAAGTCAATTGCTCCGCACAGCCCAACCAGGCGCTCAAAGAGCTTTGGAAGGACAGAATGTGGGAGATGGGCGTGTAGAGAACATTGGACGTTTTTTCCTGCAGAACTGTCCGAGTTGGGCGCAAGTGGTTGGTGCAGAGGGTGACTCGTAGATCCTGAGCGTGAAGCACTCTGAGCGGTTACAAGAGCTTGTATCTGCTGATGGAGAGTTGGCATCCACGACCCATGCCGTATTGAGAGCATTGTCTGCCCTCTGATGCTATGCTCCAATTTGGGTTGATCCAAGTATCAGAGTCGGTAGCAGAGTCGAAGTAATCGTTGATGGGGTAAGCCGATGAGTCATCATCGGCTTGCACCTGCTGTTGACGATCCCTGGCCTGGCCATCAGGAGCACCGGGTGAACCAGCGACGGGGTCATGCTCTACCTCTGTATGGCGTTAACCGTTCCAATACCTTCTACATTCCATTGTCGCAAGCATCCAAATTTTCTTTTCGATAGGCTGTGATAAACTCTAGTTGCGTGAGCGCGACAGTGTGTTGTGACGTAATTGGCTCCTCCTACTGAATGCAAAGGTTCGAGATGGAATCTCTTTTGCAAACCATATTGCAGAAAGCTGCCATTGATACGAATCCGGAGACTCTGGCGGCTGCCCTGCGTCTCGCCGAGGAAATTCGTGCTGCTCGGGACGCCGAAATACGAGCTCTGGAGCTGCGATTGCAGAATAATGAGGCACAATCGCAGGCGCTAGCTTTGGACGTCAGATCAAAAGAGTTGGACTTGGAGTTGTCGCGAACCCGCAACTCTTCAGGGGTGTCGACGGTGCCAGGTGATAATCAAAGCGCTGGACTCGATAAATCCCTTCGCCAACCTCGCGCACATGAGTGGAATTTCAATTCGCCGAGCAGACTAAACCGCGAGGATGAGAAATACCCTGATGTCATAAGTACTACAGGAATCTCGTACTCTGCCGTTTGCTCACAACCGTTTCTTGAGCCTGCGACGCCCCCTACGAGCCAGACATCATCTGATATATGGTCAGCTACATCCCGGGCTACCTTCTCTGCTCCGTCAAACAACGCCACGAACTTGATGACTGCAGTCACACAGAGTGCCACCGGAGAAGTGCCAGTTCAAGGGCATTTCCACATTAACTCTCCTGTGACTGTCGGCAACAGTGACGCTTTGTCTGGCGTTTCTACGAAGGCGATCAGTTTGGTTTCTCCGGTGGAAGGTCAGATTTCTTTACTATTCGGACTCATAGTGCAGGAGATATAACCAGAATCCACATTAGGAGCCGGTCAGCCCACTGTGATGGATCCTACCACATCCTATGGACTCGCGGCTCCGTACAATTACGGAAATCAGACATTTTCGGCTGCAGATCCTTATTCAAACACTTATACAGCGCGTTATAACCGGAATCACTGGAATGATAGCCTTCATGCGCTGTTTACATTTGGTCTAGAAGACTTCGGACATACTGCCATGCCACGCACAAATGAATATTACCTAGCAATGGAGAATTTACCAACAAGAACAGCAGTAACGGCCGATCCCGCGCTGCGCGCTTCTCCTCTAGCGGGAACAACACTACCCGTGTCATACCAGTTAGCACGCGAAAGGGATTCTCCCGCTCGGGACCGAGCATCACTTGAACAGTATCGCCCCCCTGACACATCGGAATCTCCTGAGCTTCCGCCCAAGTTGGTACACCCATCGCCCCCAACATCGCAATCGTCACGCATCCACTCTGCCTCGTCCACCAATCAACGGAAAAAGAAGCAGATAGTTGAGGAAGAGGCTCGATGTCGTCGTTGTGGAAAACTAGTGGCAATTTATCTGCTACATGGTAATGATGTGTCCCTAAATACCACATATCGAATTGACGTTCTGTGTTGCGACTGTGGAGGATGTGATAATGGCACAGGCCAAAGATCCAGTTCAGCTCACACATCCGCACTTGTTCCTGGTTCACGCAAGCGAACGAGTGCCTCCAAAGAGGACGAAAGGGCGGCGTGTGAGGTGTGTAAGCGCCAGGTGGCGATAGGTGGTGTGAGGCTGGTAGGTAAGGAGCATGAAAAGGACCCAAACAGCGATCCGGACTTCGGAGTTGAAATCATTTGCAGGTACGATGTATTCTGGCATTGGCGGTGTCCGGTCGGTTGATCGTTCCCGTATCTTATATTGTTCCATACTGAATATAGTAACTGCCGAAACAAGTATGCTCTTTGTACCGAGTGTGGAGGAGGCGGTAAGGATAATGCGTCGTGTATTGATATTAGTGCCAGAAATTTCTCATAAGGTGGCACTGTGTCAGGCAAATATCGAACTGGAAAATGGAGACCGCTAGGCCTTTTCCAGCCAGGGCGGAGGACGTGCAGGCTACCTCATGTTCGCATAGGATCAACACCAATCCATTTTCAAGAGTGGCTCGTACCGTCGTCATTATCAGCAAATCCGGAAGACAGAAGTCTTGTGTTAAGGGACATTGACAAGTGTGTTCCTTGCATGTATTTCCATCGACTGGCGATACCCGAGGTGATGGAACTTGATCCTCCTAACGAGTTGGGAACTTTCGAGCAGCTACAATATCGCGTAGCCTTAAGATGCCAAAGCCTACGGGACTTTGTTTTGGGTCCTGATATGGAACAGTCTCATGGGCTGCGAAGGTACTTCGGAGCGGCATGGATAAAGCGGGTGTCACGACATTTGAGAAAAGAGCGGGGCACCAAAGGAGCAACTTCAAGACGTCAAGAACCCAGTGAGGGCGATTTCGCTGGTAGCGCAAGCGGGAGGACAGCTGGTAGGGCGCCTGATAGGGAAGAAAATGGGCACCCAACGAAGATGGTAGCAATGCTGATTATGTGGTGGGACATGAAGGCAGGATGTTTGCGACTCGCTGCACTTCAAGCTTTGAACACCGAATTTACAACAGGCGGCATCATTTTTCGAATGTGCCGCCGTGTCATGGAGCGTTGCGTTGCGGATCGGGAAGCTATGGCAACGGCAAATCCTTCTAAGGCACCACCACCCATCAGTATCCTTGGCTTACCTGTGTTCGAAGAGTTTGCTCGATTGCAAGCAGTTCAACATACGCTGGAACGGCTGGGATTTCTCCCGTTGCAAGAATTCGAGCGGCAGCATCCAGAGATAAATCCAGAGGTAATTGAGCGCTCATTACTTGACAGGAACGGCCTATTTGGTGGGCCACCACAATATCCACGAGCATTCTTCGTCGGCAACGTTAAACACCTGCTGGCAGGTCCGTGGGGGAAGGAGAGTAAGTCTGGCAGAGGAAAGAAAATTGAGGACGAATCTGTTGAGCAGTTAGTACAAGCGTTATCGCCATCATAGACGCACCAAGCATAGATTAGTGATGGCTGTTTCTGTGGTACTTTTTGTTTCTGTGCATATCGCACGAATAAGCTTCGATCTTAGAAATCCTAGTTACCGTTCATAGCAACCGGTAGCATCATCTAAGTGCTGGTGATGTGCCTGTGGACCCAGCTGTGCTTCGATCCTCCAACATGGCCTTCTCCGGAGAACTGCTCACAGACAGTCACAAATCCGTCGTTCCCCCTCTCAATTTTGCCATGGTGGCACCAGGTGTATATCGTTCCGGCTATCCAAATAAGAAGAATTTCCCATTTTTGAAGAAGTTGAGATTGAAATCCATCATGTATGTCACGAGATGACCGTCCTTTCCGTGCTATATAAGCATCATGCGTATGCTTTAGGTATCTTTGCGAGGACGAGTATTCTGAAGATACTTTGGCATTTTTGGGCGAATACGGTATCAAAATATTTCATGTGAGAATCTCGGGGAACAAGGTTGGCGTGCATGGATAACGTATGCTACTGGCGAGGATTTGGGTGCTGAACGCTTGTTGTTCGCGTAGGAGCCTTTTGGAGAAATAGACCAAGCGGAAATTGCAGGAGCTTTAGTCGAGGTGCTGGGTTAGTACTCATCGATTTTCGCAGGGTCGAAAAGCCATTGAACTAAGGACGTCCCTATGAAAGATACCAGAAATCATCCGAGTAGGGCATGAATTTTTGTACCGCAGTGCTGATGATTTACATTGACACACCTTGATGAAGTGCTTATCCACTGTAACAAAGGAGCGGTGAGTTGAAAATAGTCATTATGCACTGTCCTTGGCCAGTTTCCTTGAGATATCATGTTCCAGCATCGAGTCGGGTGCATGGTGGGATGTCTTAGAAAACTGCAGAACTGGTCCATGACGTCGATATTCGATGAATATCGTCGATTTGCAGGAACGAAGATTCGAATAGCAGATCAGGAGGTATGAATAATTGAAGTCATAATGGCCCGTTATAGGACCATTCAGATTGATCCGTCATCACATCCAGTTTATCGAAGTTTACTCCGAACCGGTTTTGTATGATGGAGAACACGCCCCAAGCTGGCTTTGATGAGAAAGGTCCTCTGACGGGAGCGTAGTGTATATAGGATTTTAAATTATTAATGACGAGTAAATACAACCAAGAAGCACGGTCTATTTCCTTCCGCTCTGAGGCACCCGCAACTTATCCTGCGTAATGGAATGGGCGAGACTTCTCTCCACCAGCAAGGTGCAGGTGAGAGCCGCGGGGCTTGTCTCCACCTGCGGCTCGTCGCTGCGGTCCTAAAGCTATGTCCATGTACTCTCGGATAAGGGCAGCGAGTTCCGTTGCTTGAGGGGTCGTAAACACGTACTTGGAGCCTGACCGGCGTGTTAGCAAGAGCCATATAAAAGTATTGATCAGTAATTTCAAGTACCTGCAGACTGACTTCCTGTTATAAGTAGCAGGCTGTTTAATGATGGGCTGAAGCTCACTACATCGTTGTACGGGTGCGTGATCAGTGGTGTCTACCAATTAAGTCAACGTCAAGTCAGCGAGCAGAGCGGACGCGAACTTCCACCAACTTTATGTTCGTACCTTTGCAAACCGAGCAAAGATATGGAGGGCTGTTGGACTAACAGCCAGCCAACATGAGCTTGGGATATCCTTGCTATAATTTTGCTGTCAAAGGCACCCAGTTTGATCAGCCAGGTGTGTGCTTGGAAGATATTTTGTTGATGATGCTAGCTGCACTTACCCCAACTTCGAAGATAGTGCATCCATAATACGGCCAAGAACGGATAAATTGTGAAATTTCTGTGTTTGCCTGTAGAGCACTCGTTCCCAGAAACTCCATATGCTTTTCTTCCACCTTTTTTTCTACGCCAACTTGGCGGTAGCGCTGTGGGATATAGCTGGAACACAAATTTTGGTAGTTAACAGGTGCGTCGTAATTGACATCGCCGTAGTGAGCTTGCGCATGCAGAGCGGCAAGGAAGATCCCTTCATCCTCCGTCACGGGGAATACACCGCGAGCGACGTCTGCCAATGCTTGTGCCCGGACCAGCTTTTCTTCCGCATCGGTCTTGCAGGGTTGCAAAGGATCCAAGAATATTCTCTTCTTAAAAACAAAGCGCACATGCTCTGTGCTATTTTCTGCCTTTGCGATCTTTTCCCATCTGTAAAGAGAATCTGCGATCCTCTCCTCCCGATTCAGCGCGCGTTCGATGCCTCCAAAATGTTCATAGATCGCAAATCCATGGAGCGTTTGCAGTTTCACCCTCTCAAGGAGGGCGCTATACACCATTTCGCATGTGTCCGGAGGCTCAATTGGAATTGCACGCGATTGACCATCCATAAGATGAAACCGGATCCGCATTGGAGTTAACTTCGCCGCTTGAAGGGCTTCATCCCTCGATGGCGGGCACTTGCGTGGTCCTGCACCAATGGTCTTGTGCAATGTCCGGAGACAGTGTCGTGCATGTTGGGCTTCTTCCGTACGAGGCTTCTTTGCTTTCATATCAACAACGCTGCAGCGCCGTAGATGTGCCTTCGCGTATTCCAATATCCATCCGCTTGGTGCAAGAACACCCGTGACGATGGACATGAGCTTCCACATATTGATGGCCTGCATGCTGTCAGCCTCAGGATGGTTCGTGGTATATTTGATGAGCTGAAGGTAGAGTTCATTTGCCAGGTATGGTAACTCTAAGCACTTTTCTATAATTTCTTGAAGTGCCGGGATATTGCCAGTTGCGACATCCGGCACTAATCCACCAACAGTGCCGATGAAGCTGTGAAGCGCTGAATGGCGAAATTGTCCACTGAATGAGAACACAACAAGCAAAGGATGAAAAGATAATGCGTAGTCCCATCAACATACTGTTGGATGCTTCCGCGGCCCACACCTCCACCTCTGGGTCTGACAATGAGATCAGCGATGTCACCAATGGTTTCTATGGAGTGTTATAGCTTGAGACTGCTTTGCGTGCACCCAGAACTTCAGACGAGATACAATACCATTGAGAAGCTCCAATCGGCAGTTGTGTAGTCTTCAATGTTGCCCTGGTTTACTCCAGTGTCCTCCACTGCTGGTGTCTGGGCGAACGAAGGTGATCTGACAATAGATTCATCAGAAGCCGGTCCTTCATCCGATGCTGTCCTCTCTTGATCATCTGTTGCCTTCCGGCTACCAGTGCTTAATTTGCGCTGCAGGGTAGTATTTGCGTCCAACCCACTTGAAGCGGTCGCTGGTTTGTTACGCGAGCTGGTAGTAACCAGTCTGCGGAGTGGCGACCATTTACCCCGCTTGCTAGGACCACCATCTGGTCCCGGTCTTCGCATGATGCCATGCTCTAGTAAGGCAATCCTGTATTTTTCCACATCGCGGAGTAACGAAGCTATATCCATATCCTGCACATATGACTCTTTCACCTTTTTCATGTACTCAGTAGTTGGGCAGTATTCACGGATTAGGCCGACTATCTCATCGGCCTGATCAGTAAAGAATTGATACACTTCAGTGGACTCAAACTCGGCGTCGTCGCTCGCAGGCACGGCCATAATGGTGACCAGCCCATTCTCATGCTCGTAACTTTTGACGTCTTTGTATGCGAAACTAAGAATCGTTTCATTGGTGCGTGGATGAACAAAATCAATGCCCTCATTGAACACGGCGAGCAGAATACTTTCACTGTAGGGCCAGAAGCCCTTATGCTGTTGATAAACAAAGCGTGACGTGCATTAGACGAAGAGTAATTCGCATTAAGGCCAAATGGAAGACACACCTTGACAGGGAAGAGGGCGGCACCGTAGTGTTTGAATTCTTTCACAGATTCCAAATACAGCACCTTTGCTTGCTCTGCTGTTGTGCCGCGTAGCTTTTGATATTGCTTCACTATTCCTTGAACCCATGCTTCGCGAGGCTGATTAGGCACAAGCCGGGGTGCAACCCACGCATTGAGTTCTTTAACGCTAGAAAGGTATTTGCACTGAGTACGACTATAAACACACTACCAAGGTTGCTTCTGGGGAGTAAGGCACTTACAATCTCGCTTCAGCAGATGCCGCATCGCAGTCGCCAAGGAGGACCTGAGCTCTCAATGCTGCCATTTGCATTGCAACGCGCTCTGTAATGGGATACAGATCTCTTGCCACACCATCGACAGCTTGTGCATATAAAAGTGCGTATTCTACAGGATCTGTTACCTCCTCATGAATGTTCCGGAAAACACGTTTTTTCAATACAAGACTCGCATCGATGTTAATTGCTACGTAAATGGGAAGAGATAAGAATAAAAGATTTGGATTCCGAAGGTCTTTTTGGTACCTGGTGACATTGACGTTTCTCCTTTCTTTCTGCGAATTGTACCCCCTGCATCCTTCTTCTTAGGGTCCTTGTCTTTATCCCAGGCCGCAATGAAATCCGCAATGTAATCGGTTGCTTTGACCGCCCTATCGCTTCGCAAAGTAACCTCGAACAGGGACCAGCCAGTCGAATCCCTCAGCTCAATTTTGCGTGCAATGTCCTTCACGATATCCCCGGCCGTTGTCGTCAATCCCACTGCAATATCCAATTCTCTACCATCCAGCAGACTAAATCGACACGGTAACACTCCCCCTGACTTTAGTGTGATAATTTCCAATGTTGAAGGAGGGTTCTTGCGAGCACCGTTCAACATCACGCGTTTAACGGCCTCTTCGGCAGCGATGGCCAACTTTCGCACTACATGTTTCTCCTGAGTAACGTAGTGATCAATTGTTCTATGAACAAATCCCAAGAGGAATTTGGCAAAGATCTTTGACGGCGGAAAAGAGGCAGCGGCCAGTGTGAGAACCTGCCATCCGTTGACCATCATTTGTTCCCAGGATTTTGGTAGAGTTTCTTTTGGTGGGGTTACTTGTTTGATCATCTGAACAAATAGCTCGTCGCGGATCTCTGGGTTATGGATACCATTGCCGATATAAGCTTGGATAAGTTCTTCGGCTTTCTTTGCCCCTGGCTCGGTGGCCTTCATGAGGACTAGAGAGAACAAAGGTAAGCTTTCTTCAATATGCCATGTCACACTTGGAAGCAGTATCATACGCTTAAAGCTGTCGACAGCAAGGTGATCCAAAGCCTCTGTCTTGTTTGGTATCTTCGTCATACTCATCGGTATAGGGTTCTGTTGATAGCGGGTTTACATCAGGTGCACATCATGGAAACAAGGCTACCATTATAACCTTTGTGAAAGAAAGCATCTCCTGCATATCCACCGTCTGGCGCTTTTTGGTAATTGTGGCAAATGCATTTGCTTTAAGGTGTTGCTATGCGGGGGGGGGGGGGTGTCAACCATTGACTTTCTGCCACAATGCATAGTTCATCATAGTCTTACTTCAAGGTGCTTTTGCGCGTAAACCTCCATTGAGAACTCTCGGGAGTTGTAATCTATCTTCTCAACCAAACTTTCTTGAGATGCCTAGAGCAATAAATAAATAATAAGCTATCTCCTCCGCAGCACATTGCAACCATTATTGTTTTTCTTGCCTCTCTCTCCTTCATGATCGGATTATGCTTCATCACCTTTCCTGTCCCCGTCGCAAGATCATCTCTGGAAGCATTAAGGCTCGCCACGCTCTGTCTAGGCGTGGCTTTTTGTTCCACAGGTTGAGGCCTTACGCCTACAGATTGTCTTCCAGCTACCGATTGTCTTCCAGCCGGAGCGGCAAGATTCGTCACACTCCTGTTGACGGCTCGGTGGGGAACGATAGATGGGGGAGGTTCGTCAAATAGAGAGTCAATGTCTGCCGTGAGGGCGGCAGCCATTTCGGCCAGTACATCGGCCCCCTTTATTAGGGCTGTGCGCTTCGTTGGGTCAAAGTCGCCCAGGAAAGCGAAAAGGTTATCAATATCTCCGCCTTCTTTTTTGGCGGCAGCTGGTGTGACCGACATCGCAAGGTCGGTCGGCAGTGCCGAAGGGGTCGTTTCCTAGTTGCTTCCGTGAGACCAACAATTCTGACATTTGATGAAATCATGGGTAAAACAAGGACATTACCTTCTTTTTATTGACCACTTTTGCGAAGCCAATAAGCTATATAACACCTACAGTGTCAAATGGTGCAGCTAACAACGCGGAATACAAACTACTTTACCTTTTCACCGTCTTCCCTAGATGCTGGAAGTGACGCTGGTGCTTCACCAACGCTAGCTCGCCGCTGTCCAATATCGCTTAGCTTGGTTGCTTCTGGAACTTCCAATTCTATTTCGGCGGCTCGCTTCTCCGCCATCCTCTTTTCGGCAACCTTCTTTTCGGCTGCCCTCTTCTCCGCAAGCATCTGTCGGTAATAATCTCGTGCAAACCACCCTCGGGCTACAGCCTGTATTTTGAGAATGGCACGACTGGTCCTCTTGTACCGCCTCTTACAGATAAAGCCTTTGATGTAGGTTTGCAGAACCCTAGCGGCCTTGAGCATTCTGAGATACCGCTGCCGGTACATGTATCCCAGCATGCATTTTTGGAGTAGAACAACCTTTGCTCTCAAAACCTGTGCCGCACGGTCTTGAATGGCGGCAAGGGTCTCTTGCTTCAAGAAGAGTTTGGTCTTGCCGGCCTGCCACGCACCATCACCAAGATTTGCTTCAGCGGCTATCCCAATAGATATCTTTTTCACGTCCTCCTTTTTGTAGACCATTCCAGCCGGTATGAGACACTTGAATTCTCGCACGAATCCGTCATATGGGAGCCTCATGGGATATCCAGCTTTTCGGATGCGGATGGTGTCAAGCATACCAGAGTACCTCAACTGGGCCAAGACCATATCATCATCAAAATGGAAGGCTTCCTTCTCTTGATTGGGCTTGATGCAACGAACATAATGTGGTGTTGTGGCAGCAAGCGTTGTAACAAGTGAAACGAGTTGATTCCGAAATTGGGTGCCAGCTGTTGGTTTACCGCCCCGTGGGCCTTTGCCGGAATCGTCCTTTTCCTCCTTGGGGAACACCTTTGCAATATATGGTACCTAGGGAGATTTCTGATTAATGCGTGAGCACATGGTGCGCAGACAAGCATCTCTATTACCGAAGACCCTCGGACCAGTTCATACAACTCCTCTTGAATTGCATCTTTGTTCTTGTCCAAGAAAGAAGCAACTGTGTAATTTACCTGTCGATGAAAAAGTGAGCCTCCTCATTGTGCGGATATCGTCCCATGTTCCCGTCCGCGACTTACATCTCCGGCATAGTGCCTTACGCCAAAAACACCTTTCTGAGTTTTGGCCTTGATATAGTGAGGGTGCTTTAGGTGGGCTTGATCAAGTTTGCTTAGCCAAGAGTCGTCTGTGCCTTTGGGAAAGCGAGTTTCTTCATCCAGGAGGGAGAGAATGCCAGCGGGTTTGGCCTGTTGACGACGACAGTTATTAGCGGGTCCGGTTTGGAAGCGGTCACTACGGCATATTATACCTCAATGAGTTCCAAACACAGTGCGTTATCTTGGAACTGAATCTTGTCCCATTTGATATCCTCTTTGTCGTACTATGAAGAAGTTAGCGGGCGACCAGGATTTTCAGAGTAGCTGCCTCAAACCATCATACCTCCTCTTGCTCGATTTTGAAGATGAATTGATTGAAAAACTGCTGTAATTTCTCGTTCGTGTAGTTGATGCAAAACTGTTCGAAGCTGTTCAGCTACGACAATGAAGAACACGGATTCAGTCGTCGTGCGCGGAGCGGTTTCTTGCACTATTACTGCCAAACCTTAAACACTGTAAAGCAAAAGATGATTGTTAATGCATTGTGGAGCACTAGAATTCGAATTGCTCTACACAACAAACCTTCGAAACCGAAGATGTCCAATACACCAACGAAATTTGCCGGTTTTTCTTTTGGAGTTAATGATTTGTTTATGAACTCCACCAATCTCTGGAAAAGACTATCGTACACCGCTTTTGCAAACGAATCTCTTGTATCATTGGCCTGGGAGCGACACTAGGTAGTCTTCCTTCTAGTACGCTAACATACACTGTACTCTGTTACCTGGTTGAGCTTGTATGGGACCATAGATGTTTCTCCGCGAATCACCAATTTCTTAAAGCACAGAGCGGTCTTCAAATGCTCTCCATTGATCCCCATCAGTGAGGCAACCTTTTCTATCACATCCATGTTGCGGACTTTGACCGACTCTTTGTTATCTTCCTCCTTAAATTCAATGTTTCCAATCCACAAGATTGCAGAGAGGGCACGGAAAAGAGCATCTTGATCTACTGGTGACATCTTCAACACAGTCAACGCCAGCTTCAGTCCTTCAAAGTTTTTGGAGTCATCGACGTAAGGTATTTCGATGCATCCGCTTTGATTGAGATAATAGTAACTGTCTGGTGCCTCTAACATGTACGACTGTCTTTCCGCATCGTTTACTCCAGCGACTAGCTCGTAAAAGATGTGGTAGTTACGTTCGTCCGGCGCTTGCTTTGCAATGCGTGATTTCTCCAGCAGATAATTTACGATAGAGGCGCCAATGATTTGGGAGGACCGGTTGAAGTTTATTTGAATAAACTTACCGAACCGAGAGGAGTTGTTATTTCGTACGGTTTTGGCGTTGCCTTTGTAGCATTTTAAGGAGAATATGATGAGACTCCAATGTGTCTGTATTCAAATACTGGCCCATCCGGCAGTGTAACTCACCAAAACTCTCCAAAACTGTGTTGGCCTCCAAAATCTGCTGTTCAACCCATGACTCTTGGCTCTCTTTCGAAGTGACAGTGGTCAAGTACTGCAAGATCACTTTGGTGCTCTCCGATTTCCCAGCTCCAGATTCGCCGCTGATGATAACCGACTGGTTGATTTTGCTGTTCCGTACGTTTGCATAGGCTGTCTCGGCAATGGCGAAAATATGTGGCGGATTTTCGTTGTGGCGGCGATGTGTATATTGCTTGAGTATTGGCTGTGGATGATTGTTGTGCGTATCATCAGTACAGAGTTTGCATCACGGCGGTAATAGCGCCAATTACTTACGAGGTTATATATGTCCATCTTCTCAAAAGGGTTAAGGGCCACGAGGATAGAGCCTGTGAATGTCTAAATCGGAGACGAATCGAGTTCAAACGGTTGCTCATGGCCACATAAACACCGTAGTCACCATCTTCTCACATATATTTTCCTCGCAGCGTATCTCTTCTTTAGGTTCTCCATAATTGCCCCCTCGGTCAGCTCCGACAGCGTTGTCATATCCTCCACGGTGTCCGCTACAGGAGCGACGTTGGGACATCAAGGCACAAGTGCATGATATACAATCCATCAGATATAATTCGGAAAGATGACAGCGATAGTGGGACGGACGGGGATGACACAATAATCAGTCGCTGGTAAGCACTGCTCGCATCTGCTTCTCTCCAATGATGGGTAACATGCTTACCCATTTTGCCTGTATACTGGGTTTCTACTTCTTAGCTTGTCTATGTACTCCTGGCAGCAAGTCTCTTGCTGCAGCCTCTTAAAAGAGAAGGCCCACGGAAGAGCAAATGGGTGAGAAAATGGGCCGATCAAAGACAAGAGTCGATTCACAGCAAAGACCCAAGGTGTCAACTACATGAATTGGATCTTTCCTGGATCTTTCCTGTGCATAAGCCAAAATTCCTAAGTTTTCCAAAATAGTAACACTAGCTTATGTATGCCTTTTGAGTTACGTGTAGTAGTGATCGGAACCGCTGCATTGGGGTCAACATAAACGTGCCGTGGAAACATGCAATAGTCCATTGGGATGAGAGAGCACATGGGACGATGTGACAAAGGGAGTATGTCTCTCGGCCTGCATATTGGGCTGTCAGTTAATATGGGATATGCTCAAAGTGCATCGGAGATTTCTTACTTAAGCAAGCCGTAGTCATTCGACCCTTGCGTGCTGGATCTCTGGATATGAACTGCTAAAAAGAACTATACTTAATGGCAGAATATGAGAACCGTCAGGAGAGCGAGGAATCCCATTGCGGTATATGTCTTGGAGGGACCATTGAAATTATTTTGTCGATTTGCGGGGTCATGACGATGGGATGAAATCTGTCCGTCGCATGTGCGAGTAACGGGCTATTGAACTCTATTTATTGCCCAGTACTGCCCTACTCTAACATACACAATGCCTTGTTACCACGCCCTTCCACTTTCTAGTGTAATATAAGATGTCCATGCCGATCGTTTTGTTTCCTTGGCCGCAGCAGCATCAACCGATGACGCCATTTCTCGCTTACACCTGCTCCAGGTTCTTACAAAGTCAGAAAGAAAACAGATTAGGAGCAAAGTCAACGAGTATATTGCCAAAAAAGAAATGAACAGAAGATCATAATTGGTACATTCTATAATACAAATACTTGTCCACGAAAATGCTGGGGCTTGTACACCGCCCCATTTCAGCTGAATACTCAGACAGCCTTATTGGCGAGAACCACCCATTGGAATCCAGGTCTCTTCATTCCTGTTCAACCGTTCAGTCGACACAGAGGGTGTTCTTTCCTCATCATTCCTCAGACTTTCCTGGCCCATCGGTATTGCATATTCCCCAGTTCCGTCCTTGGTTGCCCCCTGCATATGCTCCCCATTGCTAATTGCCCCGCCTCCTACGCCATCAAAATTATGGCCACGACTCACCCCAGTAGCCAACCGGTCGGTTTCAGCAGCTCCTCGTTGGTGTGGTTGCACCACGTCTTCAATAATCGCGCAATGGTATCGGTAATTGTAGGTTGCGACGATGGCACCAACAATTCCGCCGACAAAAACGTCTTGCCAGCGATGCCAGTAGTCATCAACGCGGGATATTGAGATGAGGAAGGCTAATATAATAGGTAAAATCGTAATGATATATTTTGGTGCGAGTGGAGCACGTTTAAAATTGAGATGCCGTGAAAGGTAAAGTGCTAGGAAGCCAAGGCCAGCCCAAGAGACTAATGACGATACTATCATCAGCCTTACAGGAACGATGCCAAAGGTGGATGACTCGATACATACGACTAGAGTGTCCACTGAAAAAGCTCTTTCTGCCTTCTTTGACCTCCTTTTCGTCACCAGTACAGTACGCCACCATCCGTAGGGGATCATTCTCGACAAGGACGGGTTTACATCGGCTGAGAAAGTCTGGCCGCAGTCCACCAGTGGTGATTTTAACAACTTGGGTGAATAGGAGAGTGAATGCCAAAGCAACGCATAGTCCTAGCGTGTATATGCGCAAACAAGCGTGAAACAGTCAACAGATGGTAAATAAAAAGAATGACGCACCACAGCCCTACCTAACAACGACATGTGAGCGTCAAATACACTCCTCTTGAATAGCAGAGATATAACCAATATGAAAACAACGGGCACTCCCACAGCCAGAACAGCCAATAGCCAGCTTGGCACAGTTTCATTCTTGTGAGGATATGCAATGGAAATGTCGGAGGCGAAAGCGACTCGCTGAAACGGCTGGACTAGTTCCAAAAGTGCAGCAGCGAGAGCCAATAATACAACGGCAACTATGGTGGAATGTGTAAAATGAATTAACAAAAAATTCAAGTGCATCAACATGCTTCACAACGTACCCCACTCCCAAATACATTCTTTAATGAGATGCCACAGGTTGTTTGTGTGTATTGCATACAGGACGTGTGCCCGTGCCGGCATGTTGAGTGGTGATATCGACCGTGAAGGAATAGTGAAAAAAGAAGAAGAGTTGCTGGCAGCCTTCCCAATGGCGTTGAAGAAGAGTTGGAAAGCAAGGCGGAGGAAAACGATCGGAGTCTTCCTTTTATCTAACCGCTGATGTAACTCACGTGGTGAGTAAACGTCATTGTAACGTACCTTCCATTGTGGAATTATTCTTTTTTATTGTTTATGTTCATATGATGCCATTAGGCAATGCAAGCGAAAAGGTAACGAGGATAACGTTGTTGTTGGTTATCCAGCAGGTAAACGACGAATCAAGTGGACATTGCTTTGTTCATACTAGTAGCTTTTTGTAAAGCTGTTGGCTCGTGTTGCTTCCAGCAGTTCTTGTGTACTTGTTGAGGACTGGCCATAAACCACCAAAAGAGGGACTACAAGTGTGCTTGATGCATGTAAAAGACAGGATAGAATCTCCACGGGCCTGATCTCGTTGCCCCTGGGGGGATCGCTCGTATCGCTCAGGCATATGCAGCTAAAGCGCCTTTTTCCTGTGCATTATGTGTGACACCTCTAGTTCATGCCAGATGCATCTAATAAACTCTCCACAAACTTTTTATTTTCTCAATGATGGCTCCTTTTTGAAAGTATTTATTGAGCCTGTTGAAGCCAATTCTCTCAAGGAAAGGGCAAATACGTGCAGAAAACGAACGCTGGGACCCTTGTCACGCAAATGTTAATGTGGCCGCTAAACAGCATTAGGGGTTACGATATGCAAACAATAAAAAGGAATCAAAGAACGCTGGGGTTTCATGTCTTGGTTTTCGTTGCACGTCTTCCATCTGCGTGTCCCTGTGGGGGTCGGCAAAGTCTGAGAGACATTGCAAAGCAGGCATTGTAACAACGTCAGCGCTGGTTTCTTTCCTTGATTTAATGCATTGTCCACATCCTGTGACTGTCTGCTCTGCTTCGACTATCCTTTGCTTCTATGGCCAGTATGACATGCGCAGGCAGGCTTGGCTATCTCATCGTGCAGCACAACAAATCTCACATCTTACCCGATGGAATTGACGGATCATAATCCCTTTGGCAGTTCACATCGTGGTTGTCAATACAAAGTACACTACCGTTCCGTCGCAGTATGCAAGCTAATCCGTGTGTGAAGCGAGTCTTCCTTGGAGGTGACAATCCACAATACCAGCGCACAACAGTGCCCATGTCATCTATTCCAATGACTCTGCATGTTAATGAAATTATACCACTTTCGACACCATTTCATATAAAGAGGATGATGTGCCGTTTAACCTCCTTTGACACAACTTGGCCTGAGCGGCTGGAAGATTCATACGTGTTCCTCGCGTAGCCATCCGGAGTACGTACAACTCTCCAATCGCAAGCAGTGGGATAGCAAACGACTGAAAAGCCCTTTAAACTTATCCAAGATGAATTGGGACCGCTGGCGTCGTCCTTGGCTATTAGAGAGATGCTTCTTGCACTAAAGGAAGCCTTTTTCGCGGGAGACGCGGCAATGTCGTCGGGTGAGTTACTTGCATTCCCCTAATCCGAGCAGCAAGACCCAAAACCAAAATCTCTACTCGTGTGTTCTTGCAAACTGCTGGAGAAACTGCTGGAGAAAACTGCATCGAGTTTGGAAAAAAAAAGATGGGCAGGAAAAGAAAGGACGAAGGCCCTTTTATAGCGTGGGTCACGGGGGCGTCCAAGACCCCCTTTAATTGAAGGGCGCAAACCTACTTGCTCTTTCGACGTGCCATCTTGCTCTCCATTGCCTTCCAACAACACTCGCCCACACGTTACAATTACTAGCGGTGGACGGGACTTTTGGCGACTCCTCATAGCGGGACGTCAGGTATCCTGCGGTAAGCGGCAGCAGAGATTCCAGAGACACATCCTTTATCTTGGGCGTTTCAAAGAAGCGGCACGGCACGATTTGACAAAGTCACCCCACCGATGGGTGCAGAGTTGCTTGACGCATTATTCTCTCCTCAAGCGCTTCTTTGGAGTATCATTGTTGACGCATCGCCAGTGTATTCATTAGCCTTGGAGGACTGTTCGACTCAGCTTTCCACGCCGGTTCGCGCGGAGCTGCGACCTTCGGAAAGCCCGTCCTCTGGCAAGATGATAAAACTTTGAGAGGCATTTCATTCTCGTTACAACGTTGTCATGGACCCCACTATGACTGCCGTCTCGCCCTCTGCTTCCGAATTCCAGATCATTACCATTGGAGATGATCACCAGCCACTCTCCCCGTCCGAAAGGCCTACAGCTTCGACTCCTTCATTCTCAGAGTTACCATTACCAGCAACCGCACCACAGCATCATGGACGCTTAGGAACGCCTTATCAAACTATGCCTGGGGGGTTGTCGGTGTCGACGCTCAACCGAATGACGCCACCAATGGCAGCCCCACCACCACTTTCTTCGACGCCAGGCTCTTCTTCTCACTCTGAACTCGCATCGTCGCCAGGCACCAGGACATCACTAGGTCGGAGGAAACGACAATCCTCAAGCCAAATCCCAATCATGGTCCCGCCACCGGCCAATTCCATTGGAGCTCTTTCACCGTCATCACAGGTGCGTATTTTGTTTTGTTGCAGTATCACAAGGTCGAACTAAGATCGCATGCGTTTCTTAGGGACCTCCGCCATTGTCACCCCCTCCGAATCAATATCAGGCTCGTCAGCGAACATCTGCCGCATCACCTCACAACAGCGTAACCTCACCATTGTCCGCCAGCACGACACCCAGGTTGTACGTCAACACACGGCCACCACTAGCCTCAACCGAATACAACGTAAACAGCGCCTCTAGCCGCAGTCCTAGTAGCGGCGCGATGACCGGCGACCAACCATCTTCCCCCTCCCCACTGAGCAACCCAAATCTGCAACAGCTGGAACGAAAGCGACAGTCATATATATACGCCAAATACCGTAAGCAGTACAATCCTTCGGGTCCTAAGGCTGATCTCAACCCAGACCGCGAAAGAACCTTCGTGCGAGTACGAAATTGGCCGGAGAAACGTACGACTTTGCGTCCATCTGGAAGTGTACCGGTATGGTCCATGGTCGTCACGCAGCTGAGATCTCTGTCTTACCTTTTATATGTCCCCACCTTATCATGCAGAATGTCTACCGCTTAACTGCCCATTTGCTGACAACCTATGTTCGTATCAATCCGGATTTTTGCTACCAGTCTAACCATAATCCACGACGGGTCTTGACCAAGCCATCTAAACCAATGCATAACCACGGGAGGGATAATGAAGATTGGGACTATTTGCTCTATGTAAATGATATCATTGGAAGTCAGGAAGGGCGTCAGTGAGTATGCCAGCTGCTCGAGTATGGACACGCGCCATCCCCTAATTGGTCTTTTATTCAGGTATCAAATTATGGATGTCTTGGGTCAGGGTACTTTTGGTCAGGTCGCCAAGTGTGTGAATATCAAGACCAAAGAAGCAGTTGCAGTGAAGGTCATCAAGAATAAGCCCGCTTATCATAACCAATCTTTGATGGAGGTAGCAATTTTGGAACTGGTACGGTTCGTGCATATTAGAACCGCTTTATCTACAGAGACTGAATATGACTTCTCATTGTACAGTTAAATCTCACCTTTGACCCAAACGATGCGCATCATGTTGTCCGAATGAAGGATCACTTTATCCACCACAACCACCTCTGCATCGTTTTTGAGATGCTCAGCGTCAATCTTTACGAACTCATCAAACAAAATCAATTTCGCGGCCTGTCAACCAATCTGGTCCGCATCTTTATTCGACAGGTACTGGATGCCTTGACCATCCTCAATAAAGCGCGCATCATACATTGCGATTTAAAACCTGAGGTAAGTTTTTTCATCACAAAATTGGCATGACCCAGTAATGCACCATTTTAACACGGGTTTTGCCTCGTAGAATATCTTACTAAAGAAGTGAGTACAGATGTGTGGCCCCGAATTTCTAGATCTAGTGAACGCTCACGCTATTTCAGCTTGGAGTCACCCAATATCAAGGTCATAGACTTTGGCTCTGCATGCCATGAGAATCAGACGGTGTACACGTACATTCAGTCGAGATTCTACAGATCTCCGGAAGTTCTGCTCGGATTACCGTAAGTATTGAAAGGCTCAATAGTATCTGCTCCGGGAACTGGACACATCGCTGCCATTAGGTATACTTCCTCGATCGACATGTGGTCTTTAGGGTGCATCGCTGGCGAGCTTTTCCTAGGTTTGCCACTATTTCCGGGAACTTCAGAGTACAATCAAATAGGACGCATTGTTGAGATGTTAGGGTACGCACGACATGGAACGGCTCGATCCCGTTGACGCAGAAATACTGACTGTTGGCATAGACCCCCACCCGCATATATGTGTGAGAAAGGAAAGTCAGCACGTAATTTCTTCAATAAGAACTTTGGGCCTGATGGAAGAGTGACATACGCATTTAAAACTCCTGAGCAGTACATAAAGGTACGGGCTTTCTGTTGCTACTGCGGCGCGCTGATTATTATGTTGAATTCGCTGTTACTCCGCCAGGAGAGTGGAACCTTCGAGCAGCCTTCCAAGAGGTATTTTACCGGTACCACCTTGGAAGAGATCATAAACCAGTATCCAAGTGTGCGAAAAGGGGCTTCCCCCGAAGATCTTGAAAAGGGTTAGTGCCAAATGTCATTGCACCGATCGACGTGGTTGGACTCACCCGCCGTCATTGGATACAGAATCGCAGCAACGCCAATGTTTCATCGATTTCCTTAGCGGTCTTCTGACCTTGAATCCTTTTGAGCGATGGACTCCGCAACAAGCCAGACTGCACCCCTTCATCACAGGTGAACGATACACTGGTCCGTTTTTGCGCTCAGGCGCGCGCACAACGACGCCACAACTCCCTACCCCACGCGCGCTTTCACCGTCGTCAGACTCCGAATATCGAGAACCCGCTAAACGACGACCACGCGCTAACACCATTAGCAGCTTACAAGAAACTCTACCCCCTCAGTTGCAGAGATTGGCCGCTATCCATCAACGCGGATCGAATGACGTCAAACGGAGCAGTGGGCTGAAAATGGAAGTAGATTTGTCGCCGAAGGACATGGAAACGGATGAATCTCTGGCCATTGACGAAGCGGCTCCGGCCGACGAATCGTCCTTGTATCAGCCATTATCTGAATCTGCTCAACGAAGCCATGACGTGAGATCTCCGAAGGATAGTTCTGCTACCCCGATGGAAGTTGACAATCCTAGAATTTCTACGAGCCCCTACTCGCGATCTGCGAGCGATCGTGAATTTGTGAGCGCACGGCAAAGTACGGTATCGTCACCCAGCACCCGATCCTTTACCAGCAATTTGACGACAGTGGGAGAGGATGGAACGACTGACGGACTTCGAAGCGTCAGTGTCTCCCACATGGCAAGCACAATCGATGATAGCGCACATACGTCACCAAGTCAAACTCTACTGCAGAGTAGTATCGAAACAGACTCTACACCCATTGTTGGCATCAGCGTACTATCATCAAATCGTCCGATCTCTGCGGGACATGATGAACAAGCGTTAGATCCATCTGTGGGTGGGTCTACTATGGAAAATGATCCTGCTTTGCAGCAATATGAGGATGGCTCAGGAATGCGTCAAGTTGCAGAAAGCATGGCCGACATTCGCATAACACCTTGCTCTGCTAAGCTGAACCAAGGGGCGAGTGCGACAGACAAAAATGTCGCAGAGACAGGAGATACCCTTCATCAGGATCGTCTCAATGAAAAGGCGCATACTCACCGTACTGTTCAAGAGGATGTGGACGAGGTTCACGGTCCCCCTGCGCTTACCAGCGGGGGCGGTGTAAATCCAGGAGTCTATCATACATACGATCTGTTGCAGCATGGGGGACAAAACGTAGCAAGGTCGACATTAGGGCCCATGTTGTCAGGCTATCCTTTGCGGAAGGCCCGCTCGCAAATGATTGATCAAACGGAGAGCGACCCAAGGTCACCAGAAGGGTATAGCTCGGCGATGGCATTGGCGGCATCGAGCGCCGGATTTTTTCCATGGAATCTTTTGACGCGGGGGTCGGGAACCTCCCAGTCCCAAAGTGTCTCGTTTTCGGATGATAATTTGTCTCTTTTGATTGGAGATGGGCATCCTCGACATGGCGAAACGGGCGAGCGAAGCGCGTTACCTTCCAGGCGACCGTCCATGTATAGCTCAGTCGAATGGGATCCTTTTGGCGATTTAGAGCGGGGCGCATCGTCGGCCACTGGGAGTCATCAATCAAGTCGACGTGGATCTGCGGATGTCCGAGTACATGGTGAAGACCGATCGCTGCATACTAATGCGAATGTAGCTGGAGGAGTGAGACTGTCTGTTGGAGATCCGAGGGTTACTGGTGGACTTGGTGTAGAACAGGTAGCTGCACAAATACGAAGAGGATCAGCACCTCACGGGAGTGTCGGAGGAACGGAAGATCGGTCGTTGAATCAGACGTCGAGCTTCTCAAGTATGCCGGATTTACTACAGAGATGTCACAGTCACTCAACGTCCGGGCATGCAGGGTCTAAGGGTAGCGGTGACGTCGCAAGAGCGCCAGACGTGCCAGCGAGACGGACATCGATGGTAGCTGTGAATATGGGTCTTCCTATCATGGAACCTTTGGAAGTCGCGTATGGTGCCATGCCTGGCGGGTATACAGCAACTCGGTACCATGATATCGCATGGGGTAATCATAACGGACAGGATGAAGGGGGTGGTAGGGTGTCGCAACAAGTCCATGGAAGGGCGTACAATGGGTCCGCGGATTCCGCACGCGACAATGTAGATCCCCAATACCAACGACGCTCACCTGGACGAAAGTATTCAGCTTCAGGACCACATTATGCGCCTGCCGAGTGGGTTCAGATATCGCGGAATAATTCTCCCAATCCACCCTCATTCGTACCAGTCGCGGCCACCGAAAGCTGGAGACAACAACAGGGAATGCTGCCAATGCATTACCCACCAGCACACCATCGACAGGTTGAACCGTTGTATAATGGTGCAGGGCCATCCCTTCCTGGGTATAGTGCTCTTTCCGCCACAACGTCCTCGGCTCTCAATGGTGCGCTATACGAGAAGCGACATTCAGCATCTTCGATGGCTGCTGTGGCAGCCGCATATGGTGATCCGGCAGTTGTTCACACTGGACGAAGTGAGGCCATCTATGACAGCCTGTCGCATTATCCCAGTGGGGGATACACGACAAGCAACGGTGGCGACCTTGCTACCCGAGTGGGCACAATATCCCCGCGAAATCCGCATGATAATTCCTATCGGGGTACTGGGACAGGTATTGCAGAGGTACCCAGCACCGCTCGACAGGAGTTGGAATCTGATCCGTCTGCCCAAATTCATCCGTTTCATGTGGCAAATATGGCTCATCATTACGGAGGAAATCTGCCAGATGACCCGTACTCAACGCCATCATTCGATGCTCCAATACCATCGGTTGGCTATCACCACACCCGAATCTGGCCGCGCGTGCCACCTACTACCCAGTATTCTAACGTAGCTTGGGGCGCTGGGGTAGGAACACCAGAAGACCTAGAGCAAAGAGGAGGAACAGGTAGGCAAGAGTCGCACAGCCATCTTTCCTCTGTGGTCAACAGTAGTCCAGGATCCCATCTCTACCCGATTCCATCTCCTACGGGTTCACCGGCTGGCGATTTGTATCGAAAGGCTAAAAGCATGAGTTGGGGAAGCCTATCCACTGGGCTCCTTGGCGGCAGCGCCAAATCAACGACAACCGAGCGATCACGTCACAGTACCGGTCTTGGCTTGGGCGCTGTCTTGACAGGACACAGGGTGGCGAATAGCGGTGGCTCAAGCATGGCAACGTCACCTGCATCTCCGGCCTCGTCGGTTGCAGCTCTGGATCCTGGTGGGTATATTAATGATGGATCTACAGGGGAGAGATCCGACGAATCTTGGTCGCGGCGACGACGACGAAGTGAAGATGAGGAGGTTTAGCTAGATAGGTAGGAAGATATAAAAGTTTGGAATTAACAATAGGGGGCTCTAAGACACGGTTGAGAGAATGTGACTTTTGACCTAGACAAACTACGCTCTGGTCTGAGGGAGCTGTGTGTGTGTGGAGGCCGTGGTAGCTTTGTATGCGCTTGTTTTTATTTTTATTGGAAATGAATTCACACAGACAGCCTGCTTTCAAGTGGGTATGCCTATGGATCTTTTGGCCAAAAACGTTCTTTTATAACTTTCGGCAGTTGCTGAGGATATTTGAACAGTTTTGCATTCCGTTCCAGTCCGACATGAGTATCCAGCAATACTATGAATCGTCCCAATGCAAACTCTTGGATGTCAGGATGGCGACCAAAAATATCCAAGACTGTACTTCCGTGGTAGCAATTAAGCCCGTTGTTAAGATGTTGCTGGTCGTTACCGGTTTCTGATTTTCTAATTTACAAATGCCGTAATTCAGAGGTGAACTTGTTTCGTTGGCCAGTACATAAACTCCACTACCTAGAAACTATCTCTTCCTGAATACAAGAATCAGACGAGCAAATCATTGACCACCCCATCCCAACCAGTTCTTCAAAAAACCGTCCACCACATCCTGCTAGTGTGATATAATGTTATCCCATAGACAAGGAAGGAACTTTTCAGCTGCATCTTTTGTACAAACCTTTTCTCCCGGCTTTCCGTTAGATTGACGGGGTGCCAGTTCACTGTGCCTGTTTAAGCCCTCGGTTGACGGCGATAAAGCAGAGTTTGGAGTCGTCAATGAGGTTGCCGAATCCGGACTATTCGGGCTTAATGGACCCGGACGGGTATGATTCATGCGGGATGAGATGGTTACTCTCAGAATGTCCATGACCCACACTCTCCGTTAAATGGTTTTCAGGAGTAGAAAAAGAAAATAACGAACGACAGAAACAAGCAATGTTCAATCGACGTCCCGTCCTACGTGGTTCCGGCCGCTAGAGACGAATACAAAGTACGGCATTCACCGGTTTTAAAATTCAGCTTTTGCAAACGTTTGTTAGGACAACTAGAGTTTTCTGCGTTATTTGTAGGTTGAGCGCCTCACTATTAGGGTTTGACGAGGTGCGCGTCTTGCATAATCAAAACCTGTGAACTAATCAACACCTTGCGCGGTTGCGCAGCGCAAAGCTCTTGAAACGTTTTTGGCCGTGTGTTTGAAGGGAAGCTGTCGTACAGCTAGCCCAAAGGAACGATGCGAATATTCGCTCAGCGCTGTGCAAGCAGCCATTGAGCATTCCTATGCTAGTAGAGTAACTTTGATGTTTCGATGATACTTTGGTTGATCTAATTACGCATTAGCGATGCATTCAAATGGGCAATGTTCTGACCGCTGAATAACAGCGAAAAAAAATTGTAGTAGGCAATGTCTATCACCATCGCACCAACCACTTGGGGGGAGATACATGGATTGCAAGTCGCTGTACAGTTCAATTATGTATTCCTGCCAAAGACACAAGTAATGGATACAGAAAAGGTTACCAGATGGCATCCCGATTTAGTTCCAGCGTATATACAAGTAACTTTTTTTCTCATCATCTCAACCAAAGGGGAGTTGCGTTGGGCTTCTCCCCTCCAAGTGATGATGAACTAGCTAAATGTGAACCAGCATTTTCTGCTAATGAAACATCTCGCTGACTTCCACGCCCACGTCCGCTTCTAGATTCTGCAAAGTTTGGCAAGTACCCGCCGTTTAACTTTTCGGTTGACGACGTAGTGGAAAAATTCCCTGAAATATTATTTTGCGACGAGGGTTTCGTCAAAAAGTCCAATTTGTGTGATTTCGCAGGTGTTGTAGTGTGTGAGATCTTTGAGGTCGTGACGTCGGAAGGTTGTACATGACTGGACGGTTTCGCCAACTCCATCTCTGGGTGCTGTTTATCAGCAAGATCTGGCAGTGTGGTCAGGAACGTATTTGAACTCCTCACTGAGCCGGAACTCGGGAGGTCCTGCTTGGCCGCGGGAATATTGGTTGCAGACGGAGTGCCATCTTGCATAACTTCGTGACTAGTGTGTTGTGGCGGTTTCAATGTTGCTTCATAAGATTTCTTTGCGTTCATTGATAATGGGTCTTGTTGAGGCTCCATCGAGGCAGTGGGTTTTGAGGTTGGTACAGGCGCAAAAAGATTAGGTTTGTGAATACTGGACTGTGCGATATGAGACTTGGCCTGCAAGCTCGGTTTTGACAATGCGCTAGGGAGATTTCCTTCCTGGTAGGTGTCTTGATTGGCAACTGAAGGTGGTGCATCCACATCTGGACTTGCCGGAAGTGTTGATTTCTTCCCCAAGGTCAGATGTTTGTTGACGGGTTTCGCAGACTGAAATGCCATATCAAGAATGCCTTCCGACTTTTCTTCCCCGCTTTGTGCAGATTCTTCTACTATTCCGCTGATCTCCTCCTCGTAATTCCCGCCAGTACTGAGATCCAGGTCCTTTTGTTTTTCCGGAACTGAAGCATGAGATTCCTGCTGAGGTTTATCCACTACTCGAGCATTATTTGTCCTCGCTGTCGTTTTTAGGTGACTGGGAGAGAGGGACCGCGTGTCAGCTCTAGCTTTGTGTTTCTTTCCAATTCGGCCATCAAGGCTCTGCCGGACAGTAGGAACAGTTTTATGCACAGCTGCTGGGCGCTGGAGGGTTTTGGGATGACTTTTTTCTTCGGTCCACTCGTGCTGAGCTTTCGTCTCATAGTTATCACTATGACTCGGCTTCCGCCTTTGTCGGGCACCCGCTTGCGCGTAGATCGACAATGCAGCATTCTCACGCTCACGATCCTTTGCAAAATCATCAAATCAGTACGGTCCCTTCTATCTAGGAGATACATACGGCGGTGACTTTAATTTACCTGCAATTTATGCACATTCGTCTGATACTTTTCACGGAGTTCCTCCAATTCCGTCTGTCAAATCGGATGTGAGTTATTGGAGGTCCTGCTCGCCAAAACAACTTCTTCTCACCTGCAACAAAAGGATTTTCTTGTTTGCCTCTCGCAGATCACCGCTTTTTGCACCTTGTGTGTGCTTCAAAGTCTTTTCGAGCTCCTGTAACGGAGTGAAAGAAAAGGGTTAGGGTCACCTGGGATTGAGCTTAAAAATCCCTCGCATACCAACCGCAATAGTATGGTCGCGGTTTACTACATCTTTTCTCAGCCTTTCAATCTCGTCCTTCAGTTTATCACTGTTTTCCAATTTCCTATTCTTGATCGTAGCTTGCATTGTGTGCACAAGCGTCTGTAAGCGAACGTTTTCTGCAACCTGTGCCTGCGCGTTGCGTTCGATGTGTCCCAGGCGCTCTTTGTCACGCAGTCGCTCTGTCTATAAATAATACGTTATGACTGGCCAACGACAAAGAACTGGCCGATAAACGCATCTGAGAAGTTTACAAACCTTCAGCACGCGCAACTCATCGTTTAATGACCTGACAAGCGCTGGTAAATCACCCTGCTCTTTTCCCATCTGCTGAATAGCTTTATCTTGGCGGTGGTTCACCTATAGAGCATGTAAAACTCGCTAAGATATGACTATTGTGTCGTAGAATGCATCCAATGATCAACTTACGATCTTCATCGTTCGGCGTTCTTCATAGAGTTTCGCGATCTGGACCTTTTGTTCATCTATGATCCCCACTAACCGTGCAATTTCATCAAAGTTTGCGGCTGCCGCTAAAGACGCAGGATTAATTCCGGCAGGTCGGGGACGACTTGAGTATGGCGGAAATATGGATGTTGACTTGCTGTGTTTCCGAGCTGAAAGATGTCTTAACGTTTCAAGATCCGTTCTGTTAAAAAAGACCGGGATTTATGAACCCACCTACTGTGGAACCTCGTACAATACTGCTATTAGATTTTTTAAAAGGTGGCATTTTTTTTCCGGCAGAGCCTACTGCAGATTCTTTGGGTAAGCCAGGTCGCATTCCGATACGAAGAGGTCAATTTGCCCACCAACCTTGCCGTCCCTGTTTGGCGGCCGGGGACCTTTCTGTGGGACCATGGGAGCCTTTGGGTGCTCGTGAGAAGACTGAAGCAATTGAGGACCACATAACTGCATTTCAGCGCTCATTGAAGCCAATTTCTCGTACCAATATTGCCTGGTGGTTGCTGTTGGCTCTTTCTTCGGTACGCTTCGTGGACCGGAAAGTCCGACAAGGAGTCATCCTGCAGATGCTCTACCCTCTTGTCAAAAGGAGGCTCCTCAAAGTCTGCATCGTATTCGTCGGCCATTGTAACCGGCAGACTGTAGTAAAAGCAATGGGAGTTACTTAAAGATCTACAGTACATACATGGAGCGGATCTCAGCTTATTTAAGCTAACCAGTGAGGTTCGAAACCGCTTCGAACGCATTCCACAAACCAAGCAGCCGATGACGCATGCTGGAGAACTGAAGGCAAGCCCAAATACAATTGCAATTCCATCCCATTTATTTCATCAAGCATGCCTTTCACCTCCCCGCCCCCACCAGGGATCTACCCAGCGCGTGCTACATATTCTAAAGATGAGCTTCGTGCCGCATATGTGGGTCGGTCTGTTGAAGAGCTCCGGACCCCCGCCTTTGTAAGTCAAGCACACCATGCAGCCATTCGCCGCTATTAAAATACCCTAACTCAGTAGAATTCGATAGCTGGTGGATCGTGCAAAAGTAGAACAAAACGCAAAAGAATTAATTGACGCAGCAAAGGAGGCGGGCGTGGATGTTCGGGTGCATGTCAAGACACACAAGGTACGTCCAAAGGTAGCAGTCTTACCAGGCCAGAAGCATTTCTTGACTATGCTCTGATCTGATATGGATGATGCGTTGATGGAGCGCACCATTGGCAGAGTTATAAGAGAGACGAGTTGTTTGTCTATGATGTTCTATACGACAACGTCTGGGGGTCTCAGATGTAATGTATCACGGTAATGATCGCTTGCATAGGGCTTTGGTTGCCCAAATGATGGTCATGATTCTTGAATTTGGTCCTTTTATATACAAAAAGATACATCACAATCATAATATTGGTTCTCAAGACGTTAAAAACGCGGTTGTCTAATGTGAATATCATTAATCCATTTGAACAGACGATTGAAGGCGCACTACTTCAACTCGGCGATTCTCTCAGTTCGATAATTGTCAGTACTTTGGCAGAAGCACGGTACTTTGCCAACAGTGGCTTGTTTCAAGATGTATGTGTCTATTGTGGGTTTTAGCATTCAACTGTTTGGCACCTGTTCTGATTATCACAACAAGATTTTGTATGCCGTACCATTGTCTCCCGACAAGATTCAAGAAGTTCACCAAGTGTCACAACGGATTGAAAAGTTCCATGTCATGGTCGACAATGACGTTATCATTGATGCGTTAGAGCGATATGCTATTGCGGTGGGTCCCACAGCCACATCGGCAGTTAATCCGAGCAGTGCTGTATCACAAGGGCGCGCTGCGCTAGATCCTGCTAAGCCGATGTTCAGGGCTTTCCTAAAGATTGACACCGGATACGGGTAGGTTTTCTTCGCTTAGGTATGATTTAGGTCTCTGCGATGATGAATCTTCCGCTGTCATAGCCGAGCAGGAGTACCTTCGACAACGTCCAACGCAATATCTCTTGCGTCGCGGCTCCACAGATCTGCCCATATATGTTTCTCTGGCCTTTATAGCCATAGTGGACATTCGTACGAAGCAGCAGACGTCGCTGGTGCTCTCGCAACAGCCAAGGAAGAAGCTCGCCTGACACTGGCTCTAGCTCAGGAGCTTCGATCAATCGGTATAACTGCCCCTGTCGCAAGCGTGGGTGCAACTCCTAGTGTCAAAGCGCTGTTGGAAATGGCCGGCGCAGGACGAGAAGCAATATCAGAGGCAAGATTAGGCACAGTTGGCGATGCGCTTATGAAAGAAGCCGGGGAGCTCGCAAATGACGTGGCAGCATCCGCCCTCCCAGACGACGAACAAGATGAAAAGAAGCACAAGGGCGGTTCAGATCAATCAGCTATCGGGGATGCGGCCTTGGTTGAAAATCCGACACATAACGATTTCAAACTTGAAGTACATCTCGGAAACTATATTTTTCTGGATATCCAGCAAATATCTGGTATGCCCTGGCCGATTTCGCGATGCGCGGCAACGATCCTATCCCGTGTTTTGAGTCAATATCCCCATCGGAATGAGGTTCTCATTGATGCGGGCGCGTTAGCTCTCAGCAAAGACGGTCCAGGAGCACGCGGTGCTAAGCTATATCCTGGATACGGCGTTTTAGCTGGCGATTATCTCGCACATAGAACTGTTAGTCGAGTCAGTCAAGAACATGGAGTTGTGGCGGGTCTTAGTCCGGAGGAAATTGAAGCATTCCTTGAGATTGGTACAACAGTGGAGATTGTACCGAATCATGCCTGTCTGGCCGCAGCAAATTTTGAATGGTATTATATTGTAGAGGAAGGGAAGGTGGTCGACGTCTGGGTGCCCTGTCGATCATGGTAATCTTTTGGTCAATCGGCCGCAAGTGTACCGCAGATATACTGTAACCCTAATCTATAATTTGGCCATCTGCACATCCCCTACACTTTTAACTAGTCGGAGTCTAGCGAAGTCTTTTCCCCCATGGACAGCTGTGCTTACTGCCCACTCGAGTGTCTGATCCACCGGCTCCATCACTGCAATCGTCCCGTCCAGCAGGTACAATTGGTTGTTTGTCTCGATTTCCGGGAGGACGTAATTGTAATTCACCATGATGCCATAAGATTGGCTCAACCCTTTCTCTGCAAAAGCGATGACAACAAGTATCAGAGGCAAGATATCAAAGAGTGCCCTAAGGAATATGAAACACCTGACGTATCTCCCATCCAATTGAGTCTGTGCATGCAGGCTCCATTGCGGATATGAAAGTTGCCTGGAAGTCGAAGTCAGCAACCACCTGGAACGCTGGTTTCCGCATATATCAAGATCAACTTACAAACGGGGTCCAGAGCAAATGATCGCTTCTTTTCAAACAGGAGATATCTAGGAAACCGGCATGAGGACCTGCGTTTCATTCCTTAGGTCACCGCAACCCTTGCTTACCGTGCGCATAATCGTAAGAGGATCGGCTTCAGAGTTTGGGATACGTTAGGGTCTTTATACCACGAGTTACCAGCCAAAATGTTCTGTAAACCGCAGGTTTTGTGATTAATGGCTTCAAGGATCAGCATCTATCACAATGCCAACCTTAAGAATTAAGATATCATCGTCTGCAGCCCCCTTTCCCATCAGGCTTCTGAGTGCCTCAACTTCCTCCCCTAACAATAACGAGTCGCCCGATGGAACATTTCCACCGTTCAATCTCGTTTCCAGCCATTGGCGAAATCTGGGAATCGGTGATAACGTGCAAAACGTTTCGATGCTAGGTAAGACTTGCTGTATTTCCTTGACCACGCGTTTAATAAGAAAGTTGCCAAGATCGACTCCAGAGAGACCTATCAGAAGGCGATCAGTAATTGTCACAGAGCTTTATGTTGAGAACTAAATGTAGATCACGCACACCTCTTTGAGAGGATGAGATAGAATAGAATATGGCTACCGTTGGATCGGGCACCTCGGGAGACGGATCGTTGAGTATGACCTAAGGGGTTATAGTCAGAAGGTCATCGCATTGGCTATGGAGGTTAGCTTCCGGTACTCACTTGCACATCTTCGGCAATCTCTCTCACCAGTGCCACCTGGAAACCTCAATTGTCAATAAGCCATCATTCAACCTAGAATCGAGGGAGCTTACTTGGACGAATGTCAATGGCTCCTGCGGCATGCCTCTGTGGAAGAAGGAGTAGCACAGTCTTCCGGGTCCTAGACGCTGCTTCAAGGCTTGCCACGTCGGAACAGCGTGCACAGCTTCATATCGGACGATCTGGAGTACATGTTTTCGTTGTTAAGCCCATCTGACACGCGACAAGGTACATGCTGCAAGTGACCTTCTCAAGTACAGTGGCTGGGCTATTCCATGTAATCCTCTCCAGGTCCAGGAATCCAATTCCGAACCATCCTTGCAATTGGGTCTTGAGAGAATCACTCAAGCCACGGAGATATGGGTCGTTTCCATTGCGCCCTAGGATTTCCTAAGTTCCATGTTAAGCACGTTAACGCGCAACCCACATGTACCCATAGAACTCCTACCAGCACATTTGCCCGCATATTGACAAGGAACTGCATTCCTCCAGGTAGCTGGTTTATCCGTTCAAAAAATTTCTCGTAAAGAGGCTGTAGCGATTGCCGTAATATCTCTTCAGTTCGCATAAAACCCTTATCGCCTTTACCCTGCGAATGCAGCCAATGGATGAAGTTCAATTTCTGACACAGCAAGATCCGAGCTATATTCTTACCGCGGATCTAGCATCAAGATACTTATGGGCAGCAGCAGCAACCGCTTCCCGGTTGACATCTTCGCCATCAAGTATGAGATATGAATGCCTGAAGCCGAGGTATTGCGAGCACCTACCGAAATCCCGTCCCAAAATCCTAAGAAAGTTCGCTCGCCCTGCCTATGCAGGCCATCAGCATTACCGCAGAGTTCTCCTGCAACTGTTTTGCTCACCAAATCCAGCCCTTCGTAAAATTCGCAGCATTGGCGCGCCAGTAGACTTGGTAAGATGTCGCCCTGCTCCCTACGAGTGGATATGGTACGCCGGAGCAGCCTCCGTATATCATGGTCATCTTGCACACTTAAGTTGGCATGGTCTGCCATTGAATCTGATGGTGTTTCTCCTCCACTATCGGTGGGATGCCCGAGCGTATACGATCCTAAAGCCATGCCATTACTAACGCGCGATCACAAATTATCCATCAGAGCGCTGGCATACCTGGTTCCCGGGAGAACTTCATTACGTCGTCCCAGTAGTTTGTCACAACCGTACTGGCAAGTTGTGGTATGGGCTGGGCTGATTCTGTGCGTTTAAAGCGCTTCGCACTAGCAGAGTCTGTGGTTTGTCTTGAAGTGACGACCCTCTAATAAGAAAAATATCAGACTTACAACTGAGCATCCCTAACTCTTTCGCGGATTAGATGTGAGGGTATCCACCTCCGTCTCATAGATAGCACACCTTTCCCTTAACTTCGCCGGGGTGGAATTGACGTCCAGCGAATGGCTGAAAGTTGATGAGTTGTGAGTAGCAAGTCGGCTGCCACCTTCTCAATCCTGGCGTCGCAAAAGAAAGAACAATTCTGGCAGGCGCAGACAAAGGACGGAGCATTTGAATAGGTTGTTGGCAGTCGTGTGATGGCGATGAGCTCAACAGAGCATGTCGATGTCGGCTGGGATTCCGACAACACACGTGTCAGTCATTTGCTTAATTAGGCATCATGTGCAATATAACCTTTTTTGGTGAGATGGCATAAGCCAAGATCAACGTCCTTGGGGCTTTTTGCCAGGTGTCATTTCTACAATTCTTTCGCATCTGCTCAAGACAATATATGTGACAAGGGTTGATCGTCCACGCTAACGAGCAAGGAATGCCTCCAACTACTTTGACTTTCAAGTTTCCACCCGAACTTCAAGGACTTTTGATAGGAATAGATGGCTCCAATATCAAATCTCTTCAAAACCAGAGGAACATATCCGTCACCCTTCCAAAGACTCGGGGAGTGATCACGCTTTCAGGTCAAGCAGATGATGTCAAGAGCGCTCAGGAAGCCATTTTGCATCGACTGTTTCGTAAGAGACTTCGGCACCCTATGTATGGATTTGTCGTTCAGATGCCTAAAGATGGAAAGGTTGAGTTTGTACCTATTAATGAAACGGAAGCGCAAGTTCAAGTGAGCAATGATGAGGATGACGATGGTATAGATGAAAGTTTTACGGCGACGGCAATGGGAACCCGCGAGGACAATGTTGCAGAAGGATTTTATGTTTTGCGCTTCCTCAATAAGGACGGAACGAGTGCTTCACCAACGGAGTCGCCGGACCTAAAGAATTTATCGTTTCGAACACCTGGGGGCGCAGGCAAACAGGGACGGCCACTCGTTGAGCTACTTGACGCCAGCGATGCCACAAGTTTCTGGTCTTATATCACGCACACGCTCTGCAATGATATCAAACGCTCCCAGACTGCATTTGACGGGGCTATGACGGATAAAACAATACTCCAAGCGTTCTGCTTATCCAAAACTCTCGTATTTCGAATCCAGCGCTCGCTTCTTGGACAGAAACTGTCGTTTTGGGAGTTTAAAAGTGCCATGGCAGAAGGAAGTGCTCGGCCCTTTGAAGCCGTGTACTCGCCGAAGAACGTGATAGAGCCTATCAGGGAAAGATTCATACAACCACTTGGTTCTACGGTGAGAAGATCACATAGCAAAGTCACACTGCAAGGTTGGCGCCGCTACGAGAACAATGCATGGGACAAGTGGGTGCATCAGGTACAAAGCCGATACTTGAGTTTTGTTCATTGTGGGGGAATCTCACTTATGCTCAACGCATCAGCTTGCGATTCCACTCGAAGATGACGCTAACGTGCTCATTCTTCCCTGCAAGTTCTTTTTGGAAGCCGCTGTCAATAAACGTCGCTGCTTTATCGTCACACCAGATCTCCCTCTCGGTCTTGCAGTCCAACTCGTTATTCAGCCTGCGGCTACCCCTATTGACTCTCCTATTCTGCAAAACTACCTAGCAGATCTCTTTAACACAATTTGGCGCCAACCACCAACAACGTCGATGCCTGACTACAGATACCTTCCAGCTCTGCCCCCCAACAGATGGTCTGAGGTAGTCAACATAGGGTCGGGAGTCCGAAATATCCAGCACCCTTCAGCAAACAGTGGAAGGCCTTTTGCTGCTCTTCCATTTTGGGTACGAACTGTGGATGTTTGGGAAAAAAGGACTGGATGCGAAAGTATGAAAATTGAACACAATGGAGATAATATACTTTTTATGATTGGGATGCGAGGACGAGATGGGACCGTAGGAGAGATTAATGCTGGGACCAAGAAGGAATCTGCAAAACGTATTCAATCTTTGATTGCGAATGTCCTGGACCTATTTACATACAAATCAGCATATGGCACCGAAGAGAATGCCAACAAAACCGATGAGACATAGGAGGCGTATCATGAAGCACGGTTTGTTCATTAATGCAACGATGTGTGGACTGGAATGGCGAAGGTGAAGGCGTATCTGTACCAATATACATAATTTCATAGCATTTTTTACTTGCATTATACCAGGTATGAGATTGTTTGTAATGTACTTGTGTGGCTGGAATTCGGCTTTCATTACTTTCAAACACATATAAAATCATATATCTCAAATTGATTACTGAGTATTTGCAACGGACATTGCTGCTGCGGCTGCTGCAGCTGCATTCTCTTCGTTCTTCTTCTTCACCCATACGTCATACTCCACTCGAATCCTCGCAGATCGTAGCCGGGCATCAGAAATATCTTCCATCTCAGAACCGCTTTTGTCAGGGAGCGGCGGATTACTTTCCGCTCCTACGTTTGAGGGTGTTGGTGTACTGCCATCTTGCCCTACATGATTCAGCTCCTTTTCAGGTTGTACAGTTCCCTGCCTCTGAACACCGCGTTTTCTACTAGGGTCGCGACCATGCTCTACACCTGCTGCACGCAAGTCTCTGTCCAAAGAGTCAATTAGGGAACCCGCTTCTCGTAGGTCGCGGTCCAGGTTTGCTAGCACGGAGCGTTGCCGGTCGGGTGCTCCACGTGGTTTGCGGAATACGGCAGGAAGTTTACTGGAAAACAGGAGGCATTTCTAAGGATAAGATGGGATTCAAGCAAGTTGCTTGCATAGTTTACCTTCTACTCGTGTCAGCTGCTTCGGAATTTGACTCCGGTGGACGATCCGCTGTTTTGCTGGTTCTGCTGATTGATGAGCCTCGATCATTATACCATTAGCCAGATACTCTATGCTGACCTTTTCTCAGCAGTTGGGGTAACATCCTTTGCTTTGCTCCGAGCCGCAACCGTCGTTCTACAGTGAGTATGATTAATCATCGAGGAAGAATATGCAGAGAACAAATAATCTATCACTACCGTGCGTAATTTTCAGTGTGCTCTGGTTTCTGCTCTGTTGCTTGTTTCGACTTGGAGGCCGTGACTGGCTTTCGCTGCAAAATGGCAACAGTTCTCAGCAAAAGAGGCAATATAGGAAAAGATTGGACTTGCATGAATACCTTTGCTTCCGCAACCAATGGTGACTTCGCTGATTTTGCCTCTGAGCCCTTGACATCATGGTTTCTGCTGGGAGATGGATCGGCGTGACTCCTGATCGGACTCTCTGGCCCTCTACCCGGCGAATTTGATGCTATTCCCGTTCGTTTGCTTCCCTGGTTCATCCTAAGCACCCTCCTTGCTGCACTCTTAAAGCTCCTACGTTCTCTCCCTCGTACGGGCGAACCTTCATCCTCTTCTCCAGCCAAACCACCAAATTGATTCCTCAAATGCGTGAACTGCTGCCTCATTGCTTCAGCGTCACGATCCATCTTTTGCTTGGCCTTGGACTCCCGCTCTAGCTGTTTCAGCATTGACGAAATGGTGTCCTCCATTTTGCGTTTTTCAGCATCAGCTTCTTTTAGCTTCTTCCGGAGGAACAGCATGTCGTTTGTGCGCTGATACGTGGATCCCGAAGGACTTTCTTTTCTATGGGCTACAGGACGTGGATAATTGGGCGATCATTGTTAATACCTGGCACCCGATATTATTTTTCACAATATACGTACGCTTGGATTCATATTCCTTGATACGTGCAGCTAGTACCCTGTTCTCTTCCTGCAGCTTTTGATACTTGTCTCTCTCAATTTTAAGAGTTTTTGTGAACTGGTATCGAAGATTGAGGTTTGCCTGCAGAATCCAGGAATGTACACAATGATTCAGTCACAAAGGCGACATCCATTAGCGCCGTCTTGACCAACCTCAACGGACGTCGGGACTGTGCTGGTAATTTTGGGTAAAGGCTTTGCCCTCTCAACTTCCCTGGCCACCCTCTTTTTCAAAGAGGTTACCTGCCGATGTAGTTCAGTCTTCTCTCCTCGTAGTTTTCTGATCTCTTCCTCCTCATCGTTCAGCTTTAAACTCAGTATTTGTATTTTCTCATCTTGAGGTATACTCGGGTCGGCTACAATTGCCTCACTACCTCGCCGTCGCGGTTGTGTGGAGCATAACTTTGCCGCTTCAACTTCTGCCGCTAATGTCTGAAGGGTCCTCAGCAATGTCTCCATTGTACGTCCCGCAGACTTTTTCTGGGCCCGTGCACGGAGGATGGGAATTGTTGATTTTCTGAACGTGACTCGTCGTTGTGCTGATCCTCGTGGGCGGTTTCGTGTTGAGCGGGATGGAGGTGTGCGTTGTGGGGTTCGTGGTGGGCTCTGGGTACTAAGACCGGGGGCCCTTGCTGTTACTTGTGGTGCCTGTTTGGCCTTCTTAGAATTTGGTTTGGTTTGACGGGATTGAGGGATTTGAGCTGCATCTGTTGTCTGTGGATCTTTCAAGGTTGCTGCGTTCTCCTTCGTATTCGAAGCGGCGGGCGTTGGAAGTTGCTTTGTGTTGTCATCGACCTGGGTAAGTTCCTTGGGCATACCAGTCTCCCCTGGAATGTCGGTCATTTTAGAACTTGCTGGCAACTCTACTTCATCTGGGAACGCTCCAGCATCTGAGAGAGGTGTCCGTGAATTCCCACTACGGTCGCCGCTAAAGGGGGCCTTTCCCCGGCCAGACCGGGCACCACTTCGCCCACCTTTTGATTTTGATGGTTTTGGAGACATTTGCCCTTGTTCTGTCACTATTGGTTGTTCCACGGATTTGATACCGACTGTGTTCGTAAGGTCTTTCTGGTTGGCAGGCTGTATGGGCGTATCTCCTATTTCAGGTTTGGTTGGTCCGTCCTCATTGGAAGGTCGATTGTCTTGGGGCATTTCTATCGTTCGAATTGGTCTCTCATCGTGAACGGATTTGACTTCTCTTTCATCGGGTCGGAGTATATCTCGGTTGCTAGAGTCAGGCTGAGGTAGTTTGTTATCCTCTGTCCCTGGAATGGGCAGCTCTTCATTCGCAGGCCGATTTGAAGTGCTCTCCGTGATTGATCTGGTTTCACCATCGAAGCCAGGTCTCTCGCTGACCGCGGGGGTACTCGCAGTAGATATGTTGTCTGACTCTGCGGTTTTCTTTCCTTTGCTTTTGAACAGGGAAAATCCTTTTGATGCTTTGCTTTGCGTCCCCGCTGAGTAATAGATAGTGCATCATGCATGAGGTTAGCATCTGTTTGTCCCGCTGCCGATATTCACGCATACCTGAGTGCCCCGGTTCTGGTGTGGGGACATTATCATTGTCGCCAACGAGGTCGCCTGTTGATATGAGTGAATCTTTTGCTTTTCGTGGGTTGGTAACGTCCTCTACACCAACCTTGCTTTAGATCTTCTGGATCTTCCTTCTCTGCTCTCTGTTTGGCCTTCTTTCCTTTTTTCTGCACTTTGTGCTGTTCGTCTGGAACACTCGTCCCATTTTCTTCCTTTCCTCGCATGACAATTTGGTGAAGTCAAAGTGCTAATGGCTCTATAATCAACAGCTGTCGCCAAATCAGAAAATGCGGGTACTGATCTATGACAAGTAGCAGTCACCCTGAGTGTGCTAAAAATATTGCCAAAGAACATCTTTTATGTCATTTGACAACCCATATTGCATTCAAATTGGTTGACTGAACTGGCGGAGAATTAAGCGAACATGTTTGATCCCTAATAAAAACGGATCTATGAGGATATCGTGGTGCTATTTTATCCCTTGGAAAAAGGCAGCTGCATCCTTTCAATGGCCTGGTACCAAGCCTTTTTACTCAAATGCTATACTATGGAATGCTTGCCATTTTAGACTAGCTGACTGTGACGGTGCATCAAAGTACCTCAATTGTGATGTTCTCATCCTTGATCTTTTGCAGGACGCTGTTCATCAAGGCTGGCCTTTTATGATTCGTTGTGCCGAACATTAGGCCAAATCGATCTACCATAGCTGCTTGTTATCGTCCATCTTGGCTAGAAGCGGGCAACGCGGGACGTGGATTACGGTATGATTAGGTTATCCACCCCAAGTGCATTAACTCAATCTGGAAACCAGGGAAGATCTCCAAAGATTGACGCTGGTCGGTCTTCCCGCATTTTCCTTTAAAGCTTTTCGACAGCTGGTGTCTATTCCGAGTTTCAAGCGTATGTAGATCGGACAAGTTTCCTGCTTGTTATTAGTCCAAAAGCATGTTATTTCCGTGTGTTATCGGCGCCAAGATCCAACCTGTCTCACGTCTATTTGGAACACAAGAGGACAGTTTAGATACTGAAGCGGTAAAGGAGGATTTGCAAGGTGTCACGCTAGGTTCTGAAGACATATCGTGTGTGTGGTTGCTTGGAAAAGGATTTGCAGCACAGCCGCTGGAATGAGCACGTTTCCTCTGCCGGTAACTTGTCTCTTCCAAAGTGTCTGACCGGAGGAAAACACGTTCTTAACTTGAAGGATGCACGCTGCGCATGCGGCTTTTTTCCGCGATTTCGGACGTGCGTGCTTTGGCACATGGCATCTAGTTAAGATGGAGTACATGTCATCAAACTCGCTGGATAGGTTGGTAATATGCATGAGGTTGCTGCCGGTATTTTGAAGGCGATTGGTCTGGAGCTCCTTGTCAGCGCCTTTTATCAGTCCTGTGTTCTCCTCATCCATTTCTGGGCCCCCCCCCCCATTTTTGGCGCCAACAGGATGATAGCTTTTCGTATCTCGCAAGCTTCTTTTTTGTTGCGGCCCGCCACCGATTAGACATGCTTCCACTTGCATGTTTTTTGTGCATCACGCTCCAAATTCGTTGCGCACTTTTGTTACTAGTCATCTGTTCATGGGCGGGAAAAACACACACAGTCTTGACGGCATGATAAGGGCGCATGAGGCTGAAAATTCGTTTTTTATCTGGCGAGATCAATAGTGTCCGACAGTCCCGGACAGTCACTTCCCGACATCTTGGCATCGTTGTTAATCTTATGTGAATTAAAATATGCCCAAAAGCGTTCAAGTCGTAGGAAATGGAGACATTACAATCGCCGCAAAAAGGTCCAGATTCATCATTGCACATATTATTTGCACCCATGACCATCAGATCTTTTTGCTGCCAATCTACTCCCTTGTCCCCTTTGGCTTCCCTGAACCCTTTTTGCGGCAGGGCGCCCTCCACGGCATTGGTGAGCGCACAGAGCGTTCTTGCTCTCGGCCCCATGACCATCCAGGGTGTGACGTCGGCGAAACCTACTTTGCTGTAATGAAAATGGGAAGGGACAAGGTATCGGCTGCAGGGATCACATCCTTGTTTGTCCAACCCTTTTTCTGATGCCCGGCGAGACCCCTTCATCCTCCTGCCTTTCGCCTGAAATCCACCACCACCACAACCACCCAAGCCATCGCCATCCTAGCACACACACACACACAAAAAAAACACCACAGACCCTCCGTGCACAACTCCCGCCAGGAGAGGGCGGACGGCCAGCGCGTGGAAGACGCGATGGACCAATGAAGCGATACACATGCCATTCCATGGGCCTCCCTTTCATAGTTACGTGATGAAGGGGATAACAATTACCGTGGTCTCGGGCGCGCCAGGCCCTTCGAGGACGGGATCACACTGGCACACCTCCTGCGAGCGGAACAAACCAACTGACGTTCTCCTCCAAGACTCGAGTGTCTCCTTTGGGCTGCCCACCAAAATGACAAAAGGTGGTGAAAAAGGCTCTAGAGATAGACTTGTCGCCCAGTTGTCTGCCCCCCCTTTAGTCTATCATCCTTTTGGCGATCAACTCTTTTGGGTCGATCGGGTTGCTCGTCCTTTTGCGGATAACCTACTGCGAGCGCCATTTCTTATATTCGTGCTCTTGGTTTGTCTCCGGTCCCCTGTCCTTCGTGCTCAAAAAGACTGCGTGTGTCTATCTTGCTTTCAAGGCATAAATATAGCCTTTTGGCCTTTAAAGTTCCCCCCCTCTCGCTTTGCATCTTTGGCGTGTCTCGCCACAAACTTTATCAAATACCGGCGAATCTTTACCTAAATACGATGGATAGCATTACGACAGAACATCCCATAAAGTACGAAGATATTCCCTACGGCCTCGACCACCACACCGAGGCTTGGGAGCAGTACTTTCAACTTCCCCCTCCCACCTACAGTCAGGAATCATCCGCACCGTCGAGTCAAGAAGGGAAGAAGCGCACGCGACGCGTTCTTAATCCGCAGCAGCAGCAAATCCTAGAAGACCTGTTCATTCATATCCCGAACCCTGACACGAAGCTGCGTGCAACCCTCGCCGCCCAGCTTAATCTTCCTGCGCGCAATATTCAAGTCTGGTTTCAAAACCGGAGAGCCAAATACCGGCGTCATACACTTGCCACCGAGGCTGACGAAAAAGAGTTTGCACAGATTGCCTCGGGCGAAGATACGGCAGCATCTGCCACAGAGAGCATGGATGAGAAATCCTCCGTTTCCCCACCTCTATCGGCAAAAGGTCGTCGCAGTCGCCGTGCTGCCTCTCGGCCGTACCAAACTGGTACGAGAGCAGGCGCAAAATCCGGCAAGGGGACCAAAACGATTCCGTACCCTAGTCCCAACATGTGTGATGCTTTCACGTATGGTGTGTCTGGTGCCTTAATGTCATGCCATCCGCTTCACTATGACCGTCCTTCCGTGCTTGGCGTCGGCACTCCCACCGCCGATTGTGAGTGCATTCAGTATGGTATGTTGATCCACCTGCTTTTCACGACGCTCTGCAATAAGTCGCCTAATGCTGAACTTGTTTTAGACCCGTATGTAGCAATGAGCCCAATAGATGATACAGGATTTTTGCCCCAGGCGGCTTGCCTCTCTTCCTACTACATGCAGTACGGCTATATTCCTGATAGCCCACCTCTGGACAGCATCTCGCCTTTGCCATTAGAGGAGAGCGAAGCCATCCAAATGGGGGACAATATTGTCGCATTGACAACCAGTCCACAGATGGAAACAGTCCATACGGCAAATGGCGTAGAGATGCAAGATTCTGAAGTGGATAATGTTCACCTTTCCGACCAGCATTCAAGATCAAGATCACCCGTTTGTCCTCCATCTGAGGACGGTAGCGCTGCTGCCGCCTCCCAACGGGCCGAATCGATGGTGCCAATGTTCAGTCAAGATTCTGCATTATGCGACTCCCCTAGTGCCGAGCAGTCTTCCGTCGACCCTGACGCGTACCTCCAAGCAATCTACGGAAACATGTCCGCACACGGCCATTATGACTGCCCGTCTATCTACCACAGCCCTGGTTATTTTATCGCCCCACAACCCAGTAATGCCGCCGCGCCACCTTGCGTCCTCACACGATCCCAAAGTTTCCACGAGTACGCTAACCCGGACATGCACCGACCCGCCGCACTTCGGCGGAGACACTCGATAGCCACGTTTGATCCTAGCGTTTCCACGTCATGGCCCGGGGTGGATATGAGCGCCTTGGACTTTGTCGATCCCAGCATGCCGCTTGCATACTACCCGTATCTATAAAACGGCATACATGCGTGTTTGTCTCTCAATGTACATAGAACGTCGCTCTACGAAAGCAGCATTTACAAGCGACAAAGTATTACCGCCCACTAGAAGAAGATTACATTCTCGAGACGGTCGCTCAGTTTTGTAGAAGTCCAGTAATGTGTTTTTTACTCTCTCCTTTTTTTTATTCCCCCCCTTCTCCCTTATTTATGAGTGGTGGAGTGAATTATTTGTAAATACTGTCGTGAACTACGAATGACGGTTTGGAAAAAGTCTAGATTCGTAGCCTCTTAGTTTTAGGGCTCCTTTAGTCCATCAAAGGTCACTGTTGACCTGAGACGTATGGTATAGGAAGTGTTGTCGTCAAATAGTTCTACTTTTACGTTGCTTTTTATAAATACAATTTGGTTTCAATGTATGTCGCCCTTCTTTTCTGGCTGATTGAACCAAACTACTGCAATCTTGACAACCAAATGCACGTCCAAGACGTTATTTCGAGTTATCCGCTTGATGCTTTTGCCAAGACAACTTGGCGCTGGTCATCACTCTGCACGAACCAGCAGGGTTGTGTAGCTATTACGTGTTCCCGAGTATTCACACTCTACTCATCCTTGAACTGTATCGCGGACTTTTAAACACTTGAGCTCATCTGGCAGAATAACATGTGTTCCTGCCTCCTTTGCATGCATACACGGCGTTAAAGGTTGACTGCAAAAGCAGCGCTGGACAACCCAGGAACTCGCCATGTCATTCTTGGAGTGAACACTCATGGCGTAAGCATCCCGTCAGCAAAATTTTGCCAATAGAGGTTTGAAAGCGGACTACGCCCAAACGACGTAACGGTGTGATCATTAGCTCGCCAACAAATTTCAATTTGGAATTTACTCCTCGCAATGGAATCCTGCGCCATGGGAACAGTCTTGTGCTTGACATCATCCCGCAAGTGGAACACCACGTGTGGGAGACCGATGACGATATTCCACGCTGTCGGTGGATACGCTTGCCGTCCGCAATGCATCGTTGTAGTTACCGAGGATTCCATGTCAAACCGTTTTATCGTAACGTTTCAATCCATGGCGCGGTGTTGCCAAGATTTGGTCAGCGACACTCATCCAAATAAATCAACTTGAACAGCCCAGTCTGTCCTGATTCCATGAACTTTTGAAGCATCTAGCTATTTCATTCCATAATTGAAATCTCTGGGCACATATTAGAGATTGATGTCCTCTTCGCCCTACAATACAACGTTGAGCATATGAAAAAAGGACGGACAACAATGTATCCTGGTAATTAGTGACCAAATGTAGGTGCGATAGCATGTAAAGTAGAATATTTTGAGCAAACACATCATTGAGTGACCGCATACACGAATAAAGTTATCCTAGCTATTCGAGGTCGCTTATTCAGCAAAGGAGCAATGTAGCCTTTTATGGTAAATTGCATCTGGTAACCCACCAACGACAAAGGTAACTGTCTTACAGCGGCTACGACATTGGTGAAGCAGCGGCTCGACAAAACTCTTACAAGGAGAATCAAACAAGCAGGACGTTATCATCCGCTATGGCAACACTACCATTTTTGACACAACGGAATCGTACAGAAAATGAAACAAACTTAAATGACATTTTGAGATACTATAGACACTGTAAATGTACAGATTTTGTGATGTTTTCAACTATCTGAGATACTATCCAATTGAAGTGGGAATGAAGAAGAAAATGTTAGTTATTCGTCTGAACCGACCAGTATCGTCATGACCGCTTAAACTTGTTCGTCCGGGGCCGCACTCCCCAAAAGTGGCTGCCTTTCGCCACCGCCGATTCTCCGCTTGATAACTTGTGGCCTAAACGCGTAGAGGAGGACGATTATGCCCATAACCAGCGCGGAGATGCTGATAAACTTGCTCTGCTGGCCAGCAGCAACTCCAAAGAGCGCCCAGGCGATCGTAAAAGCACCAGGAATATCTCCAACGTCACGGTTTTTGAACTCTGTGTATGCCACAGCCGTTCCGGTCAATTGGAGCAAGACCAAAAAGACCAAAACACGGTGCAACAACGGAGGATGGGCAGGGTCGTGGACGGTTGTGAAGATCGCAAAGATGTTGAGCCACGTCACAAACACTAGCCAGCCGTGATAGAGAGAAATCGGAGCGTGAACAAAAAGGGATTGAGTATATGTCCTTGGCGGAATATTCCTGAGGTTGTGGTAAACAATCGTAATTGAAGCTGAAGCGAAAAGAAGGATGAGGAGAGACAAGATCAGGTGGCCGGACTCCTACGAATATAATGGATGGTAAGCTAGCTTGCCATGTTGCGACCGAAAAGACAATACAAACCCAATTGTTATGCCAGAGCGATGTCAAAAGGCCCGCAATGATGAAATAGCTGCCGTAGCCCTCGACAACGATTTCTTCGCTGTCGCCCAGCCACTAAACGAGGTTCATGCACATTAAATCATGTATATGACAAAGTTTTGAGACATGGAGCACACCTGCCAAATGACGAACCCCAGAAACAGAGTGTGGATCAGTCCCCATATGGCAAATGCAAATGGAGCGGGTGTAAGATATGTAGGATGCTTCCCATAACCGATATCAGTTGCGTCAGGGCCCACGACGTTGTAAATGGATGAAGACAAGAAGAAGAGATAAACAATGGTGTTTCCCAAACGGAGAAGAGTAGGATGTGCCATCTTTGCAACGGCCGAGAGTCTTGTTTGCCAATGGGGGAGGCCTCGCTGGAAAAGACCGTCCTTTTAAAAACGATGAGCGGTTGGATGACGTCAGGTGCCGAGCAAGTCATCTGTACAAGTCATGTGACATTGCGCGCGTGGTCCTTCCGGATAGCGCAGCAACCCAGGCAGCAACCACCTACGCAATTGCTCTTTGGCGCATTTTATCATTTTACTTGGTGATCAGCAAGTGGACGTTTCCCAACTCGCCTGAAGCCTCCGCATGGCCTCTCTCCTGCTACATATTCTTGACCGTCTCCGCAGAGAAAACCTACATGGCCCAACGTCACCATACCCAGCAACACGTCCTGCGCTTCGCAAACCGCATCAGCATTCTGTAGACTCACCAGACCACGACTCTTGGGTGCTCCTCGATGAGGAATTCGGTGACCTAGATGCGAAGGACCCTAGGTATGTGTTGCTGGGTACGTAGATATACCAATGACATGTCCAAGCAGGTTTGGTCTAATATTGCGTGCCTGTCAATCCCTTCAGATGGTTTGAACTATTTGTAGAGTTTTTTGTGGAAGGGGGCGCCGAAGGAAATGATGATCTGCTATTCTTTGTTCGCCAAGGTGGAAGTGGACCCGAAACTACATCTGCAGATCAACAGCAACAGGATCCAATATTTGTGAGACGAAAGGTGGCAAATACTATGCCATCACTCGGTGACCTTGTAGATTGGAAGCAAACCTTTTTTCTAAACCTTATTGTGCAACTACCCTGCACCCTTACGGTCGCTGTGTGTAAACGGGGAGCGAGTGGAGAGAGGAAGCGAAGCTTGTTGGCGGGTGAAGAAAGGATTGTGGTTGTAGGCGCAAACTCCAGTGGCTCAGGTGACAGTCCAGCTACAGACGCCACCACGCCGAGTCCGGTTGGAGGTGGGCTCGTTGTAGATGCAGAAAGTCCAGCAACTCCCAGTTCCCCATCTCCAAAATCCAAACCAAAGATGATTGCGATTCAGCGAATTCCAAAAACTGTTTACGCGGCGCCGTACAAATCTCGTATGGACGTAAAGGACGCCTTCATGAACGAATGCTCCTACCCCCTCGTGTACTACACTGTCAACGACTACGAATCTCACGACCTGCACCTTTCTATCCGTGAAAAGGAATACTTGTGCGTGGAACTATCTGTCATTATACCCGACGAGTCAAAGAGTGATAGAGTCCGCAAATGGACGACAACATCTGGCGCGGAGGCTGTCGCCGCGATATCGTTGGACGATGATTCTGCACCATTTCCAGTCCCGCGGGGATGTGCAAAGATTGTTCTGTTTCAAGGGGCCGTACCATACACTTCTCTGCTAGATATATATCAGCAGAAAGGCCTTGCAGCTCGAAACCAATTACGCTTGAGCTGGAAGAAACTGACGGATGGAGGTATTCAAGGCCGGAAAGGTAACGATTCACCTCCGCCAGAACGAACCGAATACATCATGATGCGGGGACCTCACGGGAAAGGCCAATGCCAAGTTGCTATTAAAGACGACCTACCACCCCCTAACATTGAGACCGAAGGGTCCTCATCGTCCTCGTCACGAAAACCTTCGTCATTGACAGATAAGCTGTTCAAAATGGGCAGCGCCGTAAGAACACAGCTCGTTGCTGCTGCTGCGGCGAGTGTGTTGGGTGTGGATAGTGTTGGAAGCGATGCAGAAAAATTGAAGAAACCGGAGAGTTTGAGATGTTCCATGACATATGTAAATGTTCCATGGCAGTCTATTATCAGGCACGTTGTAATTGTTGATCATTTTCTTGAGAGCTGGATAATAACCCAAGTTCATTATAATAGCGATTTAGCAGATCATGCTAGCCGGCGGAGTGACAAGCGATAGCTAGCTGATTGCCGAGTCCGATAACCGACGCCATTGGTGCCATATATATATATACGGGCGTTTTTCCCCGTCCGCCTTTGGTATGATACAATGAAACTGGTAATCGTACAGAACAGGAGATTCTGGAATCGAGGGTTCTGAGGATTTGTTTATATTCATTTCTTATTGCCATGGCAACAAACTAAGCCTTGTCTGCGCGCACGTTGTCTATTTATCCATTTTTGAATGGCCGCTGAAGTACTGCTAATAAGGTTTGGGGTTTGAAGCCCCCGTCGGTTTTCCTTTGCCGTTTTTTTTCATCTTTCATTTTGGGAGATTTGCATTGCGAGACGATTTCGAGATCAAGTCCTAGAGGGTTGTTCACCCTTCTTCTCCTTGCTCTCTTTTGAAGAGGTACCCCTCGCCTATGACGTAGAACGCGTCACACCGTGTCCATCGTCTAAAAACGGTTTGTAGGTTTGTCCAGCTTTTGTCCCTCCCCAGGAATCCTTCTCCTCCCCGCATACCATGTGCCATACAGGCAAGACGGCGACAGCCACGGCTGTAAGGCGGCACGCCATCTTTACTCGAAAGGAGATTGAGGACCGCGTTAAGCAGGGAGAGATTTTGGTCATTATCAACAGCAAGGTGTACAACTTGACCAAGTTTATCAACCACCATCCGGGTGGTGACTTGGCGATTTGGCATATGGCGGGTAAGTGCTGACGATACGCATAATGGTCTCTAGGGATCAATAAAGCTGTATGATTGAATCAATGTGGTCACTTGCCTGACATGCTTTGACACTAGGCAAAGACGCAACGGACGCGGTCCTTGCGTACCATCCTGAACCAGTGATAGAGAAGCGTATGCCACATTTTTGCATCGGGGAGTTAGCACCGAATACTCAACATGCCAGCAAACTTTCTCTGGCGTATCGAAGACTGGATGCAAAGTTGAAAGCCGAAGGAATGTATGAAACAAATTACTGGTTTTACGTTCGTGAAGCCGTCAAAATGTTGGCAATCTGGTTTGCGATGATCGGACTAGTTGTCTGGGGTCCGCAGCACTGGATGACATACGCGGCGAGTGCATTGTTGGGTTCGACCTTGTGGCATCAAGCAGCGTTTGTAGCGCACGATGGTATGTTCTTCACTCAGACCAGACACGGTATTGAATGGTAATAACATTCTCTTTGTGTTTCCAGCCGGCCACAGCGGAATAACACACGATGCCAAAACCGACATGATCCTTGGAATTTGCCTAGGAAACTTCCTTGGTGGACTCAGTCTTGGATGGTGGAAACACAACCACAATGTCCACCATATTGTCACAAACGACCCTTCACACGATCCCGACATTCAACACATGCCATTCTTTGCCATCTCTACCAAATTCTTTCAAAACCTCTATTCCACCTACTACAAACGCGTACTGAACTTTGACGCTGCCGCGCAATTCTTCATATCCATCCAACATCATCTCTTCTACCTTATCCTGTGCTTTGGCAGATTCAATCTCTACGTTCTCGGATGGTCATATGTCCTTCGCAAAGGCCCGGTTCCCCACCGAAAACTGGAAATTACATGCATGTCCCTATTCTGGGCATGGTTCATCCCGCTGCTGTCTTATTTACCTAATTGGAAATATCGCGTAGCCTACATTCTCTTGTCACACATGATGACCGTCTTTTTACACCTGCAAATTACGTTGAGCCATTTTGGAATGGAGGCTCAAGAGAATCCTCAGGACGATTTTGCGGCGATGGCCTTGAAAACCACGATGGATGTCGAGTGTCCTATCTGGATGGATTGGTTCCATGGGGGATTACAAGTATGTTTTTTGTTTGCCTGGCATAAACTTATTTGTGTGTTTGAAATTGGTTTGACATTACATCTATCGATAGTTCCAAGTCGAGCATCACCTGTTTCCCCGCCTCCCTCGCCACAATCTCCGGAAGATCCGTCCGCACGTTCTAAAGTTAGCCAAGGACCATAATCTACCGTTCCATAGCTACGGCTTTATCAAGAGCAATCAAGTCGTTTTGGCTGTTTTACAAAGTGTAGCTCATCAAGTACGAGCCGTGTTACGGGTGGATCCGAGGACGGCGCATGCCCATGCCCTCTGAGCACTTTGTGTTGGTTAATGTTTGTGGTTTTTGTGATTTGTATGCTGCTAGGAATGGACCCGCTACAATATTTTGTAATCCTTTTCAATGTTATCGATAATTATTTTTTTATGTAACATGTCTGAAAGACAGAAAGTGTACACAAGTCCTGCACTAAGTGACATCATTTCAAAACACCTATCATCAACCAAGAAAAATGCAATTTTCTGTCACAGCACAGAACTAGAGGAATACGAAAAGGAATGGATACAGGAAAAATAAAAAAAGTGGCTGACTCCCCTCCGAAATTTGTATTTCGCATCCAGAGCGTAAAGGGGTCGTCCGTCTAACTCCAAAACCAGGTTCAAGTGGCTCGCCGAGTGTCCCCCGTTGACCAAGATTATCCATCATCATCATCGACGATAAGGATTATATCGATCCCCCTTCCTCTCCCGGTCCCTATCACCCCTTCCTCGCTCCCTTTCCCTTCCCTTATCCCGCTCTCTGTCCCTCTCATCTCGTCCGCGCTCTCTTTTCCTATCGCGCTCCCAGGAGCGATCCCGCCGAGAGTTATCGCGAGTCCGACTGTGGCTTCGGCTTCTACTCCGGCTTCGGCTGGGGCTCCGACTGGGACTTTTGCTCTTTCGGGGTTTTACAATATCTTGTTTTTTTGGTATCTTGTACTTTTCGCCGAGATTCGCCAAAATCCCGTTTCGACCGTTTTCATGACGTTTGGGGGGTGGAGCACCCGAAGGTGACAATACGTCTTCTCGCTCCCGTTTTCGCCTATGCGTTGACGGTGTGTTTTCTGAGGCTAAATCCTCTTTGAGGGGAGAATGACGCTTAGAATGTGCGGTAGGTGTATCACCGTCGCGATCGCCACGCTTGCGTTTGGCGGCCGCCGGAGCAGGCGACTCCAATTTCGCATCGCCATGTTGTCCATTTTGCTGCTCTTTTTCATCACTCTTTTCTTTCCCAGCATGGGCTATTTCCCACAACTTTCGTAGTGTTTCCCAGTCCTCGCATGTCCCATCCGCTTTCGTCCAAAAGAAGTTATCGGCAATAAACCTAAACAGATGCGCTTGAATACGTTGTTTTTTGATTGGCGTCCTCTCTTTTGCTACGTAATCCTCAATCAGTGAGCACACCGCCAAAAACTCATTCTTGGCACGATCTAGCTTCCATTGGGTTTGCTTCCGTTCCCTGACGTCTGGATCGTCTTCCTCAAAGGCAGGAGGGCCACGCAGTCTGAGCATTTGGTCTTTGACAGGACGCAGCATCTGTTTATACTTTGACTCGTCATAGTCCGTGAAGAGATCCGACTCTGCACGGTCCTTCTTTTCAGCTACTTCGCTAGTTCTGCTCTTCTTTTTCGGTCGTGGCGACTTGTCTGCAGGCTCCGCCTCCGTTTTGCTGTTTTTCACCCGGACGACCCCATTTCCGCTCTTTGCACTTTCCCTGGCACGTTTCTTTGAATTCGTCTTTTCGCGGGCCAACCGAATATTATTCTGCCGCGTTTGCAGTTCTTTAAGCAGATACATGGCGCGTCGATCGAGATGGAGCTTTTTGGGCAGTAACTTGTCCTTCTGGTCTGAACTCCGCTCGCCTCCGAGATGAAACTTTTTGGCAAAGCCTAGCTCTGCATCTGCCTGTATTGCTCTCCAATTTCCAAAACCGTGTCGGTACACACCAACTAGGAGCATGGCATCGTCTTTGGTGTTCCATGGAGGTTTCGAGTCCCATTTGCCAGTAAAGCCGAGATCCGTTTGTTCCAAACGGAACGACAACTGGTTTTTGTGCGATTCCATCTCATCTGTCAGGGCGTTCAGAAGCGGGATTCGCTCAATCATCTTCTTTGCATTAATGTCCTTGGTTCCCTTGTAGTCAGCATAAATGGCCTTCTCTTTGTCTGCTTTGGAAGTCTTCTGTCCTTGCGTTGCCTCTTCATTCACGCGCACAGCCTCCTCACAGGCGGCCATAATCTCTCTGGCGTGCGTCTTAACCGCATCCGCGCTCTTATCTCCAAGGTTGGCATGACTGATAATCTCATCAAATCGTCTGTCAAGGTCACCCCACGTCATCAAAGCATTCGCCAAATCCCCGATGGCCTTCTTATCGAGTTGGTTGGCTTGGCCGCCCTTTTTTCCTTTACCTTTTGTAGCCTTCGCGCTCCGCTTACGGGTTCCGATTTCCTCCTCCTCACCCTCCCCTTCGGCATACGAGATTTGAGGTAGCCGCTTCCGAGGTGCTGGCACTTTTGGTTGGGATTCTTTCAATAGTTCCTCAGCTTCCGCCACTTTGTCTCGATCATTAGCGGGAACAAGCGAGTCCCATTCTAACTGATCCATTTGTACATTCATTGTCTTCCACCGTTCCATGAACTCATCACTGCCTCCGGCCACTGGTTGCGCCTGTGCAAGCTCAGTCTTCTCGGCGCGCGCCAAGATATCATCCAGGTCGAGTTTTTCCACTTTATTGTCATTCGTCTCGCCGTTGGCCCCTGCTTGCTCCGCAGCATCCTGTTCAAATAATTTCTTCGCACCAAACTTCAAAATTGTGGCCAGCTCATCTCTGGTCGGCTTCTGCAGCTCCTCCGAAAGCTGCTTCTCTTTCTCAATCTTCTCGTACACTTGTCCATTATTTTCCATTTGCTGAATGATGGCGTACTCGAGAACCATCTTTCTTTTAGCCCGTTCAATGATATCCTCCTCAATTGATCCAGCAGTGATGAAGCGGTACACATTTACATGTTTCTTTTGGCCTACAATCACGAACATACATTAGCGTCATTGGATTCAGAGACCGCAAGTTAATTTACAAACGTACCAATCCGATGGGCACGTGCAATAGCTTGCAGATCTAAAAAGTAGAATAACGGAAATGTTAGATGCATTAGTGCGATAGTTAGTCAAGTCTAGTTACACGCACCATTTTGCGGGTTCCAATCTAGGTCAAATAAAATAACAGTGTCGGCAGTCTCCAAATTCAAACCGAGTCCCCCAGCCCTGGTTGACAACAAAAATGCAAAGTCGGTAGACCCGGGGGCATTGAAGTGATCCATAGCTCGTTTCCTCGCTTCCGACTGCACGGTACCATCCAAGCGTTGAAATTGTAGTCCCCGAAGCGTCAAATACTCAGCCAAGATATTGAGCATGTTCACCATTTGGGAAAAAATAAGCACACGTCGCCCTTCTGCTTTCATACGGGTCAACAACTTATCCAATAAAACCATCTTCCCTGAACTGCTGAGAATATCCACAAATGAATCATTCCTGGATGTGGTAAAGTTACGGGCATTCGGGAACAAGAACGGGTGATTGCTAGCCTTCTTCAACTCCATCACCACGTTCTGGAGACTGATTCGTACTTCGTCCTTTGATCCATTCTTCAACCCTGCGAAATTCTTTGTAAAAATAGCGGTGTAATACTTCTTCTGAAGCTCTGACATTGGTATTCGAAGAATCAGCTCCGTCTTGCCGGGGAGGGAGGTCTCAACATCCTTCTTTAGTCGTCGAAGCATAAGCTTCGTAAGCAGATTGTGCAAGTACTGGATCTTTCCCTTTTGCTCCTCATTATCTGTCGCGTCGAGGTCAATCTCCAGGTCCATGTCGATACTAGCACCGGGCATCAGGAACTGGATTAAAGCCATAAGCTCCTGTACGTTGTTTTGCAGGGGCGTTCCAGTGATCAGCAAGCGGTTGGCAACCATATATTCTTTCGCAAGCGACTGGTGAAGTTTGGAGTCCTCGTTTTTCAATCGGTGCGCTTCATCTACTGCTAGAAATGCCCATTTGATTTTGTTCAAATGTGCCTTATCTTGTATGATCATCTCATACGTCGTTAAGAGGACATTGAACCGCAATATCCGCTTTGCAGGACGACCCTTTTTGGCGGTATACGAGTAAAACTCGTATTCTCGAATGATGCTGCGTCCCTTTGCGTTTCCTTGATATAGAACAACGTTCATATCTGGTGCCCATCTTGCAAACTCGCGCTGCCATGCGGAGATGGTACCAAGGGGTACGACGACTAGGAATGGCCCGTATACTTTCATAATATGGAAGAGATATGAGAGGAACGAAACAGTTTGCACGGTCTTTCCTAAACCCATTTCATCTGCCAAGATCCCGTTTTCGTTCCTATGCCACAGATCCGCCATCCAGTTGACTCCAATCAACTGGAACTCTCGGAGTTCACCTCCCACCAAAAAGTCCGCTTCCCGGAAAGGCTTATATGGTGGGCGATGGTCAGGCTTGTATTGCTCGCTTCGACTTGGCACTTGCTGACTGTTGGACCGATCCAGGAACGAATCGATCTCGGCCTGATCGTCGGCCAATGACGTTGCTGACTCCCAGGTACCTTCCTCGTATCCTAATCCCCGCCACTTACAGTAATACTGCGTGCCGCTCGGGTTGTCCTCATCGGGGCTTACCACGCGACTGGCAATGATACGATCCACCTTCTTGTGTTCCTCAAGGAGATCCTTCTTATCGTTGATCTCCATCAATACACGTTCTCTATCTTCTTCAGTGAGATAGGGGTCTTCGAGAATGGCCTGTCGTTCATTGAACTCTTTGATGAACTTGTCAATCTTTTTGAACCCCTTAAGAGTCTCCAGGTACTGGACGTCACACCACTGCAGTTCCCGATACGAACGACCTAGCCACTTGACCAGATATTGACTTTGCTCCACAGCGTTGCCATCTACCATATGTAGCATTTAGAAGGTGTCTTGCTAAGATGAGAAAAAGAGAGACAATTGAGGGACATACCTTCGTCTTCAACCTCCACCGTACGTTGGTCGAAAAACCCATCTATCACATCACCTAAGCCAATGCGTCCTGGGTCAGCCAAGTGTTTACATCGTCACGGCACACGGTTTCCTTACCTTCTTCTTCTGGCGGATATGCTTCCGCATAGACTTCAGGCCCCCTCTCTTCCAAATCAAGCTCTTCGTCCGCAGCATTTTCATTGTAGTCCAAAGCGGGGTTTCGCTGTCGGGTGGAGTATCGCGGAAAATCATCATCCCACAGGTAAAGGTTCTGCTTTTGTCGCTTCTTCTTGGCATTTTCTGATTCGAAATCAGAGCCAGACACCTCTTCCTCTTCTGAAAAGTCTCCGATGAAATCGTCTGGGTCCTCTGAAAACAGGATCATCTTTAGGACCCAGGCGATTAAAACAACTCCATCTGCCGCCTATGCACCTTTGCGGCGATTCATTTGTGCCCGCGATCGTAGCTTGCCTTTGCGTTGTTTGCTCTTACGCCGTGATCCATAGTCGTCGTCATCCTCCTCATCATCACTCGGACTGCCCTCTTTACCAGCCTAATATAGAGCAGAAAGTTATAACGAAATGCCGAGTGGTTGTTAGTCCATGCAATAAGAACGACTCACAGCAGTGAAGCGATTCGGTTGCGTCCGCGCTCTGCCCGATCGTCGAAGGCCATACAAATCTGGGTTTTCTTCAGCGTATGAAAATTCAGATTTACTGGACCGTATTGTACGTTTTCTGTTCCTTGCCGATGGCTTGTCGTCCGCCGAGCTTTCACCTTCAGTGATGATCTCATCTTGCTCTGGCTCACTTTCACCTTGAACGTAGTCATCGTCTTCGCTCTTGTGTCCATTCTCGTGGTTATCGCCAGGCTCGCTAAAATCACTTAGATCATCATCAACATCAATGTCGCCATCCGAACCGGTAGTGGGCCGCCCCGGGATTAGGTCGGCCTCGGGTATCTGTACATCCTCATCGGAGTCGAATATGTGATCTGTATCCGAGCTATAGTTACTGTTATGCCGGGCTATATAGAGAGCAATGCAAATGTAGAGGCATCGGTTAGGAAAAGAGTTTCAAAGGACCGCACAATAGGGTCTTTAATGGTAATCGGCAATAGATCGCAAACAATGATCATGAAAACCCCTAACCAAGATACGCCCCACCCTAGTCTGCCGAACAGCCAAGCAGCCTTTCGCCATGAAAACGTCGTCAAAGAGACACCGTACTAAACATCTCGTAAAGCCCTTGCTCGCTTTTCCCCGTACAGTCACCATCGTGCAATGACGGTGATGCACTGAACAACAACGCTGAAATTCCGCGCAGTAAAAACCGAGCGAAGCCATATAGCCTGTTACCCCAGTAACCATATATCTCTATCTGAAGCTCCTGCATCGACAAAGTGTCTCTACTAGTGGAACTCCGAACTTTGTCTCACCCATGGCCGATGCCGATGAGTACGCGAGACATGATTGGCAAAAGCCACAAACATTTCTTTGCATTTCGCACCTCGTTCGAAAGAGGTTCTCTTGTACTGTCAAGGTGGACTTGGCGCAATACATCGCAAGTGATATCTGCTTGAGCACCAACCGCGCAAGACGATGCATATCTGGAGGTTTTTGTGCCAAGGCTACCACGGCCACCGTCTGACACGTTCTCATATGGGCTATGCCAACCTTAGTACCCCGGTACCATCACCCACCTGTAGGACCCGTTGTGTGTACGTCTGTATTAGTCTGTGGGATGCGTTCTATCGGAGGGGGATCCCCGCTGTTGCTCATGGTGTGGCTGTGCAGTAAGACCGGGAACGTAAGCGAGTGCTTTGCAAAAAGCGTTCAAAAGGCCGGAAAGGCGACCAGCAAACGGAACGCACAACAAAACGATTGTAACACAAAGACTTACTAACACCAATGGGATCTTATAAGGGTTGTATCCTTATATTAGGTAATCAGTTGCACGTGAGCTTATTGTCGGGCATCTAACATGATGGATGCGATGAAGTATTCTCGACGACAGCAACATCAGAGGAATCTTGTCAAGAAGAGTGTATTTATCAATGAAAAATAAAAAAAGAACAATCGACAGCAACATCTAAAAAGTCTAGTTACAAAAAAATAAGAAAAAGAATAATCTATCAAATTCCCTTTATGCCCCCGCAAGCACGTCCACAAACGCTACTTCTTTACCACATTCCAGCAAACGAACCCTTTAGGTTAAGTTGCAGCGGACCACCAGCCGCAAACAACCCGGAGCGTGATGGGTTGTACTTGAGGGTATATATTGCATTCCGAACATCCGCTCCCTGAAAATGCGCTTCGTACATTGCATCGCGCAAAAGCCACCCTTCACCCGTCTGCAACCAGGCGGTCATGTCAGAAGGGATGCCAGCCAAGATGGCAGTTGATCCACGGCGGATCCGAGATCGTCTCGCATATCCAGGCGAGAGAGGGGAGGACGCAGACCGAGACAAGGGTGAGGGAGACGATGGGGTTGACAATGCCGACTGTGATCTGTGCGAGCTTGGCCAAGCAAGATATTTTCCACCGCGCATGTCGTAAAATGATACTCTGCCCTTGCCACCACCTACTGCAAGGACTGCATTGTCGAAAGCCAGCGATCGCACGCCCCATCCATCATCACAGCTCTCGAATGTGTGGACAACTTGGCCCGCTCGCGGATCAACAAGAGAAACATGATTCGCGGAACCGATCGCGTAAATGTGCTCACTATCATCGAACGCCAAACAGCAAGTCTCCTCGGTATAACGCAAAGGCACATTAGTGGATGGTTTAAACTTGTTGGCGTCCCAAATTTTGACAAAACCATCCGTAGAGAGAGTGGCGATGTTGCTTTTTGCAGTATTGTAGAGCATATCCCGTACTTTGCCTCGGTGTTCACAAGCCGAAACGGTGGCGGAGAGAAGGGATATACGCGGACCATTCAACGGAGAGAGGAACTCTGTCCCACTCTCGGAACAAATCATCCACTTTTTGACGGTCATATCGCGAGCTCCAGAGACCAGAACGTTATCACTCATCCAGGCCACGGAAAATACCATATCAGTGTGCCCTTGGAGAACTGCAAGAGGTTCAAATGACGGCAACTTGAAGATTTCAATCGAACCAAGAGGTCTTCCAACCCCGACAGCAATCAACGTTCGTGACGGATTGACGGCCATGCATCGAATTCCTGTTCCCAAATCTGGCAGCACCTGCCGCTGCATCAGACCCTTTTCTCCGACAGCTTGCTCAGAGCCCCATCCAGGTACGTGAGCTTCCACCAATGGTATTTGCACTCTTTTCCCGTTTCCAACATTCAACACGACCAACGCGTTGCATTTTGTTCCCATTACAACGTGATCATCAGATAACCAAGTCGCCGCAAACACCTTGTCGAGACCCGCGGTATCAAATTCGTGCTCGTCTGTCAATGAGCCTGCCAATTTTCGCGACACATATCTTGCCATATCCGCCTCCAACGAATTGCGATGCGTTCTAATCCGCTGTGCCCGTCCTCGTCGAGCCACGCCATTGCACTCGCGAGAATTTAGACATGCGGCAATATTAGAAGGTTCGCTATGCGGGTATGTCCAGGTGGGTTCAAAGGGTTTCCCCATAAACGGGAGCTTGAAGACGACCATAGTAGTGTGCCAGACCAGACGGGCTATGACCAGCGGACAGCAGGCGATGCAGTTCCAGAGCGAAAAGGAAATGCACGGAGGGGTATCCTAAATAAATAAATCTTTCTCCACCCGGGCCTTCCGGACAAAACGCCCAACCGGTTGATTCCAACCCACACCTCCGAAGTTTCAGCGGGGGTTCTGGACTGCGACCCAAAACGAACTCCGACTCAACAAAAAAAATCTGCAATCTCCCCCCATCGCCACCCATCCGCTCATGTATCAAATCTGCCTGATAAGTTTCTAAAAATGGAACTTTTTCATTACATATTTGTAGTTGTAACTGCAAATTTTAGTGAGACACGTCAAGGGTTCGACGCTCGCTCGGTGCAGGCTTCAAGGGGCACCCGAACCCTTTTTTTTTCGGTCCAATATCGCACCATCATTGCAGTCGCTCTGTATTCCACGCAATGTCTTTATGAAATCCAAATGGGTATACTAGGCACAGCGATTCTACCACTCACTCTAAGCACTACATATATCATGGTAGGGAAATATGAATAAATTGACAACTATAAACTGTGGGGTGATTCCGTCGGCATATTGACAACAGGAGATTGCCCATCATCTTCCAAAATATGTTTTATCATGTGGTACATTACGTTCTTGTTGCTCCTATAGACTCGAATTAGTTGAAAGCGTGAGCAAAGGACAAGTGTCCGCGACTCACCAGTACGAAAAATGTGCTTTTAGCCCAATTAGATACTGTCAATATCCTGTTAGGTAAAGTCATAGCACGTTCAATTCAAAAGTGGGGATGCTACCTGCTGAACCACATTGTCAATGATGTTATCCTGCACGTAATAATCCAATCTCTCGGCTGGCGGCTCGGGAACAGGTAATGATGCGTTTTCACTCGTTTCTGAATCATCAATGTGAGTGGTATTCACGCCTGATCGTGCCTCCGCGTCTTGGTGAATAAGACGTTTTGCTTCGTCTTTTCCAAGCAATTCTGACATGACCGTCTCGCCCACATCCAGGACCGTTTGTTCCTGATTTGATGGGTCATGCAAAGTACGCGGTACCGCAGAGCTTCCCTGCCCGACTCGATCTCCAGAGCCCAAATCCGGCGTAGTTGAGCGTGAAACCAACCGATTCTGATCATCTTGGCTTGTATCTATTTCGCCTCCCTGATATACTTCATCTTCCGCTCCGCCGGCAATCATTTCCAGTGCCTTGACGACTGGTTCAAATAAACTCCGCTTAAATACCTCCGCCATGGCGCTCATAGATTCAGTGACGGTTGCAGTATACGAGGACGATCGAGCACGTTCAAAGGCAACGGACTCAGTTGTGGTCTGAACCACAGTTGACGACTGCTCGTAACCTGCGTGTCTCTCCACAAATTCACCGCGACCTATAGATGTCAGGTCTACAGATGCTCGACGCGACAAAAGTTTCGAAACGGGTCTTCGTATTCGACGATTGGTACATACTCCCTCAATACTTTGGCTTGAACCAGGCTGCTGAATTGAAGACTTGTCGTGATTGCTGACACTACACGCTCTTTTCCGTTTGGAGCCTCGTTGCCCTGACTGACGACTTTCATCGGGAACGGTTGCTTCACACAATGTCACCAAGTCGTCTTCGCTTTCCAATTCTGGTCCTTTCTCCGGTTCTCCTGCTCCACCCTTTATACGCATTCTCTTATTCGGCACCCAACCATTAATTCCGTCATCGGCTGCTCTGGGCTCCTCTCCGCCTTCTTCGTCTTCTTCATCATCAAATCCACCAGCCCAAACCGAACTGTACATGCTCTCCATCACGGCAAACATTTGCTCTCGCAGTGCGGCGAACTGGGAGAGACTGGGCACTCCCATACTCCGCGGTAAACTGGGTATCTGGAGCTGAGGCATGGATGGCATTGCAGGCATCATGGGCATAGCCATCGAGGACGGAACGGTAGGTAGTTGGACGCGGACGGAGGATGCCATGGAGGAAAGGTCCGGGAGGTAGGATGAAATCAATTCTTTATAGTAGTTGAAATTTGAATTTCGTGCGCTTGGGCGTTGCAGGAGGACTGGTGGAATCTCTGCGTATTGATAATTTAAGAGCGGCTCGATTCGATAAGACTAGATGGAAAGAATTTAGTTGCTTGAACAGTTTTTAGCATTCACATCAAGATAAATCACTACCAGAGGATCGTACAAATGAAATATATTGTGAAACAGAATGTCTGGTGGTGGTCGGTACGTATGGATTGATTGCCCTCGCATAATCAGAGTGGCAGGTACAGGAGAGCCCAAGCTAAACAAGGCTGCGGGTCGGAATACCAACTTTGGATAGGAAATGGCAAAATAAGGGCGGGCGGGTGGTGGTGGCGGTCTTTCCATTGACGGCTCTCGGCTGTTCCCGTTGGAAGCCACCCCGTCCCTCCCTTTCGTGTCCTCCATATTTGAAAGCAAATCGTAGCAAATGATGCCCCCGAGAGAATGTCCGACCAGGATGACTTTACCATCAAAATCTGGGTGGTCTTGGCAAAACTTTGTATAAGCTTCATTCAACCGCTTTGCAACAATTTTTAGAATCGTTTGCCCGTGAAATGACGAAAAGTAGTACAATACGTCGGCAAGAATGTCATTATTAATGGTTCGCAGAATGGAGCAGGTGGGAAGCGTCACAGTCTTCATACGCCTAATGTATATAAGATGAATAAGAGAAAAGGAATCGGCTGCCACCTTTCACTGACACCCACCTGTCAACTGAATCCATCTGATGCAGTTCCTGATGCCATTCTAGTTGTCACACACAAGGTTTATCATATCAGTACAAAAATTCAATCGGTCGTAACAGTGAGGACGAACCTATTGGAACCCATGCTACATGCGTGCGGCGATGTGGGAACTCTTCTTTTACGACCTCCTTACATGCACGACGAAGGGATTCGACTAGAACGAAGACAAGTTTTGAACAAGGTACTCCTCGACCTAGTTCACAGCAAACTCTCGACTTACGGTTTTGAACGTAACGCCGTTGCCGGCCCATCCCATGGACAACGAAACAGACATGGTCGACTGCCATAACAATAAAGGTGAAAGAGAAGAAATACTCGCCATTAGCGACACGCAAGTATGGCAAGCTTCAGCACAACAAACACCCATACCCTTGCTGGGTTCAGGACCTTGACTCAAACCCGTTGACTCACCACTACCCGATGGTGGCGGTGAAGACGAAATGCTTGGCACTTGCGGTCCAGTGTCCTGTCTACTAGGTGACCGCATCTGGGTAGCCAAACAAAATGTTTAAAAGAAAACCTCCCGCAAAGGAGTGTCAAATGGGACAGTTACTTGTGCATAGCGCTAAGCCGCGTGCAAATGAACGCGGGTTTTTCATGGCCTTTTGACATATTTTGCCGAGTTGCAGGCCAGAGATCTTGCACGAGATACATCAACATGCTGACTATATCCGAATGCCAGTTAACAGACCACAGGATACATCTCTATATGTGAGGTCTTTCGCACACTTGCCTTTCCGCCAACGGGCTCATTCATTCAAATCCATCTCCTTTTCAATTTTCCAGACGTCAACGAACGTAACCTGTAGTGATGTATATTTCTTTCCTCCCTATATGCTACCTTTGAGGAAGGTTCAGAAGGTTGATGCGTCCGTTGCGCTTTCAGTGGTCACCTACGCCTAGTTTCCCCCCTTTAGAAACAGTCTCCACAAGTCAAAACCATCAAGGTTTTTATGATATTCATTCCACTGCAATAAAGTCTGTTCAAAAACAGCTGAAAGATCTCTTGGATGTAGAGAGGAGGAATCCACCATAAACTTTTGCCTATCACCGAGCCCGCAAATGACGATCCATGGACTTGACCTTCGGTCTTGTTGAGCACAAAATTGCCTATAATCTCGGTGGACGGGAAGTCTCCAAAAAGAGATCAAGCTGACTATGACTCTGACCTGCTGGTCCTTTCATGAAAGAGTAGATGTTATTTTCCGAATGGTACGCAACGGCAAGTTGCCCGCTGGTACAATATCATATCTCACAGATGTATACCTAATGAGGATGACACTGTCATCAGTTATGGAGCCGCCATTTCTAGGATGGCCATTTTCATCATCAGAGACCAAACGGGAAACTATACATCTTTGCAAATGACATGCGACATTCATTCGTAAAAGATCCCAACATCAGTGCCAATTCTTACCGCTGCACTTTATCAGATATGCGACAAGCGGCTGTACGCGCTGATATGGACAAAATCCAATTTGAACACCCACGAGCAGAAAGCTCTATTGGCATGCTAGGAACAAAAAGTAAAACACTCACATTGCTCCTTCCTACTCAAACGACATGGACGTTCCATCATGAACTCTTTCCAAATGGTATGAGCTGTAACTGCGCCCTCCGATCGCTTACCATACCAGACGTAAGCGTCTGCACGTGAGCATAAATCAGTTGAAGCGCTTGTACAAGCACCAAAGGTTGGATTGAACAATATCGCCTTTACTGAAAAATACCCAGCAAAATCTGAGTATAAGAGAAATACATTGAATTGTGTGATTGCATAAAGTGTCAAAAGCAAATGTACAGAAAATGTTATCGACACGGTCCAAAAATGGCGTTATATCAAGTTAAATGATAAGGAGAAGGCATGAATATATGGAGTCGTATGTGTGCACCTGGATCTGAGAAATGTTGAGTGCGACCCAATAGTGGAACAAGAAAAACAAAAGACTGCAAAAGTTTCCTGATGACCAGAAGAGGATGAAGGGTTATCTCGGTCATTGAATTAGCTATCTTTGCATGGTATTAAATACTGTATCAGCCCAAGAGATTACTGGTCAATGTATGTCAAGCTGTCGCTGGCAGAAGCTGCCGACAGTTTATCGTATCGGAAATACAAGAGCAATCCGTTTGAATTGCTAGTGTGTGATTACGTAATCTCGGAGTGTTTGTTCACCAGCCCACCCTTACAGTTGATCAGGAAGACTTTATCAAATGGCTGATCAGAATATACAACCAGAGGAAGACAGCGTGGTGCGTAAATCAGTATATTTAAGACTCGGATGTGGATTCTGATTTTCTGCTCTGCAGAATGGGGAGTTGCGGGAGAATGTGGACGCAGTCGAACCGAGCGCAGAGTCACAAGCACAGCAAGTTCCCGCTCAAGGAGAGAGTGATGAACCAGGGCAAGGGGAGCAAGCGCAGGCGGAACCCACACAGGATCAGCAAGGACAGGCAGAACAGACCGAATTGCAGACTGAACATGCGCAGGACGAGGTGATCCAAGAAGATCAATTGCAAGGCGAGCCAACACCAACAGACCAACTTGGTGCACAAGATAATGAAATACCCACCGAAGAGGAACAAAGTATTCCTCTGACAACTGATGCCACTGAAGCCGACGCACTGCACACGCCAGCAAGATCACCGACTCCAACAGCGCCCCTCCCTTTGTCACCAGAGCCATCCCAACAAGATACTCAGTTCGTTCCTCCCACAGCTCGCACACTCCAATCCCCACCCCCTTCAACACCCACCTACACATTTCAAAACACGGATCCATCTACGCTCGATGCCCCAATAACATTGACGACTCCGCTCTCCCGCGTCGGATCGGGCGCCAGTACTCCAGTGGAGGTTGGGTACATCCCACCTACAACGCCAACACAAGAAGAGAGTGTACAAGAGGAGGAGCAAGTTGTGCCTGAGCCGATTCCACAGGGATTGGATAGAGAAGAGTTGGTGGCAAAGATTCGGGCCGAACTAGATGGAAAGGATAAATTGCAGGTGAGGAATGTGGCTCTACAGAATCGGTTAGGAGAATATTTCAGAAAGAAACGAGTGAGTGTTTTTCTTTTGATGGCGTTGACGGTGTGAGTATTGGGTATTAAGCGATTCTGTAGACGGACGAAACGCGCGAAACGGATCCAAAGCCGCCGACCGACCTGACAACGCGTTACACTACCTCACTCTCCACCCTCCTCACATTGAACCAAACGCTTCAAGCCTTGCATCAAACCCACACCAAGCTCTCTACCGACTATTTGACCAAACTCACTCAAAAACAGGAAGAAGCTGCGGCGAAAGCAGCCGAATTCTCCACCTACAAACGTGCCATTGCCCAAGCGGCTGAGAATAGCCGGACTGGCCGAAAAATTGCTCCAAAGGTTTTGGAAGGGCTAGAGATCAATGAGGAAAGAAAGGAAGCCGAAGTCATTGAGGTTCGATTGGAGAATATAAAGTTACGGAATAGGCTGCGGAGAAGCGAAGGATTGTTGAGGCAAAAGGTTTGTTTAGGTAAACTTTTGGCCACCTCTTAAAATTGCTGACCGTTTCCCAATAGGAAGAGCTAGCGGATGGTCTGCACCTGATCGACTTTGAACAACTTAAAATTGAGAATGCGACCTATAACGAAAAAATCGAAGATCGCAATGAGGATCTCCTTAAACTCCGAAAGAAGATCACTACCATCGTCCAGGTTCTTACGCATGTCAAGGAAAAGCTGCATCATCTTTCCCACGAGACCCGGGTGTTACAGGACACATTAGGGGGATTGGATGAGCAAGTCATGAGGAAACGGGATGAGCTGCCGGTCAAAAAAGGAGAGAGGGATAAATTGAGGAATGAGAATGCAGAATTGCGAAAACGGGCTGGATTGCTCGGATCGGTTGGGCTGTTGCGGGATTTTGAGAAACATGCTGTATGTTTCAATTTTCAGTTTGGCATTGTAGCATCTTGCTGCAGGTGTGATTCATTTTTTTTTTGTTCATAATGCAGGACGAAGCACAGGCCTTGCACGGCCAGATTAATGCTCTACGAACACGCCATGCAGAGCTCTCTGCGGAAATGCTTGGTGTCAAAAGAAAAATTCAAAAGGCACAGATTGTAGGAGCAATATGATTGCCACAAAGTACGTTTATATTTGGAAAAACTAGGAGAGAGGAAGAAAAACACAAGGGAAAAATATAGGGAGGGGATATACTAGTAGAAACCAAAGAGTAGGATATACACAAGAAGAGACACACACAAGTGGAGGCTTTGCAGAAAAGCAACAATAGAATGCATTTGTGCAGGTTAACGGTCGGTCAAAAAGAATATGAGGTTCATTGAGGAAAGAGCTTTTTGTGCCTGTGCATACGAGAGAGAGATGTCTAAGTCCTATGTACGATTGGCGAAATGCGCGACATTGGCGAGAATCATATCATACCCCAGTTTAATGATAATGTAGCCGCCGACACCAGCAGCGACAAACGCGCCAAAGAGTTTGATAATGAATCGACTAGCGTTGATCAATTTTAGCTCTACCGATATTCAAGAGGAGCAAACAAAAGGGCAAGATACGCTACCATCCGTCGTTGCCTTCCCAAATCTCAACGCCCCATACCCACCATTTCCATGTTGCCTTTCCCTCCAATCTTTTCCTGTTTTTTGTTTTTCTCCTTTTTCTCAATCCCGGTTCCGATGAGGTATCCGACCCACACACTGCGGCGCTGCTGCTGCTGCAAGTTTTGTATCCGTCCTGGTCTTCTGGTGGAGTGGGATTGGGAGGGACGTCGACAATGGGCAAGGGAAGAGTGCAGTTTGCCGTGTTTACAAAAGGCAGCGGCGTGAGACTTCTCCCACTCGACAGAGAAATGATTTCCAAGTCTGAAAAGTCCCTTTTAGTAATTTCGACCCAGGACCAGTCTGTCCATGCAGGAGGCGGGGTTGGAGGCGGGCGAAGGAGAGCTGTGATGTGAGGAGAGAGAGGTGTGGCCGTCATTCCATTGTCCAACGTGGCAGAGTGCTTTGTAAACGTTTCTTCTTCTGTCGTTGCCAATGTCCCTGTGGAGGCAAGGTCTTCGAGTCGTTCAATCAGCGTAGGTCGATACGGCGGCGGCGTATGCATGTGTGTGTTTTTGTGTGTGTGTAAATGTGTATATATGTGTGTTTGGGAAAAACAGTCAAAAAACACAAGAATAACGACGATGATGACGGGAACGAGTGGCATATGTCACATTACAAGTCACATTATCCAGCCCTCCTGTACGACCGTATCATGAGATAAGATTCAATTTCATATTAAAAATAGATGCAGCCACTGGATCGAATGAGATGAAATGCAAGATGCCTCCCTTGATTTTCAAATGAATGGTTTGCATTATATGCAGCCATGAACGGATTGCAATTACTATCCCTTGCGGCCATCTATGAGAGGAACTACTCTCCTGTAGCAGTTGCCACCTGCATGACGCTCCATGACTCAATATATCGACTCAGTTTTTCTATATAAACCCCCCTCTTCCCCCATCTTGTTTCTTCCTCCCTCGACTCTCGAAGCATCTGCCCAATGCTCAAGTCCCATCATGAGAATGCCGCTCTGGTGCCGAGGACCTCGTCCGCCCGACAAATACAACATAACCCCTTGCAAACGCTGCTATATTGCTACGATCGCAGGTATATCTTGCTGATTTTTCCCACGTGCATATTCCCAGTCCAATTCTGATTTGACTAGTATCTGAAACGTCCTCCGACTAAGAATTTCGGAATCAAAGGGCTAGTAGGATTTCTCTCGTGGTGGTGGGCGCTAGTTACCCGGTTGACCAACCGTTATCGCATGTGTAATTGTTAGCGATAGTTTTTTTACTTGTAAGGACTTGGTTAGCTAGTTGGCTTTTCCGAACCGGTTCTCGCCGGTTCATTCCCTGGTGTGCGCGGCACGACATCGGTTTTTTGCTCGCACACTATTCAATCCGTTAAGCGTCATTCCCTTTTCAAATGCAAACGTTCAATTGAAGGGAGATAAAAGTCTTGTGATGACTATGATTGAGTAAGCAATATCTCCATTTTAGGAAGGCTTTCACGTGAACACTATTGAGTGGTTCCTTTTTGGAACGGAGATCCCTGCACATGTGTAGGATCCTTTTTGTAGTTTTTAGGTAGGAGTCGTAGCTGGCAGTAGCGGTAGTAATGTCTCTGCTTCCCCAATGGCTGCCTAGAGGCTGCCTAATGGCTCCCTGATGGCTGCCTAATGGCCGTCTATCATAGTCTATACGAGTCCATCCTAGTCTATCCTAGTCCATAGTGCGGAGCCGATGGGTATTGGCACTAGTACATAGATTCCAACCAATTTAATCATAATTTTACTCGATTTAGACTCATGAACTATGGTTTGATCCAAAAAATCCTATATAAGTTGTCGTGCCCATTTTCCCAGGCTTTCATCTTTTCCCACAGATATCATCATGCCGCCAAAGAAAAAGCAAAAGCTTGAAAAACTCGACAAACCTACTTGCTTACATACCTGCAACAAGACTTCCTTTGCAAAAGCTTTCTTGCCAAACGAGACCTACCGGCAGCGTCTTCTAGATTACATCGCCATCATCCATCAACTCGCTGACCACGCTTCCCACGCTCTCAAATTCTACATCCTATCTGCACCAACCTTTCCCACGGTAAATGAAGATACAATCGAAGCAATTCTCTATCTTCTCAACAAAGGAGAGGCTTGGCATCCAAGAAAGGAAGCAAAGAAGGCATGGCGGGATTGTTTGCTGCCATATGTTCAACGGTACTGCCAAATCGTCGGCTTTGTTCACCCAAATCTACGAGGCGAGCAGCAATCAGTCAATTACCTGACAGCGAGTATGATGACGAACCTGAAAGTCAACGTTCAAGAGCATTTCATGCAGATGCTCCTTCGGTATATCAATCTGCGGCTCGACGTGAAGGGACAGAAGCAGCGACTGCCACTGAAAAGCGATGCGCGGCAAGCTTTCTTTACTCGGCTACGCTACTTGAAGTCGGTTTTCCTTTTCGAAACTATGCCAGAATCACTGGATGACTTGAGCATTCTTGAAAACGAGATTTTAGAAGAGATCTGGACACTTAACCTGCCATTTCCTGATCAAGACAAGCCGCTTGCCTACCTCATTGCCATCGACGCGATGTCCTTCTTTCCTGCATACTGCCGACTGTCAAAGTTGTTCGAGCAGCAAGGTTTTCAACAGTTCAGCGCGATACCTCTGCGCCGCTCTCTCATCCAAAGCCATATTCGCATCGACACGGTCATTCTCTACGCCCACATCCTCTGCATCACCCGCCAAGAAGCAGAAGCCGTAGAGAAGGTCGATTTATGGTTGCGCGTCTGTAATCTACGTACCAAAGCTTTTCGGTCTCGCTGTGGTATGCATTTTGAAGGCTCGATCACGACGGACGGAACCTCGGTGTCTGTATACCTAAAGCACCCAGAAGCTGACAAGTACGGAAAGCGCGGAGCGAGAAAGTCAGCAAAGGCTCTAGCAGCTGAGGTGAAGGCGCTGTATGTGGAAAACAACTTACCTGCTTGTCGAGCAGCAGAGAATGTCGTCGTTATCGACCCAAACAAACGCGACATTCTCTACTGCCAAGACAGTAATGGTACAACGTTTCGCTACACCGCCAATCAACGCTGCAAGGAGACTGGAAGCCGTCGATTTGCAAAAGAACGGCAGCGGATGAAAGCTGGCGGTATTGACCTCATAGAATCACGTATCCCAAGCCACAAGACGATGAACCTCATAGACTTCATGCGTTACCTTCTCGTTCGCCGCGCTGATTGGGATCGTCGAAAGGAGTTCTACTCCCACCCTGCTCATACTCGATGGAAATGGCACGCATTCATAAACCGTCAGAAGAGCGAATCAGACCTCATATCCAACATGCGCAACAAGTACGGCGAAAACTTCACCATTGTGATGGGTGATTGGAGCGACGCCGGTCGAACTGCGAGATTTCAGACCTCATCAAAGACGAAAGGTTGGCGCACCCTCTTAAAGCGGAACAGGATCAACTGCTTCCTTCTCGACGAGTACAAGACCTCATCTGTCTGCCCTCGCTGTTTGGCCTCATCTGATGACTTCCTTGAAAAGGACTTCAAAACACGACCTCATTCAAGACCTTGGCGCCGTCGCGAAGGCAAGATTGAAAAAGTCCATGGATTGCTGGGTTGTACCAACCCTAACTGTCAGCAAGCCTGGACGATGCGCTACTGGAACAGGGACACGCTGAGCACCTGCAACATGCTGATGATCGTGCAATCAATGTTGGATGGACACGGTAGACCAGAGGTGTTCAGTCGGAGGAGTGTTCCAGCCGTAGCGTAGATTAGTTAGATTACCTTTTCCGAACCGGTTGTCGCCGGTTCAATCCCTGGTGCGGGTGCTAGTGCCAATACCCATCGGCTCCGCACTACGATAGTCTACGCTCGTCCATGGCTGTGTGTCCATTCAATCTTGTAGTGTAGAAAGAGCCGCTGGTTTTGGGGGGCTGACGTCTGTGGCTGTGCCATGCTGTGGGATGGCGCAGGTTGCTAAACTCATGTGACACGCGTATGAATCAATTTTTAACTTTAAGGAAAGAGCGACAAAAAGTAGAAGGACCGTTTCCCGTTATCTTTCCCGCTATTTGACGTTCGAGCGCCATTTCCCAACTTTCAAGCATCTCGAGGGCAGGCAATGATGAAGGCACTGCTTTTCATCGCCTTGGTCTCTGGTGGAGCGTGGGCTCAAAGTATGTACTGGGTGATGCAGCGAGCAGTCTTGTTTGAATTTGTATACTGACAAATTCACCCACTTTTCAGGCCCATGCGAGCTTACGGACAGAATATGTCTGACTCAAACCACTCTGCAAATCGGATCGCCTTTCTCCCTTTACCTCTATTTCGCTGGATTTCAACAAAAGGATCCGGCCAAATGGACAATATCCCTTTTTAAGGGAGACTTGCGGGCAAACCCTCAAACCGATCCTTGCCGTCCCGGCCAACAATTGATTTACAAGTGGGAAGCACCCCCGTTTACCGTCGTATCGACAAATGTTGCCAAAGGGGATTTGGTAATTGATCCAAAGGTTGTGAATACCATTGCTGGCGACAATCAGTACTTTTTTCAAGCCACGGATGGGACGCAAGGAGTTTGTCCCATGGGGCCCTTTGCAGGGGTGACGCACGTCCAACTGGGTGAGTACATTTAGACTGGAAAAAGTTGGCACACGACGCTAGGCAAGCATTGCCAGCCTTCTAGTAGGAAAACAATGCTGCATAAGAGTACGGTGACACGAGTGCAAACCTCTTATGTTCAGGTTTTCTCACGCGGGAACGAAAGGATCGCATGTTTTTGCAAGACATTGAATTTTATCGTGATGGCTATCGCTGTATATTTCCGCCTGCATAGCTAGGCGCTATTTTATACAAGGTACTAACGTACTGGCTGTGGTTGATAGCTCTTGCGACTACCTCCTCCACAACAGCACCAGCAACATCGACCACGTCGACCGCCGCACCCACCACCGTTAAGGAAGCTCCAGCCCAAACACCGCCAGCAGGTGTCTTCCCGACTGGGCCTACTGCTCCCGCCACTGCAAGCAGCTCCTCGTCGTCATCACCAAACGTTGGATTAATTGTGGGTGTCATTTTCGTCGCATTGATAATATTATCCGCTGGCGGACTCTTCTTCTTTCGACGAAAACGAAAGAACAAGCGAAACTGGGGAATGGAGGGCGGCGCAGGTGCTGCTGCTGCGTCTGCCGCAGTTGTGGGATCGTCCAAGCCAAACATGTCAGAACGAAAGGAGACTATTGGATCATTGGCTCCATCCGAAAGTGCCTCGCTTGCCAGGCTCGTTTCTATACACCCAGATCCAGAAGACGAAATTTTTGTTGGACCGCCAATACCTGCCTCATTGGCTAGACCGCAATCAGCAGCAGCTTTGGCAGCCGAATCAACAGCCACCGCTCCTCTCCTTCCATCTTTGACCACTCAACCAGAAATCGCCACACCCCGCCTCAGCTCCGCAACCGACCCATTCTCGGATGTTCATGCAGATCCCTTCTCCGATCCCATTCCACCACCACAACCTCCACCATCGTCATCACACCGCCGTTCCATTCTGGCGTCGCTCCACTTGGACCGTGACTTGGTCTCTAAAACTCCTGTGTCTTCCAGCAGCACGTCTGCAAACGATCGACATGCCTTTGCTCTGATGGTTGCACAGGCGTTCCGAAAGGAGCTTAACGATCCACAGATGGAGTGGGATCGAAAAAGTGGTGATTCAACAGAGAGTGACAGGGATCAACCGTCTGCCTCGTAGCATGTGACCTGGTCGGTTTTTGTATAGATTCTGAATGTAGATGGGTCGACCGAGTAATGATAGTGAGCGTAAGGACGTTTAGGACATTGGTACCCTCCGTAGCATGTTTGTTTTCTTCTTCTTGAGAACCCTCATTCACATATGTGCATTTGGGTAGTGGCTGCTGTCATGCAGTGTTCTAGTAGTTTGTAACTGTTACATTTTGTCTTTCTTTTGTATCTAATTTCACTTTGTGTTCTATTGATGAAAAAGATGAACTATGCACTTTTGCTGAGAAAATGTTCCTTTTTGAACAACATACAAAGTATGTACTATGACCAGCACTATGCACGTTTACAACCAAAACGACCACAGCTTAAGCCTGCTTTTGAATCGGCAGGAAAAGCTTGAATTCCGGCGGCAGCTCCTCTTCGGAATATAACCGATCCGAGAAATAAATTCTCCTGATTCTGCAATTCGCATGAATTTGCACACGGAGAGTCTCAATGTAGTTTGTTCCGTAGGCTCTGCGTGTAAAGTCGGACAGATTGAACTGGATTTGGTTCCACCCATCATCGAGACGCATAGGCATTGTGCAGATAAAGGGCTTCACACGCGTTGTTGACTAAGAATAAAGACATCATATAAGAGTAAGCATGTGCATCCCATCTGGAAACTTTGTGAACCTGTTGATGAGAACGGTTACCTGATAATTGCTTGCCCTGAACCTCCTCCGAACATTCTTATCATCCAACACTTGGACTTCAAACGTAAAGTACTTTTTCAGGTTTTTGATGATCATCACTAAAAACGGCAATTTGATTCCCAAGGTTCTGTTCTGCTGGGCGGGGCAAGTAATAAAGTTGGTGGAGACATTGGTGCCGATGATTTCGAGAACAGAGGATTGAATGTCATTGTCCGTGATGCGCTTGATGTGCCCATTACGAACTTTTTTATCCCAAATTTGAAGCGGCTTTGAGCCAATGCTGTAGAGAATGGATAGGAAGCCCGACTGTTTTTTGTAATCGGTGTTAGATGGTTGAATGGAAAGATGAGAATGAGAGTTTGCCATACCTGAAACGTGTTGCGGAACATGCTGCGAATACGTTCCTAGAGGTAATAAAAAAGGGGGGTATATGTTTTCTATGCCGAAAATGTTTCTATGCGTTTTCTCTTGGACGGCTTCAGGCGACCGCCGATGTCTCGTAGCGGAATCCTCTTTTGCCAAAATGTCTCCCTGACTCTCGGGGCAAAAGAGCTCGCTGCTCCTCTCTCGAATCGCTTTCTTATCTGCCTTGTCTCTGAAAGCCAAACACTAAATAGCCTGCTCCAAGCAACAAAATCAGACGTTGAAATCTCGCTTGTCAAGAAGAAAGCCGAGGGAAAAACACTCCGCTACGTGTCCCCCTTCCAACTCACCTCATCAAATAGACTCCGATCTACACGTGACATGCATGACTCATCGTTCAAAACCATCTTCCTGCCCCCCCAGAAACCCAGGGCGACTACACGCGAGTCGCACTTGCCAATTACCACGATCATGACGACCCTGCATTACACGCCCACCAGTCCAGAAGTGGGTGTGTATCTGTTCATTGGCGAACGCGGACTACTCTCCTCGACCCTTCGTGGTTCATTCTCTGTCCCGCATGACATTTTGGAAGTACTTCAAGAGGGGAAGATCGACGTTGTGTCGACCTGGGAGAAAGCTCGCGACAAACGTGTTCAATATGTTGTAGCGCATTTGGCCAAGGAGCGGAGCAGAAACATGGGGTTCGTGAGATCTGATTTGGTTCACGAGATTGTCGCGGCACAGACACCGAAAGAGGGCGATGGTATGTCCAAAGTTGTCGGCATGTTCAGGAGCGCGTGATCTTCTGATAACCAACATGACATCCAGTAAAGATTACTTTGGTACTTGAATCTGGAGAGCAAGTATTTCCTGCAGCGTGGTATGTGGTTTTTTACGCTTGGAGTGCTATGAAAGAAAGCGAATCTGAACAATTTTGGCATTGTGCTCTATCTAGTGCGGTGGCCAGAGCCTTCCCTCTCTACTCCCGTAAAGCCAGCGTCGCCAAACTCAAGCCCCGGAATGTTTATGTGGATTTCACAGTACCCGGTGGAGTGGAGGACGCAACATATAAACGATTGAATGTTGTCACCAATGCCATCCGCACAGCTGCGAGATTGGTTGATACCCCTTGCGGAGATCTGAACGTTACCACTTATGTATCTGAGATTCGTTCCCTGGTGTCTCCTTTCCCATCCGTTACAACCACTGTCATCAGTGGGGAGGAGCTGCAGCAAAAGGGACTGAACGGAGTTTACTCTGTCGGCAAAGCAGCCGTGAACCCTCCTGCTCTTGTCATTCTTACGCATACGCCAAAGACCGCTACAATCGCAGCACGTCCAGTGTTTGTTGGTAAAGGCATTGTATACGATACCGGCGGTTTGAGTCTCAAATCTGGCCCGGGTATGGTGGGGATGAAGGAAGACATGGCTGGCAGTGCAGCGTGTTTAGGGGCCTTTTTGACCGCGGTAGAACTCGGTCATGAAGGTACTTTCAGCGTTGTGCTTTGTCTAGCAGAGAACGCAATTGGGTCAAGAGCGCAGAGACCCGACGATATCATTCCCATGTTGTCTGGTAAAACGGTCGAGGTAAACAATACCGACGCGGAGGGGCGGTTGGTCCTTGGAGGTAAGAAGCGTCCATTGCAATGGCCGCTTGGTTACTCTGCTGACGTCTACATCTCACCGTCCACAGATGGGGTCGCATACGCGACAAAGTATCTTGATCCAACTCACGTTGTCGATATTGCGACATTGACTGGGGCTCAACTGATCACGACGGGCAAGAAGCACGCGGGTGTCTTATCCCGCAACGCCGATTTCGAAAAGATCGTTTTGGACGCTGGACAAAAAACCGGAGATTGGTGTTTCCCGCTATTGGTTCGTCATGTCATATTTTGTATCAATGCTGTGCATTACACGGACTCATCCCACTTTTGCTATTCGCTCCAGTATGCGCCAGAGATTCTAAAAAAGGAGTTTGATAGTAAAATTGCCGACATGCGGAACAGTGTGGCGGATCGGATGAATGCCCAATCGTCTTGTGCTGGGCATTTCATTGAGGAGCATCTTGCAGCGGAATGGGACGGTCGTTGGGCGCATGTCGATATGGGTGAGTTTTTGGTTTTCAATTTTACTTTGGTGGGAGCTGTGATGTTGAGTACGGTTTGTTTTGTCGTTACTAGCTGGGCCGGGTGCAAAAGATCAACGTGCAACTGGATTTGGTGTCGCCTTATTGGTCGGTATCTTGGACGAGATCAAAAAGAACTAAACTTGTGTATACATGTCTGGACACTTTGGACGAGGAGGACATGTGTGCTTCCTTGATAAAGTAAAAACTGAAATATATATCTTTCTTGACTTTATATTGAATCAATTGTTCATTCCAAGTGTGTTGTCTAAACCCACAAAATCCAAAAAAAAACAACGAACCCAATGCAATACCAACTTTTCCACATGTTCAAGCACCCAACTTTTCGATGGCTCCAACCAACCGTCCCAAATCGCCTCTGATCCCATTAGCATATCTCACCACTTTATCTCTTGTATCCAACAGCTCCACCGTCTCTGTCAGCGCGTTATAACGTACCACGAACGGCCGGCGCATGTATTTGAGTGCGTATTCTCTGACTTGCTCCTTCATGTCCTGATGCACCGAATGAGATGCTGTGTGGTGACACCCTGCCAAAAGTGACGCTCACCTTGAAACTCTCTGCGACAAAGTAGAGGGGCTGGTATTCTGTTATTCTGTTACCAATAGAATGAATATTAAAACGACCAAAAAGGTTAACCAAGGCTAACTCCGTCACGGTAATACGTACGGGTACGTGGTGTTGGCAGCTTTGTGAGGGTCGAATGGAACTTTTTGTGGTTTGGACGATAATGCATACTATTAACAAATGAAACAAACCGAACATTTCAGTAAGGTCCCTCATCAAAAGGAGCGGGTATGCGCGTACCTCCAATTCGCCGAAACTACTTAAAAGCCCCGCCCCGTACGCTTTGATTTCTTTTCCTTGTCGGCAGAGACCAAACTCGACTATTTGGTTCCAGCATGGGTTAGGTTTGAGATCATGGTGGCCTTTTCGAGCTGTGAAATGATTATACCTGTAAACCAATAAATCTATGCATAGATAAAACGGGAAAGATTTTAGCTTGACTTGCATTTTTGAGCGCGAAAGAGTAGTACATACCGTGGCAAGTTTCTCAATGTCCTAAACACGACGGAAAATATAAAATCAGATCATTTCATGATAGCTCGGAAAGAGACAGCGAAATACCTCATCAGAAGCACCAAGAGAAGCCAAGCCGATTTCCTGCGAAAAGTCTGCAAAGTCTACAAAGAAGAAGATAACCACAGGTAAATGCCTTGATATCACACGAAAAATAAATCGGTTGGTTCGGATACTAACCAGGATCCGCATACAAAGGCACATGGCCCAATAGTTCATGACACACATCCGGTTCTGGCGTGTAAAGTGGTTTGGAATGATGTCGAATGTACTGCGTTGAATGGAAAACTCTAAAGGCCAACGCGTTCAGGAAATCACGGGAGGAGAGCAAACCCATGACGGGTCTGAGTGTCCACCCAGTTGATTCCTTTAGAAAGCGGGAAACATCTTCGAGTTGAGGAATATTGTTGGGGTGGTAGCCGCAGTTATGTTCTAGGAGCTGCAGATGATGGTTGGCAAGGCGAAAAACAACGTGATGCGCTTCAAGTGGAAACGTACGGGGAGCACATAGCGATGTTCACGGCAGGCGTGAGTTTTGTACAGGGATGTGAGCTGATTATAGACGATTCCCCTGTGATGGCCAATCAATTAGCTCGTTAGTCCTAGATTCACATACTCAACGCTAGGCGTACCAAGTCTCGATTTCTTGCGGTGTATACTCAATATGGGGTAACGGGGATCCGCTGGTACACTCCGTGAATGGCAGTTCAGACTGAAAGTTTATTACAGATTATAACTTACTATCGATAGGTCTTTGCAATCTCCGTGATTTGTGCTCGTCGTTCGCGGTACGCAGGGTCCTTGAATCCAGGATGATCCGCGTCCAGTTCCTATTGGAAAGTTGGAAAAACATTCAGATCACAAACAGATCCTTTCATAACCAATACTGATAACGTACCTCTCCATATTCCATAACTTTGTCTGCAAATGTATCCATGTCCGACTTTTTACGCGGGAACCAAGGTACAGTCTGCATCGCCACTGTTCAAACTCATTGTCAGCTCAAATGTCATCTAGCCTTTTCGAGTTTACAGACTTACCCAAGTCTGTACTGCCTGAACTAACAACCTGTAGTTCAAGAACAACCTCCCTCAACTGCTCGCATATATTGTCAATTTGCGCTTCATCCCGCGCTCCAAAATCCACGAAAAAATCATAAAATCCTTTTGTGCGGCATGGACGGGATTCAATGCGTGAAAGGGACACATTGAGCTTCCTCAATTCGGAAAGCACTGTATCGAGGGATCCAACTTTATCTACTATTTTGAAGCTGTATATCAAGCGTCCTGATTAGTGAGCGCATGTATCTTGTAGGACATTAACGTCAGCAACGTACTATATTGTCGTCCGCAAAGGAGCGCTTCCCGATGCTCGATTTACGTCATGAAGTGCAGCGGCTTGCGAGGAATGAAATCGACTCGTCAGAACAGCGGGAGGACGAGGAAGTATAGGTAGGGACAGAAGCGGTCTTGAGACTATCCGGACGTTGGCAGCATGGCACACGACCCTTGCAGGCCGACACGAGAGGACGGACAATGCCGAGCGGGGAAGACAGCGTAGTGACATGACGCTACGATAGTTCCTCGACAAAAGTGTGGTTGAATAAAGAGTGGAAAAGAGTCGAGGGTTTTGACGGAATGGTTTTAAGCAAAATGGTACACGTTGGGCTGGGTGGGGTCAGCAGGATAATGCCTTATACAACTTGTGTTACAGAGCGTCCGATATGGTATCACTTGCCCGCGCTCACGTGGGCGCAACAAGAGTTTGAGGAACTTTAGCGAATATACATTTGCAGGTGGGGATTCTTCTATCAGACTCAAAACCTCCCGGATTAACATCGCATCACAGACAGCAAAGGAAGACATGAGGGAAAAATAGAAAGGAAATTGGTCCAGTTATATATAATTACTATTTGCAAGAAGAACAAAGGAGGTGAGTTGCCATCACCTTAAACACGAGCACCCACAACGCCCCAAACACCCACAACAATCACCAGCACACCCACGCCAACTCCCATCCCTAACACAGCTCGTCCAAGTACCCCCAGAGAACCACCAAACAGTTTCCAATAACAGAGCAAAGGAAACACAATCGCGACCGTCCCCGAGAACGCCGAGCCAAGTAGGCCCATCAAACGGTGGAATTGAGGAAAGAGGAGCGATGTGAGGAGAATAAGGATCGATAAAACTGTACGTGCAAGGAGATGGAACGGAGGCGATAGATGAAGGGTGTTTTCTGTCGACATGCGTGATCGTTAGCCCCGGTTCAATGGGTTTGATATACTCAGACTGAACCTACCGATGGCCATATGAACCGGTCGAACTGCCAGCGCATACTTGGTGACAGGGTTTATGGCAATCAGCCATAGTGTCAGCTTATTTAAAACGGGATTATATGAGGGTATGCTAGCAAGATTCAAGGTGATCTATGTCCCAAAAGGCCACATTAATAAAATACATCGTGTGTTACTGTGTTGCCAAAAGGACTTACCTCTGGTAGTACATCATTGCCAAACATCAAATATCCGCACGCAGCGATTGCTATGTAGAACGCTGACACGACCAGATATGTTACGTTGATGCATCTTGCAAAGCGAACCGGGGATTTCATGTCGCGGTATATGTTGGGAAAAACGGCATGGCCTAACACAAATGGTTAGGACGGCTCATTGATTCAGGTACAACCATAGTGCTGACAACATACCATCATACCCAACAAACATTATGCCAACTGCCAGCGCAACTCGATCGAAACTCTTTGGCCACAGCCTTGTTTCTGCGGGTTGTAGCAAACTTCCGGGCGGATCCGCCTTCGTCACACCATCCACAACCACAATCGTCAAAAGGTTCAGTATAGCAACGACCCCTACCAAGCTTGCATACGACAGGCCCCGTACGCTCCTCGGCCATGTGGTCAATATCAGGAGGGCCACCACCCCTAGCTTGATGTGGAGAAGTTTCCAGTGCGGAAATAGCGCATGTATGGAATCCGCAGCGAGGATGAGCAGCGCCGTCGAGGCTGCATATAGCTCGGCCAGATACACGATCGCAATGAAGTTCTTTGCCCTTCTTCCAAAAGCAGCCTGCCCTACGTCACCGTACGACATGGATTTAGGACGCGGGGGCAGGTTGCTTGTTGTTGTGGGTAGATCAATGGGGGTGACATCCATGCATTTCGCGAGAAGTTTGGCAGTAGTGGACGCGATGAGAGCAAATAAGAGAACAAGGGTTATACCGACAATCCAGCCGGTCAGAGAAAGGGCAAAGGGAAAAGACAGGATACCCATCCCCATGAGGAGGTTAATGGAGTTGAGCGTTGTTTGGATGGCAGTCGAGCTCGGTGTGTGATATGTAACTGGAGACTATGGTAGGAAGAATGAATGATGTGTATACATGACCGAATGTGTAATTATGACAGACGTACCTTTGGCAGCAATGCAGTCTGCTCGTTGACAAGTTCGCCATCTTCTTCAACAGGCACATGATCCGATCCACCTATATACGACGGCGTACTCCGTCCCGATCTAACCGATCCAATAGCCTCTTCCTGTTCCTCGTCACTGCCCTCACCGATAGGGTCAACAAATACCTCCTCGCCCAACACTGTCTGATGACTTTCTTGCTTTCCAAGAACCGAGGACCAGCTGCCTAGCCACGACAGACGAGATCTCTGGCTGTTCGACTCTCCCCGACCTCCAAAAGAGTGGGTATCGTCATATTCTTCTGGTGTAGAGACAAAGACATGGGTTGTGCGACGACGGGGAGATATGGAGGTTGGTCGTGGGCGAGAGGGTGGAGGAGCCTGGCCGGACGTCGCCATGCAAAATGGATGGAAGGGGTCGGGGACCGGAGATACTGGGTATTGGAGGCGTGTGGGCAGTTACTGGATATGTGTCTGTGCGTTTTTCCTTTGTATCGAGGGTCATCAAGTCATTTTGGACAGTTGCTGGAGCCCTTTGGATGTGACAAAAAACCGATTTGACGCGGTGTGATTCATCACATCGTATCGGACTTTAAAACTCGAACGAGTTGCCAGGCGTTTTCCTTCTTGGCCTTTTGAATTTGCTGGTTTACATCCTTATTTGCATCGGGTTGGTTGTAATATCTTTCAGAACATCTTGGGTCCCATCTGGAAATCGTGCCCGTTTTGCTGAAAAGTGCCGCTGTATGGTCCTCTTTGGATGCGTGGGATCACTGTCGTCCGACTTTTAGGTTCAAATATAGCACTGTTCGCACTTTGCTGGTGGATTTCTGTGGAAAGGAAGGCTCTCCCGCTCTGCTAGCCGAGAGCCAATGTGCGCATGTAGTGAATAAACCCAATAACTTTGCAAATGTATATCGCGGGGAGACCCATGGAATCCTCTAATGCGGATGGTACCATAACCCTGCTGGAACCCTATCCTCCAAAATCGCTCACTCATCTCTCGTAGTTGCTCCAAATGAGCGTTGGCTTCCGAATTCCATACCTGCCGGGACATTAAGGGCAGAGACTTCGTCCCATGGTAATGTCATTGGTGGAGAGTCCATTGATGACTGCTAGTAATATTACCCTGTCGGATGTAATGTGATTTTTTGTCATCGGTCCGGTCTTGGTGCTCGATATATGTGTCTGACTAGTGTGTTAAATCTCTCATCGCAATGTCATTAGCAAGACCACACTTGGCTCCCCTGAGTTCCTAGGAATATGATAGCAATTTGCTTAGAGGTCAGAACCTGTCTCGCACATTGTGATGTTTGTGTGGTTTTCATGTACCCATCCAGGTCTGCATGGCCCAATACTGGCACGTTATTCTCTTTATCAGAGAGGGTTGCATATGGCGATGTTATCTCCACCTTGCCCCAGCCCGCCGAAAACCGTGCTTTGGGGCATTTCACGTTCACGCTGGACTGACCGAGAACCTTTAAGACCCGTATGACGCTCGTACTCTGCCCGTGCTATAAATCTATCCGACAGAGGACTGTATCGGATTAGGTGTGCGGTCAATTGAAGGGCGAGGATTTAATAGTTTGAGGCGGTTGCTCTGTATGCGCAGTGTTCTCTACGGGAGAGTGGAGGTTTGCTACAATCAGAACATGGGCTCTCTATTGTTTTGTACATAAACTATTGACTTGCAGTACTATTTTGGAAGAAAGAGTTCTAAACTGCCTTTGTCAGATGGCCTGTGCTGCAAGCTCCCAATGGTACTACACAATGCTATATGCTTTAGTTTCCTACGAACTATGGTAAATTTCGTTGACAAATGGTACTCTTCCGAACAACTTTGGAAATAAACTCACAAATCAATTCCCATCCATGCAATCTACTTCTCTGCACACGGAGCGTAATGGCTGGAAACAGATTAAGCAATGAAAGTGTCATTCCTTCTTCCTGGATGTCGGCCTTGATAACTACAACTTGCCCCTTACTCACATGAATTACGAGAAAATAATGTGTCCTGATGACGAACGCTGATCTTTTACAACGTTAAGACATCCGATGAGGGCCACTCGATGCTCAGGAATGGGTGTTTAGGAATAAAGTGTCTGGCTAGAGACGAGAGAGGTGTGCAATTTTCAGATATCAACTGGATATCGTTGGAGGCAGGGCCAATGCCTTGCTGTATGTGATATGAAACTCTTGCGGTGATAAAAGTGGAGATCTTTAGATAAACTATATTCCAGACTTTTGATCCTCGAAGAATGGGAAGTGAAATTCAAAAACCCATTGGATTTGCTGGTATGGAAAAACGTTTGGGCAGGAAGAAAGTTCCTCACGTCCACCCGACCTATTGCTATTTGCACAAGACGTCTGCCTTGCCAACAGAGAGTAAAGTTCCATTTTCACATTGCGCTCTGATGGTTCCGGTCGGAAAAAATCTGGTGCACATTTAGTCAGGATGGTCCTTACATACGCTAGTAGTGCACTATTGCTGTTGTCCCCAACAACACTTGACCATTATTGGATAGACCGAAAGCCCCATGGCACTCATAACCCATTCTTACAAGAAAGGTACATCCTCAAACATGAGCACGCAAGAGGAAGAGGAGAGATAACAAGATACTAGAAGGAGCCGGGACTCTTCGGCTTTATCCATGTTTGAATCAATGGCGCCGTGGTCATTTAGCATTAATGCTACCTTACAATTCAAGCCAAATAGAGTCAGTTTTGCATGTACATGAACCGTTCACACCAGGTGTAGCGGTCCTATTTCATTCCAAAAGTCTTTTGAGCACAGCAACGTTCCTCCAACAGCAGTTTGTCCACTACATATACGAATTAGGTCTCCTTCCAACCCGGCCCCAACCCCGTCCATTCCGCTCATATCGCATTTCTTCCTCAGATTGATGCATAGCGTGATAAGGTATCGGCCATGAATTAATGTAGGTTTTTGAGTAAAACGACGTCAAGTCTTCGGGTGGTGAATATGGCTCGTTGTCCGACGGGTAATTGCATAGGAGATCATGTGGAAGACTCAGGTTGGTCGACATAATGTCCGACTCTCCATGCGCTGGTGCAGATGGGGGTACAGGGGCAGGAGCCAGTGCAGGGGCCGGTGGTGGTGGACTGGGCGGTTGTTGTGAATTTTCTGCAGGGATTTGCTGTGCCTGGTGTTCTGACGACTCTTCTTCCCGATTATCCGCTTTGCTTCCCTGCTTGGGCTTTGCCCCTCCTTTCCCATTCGGAACGTGACATCCAGCTGCATCATTTCCAACATGCCTCTTCAAAGCATCACTTCTGGCGAATCCCTTCGAGCAGTTCGGGCATATGTAGGGCCTTTCGTTGTTATGCAGCCGCATGTGCCGTTTCAGGTCATGATTGCGACGAAAAGATAATTCGCAGTAGGTGCATTTGTGGGGCTTGACTGAGCAATGGGTTTTTGCATGAGCTCGAAGGTTTTGCGGACGCGCAAAGACTTTTGTGCAGTTTGTGATGGGGCAGGGGTATACGGGGGCTGAAGGTGCAGTGGGAATCGAGGGAGCAGGTGATTCTGGCTCAGAAATTGTGGTAATCACCGATACCTCCCTTGTATCCTCCAGTAGCCACCCAGGTATGTCCTTTTCTATTTCTTCCACATCCTCCCTAGCCAGGATCTCTTCGGTACTGATTGTCATATTCGGATTCTGCGATGGATGTCCAGATTGTTCGTCCATCAATCCCGGGTGAGACACAATCAAGTCAGGACTGTGCGATCGTGATAGCGACAAGGCTGAAACTCCATTCTCGACAGCTGATATTGGCCAGGCAATACTGACATTGTCACTCATTATCGGTTCAGGTCTTATCCCCGCCATTTCTCCTCCAAATTCGTTAAAATCTAGCAGTCCCGCCGTTTCAGGTGGCCCTATATTAATCGCTTCTCTGCTGGCTGTGGCGGTTGGGTAGACCGTGGCATTTTCATACAGCGTAGGAGCGGTAGGGGTGTGCATAGGGCGTGGTGGCAGAGTCTCATAGTGAGGAACATGATATTCCGGACGCCCGTCTTGATTTATTGAATAGTTGAAATTTGGTTCATTTGGCGACAGGACGTCGGGCTTGGGCGCAAAGGTGTTCACGTACTCCATCTCCTGTATTGGGATGTATGGCTCCGCATATGGAGCAAAAGGGTCGAATGGAGATTGCGGTAGCAATGATGATGGGGTTATGGAGACAGAGTGGGTTTGCGCCGTCGACAGTATCGACGATGACCGAGAACCATCATATTGGTATGCTGGTGTTGGGTAAGCTTGTGAGTTAGGTAGCAGCAGTGGTTGGAGAGGCAGTAGATGATGCTGTTGATAAGGTTGCTGCTGATGCTGCTGCTGATGCTGTTGATGATGTTGATGGTAAGGTTGATGATCTTGTCCGAAAGTTTGTGGCCCATGGGCATGTGCGAACGGATACACGCCTTGCATATCAAATGTATGATGTTTATGCGGCGCAAAATGCGGTGGTTGTGGCGACAATACTTCAAGCGACGGCATTTCACAGAAGCTGAACAGTTCTAAGCGACAGATCTTCCGTCCTCGGTTGGTGTATGCTTGGTGTGATTGCCGGGGAAGTCCGTTACGCGTACAACAACTTTCGTAAGGGGCAATCCACAAAGTCCAGCAATCCTGAGCTTACGGGGACAACGTAACCGAGATGGCCGAAAACGGCAGCAAGGTGGAGGAAGACGACACCACAGTCGGTAAGTTGGCTGGAAGGGCAGTCGAAAAGCGTTCAGACCACAGGAATATGAACAGTACCACCCAAGGGCAAACTAAAGGCGCCAAAGCATGGACGTAGTAGGTAAGGCAGAAAAGACGATTGAAGAGCAGCTTGTTGAGGAATAAACAGAAAGCGACATGGATCCTGTCGATATTCAGCAAACGCACATCCACAAGTGCGTAATATGCGAGGGAACACGTTGTGAACAACCAAAGCCACAGTTCTCCACGACTTGATTTTTTCTCGGTCACCTCACGGAGATGAAAGCACTTGCAGGGCCTATTTGACCTTTGATACCAACACTCTCGACACAGTCTCAACACACAAGGCTTCGAACTACTCGCACGATGATACGGTAACGATGTTAGAGGGTGAGACGACTGAATACATGGCTTTTCTACCGGTCAAGCCGACAAATGACATACCTACCCAACCCTTGCCACGCCAATCTCGCGGCTTTTGAATAATGGCGGTCAAAAACTCTTCCCTTGAATACGTCGCCTATTCCATCCTTGGGGGAACGCACAAGCCCTTGGGGTGAAAACGTTGATAAACACTTCACGTGTAAACAATTGTCTGACCCACGGCTGCTCACGTGATCTTCAGGGAGCTCCGAGGCTCGGAAGGGCAAATGGGGGGTTTTGTTTTTTTCAAGGCATGGAGCAGGGCTTGCATCTCAAATAATCCGGAACAAGAACAAAGGTAAATTGAATAAGGGGAGGTTGAATTGTCGTCATTGGCATCGAAGCGCCCACAATTGGCTGAGTGGTCCCAGGGGCCAGAAATGCCACCGCAAAGGATGTTTTCTTTTGGGAAATGCAGACCAATGGTGGAGAAACGGATGATCAAGACAATTATCTCATTTACCAGTTCTTTGAGAGATTTGCATAAACACTGGAAACCTGTGGCCACTGCGTATTATTCCATCACGGCAATGCATTCAATGACATTGCTCATGGATGCAACAAGGATGTGTTACGACACTCGGGATGATCACCCGTCGACAGAGATTGCTGTCCCTCCCTCATCATCCCGTAGCCTTGGATTATCAACCATCACAAATGACGTTGTGTGTGCCAAGCTGTTACAGTCCCTTGCAGACTGCCTCCTCGCGTGCACTTGCGCGTCCTTCTTCTTGCCATAGCATAGGAGTCCGCGTAAATCCCATAAAGCCACTCAAAAGACGCTTGGACGACCACCCGATTATGGTCTGATCATGGCAACACTCAACCTCCGGCAGTGGGACTGACAAAGGTTCAGCCTCTCTCTGGCCGTACAGTTACAAAAGAACGAGTTTGCAAAAACCAACAACTGCATCCAATCAGATACATAGATTCTCCTCATTCACATTTCGGAAGAACGAAAGTTAATGTATTTTTTTTGTCTCATCATATTGGATACAGGAGTCGCCAGACACTCATTGAAAAGAGACATGCGCTTGCGCGCACAAAAAGTACGACCTCTCCCCCATCATCGTCGCACCTGCCAGACGGCGTCGCAAAGGACGGAAATGCTCGACGCGGTTCAGCAAGCGAGAGACAGTAGGAGACAGATCCTAGGGCAAGCTCAGTTCCGACAAAACCTAGGGTTTTTATACTCAAGAAAATTGCCAATGCGCCACGCACGTGATGTATAAACGTTGAATTGCGGGAGTTTGCCTTGCAGTTTCTTGGACAGAGAGCTAAAGAAACGCATTTACAATTTGTGCAATATATTTTCATATCAACATATGGAATGAGAAAAGGCGGCCAAAGGGCACCGCTCCTCCACATCCCACTAGCAGCATCCATCACATTGAAAGAAAAGACTAGAAAACTACCAAATTGCCAGATTTGCGGCTCATCAGGAACACGCGCAATGTGTTATCAGCTCGGTTTACAAATGTTGAGCAATTCCGAGTGTTCTTTAAGCATCAGCAGAGCCTTCACCTTCACTCTCACGAGCAGGAGGAGTTTGGTAAGCCATGGCCACTTTGATGACCAGTTCCCGGCCATCAACCACAACGTTTTTCAACTCGGAAAGAACCTTTTCCTGCTCTTTCTCGTCCGCTACCTCGACAAAGCCAAAGCCTTTGCTGCGACCACTGCGGAGTTTAACAACGTGGGACGAAGTCACGTTATAGTCCTTGAAGATGGAGGACAGATCCTCATCCGTGACTTTGAAGGGGAGATTGGCAACGAAGATGGTGGTCTTGGATGTCTCCCCAGATGTGTCCCGCGCTGGACGAGGAGCACGGAAGCGGCGGAGACCGCGACCACGTCCACGTCCACGTCCGCGCCCACGCCCGCGACCGTTAACTTCCTCGCCCTCCTCAGCAGCAGCATCCTCGGCGTACTCTTCCTGAGCGTGAGCTTCATCTTCATCCACACGTGCGCCTTCCTCAGAGCGGCCACCCTATATAGTACAAAAGTCAAGAATCAGTCGAACTCCTCATTACCTTTTGGTCCCAACTAAACCTTGCGACTTACGTAACCGCCACGGCCTCTGCCTCGTCCACGGAAACCACCCCGGAAGCCGCCCCTTCCTCTGAAGCCACGGGAGAAACCGCGCCTAAATCTACCGCGTCCGCGGAAGCCGCCTCGACCGCCTTTGGCACGAACTTCACCAGGCTCCTTGTCCTGAGCCCTCTCCACATTGATCTGCCGTCCACCAAGCTCAGACTTATCCAACAACTCCACGGCTTTGTCTGCTTCCGCGTCGGTGTCGAAGGAAATGAACCCGTAACCAAGAGAGCGCTGGCCGCGGGTGATGATGTTCACATTGGCGCTGGAGAGTAATATCCATCAGATGTCTTGCATAACTAAGGATGAGTCTGACCAAGCATGGAATACAAACATCTTGCCGGCCTTGCCAAAGTATTCTTCCAGCTCTTCCTTTGTGGTGGTGAAGGCGAGGTTACCCACAAAGACCTTGGCAGTGTTATCAAACTCTTGCGCGGCTTCATCGCTCCGTTCGCCCTCCTCCGCAGGGGCAGCAGCTGCATCCTGTTCCGTCTGTTCCTTCTTCTTGTGGTTCCTCCTCCTGGGCTTTTTCTCTTCAGTCTTCTTGTCCTCAGCCGCAGAAGCTCCCTCGTTCAAAGAGAGGTTCTGTACACCTTCGGCGAGCTGGTCAGCAGTGGTAGTCTCGTTCTTTTCGGCCATGCTGATTTCCCACAACGTGTGATTCAAGATGGTTGCGGACAAGGCAAATGACGCGTCAAGGATTGCGGAGCGAAAGGAAAAAACATGGTGAGACAGCATGTCCAAAGAGTCCACCACGAAACAGTAGCATGGCTGATGTGCAATCTTGACATGATCATCGGCTGATCTGACGCCATTGTGCACAACACTCACACTGAGAGGGGATGTTATTGTCGTCTTCTTTCTGCTATATTTCAATGAGCTGGACGGGGAGCGCTGCCTCCTCAATATGAGCAGGAGGATGGATGGATTGATCTTTTGCTTTCTTGGGATGGATGGATGTGATTTGGGACAACAGCTTGTCTCTTGGCTCCTCCACTTATTACATGACAGAGTCGCGTAACGTAACGGCAGTGCCGGTTTCCCGTTTCGGACAAAGTAACACAAATGACTCATCCAAGTATGGACGGAATGTTAGTCCCACCAATTTGCTTTTGTGGTGCAGTTGATAACGACGCTTTCCTACAACAACCAACCGCTTGCCAGTTCGACCCTGGCCAGGAGCAGTACGATTATTGGGTTGCACCTTTTTTTCGAGAGGCGTTTTTGGGGCTAGAGCTTTGCCGGGGGGAAGGAGCGGGAAGCCCGTGCAAATCCAGCCCACAAGTACAAACAATACTTGTTTATTTTGCTATTGCTATGCCAAAATGCTAGGTTGCGGATCTGCGCGGATCTGCGTATTGTTGCGTGTGTTTTGTTAAGGTTTTTGGAACTTTTCCATCTATTTTTATCCAAAAGATCCTTTTGAAAAACGAACGCGATGATTCTTCTCAATAATCCATCTCTTTGAACGCCCCCGACCATCTCCGATTTTTATTTGTTGATAAGCCTACGCCACAGTCCGATAAGAATATGATAATTGGATCCACACTTGTCCACATGCAAATGGATTGGATACTTGGAGGGAATGTGTGGCGCTCTCGGTGCATATTCAAGAATGCATTACATCCGGATACAGTTTCTAATGCATGACTCTCAGCAAAAGAGGCGTAGCACTGTGGCTGGTAAGTCTCTTCAAAAGGGGCTGCAATTTCCTTCTGGGAAAATAACTGCGCTCCCATCCTCTCCATCTGCCATCTGCTGCTCCTCGTCCCCGTCCTCATTTACCTGCATCCCATACCCCTCCATCACTAGCATTTCGAACCATGAGTCAGCAAGCTCGCATCAACGCTGTTCAGGACACTGTCCAGCGCCCTGGTCGCAGTGTTGACTGGCCTCAGACTGGAAACCGTCCCGCCTACGTTTCCGAAATCTATGGCACCAACGTCTTCTCCCTCAAGAACCTTCAACAAACTCTTCCCAAACCTGTCTACGCGCGCTTCATCCAGCAAATCAAGGTGGGTACTCGGGAATGGAAATCCAGATGTGAAACGATCAGATCATCTAGGAACGCGGGGGAAATGGGATTGGAGACCTATGTGGAATGTGCCTCCATTGCTGTCTCTATTCATGATACACGTGAAAGAGTATCGACAATGACTGATGACTGTCCTTTTTTTCTCTAGGGTCGTCAGACACTTGACAGGCCAACTGCCGATGCTGTCGCCCACGCCGTCAAGGTCTGGGCCATGGACCGGTATGTACAGATACTTTCATTATTGAGAGATCAGCGGTGAAATAGCAAATGCTAACTCGCTCCATTTACAGTGGTGCAACTCACTTCACTCACTGGTTCCAGCCCCAAACCGGCACAACCGCTGAGAAGCACGACAGTTTCTTGACTTTGAAGACTGTCATTTCTGGTGGAATTGAAGAGACCACTGCCATCGACGCGTTCTCCGGCTCTCAACTTCTTCAGTCTGAACCTGATGCGTCTTCATTCCCCAACGGTGGTATGCGTTCCACCTTCGAAGCTCGTGGTTACACTATCTGGGACACCACCAGGTAATTATTATCGCGTGTGACAAACGTTCACAGAGAAATCTGTGTACTGACATCTCTTCCGCCGCAGCCCCATGTTCATTCGCAAAGGTCCTCACGGTACCGCTATCCTCTACGTTCCCTCTGTTTTCATCTCCTACAACGGAGAGGCTCTTGATGAGAAGACTATCCTTCTCCGCTCATCTGAAGTTCTTTCGAACGCGGCTGTCAAATTGCTCAACCTTCTCGGCGACAAGGAGACGAAGCGTGTGTACGCCACCTTGGGTACCGAACAAGAATTCTTCCTTATTGACCGTGCTCTTTACAACCTTCGTCCTGATCTTAAGATCACTGGCCGTACTCTTGTCGGTACTGTTCCTCCCAAGCACCAGCAGCTGGACGACCACTACTTTGGTCAAATCCCCAGCCGTGTCCTTGCTGCCATCAGCGAAGCCGAGCTCGAGCTCTACAAGCTTGGTGTGCCAATCAAGACTCGCCACAACGAAGTCGCCCCCAACCAGTTTGAGATGGCTCCCATTTTCGAGGAGGCTTCCGTCGCTGTTGACCACAACCTTGTCTTGATGGAGACCCTTCACCAGGTTGCTCACCGCCACAAGTTGAAGGTTCTCTTCCACGAGAAGCCTTTCAAGGGTGTGAACGGTAGCGGAAAGCACTGCAACTGGGCCATGTCTACTGACTCTGGCGACAACTTGCTCGACCCTACTCTCAAGCCTGAGACCAACTACCGCTTCCTTCTCTTCCTTGTCGCTGTCCTTGACGCTGTTCACAAGCACGGTGGTTTACTCCGCGCGTCTATTGCTAGCGCCAGTAACGAGCACCGTCTTGGTGCTAACGAAGCTCCCCCCGGTATTGTGTCCGCGTTCTTGGGTGAGCACCTTACTGAGGTGTTGAACTCCATTGAAGAGAACCGCGATGTTCGCAACTTCTCCCAACCCCACCTTCAGGTTGTCAAGGTTGGAGGCACTGTCCTTGACCTCAAGGTTTCCACCCTTCCTCAGATCGCCCGTGATCTTACGGACCGTAACCGTACTTCTCCTTTCGCTTTCACTGGAAACAAGTTTGAATTCCGTGCTGTTGGTTCCAAGCAATCCCCATCTTTCCCCGTCGTTCTCCTCAACTCTGCTGTCGCTCAGTCGATTACGGAGGTTACAGAGGCGCTTGTGAAACAGAAGGGTAACAAGCCTGAGCCATCAATTGACGACATCCTTGCCGTTGTCCGCAAGTTCATTGCTGCCAGCAGGAACATCCGCTTTGAGGGTAACAACTACTCTGATGAGTGGGTCAAGGAGGCTGAGAAGCGTGGTCTTCCCAACATCAAGTCTTGCCCTGTTGCCTTCCGTCAGTTGCTTGAACCTGAGCACGCCAAGCTCTTGACCTCCCTTGGTATCTTCACCGAGGGCGAGTTGCACTCTCGTTTCCACATTCTCATGGAAAAGTACGCCAAGGACCTTGTCATTGAGGGCAACACTCTCAAGAACATGATACTGCAGGGTGTCCTCCCTGCCGCCTACAACTTCAAGAAGGAGTTGGCAGATTCTTTGAATTCGCAAAAGAACCTTGGCCTGGACATTGAGGGCTCACCCGAGCTGAGCACTCTCAAGAAGGTCAGCAAGCTTACTGCCGAGTTGCAGCAAGCTGTTGATAAGCTCTCTGGCATCATTGACAAGGTCAATGGATTGGAGGACGAGAAGCAAGGTGACGTTGCTGGTACCGAATTGACTGTTTCATTGGACGAGGTCCGTCAAGCCGCGGATGCATTGGAAGTATATATCGCTGACAAGCAGTGGCCATACCCCAAGTATACCGAGCTTCTGTTCTAGAGTTTCATGGGTTAATGTAGAAGAGCATGCAGACAATAGTATGTTAGGATGAGGCTAGATGCGTATGTTTGCTTTAAACAAAATTTTGTGTTATTTTTTCTCGAGTCTTTTGTTATTTCCATAAATGAATACATTATCATGCTGTATTTGGGAGTGGACCGAGATGCATTTAAAAGTCCAATGTATTTGCTAGCGATGATACTCAATCCTGATGAGGTAAATGCCATTTGCAACCTCAAAGATGGGCGAGAACGGCTTCGGCAGTAGAGTTCTCCAGACCTTTCAAATCTACGCCAACCCACTTGACGGTACCGTCGTTGGCAATGATGGCAGAGCGACGGGTGCGCGGCCCCATTTCAAGAGCTCCTGTTAAGGTTATCGCTTATGAGGATCCCCACTATAAAAATACTTGACATGTATGGGAAACCTACCGCCACGGGTCTCAAATGCGAGACCAAGTTTCTTGGATAATTCAACATATGGGTCCGACAACATGATCTAACAAAACCATGAACCATCAATACCTCAACCACTCTCTCCAGAAAACAAACTCCAAAAGCCCACTTACAATATCCTTGCCGACTTTGAGATGCTTTCCCCAGGCGTCCATAGCAAACACGGTATCAGCCGCAAGAACCGCGACAGTGTCTACACCCTTGGCCTTCAAATCAGCGAGTTTTTCAATAAAACCTGGAATATGGGATCCTTGACAGGTAGGAGAAAACGCCGCAGGAACAGAGACGAGAACGACATTTTTGTTCTTGAATACTTGTAGATTTGCAAAAAAATCAAATATATTATCAAATCACCATCAATACCACAAACACACAAAAACACAAAAACAAACTCACATTCAGTGGTTGAAATCTTTTGCGGAATAGCACAAACACCCTCCTCTTCCGGGTTGTTTGAATAAAAGAGTGTTGCTTCGGGTATCTTGTCTCCGGGCTGGATTTGGGCTTGTGCCTGTGACCGTAGGCAAGCGGCAGGGGAGAACCAGCGGGTGTGAGGTACAAGTGATGGGAGGAGGGTCTTGTGTGGGCTGATGCGTGTTGCGCGAAGGAGGGTACTTACGTTGCTCATTGTTTGTGAGTTGTAGATGCGAGTGTGAAAAGTGATGAATGTCGGTGGATGATGCCAAGATGAGGGAAAACGGTGGAATGTCATCCCCCCGATCGATCACGGTATCACGTGCGTAACGCTTGATAATCAGCATGACAGTTGCTAAATGGCGAGAAACACGGCCATTGTGCAGATAGCAAGCTTGACACCCCAGTTTTGATTAGGAATCATCGTGCAATTACAATACAAAGGAACACACTAGGTCCATCCACACAACAGCAAAACTGAATTAAAAACGTCCCTGTTTTCCTCCGCATGCATTGCTATCCACAAAGTTAACGCCATCTACTCAACAATCATAGTACGCTCGTCATTTTGGAGAACAAGAGGTGACTGATCAGGCAGTTGTTGCTGGTCATCCTCTTGTTCCATCTCATCGATCCACTCATCCAGCTCCGGTTCATTGTCTAGCGACTCTGCAGTAATGTGTTGTCCGCTTCCCACCCACCTATCCAACCATCCCAGGACTTCCGCATGCCATTTCAGGGAATTGCCAGGTTTGAGCACCCAGTGGTTCTCATCTGGGAAATACACAAGGCGAGAGGGCACACCTCGTCTCTGTAACGCAGTAAAGGTAGATAATCCTTCCGTAACGGGAAGCCGATAGTCTTTTTCGCCGTGGATGACCAAAGTGGGTGTGGACCATTTGTGGACAAACGCGGCTGGGTTCCATTTTTCGTAGATACGGTTCGGTTTGGATTTTCGACCTTGTGGGAAGGGTGGTCCTCCGAATTCACTTTCCATAAAGTAAAGTTCGTCTGTGGCATAGTAGCTGGAAAGCGTATTAAAGGTCCCGTCATGATTGACGAGGCATTTAAATCGGTTGGTGTGGCCGTTAATCCAGTTGATCATGTATCCACCATAGGACGCGCCCAAAGCAGCGACACGCTTGCTGTCAATGAAAGGAAAGTTTTCAAGAGCAAAATCCAGGCCTCTCATCAAGTCTGTGGCCACCGAATGGTAAGTGCCGTGCAGTTATTCAAGTATAGCCGTCAGCCAAACATACCATGGTAAGGGCGGCCTCCCCAATGTTTCAAAATGGATTTCGTGAAATCGGGTCCGTAACCAGTGGAACCGTGAAAGTTGATCACCACCACTAAACATGACGATGGTTAATCTTACGAAAAAAGAAATTACACGGTAAGGATTGCAAACAGTACCGGCATATCCCGCGCCTGTGAAAATCTGTGGGTTCCACCTACCACATATGTCAACGTTGCCCATAGTCAGAATGGACCGACTGAAATAAGCAGGTTACCTGTAAGACCACCCATCATTCCATGCACCCTCAGGTCCACCATGAATCAAGAATGCCAGAGGGTAGCGTGCCTGAGAATGGAATGTGACAGGTTTGAACAGCCATCCCATCACAGAATCGCCAGTGGCTCCCCTGAACCAGAATTCCTAGGGCAAGGACTTAATCAGAGCCGGCGTTGAATAGACATCAACAGCACATACCTCTGGATCGCTCAAAAGAGTTTGGAGCAAGAGATCGTTATTGAACCATGTCCGCTGCGTCGGCTGTGCACTTTTTTCAGAAAGATCCAGGGTATAAATCTCAGCGGGGGCTACGGCACTGTTCTGCTCAAAGAAGAGCGTATCTCCAACGACGGACAGCCCTTCGTTTGTATGCTGTTCAACAATGGGTTTGACCTTGCGCGACTTGATGCTTAATTTGAAAATCTTGACGTGGCCGTGATCTTGGGCTGTGAGGATGAGGTGATGCGAGTCGGCTGTCCATGCCAAGGATTCTGCACTGCGATCCCATTTGCTTGCTAGGTTTCGGACCTTTCCGGTTTCCCGGTCGTAAAGAACAATTTGGTTCTTATCGGCTTCGTATTGGGGTGTCTGTTAAGGGATAGTCAGATACTCCGAAGTGGATGCGGCAATACAATACGTCCGAGGATTGATATGTACCCGCATCTGAAGCCACACAAGATATTTCCCATCAGGAGAATACACGGGGAACGTGTCGGCTCCCTTGTTCTTTCCGGAGAGACTCATAGGCTTTTCGCTGCCGTCCGTTGGCACAGTGTAAATATCGACATTGGTGTTCCAGGCGACGCTCCTTTTGGGAGCGCGCGTGGCAAAAGCGATCTGTTTGCCTGGAACAAAACAACACAATGGTTAGCTCACGTAGGCCCAGAACCGCCCTCATGTTGATACCCACCATCATGAGAGAATGCAAAGTTACTGGCGTCGCCAAAAGGAGGAACGGGGGTCTCCAAACCCTCCCCTGCCATTAAATTCGTAGCGTTCCCATCAAGAGAAACAGAGGACCCATCGACTTTGAGCTTGACGACAAACAAGTTGTTATGGCGCTCAGGGTGGACGTAGACATCCCAGTGTCTGACAAATAACTGGTCTGATTGTTTATCAGCGACTCGACTATGAGCAAACATTCATACTAACAACAAATACCATAAACAACAGCCGAATAATGCCTGTTCTTTTCTTCTTCTATCTTCTTACGTGCTGTTTCCAATGAGCCATCTTCGTAAACCTCGGCTGTGAAAGCCAACGTAGATGTGTTTACGTGGAATTTGAGATTAGCGATGTCAATGGGGTAATCAGTGAGTTGGTGGAATTCCGGCTTGTCTCTCAGAGAAGTGTCGTTGAGAAGTTGAGACACATCGGCGAACCAAACCTGTAATTGCACGAACATGACTTTAGGAGAACGTTTGGGATAAATATAAATATGACACACCACAAACCTGCTGGGATCCACTCCCACTTCCAATCCCGGCAATTACTCCGTTCCCCAACCAGATCGGATCACCAACAACATTTCCACCGAGATTGACCACACTATTATCCTCGAGATTCAGCAACCACAGAGCCTTTTTGGTCTCATTCTCGGTCGGGTTGTATCGTGAAGCGGTAAACAGCGCATGTCGGCCATCAAGAGACGGAACAGGTGATGAAACCTTATGAAAAGATACGAGGTCCTATGTACAAAAGGTTTTTAATGGTAGTGCCAATCGTGCTAAAGTGCACACGGAAGACCTACGATGGGTCGTAGTGGGTGAACTTCCGCTAGAACCAAGCTGACAAACACCGCCAGCAGAGCGAGTGCAGCACGCATGACAAACGCAAAACTCGAGAGATAACTGCCGTAAGGATGGAAAGATGGCAGAAAGTTGGAACACCCGATGCGTCTTATCACTTGAAGCGATCTTGGCCACTGAGAAGTGTGACTCATTGGCCTTTGATGAGTAAGCAACGTGATCAGTCGACCCTTTCTCCTCATCTGCTCGAACAACAGTCTGCTGGAAACAAGTAGAAACGGCTGGTAGCAAAGGGTGGGCTTCAAAAAGGGAAAAGAAAACGGATGGTCTTGTCAAGATAGGAAGCTGTGTAGACTCGGACATCTTAAATATTGGGGAGCATATGGACGATGGAGTTAACAAGGTCGACATGTCCGACCACGAGCAGGAGAGAAGGATTTGAACCCACATCTGCCAATTGGCTGTCCAGGACTGCTAGTTACAGCATAACCAAGATGATAGGAATTTGCCACACGGCAGAATCACTCAAGAGACAAATGACCTACATGGATAAGCAGGAGCCATTGACTGGCGAGTATTTGCTTTTGCTGTAATCGATGTAAGTATGAACAAGATAAAGTCATGTTTAATCCATAAAGTCCCATTCAGCAAATTACAAAGATCTGATGACACAGAACACGATCTATTGAGGATAAACCAGACGATGCTACATATTGTCCAATTGTCCACAAGCTCCGAGGGTCAAAAAAAACAAAAACAGCCGCAGCCAAAGGGTTCGAAAACCTCATTTCCCATCATACTCTCTTTGCATGCAAACAAGACTTGGTAATACGTGCGATACATGGCCAAATGACGGGACACACCGAGCTCTGAATTAAACGCGACGCCCCAGCACTGACGCGTTTTTGTCCTCTGGAGCATCATGTCCGTCTCCCGCTCCTCTTCCACCGACTCGCTCAACATCCCATTAACCCTCCTCGCACGCACGGATCCCTTCCCGCAAACTGCCATTTCACCCGCAACAAAACCCAATGTCCAACCCATGAATACGAAACAAGAACCGAGCGCTGATCTATCTCGCATGGATCCCGACAAGAGTGGGGAGGGTGTACAGGACGGCCCCTTGCGCCTAGACACGAGTGAGGGTGTGCATGGACAGGATATGGAGGAGATCATCGAAAAGATTGCTGCTGTGGAACTTGTTGAGCAGGGTGTTAGGGATCATGCTATGTCAGAAAAGCGCGAGGAAGCGCGTGAGCATGGGCAGCACGGCGAGAATACGTTTGGTACGTACTTTTTCGGTGCCTAAAGAAAATGACGCAGAGAACATATACTAATGATATTGTTTTTTTGGATAGGTCAAGGTATGGGGTTAGGTGACAGCACATGGGAGAGTTGTAGGCGTGCTGCTGACAGTGTTCAACTCCAGCTTTACCCGAGTCGCAATTGAAGCGGTCCGCAGGCCATCCAGCTCCCAAGTCCCTCAAAAGCTCTGTCAAATCAGGGCTATCACGGCCGAAATCATCGACAAATGTTGTCAACGCCGATCAACCACCAAAATCAAAACGGTCGTCACCGAAAAAGACGGCGGGAAGCACCGGGCCAATACGGTCTCAAACGTCATCTCCCGTACGTGTAAGTCGGTCTAGGAATCCGTCACAGGCCTTTGCACAGTCTTCCGTTCATGAGAGCAAGGTGGAAAAAGTGGGAACTGAGCCCGAGGCGGTGACAGCTCCCCTGCTGCCAATGCATGACGACCTCATGGCCGACTCTGTCCACATGGATATAGATCCCGATGCCTTGAAATTCGGGGAATCGGTAGACAAATGGACAGGTCTGATGCGTCGAGCAATTCTGGTGGGTGACTATTTCACTTTTGTCTTCGACTGCCCTTTTGTTTACGCCATTTTATTATCATAGGCTGATTTCATTACTGCTAAAAGCGATCTATTACGTCGTCAACATCAGTTGGTCGAAAGCGCGCGGCAAGGCTTTGCGGGCGAGGTTGATTCGCTCTCTGATCAGCTTCGTCATGTGAGGTCCCAAATTGCATTCTACGAAAAGAAGGCGGAAAAGAGGGAGAAATTGGTCGATGCAGCCTTGCTCTATTTGACGAGAAAAGTGAGATAGCTACATTTAGACAGTTGATTATTACCAACTGCTCATGTTTTGCTTCTGGTTTGAATCATTAGCGGGAAAAGGCGACAGCAGCCCTCCTCTTTGGTCGCTGGCGGTCAAAGCATGCGGAATCACGTCGGCTACGACTCGCGTTCAAGCTCACACAGCAATACGCTACCAAAAACCTGCAGCGTAAGATGTTACTAGGGTGGCAGAGAGCCGCTGGGACAACCTGGCGACGAACGGTGGAGCGCAAAATCAAGGTTGGTTGCTCCCAGAGTAATATGTTGCTGATGAGGACATTTGAATATTGAGCACTACTTGAAAATGTCTAGATGGAAGCCGAAAAGGCAATGGAAAACCTTGCTAGCGAGTATGAGAAGCGCATTGCAGTGGTAAGTTCCCATTAGCATTCAAGCGGCGGAGCAGCATGCTCATGTTTTACGTGTTAGATTAAAGAAGAACTTGCGGATGTTCATGCCCGACTGGACGAGTCTGAACGAGCGCGATCCCTCCAGCAGGAAGACATGAAGAAGGCTTTTATGCGGGGTGTATGTGCTTTAAACATGGAAGCCATGTCCATGTTTCGCGGGGCCATGGCAAATGGGGAAATGATGGATGGGATGGGGGGATACGGTGTGGATCCGCCGACACAACCTTCCCATCTCAACGCGGGGTATCGGAGCGATATCCAACCGCAACAACGAACAACAGATTGGGATGACCCATCCAGACGAGATCGTCAAGGCGGCATGGCAGGTCCCAACAGCGTTCCATTGCCACCACGCCGTACCACAACCTTTCCGTCCAAACCAGACTCACTAAAAGCGACGATAGAAAGTGTCACCAACCAGATTGCATCAAAATCGTATTCTTCACCGTATCAGCCAACGTCGTACCAAGGACGCGGATCTGCGTTTGTGACGCGGCATGCTCAACAGTCTGCTGCTGGTTGGGCCGGGGAAGCTGGGGAATGGTCTGCGGGGGAACGTGGGAACCTACGACTGGGAGCCGTGCCAGTTCCTCAGAGATATCCCAGTTGATACAATGAAAATAGTTGTGAAGCGAGTACCGCTCTGGAGGCTCTCATGATGCTTGTAGATTGTTGAACGTTGTATGTTTTGTCCCTAATTTATTACCTGGTCGAGATTCCTCTACCGTCCTTTGTTAGCGTGCGCATGAGACTTTCCATATGTGCGTGTAGAGACGCGAATGCATGATCGTCACGCAATCATCTCTGTCAAGTCCGTTCGTACTTGCACGTTGTTGCTTGCATCTAACTTGGGCTTAATGGCCCAAGATGGACACGGTTCTTGTTCTGCCTTGCTCTCGGTTCATGAACTCTGCATGGGAAACTTCCCACATACCACAGTGTGACAGTTTTGCCCGAAGAGTTCGATTCTGGGCAGGAACGTTAAGCCAATCATTTTTTGTCCGTCCGGATGACGCGCTCATTTGTTCATCATCATCCGAGTCTCTTCCATCTAAATGCGAGTTTTTCTCTATTAGAAACCTTTCAGACCATGGGTCGTTTTTCCGCTTGTTTCCAGCAGCTGCTATTTCAGTGTTTGCACAAGCTGCCTCATTTTGTGATGGTGTCATGCATATTTCTTTCATGGAATGACGATGGACCATGCTGGGAGGGTTGTGTGTGTTTATGTACGTATTTGCTATCTCGCATAGCCTTGGTTTCACACGTTTCTTCTGCAATCAGTACCTTGTCTTTGTTGATGATACTTGTACCTGTTGATGATACAAGTACTTGTACCAAGCACGTCTCCGCCGTCATGGTAAAATACCTGTCAAGAGACACGCGAACCCAGCAGGACTCGCCCCCGTCAGAATGACCCAAATATTACTGTCCATACGATGCCTTACAACCGTTTGCTTCCCACACTGTAGCTAAAGGGTCCTTTTTGACATTGATGGCTGTGTGCGTTTTCAATGTCTTGTTCATTCCTTGTCACTCTTGTCGTCGTCGTTGTCGTCGTCGCAACATTGTCGAACTGCTCATCCAATAAATATCACCCATGGCACAGTTTTGCCACAAGTTTTTCTATTGGATTACGTTAAGCTTAAAATACTTCATTTAGAATTTTCTCTGTCTTGTGTCTCAAATCCAGGATCCAACAAAGAAGGGTACGAGGCTGTGCCGTCAATGTCATTGAAAATTCATTTTCCCCTTTGACAAAAAGAAGATCCCGTGCCTTGGACCGTGTCCCGACGCGCCGCCACTCCCGACGCCTGATGTTCGCAACCAGAAAAAACTGTACAAGAGATTCCACGTCATCATGGCTTACGAAAGAAGGTTCGGAAGGACGATGGGAGGAAACGTCACAACCGTCGTTTGCCTTCCTTATAAAAGCGACTTGACCCGACACAATTCCTCCCGTCCCAATTTTCCTTGTCTTGCTTTGCTACAATAAGAATGGCCGCACTGGCAGCAGCAGCTGTCCTTTCCCTCGCCGCGTTTTCGGCTGGTGTTGCTGCGCAAAATCCATCGGGAGTCACCAATGGAGGAGATCCAGCAACGGTAGGGCAGTGGAAAGTCGTTTCGACAAATTCCGGCGTTGTTCCAAGTAAGTCGCTTTGGGACATGCAATTTACACGCGTCAATGCCTTATTCTGACGCGTTTTGAATTTCCTAGTCCATGTCGCATACCTTCCCGGCGACAAGCTCTACATGAGCGAACGCATTCACATTCCACCAAGAACCGCTGACGGAGTTTCAGAGGCGGACATACAAACGCGCCTCGCGACCGGATGGTACACTCAGAACCAGAACTTGAAAAACAACGCGTTCTTCACCGATGCAGCAGAGTTTGATCTCGGCACCAACCAATACACGCTTATCGATCACATTCCCGCTCAAACGGACACGGCCAAGAATCAGGGATACGCCTTCTGTTCGGGTCATTCTCAGTTGCCTGACGGGCGAATTATCGTGGTCGGCGGTGATCAGTACTGGGATACGCCGTGGAATGGACAAAACAGGACTTCGTACGTATGGTTGAAATCACAAAGCGCATTCCCAGATGTCATTCATGTTGATGGAATTGATGATTCGACAGTGACGGACGTCGTGATATTCGCATCTACACAAACTCCACGTCATTTGCAAAGGTCGCGGACATTTACAATGTTGACAACCTAGGTCCCAATGATCCTCGACGCGAGCTTTGGGGCCGCTGGTATCCGAGTGTCTTGACATTACCGGACGAGCAAAAGTATGATATCCATCCACTGTTGCATCTTTCCCACTGTTACCGTTGATACTTATCGAACCTTGTTCCTCTCGCAGCGTACTGATTATGGGTGGTCAACGAGCCTTTTACAGCCCGGACAATGCTACCATGGATAACCCCACATATGAAATCTTCAACGTTAATACGCTGACCTCCACCAAACCGGTCCAATCCAACCTATTGTCCGCAAACTTTCCCGTCAACATGTATCCGATACTTTATGTACTTCCTCAGAGCGGCAAGATTTGGGCATTTGCCAACAATGCATCTGCAGTTTTGGATCTCGCCGCGGGTACAGAGACACCCGGTCCTTCGTTACCAAACGATGGCGTTCTCGGCAGAAGCTTTCCGTTTGCTGGCACCAACTTTATACCGATGATTTCGTACAAGGATAATTACCAGATGGTTTCGTGGCTCTGCGGCGGTGTCAATGGCACGGGTCCGGACGGTAACCCCACTCCGCGTGAAGGTAATTCACCCAAATGGTACGCCAACTGTCCCAACTGTCTGCCGACGGCATCCTGCCACTCCTTGCCACTGGAAAAGAATGGCGCTCAGTGGAGTCGCGAAGATATGCCACTTGCGCGGTCCCAGCCAGCTGCCGTGAACCTTCCTGATGGAACAATAGCCATTGTCAGCGGTTCCGGGAAAGGTCACCAGGGCGGAGTCTTTGGTCAAGCTGTTGCCAGCAATGGTGTCAAGAAGGTTGTCATATTCGACCCATCCAAAAAGGTTGGTGACGCCAACCGATGGAGGGTAGGAGCAGAAGCCGCAATTGCTCGACATTACCACAACACTGCTCTCCTTCGGGTCGATGGAACCATTGTCACTGGAGGAGGTGACGCTCAGAACGGCGACAACATTGCGGACCGTCCCGATGATATGAATCTCGAAGTCTACTCTCCTCCCTACATGTTCATGTCAAACCGCCTCGAGCTGGACCAGGTTCCCACACAAATCAAATATGGCCAGCAATTCATTGTCACCTTTAAGGGCGATGTTGCCCAGCAAGTTAAACAAGTCAGCATGATCCGATATGCTACCATGACCCATACCATGAACTTGGACCAACGCCACGTGGAGCTCGAGATTATCAAATACGGAAAAAATAAGCTCTTGGTCAAGGCTCCTACCAATCCCAATGCCGCTATTGCCGGTAACTGGATGCTGTGGGCCGTCGACTCGCGCGGCGCACCCGTGGTCAAGGCCGCTACGGTCAGTCTTCGGAACAGTAACCCTGGCGGAGACGCTCAGTGGAACGATGCAGAAACCGTTTCTACGCCTCAATTCAGTAGTCAATCATCTTCAGCCGCAGTGCGGTTTGCGGGAATGTCAGTGCCGAGCATGACGTTTTTCATTGTTGTGAGTTGCCTTGTCACCGTTGGGGGTTTCTGGTAGGTGTGAAAACATTGTAAAGACGAGAAGGACACTTGGGGTGAAATTGTTCTTTTGTATTGTAGCGCTCCCTTATCACACGTAATTGTAATTTGTGCATTAATAGATATTTTACATAGTAGAATAGTGTGACTGTGCCATCACGCAATTTATCCTTTTGTGTTCACCGATACTTGCTTCACCTCTCTGCTTGCTGGTGTTGTTTCCTTCTGTAGAGTTCAAGTTTTGCTCTCATCTGCCTGATCAACGCAAAGGGATTTTCACCCGAGGACAACGACGTAAGGTGGACTGGGATCTGATTTAGCTTACAAACCACCTCGCCACACGCCGCAGCACGAGCTACCTCCCCCTGGTGACAATTGGAGCCGCACGTGTTTGAAAGCCTTGCGGGTGCTTTTTTGACCTATTCCCAACAATGAGCACAACCGACAGCGCACCGCCGTCAACAGCCGCCGACCTCCTTTCGTCTGCGGAGAACGACGGCGCGTCATGGGAGGATCCTCCAGATTTTAATGGCGAGGAATTTGATGCATCGTGGCAGGGAGAAGAAGAATTTGAAGGGGAAGATTGGGGTTTCTATGAGGAGGGTCTGGAGGAGTATGACGGAAAGCAAGAGACTTTATATGATAGCATATTGGATACAAGAGAGGATGAGAAAGTAGATGATGACTCTAGCAAGGAGGCGAGTGGGACTGCCGCCATTGACGCGAAGGGTCCAACAGAGCAACAAGAAGGAATACCAAAAGTGGCGGCTACAGAACCATCTTCTGTTCCAGCTGATTCCACTGCTGCAGTATCGGCCACTGATCGCTCGCGCGGTGTGCAAGATTCCTCAAGGGGAGCATGGCGAGGTCGAGGTGGAGGCATGCGAGGACGGGGAACAGGATTCCAACGAGGTCAAATGTACGGCGGTTACCGAATGTACAATGGAAGGTTCTGTATCTGTCTCTGGTCTTTATCCTTGTGAAAGATGCCTGCAGAGCTAATATCTTTTGGCATTGATAGACCAGATATGCCAATGTACATGCCGCAGTCTCCTGTGGGACATAAAATCTACATCAATCCTGCTAAATTCATGTCCTTGCCACCTGGGTTCCATCCCTATGCACATCCCAATATGATGAGGGGCCGGGGAATGCCTTATGCGCAGAGGATGGGGATGCGAGGGTTTGGCTATGGGAATGTAGGGAATGTGCGGGGAAGAGGGAGAGGCGGGTTTATGGTATGTTGCCTGTTAGCCCGTATTGAAGGAATTGGAGTTGTGTTGATTGATGGGGTGCAAAAATCTAGCAACAGAATCTTCCTCGGGACCGTGGTCCAGATGCTATAGCCCAACCACACACATACCGTCCAGCAGCCCGTCCTACACCCCCAATGGGCTCACCAGCACCGGATAGCCCTTCCCCCCGCAAAAGAGCTATAGAACCCTCAGTATCCACTCCAGAAGCAAAAAAGGCGCGCGCGGAGGGTGGCAATCAACCGCAGAGTCAGTCACCAGCACCGAATCCGAATCCGAAGAGCACTAATAACAATATGAGTGGAGTGCCCGCACCACAAGGAAATGCACCACCTCCCACAACAACGGTCAATGCACTGCCGGGTACTGTGGCGATTGTGAGGCAGTTGGGTCCTGGCACAGCACGAGGGGATGTGGAGAAATTTGCTAGACCGTTCAAGGTTCGCAAGAAAATGACATTTTAGACTTTTTATCGTCAGCAAACACCTAACCGCCATTTGGGGAATAGTTTCTCCAATTTGATGATAAAGCGCTTGAAGCAAGGATCGGATTTGCGACACCGGAACTGGCTACCATTTTTCGACGAAAGTTTAACAAGTAAGCATCTTTATGCAAATCTTTTTCTTTTTCTCGCATGTACTCATTCTTGCGTAGGATTGAAGTGAATGGGAGTCGGATTACGATATCTATTGAGTGAGTCTTGCACATCAAAGGTAGGAGTGCAGGGCGAGGGTGCTGAGACTTGTAAACATGACGGTGTCTGTTCGTTTTCAAAGGGGAATACAAAGTTGCGTTTGGGTGATTGTACCCTTTATTTATATTTGTGAGTCTGTATTTGGTGATATGAACATGAGGCGGGGATGCTTTCAAGCAAATGTCATCTTTGAAAGATGTGCATATTGGAAATAAGACTGGAGCTATTTTATTGTATACATTGTTGCCCTCGTCTCCAAAGTCGCTGCCTGGAAGCGACAAATCACGCATGTTGAATGACTCATGCGCCAATCAAGATGCAATCCGCAACTGTTCAAACCTTTCTGAACTGCATCTCATCCAACCATGGCCGCCCGATATACCCTTTACCATCACCCAACCTGCAGTAAATCCATCAACGCCCTCACACACCTCCAAACCCGGCTCCAGCCTACCAGTTTCAATGCAGTCATCTACACCACCACCCCACCCACAGCGCAAACGCTAAAAGAGGTATTCGCTTTACTCCCCAAAACCCAATTACCAACCGCTGTACGTCCCGACGAGTGCTCTGAAGCAGAGCGTGCCCAAGTACAAAACGGAAGTGTTGACGATGTGGTCGACGTTGTGATGGTTGACATTGTCAAGAGATTGCAGCGACCTATTCTCGTAGACTGGATCGCTGGAAAGGCTGCTGTTGGGCGACCTATGGATCAGATTTTAGAGTTGCTTGAGGAGAATAAGGAATGATGATGGCGGGTTTTGTCAACGCCATTTTTTGTGGTATTTCACAGCTTGGATAGAATCAAGGGATGCGAGTGATCTGATGCAGTTGGAAGCCGCGAAAAAAGAACATTAGAAGGATAACAAATACTCTGATGGATCCGAACAGTAATGTGAATGTAATAGAGACTTGAACTTGGGTATATGCGAGGACCGTTGGGTCGCTAATACATCAGATAACCGCGAAATTCGCTGTAGATATGCGGCCCTTTTTCCTCATGTTCATTATGCCCGTCACTGGTACTTGTCCTTCTAACTCATCCATGAGCAGCGCCTGGGCAACTTGCAAAATCAGCCTCACTTTTGCGGCTTTTGGCAGTTACGCAGCAACACTTAAGTCGTCCACAGGCGAAAACAAAAGCAAAAACCGTCACGTTCGGACGTAAATCACGTGATTCGGACGAGATCTGACAATTTTGTCCACCGATCGTTTGGAGGGGTCGCTGACAATTTACTGCGCAAAAAGCCTAGCAAGTCCCCCCAGACCTCCATTGTTTTTCCGTCATTGGCGTTTGTCCCGCTCTAGTTGGGAAGCTACCCAAAAGTTTAGAGCAGGTGCACAAGGGACGAACTTTACGGTTAACAGTGTTTAAAAGCTGCCCAGAAAGTCAAAGGCACATTTCAAAATGACGTCCAAGAGGGCATTGCCTGCCGGTGAAGACGAAGAGACTGAAAACCAAGTCCCGGAGACAGCTACCAAGCGCCAACGATTAGAGACTGCCCAAGTAAGTCAACCGAAAATCATGAAGGCGCTGCCCGCTTCCTAAAACTTGCTCCATAAGCGTGTGCGAAACGCAACTGTTCGCTCCGCGGACTCTAGTTTTCACGAAAAGCGTATACAATGGTTCTGGGAGCACCGAGACCTTTTTGAACCCCTATTACCCGAAAAGAGCTTTTTCACAAAGCTGGCTGAATGTCCGCCCCTTGGTGAGACTATCCCTCGAAGGGAGGTGCCGACGCCTGCGAGTGTGCAAGCTACTTTGAAGGATTATCAGATGAGGGGGGTGAGTAGAGATGGTGAAGGCTGTCTTGGTATATTCCGAAAATTGACTGTCGGCTTCATAGTTGAGCTTTTTGGTACATATGTACGAAAATGGGGTGAACGCCATTTTGGGGGACGAAATGGGACTTGGAAAAACTCTTCAGACCCTCAGTCTCTTTGCCCACATCAAAGAGCACAGCAACGGAGGTCCCTTCTTGGTTGTTTGTCCTCTCTCTGTTCTCGGCAGCTGGGCGACGGTAGGTGCCGCAATTATTTTCCCTTCGTTGGAAACCGGAACTGATCGTCCCATAGGAGATCAGCCGCTGGACACCCTCTTTGACCTCCATCACCATCCACGGGGCTCAATCGGAACGCGCGAGAATCAAATCACTATGCTTGACCAATCAGTATGATATTTATGTTACGACATATGAGCAGTATGTGGCAGAGCAAGGGTGGTTCAAGAGTTTTCGATGGAAGATTGTGGTGTTGGATGAAGGTGTGCTAAAAGATCTGACGGCTTTGATTTTACGTTTGGTTGGAAATAAGATGCTGACGGGATCTTTCGTTGATAGGACACAAGATTAAGAATGAGAATACGAATGTGTCCGTTTCGTTGAGAGGATTAAATGCACAATTTCGATTGCTTTTGACGGGAACCCCTTTGCAAAATAACTTGCACGAATGTACGTTCGATCATTAAAGATCCAACTTATTTGGCATTGTGTTCTGATGGTCTATATGATAGTGTGGGCTTTGCTTCATTGGTTGTTTCCGGAAGGTAACTGATTAAGCATGAACTCATTCGCCCCGTACTATTGCAAAATAATTGATCTCAAACAGTCTTCACACCCAAAACTGTCAAGAAGTTTGACGAAAGTTTTGATCTTAATAAAGGTCAATATGATTTGGCTGTGCTGGATTATTCCCGCCGATTGTTGGAACGAATCATGTTGCGGAGGTTGAAGAACCAAGTTGATTTTCAGATTCCACCAAAAGAAGAGATGACTCGTACGTTTTTCTCTCCCTTGTGCCCTTCTTGTAATATTTGTAGGGCCTGACTTGTGCGGCTATTTTGCTAGTGTACGTTCCCCTATCACCCATGCAACGCTTTTGGTACAAGCGCCTCCTGACCGGTCTGGATACCATGACCCTTCAAGAAGTATTTTCAGCGACTCATAAGGAGAGCTCAGAGGAAGTGCATTCGGCGAGTGAGATGAAACAGTTTGAAGAGACAAAGGCGGCAATGGAGTATTCAATGAAGGCCGGAGGCAACGAATGGAAGAAACTGATGAATTTATTGATGCAGTTGAGAAAATGTTGCAATCAGTGAGTCATTCACATGTGCACATTTAAGTGTTGGGGGTAGTGAGCTGACATGAGCGCTCCGCTAGTCCGTATATGTTACCGAACTCGGAGCCGGAGCCGGTGAGTCTTATACTCCCTGGCATATGAAGTATGGTTCTTTGATTTCTAAAAGTGATTCCAACTTTATAGTTCCTGCCAGGAGAACACTTGGTTCTCGCGTCGTCCAAAATGGTTCTCCTCGACAAACTCCTCAAACACCTCAAAGCAGGTGGTCATAGATCTCTCCTTTTCAGCAGCTTCACCGGCATGCTAGATATTCTTGAAGACTATTTAATTTACCGCGGTGTCTCATACTGTCGTCTCGATGGATCTACAGCCCGACCGCGGCGGAATCTGGATATCCGATTATTTAACCACAAGGATTCTCCTTATGAAGTATTTCTAATTTCGACGCGGGCGGGTGGATTGGGCATCAACCTCACAGCGGCGGACACGGTCATCTTCTTTGACAATGAGTGGAACCCGCAGGTGGATCTTCAAGCTCTTGCACGAGCCCACCGGATTGGGCAAAAGAAAACGGTCCGAGTGTACCGTATTGTCTGTCAAGACACGGTTGAAGAGCAAATGCAGAGTCGTTTACAAAAGAAATTGTTCCTTAGCGCCAAAGTCACTGAAGACATGCAAGATCCTACCGCGGTCAATGAACCGCGCTTCACCAAGGGTGAACTCATGTCCATGTTACGACGAGGTGCGAGGGCTATAACCAGGATATTCGAGTCCCCGGAGGAATTTATTGCTGCTAGTATGAATGATATTTTGCAAAAGAGTAGAGAGTATCAAAAGAGGGTTGATGGGGAGGCGGCAATAGAAGATCAGGAAGAGTTCACATTAGAGGGAATGGAAATTGTTCAGTCACGGGTATTTGAAGGGCGGGTGGTACATAAGACCGCGAAGGATATCGGGAATGGTGGGTATTTTCCGCGCGTTTCCATTGATTTGCCAAGCATTAAATTCTTGTTGTAGAGTGGAACGAACTGGCCAAGCGAGTCCGCGAAGACCGTGTCGTCATGGTCGATGGCCACGCGGTTTTGAAGGAAACTGTCGGATGCGACATGTGGGAGGCGAGATCGACTTTTTCGAAAAATGCGGTTATAGAGAAGAAGCGACGCAGAAGAAAATTTGCCCACGAAGAGGTATTGCTTCAACGTTCGGCATCACACTCAACAATATTGGTGACCACTCATATTGTCTTTTTAGGTCTGCCATGCATGTAGCGATGAAGACGATCAGAGCAAACTTCTTGGATGCACCTTATGTCCCCGCTCTTACCACCCTAAATGTGTCGGCATGACCAAAGCGTCTGCGAAACAATTGGTGACGTGGAGCTGTCCTCAACATCTTTGTGTGGAATGTCTGCGCAAAACTGGGGATGCCGGGGGGATGCTGTTTAGATGTCAGAGCTGTTCGAATGCTTTTTGGTGAGTAGTGTTGTTACCTATTCTTTGTGGAGTTCTGGCCTGTTTTATCACTCATTGCGATATCTTTCCTTTCACCAGCGAGGATTGCCTTGATTTTGACGAAATTTTCCCCGTCGGGGATGTTCTCCCTGAATTCCTCCTCCTCGGTTTCCCCAAAGTCGGCCAAGCATATTACATTCGATGCACAGAGTGTCTAGACCATTATAAAACACATCCGGATGCTTTGAAGGATTTGGAGGAGCAGATGGAACGAGACTGGAAGGAAGTCGAGAAGCAGGAGACTGAGATAGAGGAGGTGAAAGAGGTGAAAGAGGAGGTGAAGGTGGAAAAGCAAGAAACGAAAAAAGTAGAGAGAAAGTCGCGACAGGCCCTATCGCCCCGCAATGAGGGAACTACGTCGAGCTCGCTCTGGCCCGCTGACTTTTGCGAACGAGTACGAAAGAAGATGCGAGCTTCTGGATTGTATACCCTAGGTCTCGTGGACGAGATTAGACAGTTGGACCCTTCGGTGCATGTAACAAAAATGGGGCTGGAGAAAATTTTGGACAGGTCCGTGAATGCTCCGGCATATTTGCTGGGGAGTCAGCGGTTGAAGAGGGCTGTGGAGGTTTGGGTTGGGGGTGTGAATTGAGAGTAATTTTGGGTGTCGGTGATTTCGTAAAGGTTACCTATCCTTTTTTTCGCTAGTTAGAATGCGAATTATTTTATTGTGATGGATATTCTGCAGTATTTTTGCAAGACAATTGCGTTGGATCACGCCAAATTGGCACGCCATTTGAGATGCCCTCCCATGTCCGAGCCATATCCTCATTGTGGCCCAGCTTCATCTAATGATCAAACAGCACACATCGTTGAAAAGAGCAAGACAAAATAATATTACGTTCAGGGAAAAGAGGTTTTGGATAAAATATTGGGGAGTGGTTTCTTTATTTGAGGTTGGAGATCACATTCTCCGTGAATTGGGTGTTGGTCGCCTTGCCTCCAAGGTCTCCCGTACGTGCCTGAGTATTACAAATAGATGAGAAATCAGAAAATGACTCAAAAGGCCCAAAAATGACATACCTTGCCCTCCGCAATAGTCTTCAGAACCGCCTGTTGAATGTTATCCGCGTGATTATCCATCTTCATGTGCCTCAACATCATCACAGCCGACAACAAAAGCGCGGTGGGGTTTGCCAGGTCCTTGCCCGCAATATCAGGAGCCGTTCCGTGGACGGATTCAAAAATGGAGGCTTTTTGACCGATATTGCCTGACGGTGTTAGACCCAATCCACCAATCAAGCCAGCGCAGAGGTCGGAGAGAATATCGCCGTAGAGGTTTGGCATGACCATAACGGTGTGCTTCCACTTGGTGGGGTCTTGGACGATTTGGAGGCAAACTCGGTCGAGGAGGACATCATCGAGTTTGATGTCGGGGTAGTCCCGGGAGACTTCCTGAGCAGCGGAGAGGAACAGGCCGTCTGCGAGTTTTCTATTTTTGGGAGATTAGATATGGCCAGAAATAATAGCGGAAAGAGCTACATACTGGATGTTTGCCTTGTGGACAACGGTCACACGGTCCCGGCCAATGGCTCGAGCATATTCAAAAGCATACGTGGCGCATCTCCTGGACGCTTCCTCTGTGATCAGCTTGATGGATTGCACAACACCGTCGACCACAACATGTTCAATGCCAGAATATTCTCCCTCGGTATTTTCACGGATAAGAACCGTGTCAACATCGTCAAAGGGGGTTTTGTAGCCGATGATGGATTTGCAGGGACGAACGTTGGCAAAGAGGTCAAAAGTCCTGTTGTTGTTTTTCTATTTAGCTTGAATCATCAGAGTGTATACGATAGATACCTACCTGCGGAGAGTCAAGTTCATGGAGACGTGGCCCTTTCCAACGGGAGTGGCAAGAGGCCCCTTCAAAGCGACCTTGTTTTTGTTAATGGAGGTCAGAGCATCATCGGGGATGGTAGTCCGGCCATCCTTCAAAATAGGGTATACATCGACAGATTCCCACACAACAGGAACCTACGGCAAAATTCAAAAGACATGAGGAAACTGTGATAACAAAAATTACCGTGAGCGGAAAACGTACGCCCTCAGCCTCGAAGATGTTGACGACCGATTTTGAAATTTCGGGACCGATACCGTCGCCAGGGATTAAAGTCACAATCCGCTTTCCATCCTACAAGAATCATAGCATCAATTTGCGCTCATCATGTAAACCCCGGTCTTTGCATACCTGAGTATACGCCCCCTCACCAGCAACAGAGGCAAATCCTCGACGACACAGAGGTGTTGCCTATTTTCATGTTGACATGTTAGCTCTCCGGATAAAAAGCAGATGGCGCATCACCAACGCGCAACTCGTACCTGGCGAGCAGCACGAGCAAAAGCCGTTCTAAACATCTTTGCAACGGTACGTTATATATGGATATAGAAACACGGAGGGAAAACGAGGTCGGAGAAAGTAATGAAATGACAAAGACAAAAAAAAAACCAGTTCCTTCCGTTATCAAAAGCTGCCAGACGGTCCGCAAAGACGAACTTTTGTAAATTCGCGGAAAATGGTGGCAATGGTGATTGGAATGGGTTGGAATGCATCCACAATGAGATGAGGCTCATCCAAAGTTGGGGTGTTCCATAGCACATTACTTACGGAGAAGATGACGCTGACTCTCCAGATTTGAACGCTGTACTTTCTTAATGTCTAAAGCCATATTCCGCAACTTGTCCGAATCTGTGTTTTCAGTTTCGGGTCGCGGACACGCAGGTAGTTGACGATCTGAACTAGGAACTTTCATCACGGACTGTTTGGTGCTGCAAACATTTTCCTTCTCAACTTCATTGAATGGGTCTTCCTCAAAAAGGGAAAAAAGACCAAACACATTGGCAGCCGCTCCTGACCATCAACTCACATTGAAATCACCGCGTTGCCGCTTCGCTATCGTCAGAGTGTCCAAGATATAACGCATTTGCGGCTTCCGCTCATGTACCACTTTGTGGCTTTGATTTTTCAAACGCTTGTCCTGTCAACAATTTCGTTATTAGTCCTTGGCTCCCTTTAGCCCAAAAGGAGACCATATGTACGAGCGATACCACCAAGAGAGGTATGATGTGTAGGGGCCTTCACTGAAATCCCAAAGTCTCAAAGATGCTTTTTGGTTTATTACCAATTCATCATGCATAATAGAATGCGCAATGCTGACCAAGGGAGTTGGAATATGTTGCAATGCAACCTAGGCAAAAGAAGTATTGTGCAATCTACAGTGCTATGGTTCCAGTTTGATGAAGACAGGATAGTGTACAACGCGCACTTGCTATGAGCATTCTTGAGAGTGGTAGTCAGGAGACATGTCATGGCCGGGTCAAAGCCCATCCGCCGGTATAACTGTCCAAGCCATTCAACAATAGCATCTTGAAACGATGAGCACATTCCAGTATATACAAGAGCAGAGGGGAACATTCCCGTCCCCTAGTCCCGCAAAATAGCCACCCTTTCATCCACGAGGTCCTCCAGTTTCACATCACGCTTTCTATCCGCAATGACTCCAGCCTTTTTCAATACTCGTACACAGTCCAGGATGACTTTCCGGCTCAATTCGCGTGAATTGCGGGGGTACTCTACCGAAGCGAACCACGTCTTGACGTCCTCCTCCGGGAGTTTAAACCGATCCGCAACGTACTTGATGGATGAACCCGTTTCGCGGCCCTGGAAAAAGGCTTGGGATTGGGTGGTGATAGCGTCCAACATGCCTCGAAGGGCCTGGGTGGCGGCCAAGGCCTTGGGGGTGGCGGCAAGGAGGAAAGCAGGCCAGGGAGGTGTGATGTTGGAAAGATGGTGGAGGGTTCCAGAGTCGTAAAAGGGCTACCCAGTAGGTTCGTTAGACTTGGGAACGCAATTGGGTAACAATGGGGTTGTTTATGTTCACCTTTGTCATGATCCTCTCCCACAAAAACGCATCAACAGTCCCATCCCTAACACCCTCCACCAACCCATGAATATTCTTTAACGGCACAAACGAAAAAGGCTCCTTCTCCTCTTCCAACCATCCCAGCTCATCCGCCATCACATACGGAATAATGTGACTGCCACTTCCGAAACGCGAGATGCCAATCTTGCAATTCTGAAGCCCCTTCCAGGCTTCCGGACCCGGCGACTCGCGTGGAGTGGATGCGTGTGAACCATTCGGAGACGTCGCGATGGACCATGTCAGGGGCGTACTTACGTAGGTTCCAATAAGACGAAACTGTGCATCCGTATTGACGAGACTGGCCACCAACCCTTCCGTAAGGGCAATGGCCACGTCCAGCTGGCCTGTATTGAGCATATTGACCATCTAATATAAACTACTGTGAGGAATATGGCATTTATCACACTGGGTTGTGATGTTTTACCTCGCCAGTCCCTCCAGGACAGCTGATAATCTCCACGTCCAAGCCATGTTGTCCAAACAGCTCATTGGCCACTGCCTGGTAAACGGGCGACGAAAAATGCTCGGGAACACAACCCAAGCGCACTTTCTCAAGGGTTGTCTGTTCCAGGACGGAACCCATGGTGTTGTCGTCCAGAGTTTCCATCCTATAGATTCCAGACAAGATGGAAAGAGTCTTGTGGTCTCTGAATAGATGTGTTGGCAAGTGAATGGTGTTCAATATCTGTGCCACTCATTTTGCCTTATTAGGATAGATGAATGACCAATCAACCTTTTGTAAAGCCAGCCAAACGACGGGCATTTTAAACGCAAAAACTAGAGCCTGCCCTCCTTCTCCATCTGAATGACAACCTCCAACGGCCTCTCATGAAACTTTACAGAAAATCCTCCAAAGTCGACTTTCAAATCCCTATTGACCGTCTTGCCCATCGCCCTCCAATCCCACTTGATATCTGGATACAAAGCAGCAAACTCCTCCAATGACATATTATCCACAACGATTTCAATGTGCTCTAGACCGGATGGGTAAGGGCGTCCTGGTTTTGGTGACGGGAGTTCCACAACGTCCAAGTGTTGCTGAATGGGATGTGTGCCGTCGACTAGCTTTATAGCATGTTCTGGGTGTAATTTGTAGGTTGCGATGGGGCGCCCGCCAATGATCCCTTCCGTGAGGACATGTCCAATGGCTTCGAGTTGGGTTTTCAACTCGGTGTACTCTTCTAATGTCCCCGTTCGATAGCAAATATGGTCAATCTGGTATGTACCGACATGTATTCCAGATGCCTTGAGGGTATCGATGGCCCGTCCGATGAACGGTGGGGCCTCCTTGTTGAGGATCTGGTCGATGGATGTCATTTAAAGGAATTACCCCACACTCTCCACCCAACAAAAAGTGTTCTTCCACGTGACTGGTCACATCGATTGTGATGACATAATCGGTACGCGCAAGCGCCCTTCCGTTTTGCCTGAATCCCCTACATAAACACTCTTCTGGATGCTTTTTTCCATTTCGCTCCATTGCTTCACGACGACAACCACAACAGAAAACTGACATCTTTATTCTTGGTTTACTTTCTTTTTCTCAAGTGAGAGACCTGGCAATATGACTTCTGCTTCCGACCTATGCGCATCCCTCTACTCCTTCCCGACATCCAGTGACACACACACCCTCATTGACGCCGTCATGCTCGAAGGGCAGTTGGCCGCTCGGGATGCCCGACCCGTCCGCCGGGCTCCTGTCGCTTTTAGTGCTCCCAGCCGCCAAAAGGCGGTACATGGTGATGCTCTGCGCTCCTTGGATGGCCAGGTACAGGAGGTGTACGGTCAGCAGGCGGGAAGCGAGATGGAGAGTGAACGTTGGGTGAAGGCTGTTGTCAAGGAGGTGAGTCGTGTTGTATAAACTCGGGGTGGAAGCTTGTATTAAATGTGTTTATTGAAAGGTCCCAACTACCAACCCTCGGACCCAATCCATCCTCAACACGTTGCACAGTTTAACAGCCAGTGGTGCCGTTCCCCATGAAGAAATCATTACACTCCTTTTAACTGAGGCTAGACGGATTCAATGGGAACAAGCCCAACAGGAAGCATCTTCGTCGGGTACTACCAGGACCAGCACACGTACATCGGGAACATCTTATCGTCGGATGCATGCGCAGAGAGTTCAACCGGATGTATCCCGTGAGCAGGCAATCATGAAGGAGATGTATGAAAAGGTTACGTCGGCGGGTGCTGCAGATGCAGAGGGCATGTTGGATGTGTTACTGGCGGAAGCCGTGAGGACGGCAAAGGAAGGCGAACAGAGGCAAAAAGCCGTGTTGGCCAAGCTTTGAACTTCAAATGTGCTATGTTGACTTTTGATGTACTATATACCTTTTTTTTTCTTGAATATTGTCAATTTGTTTTGTGCTTTTACTTACATATGGTACATGGTTCCGTTACCATACCGCATTCCATTTCCGCAATTACAAGGAGATGTCAATATAATTTACATTGGAATATGGAAGCACCTCAACTTTCAAAATAATTGTCGTCAATCTTATCAACGCGGCAGAGTCCACCCACAAGATTCACAAAAAGCCCTAACAACCAAAACACTCTTGATCACACACCCAAACCACGTCCCACCAACCAAAACCCCTCCACCCAAATCCAATTCTCCTTTTCTCATACCCCACGCCAATAAAACATCACCTTCCCGCACACCAGTCACGTCGCTGACCGCTACACCGCGATTCGTCATTCGGGGCGCAAAGGACGTGTACAGTCCTTTGGGTAAATTCGATAGGAAGGGATTGGGAGTTAAATGCGCGGGTGTGGTGGAATGAAGGGCGTGAAAGGTCGGATGAGAAGCGTACAGGGCTGGGTATGTTCCCAGTAGCAAGGCCAGAGAAGGAGCCGGGGCAACAGGAAGTGGAGTAAGGGCGAGAGATGATATGATTCGTGATATGGAGACAGCGAGGTCTTGGAGGGAGAGAAAAGTGTCGTAATGAAGGTTATGCGAACGACACCATGCGCGTGGGGTGGGTGTCGTGCGGAATTGGTGAAGAAGGGTCCCTACACTGAGCACATCCGATGTAGAGTATTTAATCGACGCAGAATGTATCCCAAGACTTTCGTCAATCACAACTCGCTTCCCCAATGTCAAATACGCCAATCCACCCACAACAACATTCAAGCATTCTTGTCCCATACGAGCGGCAAAGAGTGCTGCAAGCCCCAACCGGACATCGAGCGGGATACGCGACAAAAGTCTCCCAAGTGGTGTAATTTGTTCATTTGCATCGAGGGCGTCCATGGATTGGAGAATGGTGATGGCTTTGCGAGTGTGCTGCGGAGGAGGTGGGTCAAGACATCCAGCGAGGACCGAGTCGATGGATTCATCGGGAGAGAATAACGCGCATGAACGGATTTTGAGTGCAAGTTCTGTGACAGGTAACAAGGCCATATCTGGTGGGTCACGCTCTGGTAAAGATTCCCAGCGACGTCGTTCCAAAAGCGCGTACCACGTCCCACTTGAAACACGTCCGGCCCGACCAGCACGTTGGCGTCCAGATGCCTTGCAACACAGTCTATCCACCAACCGGGTGCAATCTCTTTTCGGGTCATAGGTGAGACGCCGGTGCAGGAGAGTATCGATGACGATCGTGACATCTGGAATAGTGATACCCGTTTCCGCGATATTGGTGGAGAGGATGACTTTTGGCTGTCGTGATCGGAGAAAGAGAGAGGCCTGTGATGAAGGTGGGAGGGAACTGTGTAGTTCGTGAACGGTAATGTTGGAGAGGTGTGCGAGGCGGCTGGAGAGGGTTCTGATAGCCGCCAGGCCGGGGAGAAAGACAAGGATGCTGCCAGAGTGGGACGTCGCGGTTAGATGTGCGATGAGATGCTCGAGTAGGTCGTAGTTGGGTTGGGTAAGGGGATACGTCCGAAGAGTGCGGAGAGCGCGGTGTGTGCGGGGGGAATAAGTTGTTGGCAAGTCCTCACTGTCAGCGTCGCCATCATTGTCCTCCACGTCATCATCTCCATCGAGTGGCTCATTCCATTCAAAGCGAACCCGAGCCCTTCGTCCCCCGCGACCAGAGATATCGACATACCCCTCTAAGTAACATGAACATCATCGTTAACATACTTCGCGTACCAAATGTACAATAACAGCGCACGCACCACGTCCTCTGGCCGACCCCCATTCTTCAGCGACAAACCCAGTCTGCTCAATCACGTCCTCCAAAAACAGTTTTTGGACCTCAAAAGTCCGGCCGGGAACAGTATAGACCGGGACGGGGCCGTACTTGTCAAAATACGCGGCAAACCGTGTCGCATCGGCTGTTGCAGACATTAAAATGATCCTAAGAAAGTGGGGTTGTCAAAATGGTTTTGTAATCCGTGTGAGAACTGTAACATCCTGGCCGACCCGTCACCCTCATCCTACGAAGCAGTCACCACCTTCGGCACGTTTCCCCGCCCGGCGGAGACGATACACACACAGAGTACACGCACTGCATGGCGCCGCTATCCACCCCACAGCTTATTCCCACTCCCTCTTGAAACAACACTTACCGCAAATCAGTTCGAACTCCCAACAACCGCTCACAAACCCGCACCAAAAAATCACTATCCAATCCCCGTTCATGAACCTCATCTACAACAATATGCGTCACATGCTCCAACTGTGCAGTATGTTCCAGCATATTGAGTAAAACGCCCTACGCAAAAAATTGTTAATTCGGATATAACGTGTAAATATACGGTCGCACATACGAGGGTACAAAACACCAGTCGAGCATTCACCCCCACACGCCGCTCATTTCGGATGTGGTATCCAACCCATGCCTCCCGATTTCCAAGAGAAGTGTCTCCTATTTCCGCTGAGACGCGGGTGGCAATCGATGTGGCCGAGATACGACGAGGCTACAAACGTTCATGCCATGAGCGGGTAGTTCGGCGTAGGGACGAGGGAGGACATACCTGTGTACAAATAACATGAACATGTTGACCACGTTCGACAGCATCTTCGACGATGAACTGAGGGATTTGGGTACTTTTCCCACTATATCAAAACAACGTTATTTGCCATTCTCGCAACCCACCAAGTCTGGATGCTCACCTCCCAGTCTCACCAGAGACAACAAGCACTCGATGACTTTGAATCAACGCCAATATCTCCTGCCGTGCTTTGTAGACAGGTAAACCTTGCCGATCTTTCAATAAGGATATGTACTGTGCCGATTGCTTTCGAGTTGCCCAGGTGGAGGGTGGTAAACGAGGGCTGGGAGGTGGAGGAGGATCGTCGTGTGTCACGGGTGTGGGAGTAGAGGCATAGGACTAAATACCAACAAGTCAATATAATCGACCAAAACAGCGGGAAAAAGGCCAAAGTACCTACCCGTAACCGCTCATCCCGAACTCTCCGTAAATCCTCCAAAAACCGCATCCTTCTCTCCTCACCAACACGGGTTTCAGCCTCCACAGCACGACGCTGCTCAATAGTTAGCACCGCATGTGACAATGCCAATTCCAAACTGTACATACTTCCTCATCCTCCATGTTGAGCCAGAGTTCTTTGTATGCAGGTGGGAGGGAGCGATGCAGGGGAAGGTGCGGTGCAAGGCTGTATAGTGCCTTGGTCTACGCAAAAATATATATAAGAGCTATATAACAAAGTCAACAGTGGGAAAATACGCACAGCGACAATCTGTTCAGCGACTTTCCACCCCCCATTTCCAATCTCTATAGTCACCTCTTCGGGAGGTGTACCGGGGAAGCGGACACTAACTCTCCACCCGTTGTCTGACCGCGTGCGAGAGTATTTAGGTGTGACGGAAAGACGAGATAGGTGGGTTTGGAGGAGGTCTTTGGGTGTGGAGCCTGTCCAGGTCTTGGGGATGGTATAGGGTGCAGTTTGGAGGACGGCTTGAGGTGTGAAGCGTGTAGGTGATGTGGGCGATTCGGCCAAGATAGTGTTGAGAATGTCAATTTCAAAGTCTTCGTCTTCTTCCTTATTCTTTTCGTCTGATTTTTCTGTAGTCGGTAATTCTTTGACGGATGCAAAAGACTCTGTCACTGCTCTCTTCTTTCTCCCCTCTTCAATCAAGCGTTCCGCTTCACCCCTCACAAACCCCTTGCAAGTCTCCAAGTCCCTCATCTCCGCAATAACCTTGCGAATCTGTTCTCCAACTGACTTTTGCTCACTTGAGCGACGGTTGGTTTTAGCTTCGGCAGCAGCATCTTTGAGTGCCTCAAGAGTGAGTGCGAGTGTAGCATAGCGGGGCGTCGGTGCCGGTGGCGGGGTTTCAGTGGACGAATCGTCGTCAGAGTCCTGGAAAGGTGTCAGTAACATGTGGAGCCGATGGGGATGGATCAACGTACACTCCAATCGCGGTTCAGGATCCATGATTTGACCTCTGAATCGACTGTTGAGGGCTTTGATACAGTGGGACAGTCTTGCGTGCACGGCTCAAGTACTCCCTTTTCCTCTTCATCATCGTTGCCGGTCCCTAACTAGAAACGGGCATGAGCAAACAATGACACAAAGTATGTACATTCACACTCACGGTCTCATCATCCTGGCCCGTCACTATAACCAACTCAAAATGTCAACATCAATCCAGTTCCAAAGGCATATCGGGACATACCTTGTTCAGCCGTATCATTACGTGATAGCTCCGCCTCATCGGTACAAACACTCTCACCATCCACATTCGCAATGACCGCATCTAATTCAAATCATCAAAAACGACGACCATTAACCAACACATCCAACCAATCTTACCTCGCTCCCCCGTATTCCCATCACCAACCGCCACAAACCTAATCACCGCATCTTTACACAACTAAGCTACCAGCCAAACCCTTACGAAAAACAACAAAAGGTCCAACACACCTCTATGCTCGACATTGGCAAACCCATTTGGAAGCTCCTCACTCGGAACCGACAAACAAATCTATAAAGATCAGTAGACATTCATTGATCATACTATATATGTTACGGACATACCCACTGCACAATCCCCTCTACGTTTTGTCCACCGACGGCAAGCATAGCCTTTTCGATTACGTCAGGAGTGAATCCCAAATGTTGGAGATAGAGATATACAAAATGGAGGCGAATGAGCGAGGTTGGGAGAGTGCTTTCTGGAGCGAACCAGTCGTGGGTTGTTAGGAAGGAGGTACAGGAGAGGTGGGTAATTAAGGCGTGTTCGAGGGTAGGCGTGAGGTGGAGGGTTGGGAGTCGGCTGGCTAGGCGCTGACTGGACTTTTCAAGTGTGGAGGACAGTTGCAGGCGGGCGAGACGGGTAGCGGCAGTGTGGTCAGTAGTTGTGGGGTCGCCTTGTTCGTCATTGCATGGCTTTGCATGGTTCTCCTTGTCATTATCTTCACCCAGTGGTGGTGGTGTTGGTGGCAATGGTGAGTCGCTTTGCGCTACGCTCTCCTGTTCTTGAACACCAGCAGTAGGTTTTGGCGCGCTCACTGTTGCGTACCCGCGGACAATGCCCGTCGTCTTTTTCTTTTTCTTTGCCATATTGAAAGCTCTGGCATTCACCAGAAGCACCAGCAAGCAGAGATCTGAAGCGTTTCTGCTGAATGACGTGTCATGTTGCGGAGGCAACAAGTGCCATGACAACACAGGCCATATGTCGCGTCGCGTCATGTCCGAACGTGCCGTCCTCATCGGACAAGCGATCGGATTTACTGGAAAAAATGGAAAAAACATGCCTCTCGACACAAACACACACACAATTTGCAAAATGAAACAATCTCTTTTTTTTTTTCAAATACACAACATATCGCAAAAAAACATGGTTTGTTATAAAATACGCAAAAGCGCACAGGAGGCCAAACATTAAAATAAAATCCTACAACATTTCTGCAAAACCTAAAGGGCACCTTATGCTGTCTGAGCCTTGCTGCTGGGGAAAGTCGACTTCACTTCGGTCCAAGCCTGTGCAGCAGAGTTCATGTAGTACTTGTCGGCCTCATCGAGTCGCGAGACAATAGAGTTGACAGCGCCCTTTGTGGTGCCAACAACCATGTCGCGGGTGGCTCCGACAGCATTCACGGTGCGGTCCGCCGTGGTAGTAGTGGTGTTGACGCTCCATTCGAGAGCACTGGATATGGGCCTTGGGAGAACCGCCTTTGCCGTTTCGATGGGGTGGGTAGCCGCGTTGGCTACCACTTCGTAGGTCTGTTCGGCACGCGAGACAATACCGCCAGGAAGCACCTTTTTAGCAGTAGAGTGGGTTGTTGCAGTGGTGTAGTTGACAACAGCTACTGTAGTGTCGGCGACCTTGTGAGCAATGTTACCAGCAGTTCCGACAGCGTAGCCTGTCACGCCCGAGACGGCACCAGCACCGGCGGCCACGACGTTGGCGGTCGTTTGAACGTAGAGCTTGGCGGCCTTGGCAGCGCCACCTACTGTGAGACTTGTCACGGCGCGTGTTGCGTTGACTCCAGCGTTAACAGTTGCGCGTGCGACACCGACTGTGACACCGGCAGCTTGAGCTGCACCGCGAGAAGCGGTGGAAGCCGCGTTTTGAGCGACGGATGCAGCAGATTGCGCAGCCGACTTTGCCTTTCCGACGACAGTTTGAGTTCCCTGTTGCGCCTTTGCGCTCACATCCTGCGTGAATTCTGCAGCTGCAGCTACCTGAGGGGCAACGGTTTCCTTTGTCTTGTTTGCGTATTCCGTCACGTAAGGACGAGCTCCATTGATAGAGTCTTGAACAGCGCGAGAAGCCTTGTGCGCTGTGTCCTTGACCTTGTTGACTGTCTCACCGTTAAGGGGAGTGTTGGAAGCGACGGCGCTCATGTTTAAAGAGAGGGTGGGAGACTGTCGAGATGCAAAAGGATGAATGCAATGAATGAGCGACAATGAGAGACAAACATGGCACATACAATGTAGAAAGACTGCAACCCCAACGGCAAAGAAAGACGACAAGACAGTTAAGACAAAACTCGCACAAGACAAGGAGGACAATGCACACCCAGTACCTTATGAGGAAGAGAGTAAGAGATGAATACACGACTGCAGTGATAATAAAACCAAGAGGTTCTCGTTTGTTTTCCGTTGGTTGCGTGCAAAAGAAGAACAAAAGGAGGAGGAGGAGGAAGAAGAAGAAGGACGACGACGAGAAAAAGCCCAAATGCAAGGGGTGAAAGACGAACGCGTGCTCTTCACATGTCAATTAAGCGTCTTTACTCATCATATTCCATATATGGATATATTACATTCTCATTCCGATTCATTCCGATAGTTATTATCAAATGGGGAGAATTGAACACTTTTTTTTTTTTAATGGAGAACGTTTGGCGGCCAGCAGGAGGAGGTTCTTCGCAGGAGCAAAAGGCGGTGATCATTAGAATGGGCAGTAGCAGGGGGAGAGCCCAGTAGCCTCCAAGCAAAAAGGCAATGGGATTAAGGAAGAAGTGCCCGTTAAAAGATTAGGCGGGTGATGGATTTGGCATGCGCTAAAAACAGAAACGGCTGCGCATCCGCTTGCGTCTTTTGCAGACCCGCCCGTGGTTCTTTTTGTAAATACTTTCCACGTGTAGCATCTTTTTTTCATGTGCATTTCACGCTCGAAAGCGCTCTCGCTCAATAAAGGAAACAAAACGCCATCGCCTTTATTAGCTTGCATTGGGTTTTTTGTAACGAGCAGCCTTTGTCACAAGTGGATGGCTCTCGCCCTTTGGGGGGGGACTCTTCTCCATGGGGCTACGTAGCTTTTCATCCCAGTTGGGTAAATCGAACTGCCCTGGGTTGTGCATTCGCGCCCATTTCCCGTGGCCCCGCGCGGGGGCGCGCCCCTCTAAAGAGGTTTCTCGTAGTGAAGAGCTTTTGGGAGCTTTAGGCGGAGGCCCGCGAGGATTCCCCGGGAATGGGATTGCTTACTCGTATTGGAAAAGTCGTCATGGTCTGGACACTGTCAGTTTTAATGTGTGTGATGGTAATCTGATGAGAAGCAATACAAGCGATCAAGATAGGGTGGTGATGATCAACAAAAGTAGTGATGATATGGGCCATGCCGCACACCAAATTTGATGCAATGCGTTTCTTGGACAATAACGACACATTTCCATTACTGTCTCCCGAGAGTGTGCCGAGACAAACCTTCAAACAATAGTAAGATCATACAGGGATGGCCATTTGTGCATGGGATTTGCCAGCAGTTGTTCTTTCCACGGCATGCACTCTGCCCAACTGCTGGCATCCGTCCACTTTCGAGCATGACCAGCTCTTTGTCACTTTAACAGACGCTGATACATTTGCAAACATCAGACATTGCATGGGGATATAATTAATCCATGCCCAAAGAGTGAAAACCGTTTTGGGGAAATTAGACAAACAATCAATATGTCATCATCCGTAATTGATGTCTCGCAGGATCGGAAAGCTCTCAAATACTTGTTTGGCGCCAATGTAATAAAGTTCTTCACGATTCGTAGCGCGGATGGATAGACGCCGGCACAAGGTGGACAAGTCTCCAAGTTTACCCAAAAGCGCAGATGCTGCAAGGATCGGGTCTTGCGAGTTCAAGCAAAACATGATGCATTACTTGAATTGCCTCAGTTACCATAAGGCGGGAGAAGATCCCACCTGGGATACAGGCAGCAATGGCAGCTTGCTCGTCACAAGCTTTCTGCGCAGAATATATTGTTTCACGTGGAAAAGCGGGTAGACAAGAAAGTTCATTTGTGTGAATTGTGCATGCCACCTCCTCGATGGCGCATCAAAGTTTAAAGGATCTTGACGACATGAATACCATGCTCCATCTTGCCTCCCAACTATGAGACGTTCATGCCGCCTATGAAGGTTGATGCAGCAACTCAGCGTGTGTTCAGCAATACACAACTTTTGAGCCCTCCTACACTTGGCTACTTGGAACTTGGCCAAGTGCATTTGCCCAATGTGGTTGGGCGGAGTTATGCCATTTGTATTATTGTTGGCCGATGTCGGTCTGCTACTAAATCACCATTGCCACCACTCGCAAGATGACATTTCCTAGATGACACCTTTGGTAGCACTTTTGCAAAGAGAAACTACAGTGTAGACACCCTCAGGTAGACAGTGTCCACACAGGATAGGAATCCCTTGGAGATTATGATAGGTAATTCACAGGTGTAATTTCCCGAGTCAGCAGAGTCGCTTTTGAGGGAATTAATATAAAAACCAGCAACCCTTAAAGAAAAGTAAATCCAAAGGAATCAGTAAAATAAGCTAGAGTTTTTCTCGATGAAATATAATGTGCGCAAGATTAAGGTTATGCATATCCGAGTTGATTTGTGTTTGGCGATGGTAGAATTTGGGGAACATTCAGAAAACCAATGGCAGTGCGACACGCAAAGTCATGTCAGATTTTGAGTCTCATCTTTTTGCACGTCCGCTTTATGATCATGGATGTAAGTGGGCATACTCGGTTTTGATACCACAAAAAGTGTGTTTTGGAACAAAATGAGATACCAGTAGATGCGCATTCGGCCAACTGCATGGATATATCTGTCCCCATTGGCACGGACCAAAAGAACTCAAGCTCTACCGGCACATCTTTCGTACCCGAATAACACTAATTACTCTTCATATCCATTCAGTCGTATGCCTATGGTGAAATGGTTCATCAAATAATTGGCACATTCAGCAATGGGAGTTACAAGCGCAAGCTGTCCAGCGTTCGTGAATGTGTACGTAAGCAGAATTCCCGATCGCAAAGCACGTGGCTGACTCAACCAGCTGAACACTTTGGAACCGAGATCTTTGCCCGCAACTGTAATTGGAGCTGAACAATGTCTACCCTCCCGCAGGACTTGGCCAACCTCATTTACTCCCTCCTCACCCAAGACCTTTCCACCCTCCAACGCCAACGCGCCCCCACTTGCTGTATATCCAATTTCACAACATTCACGTCCCAATTCCTCGCGCTCCTCGGCTCCACGGACCCAGTAGACGCCGACGCCCTAATCACCTCCCTCCAAACCCAACACATACCCCACGACAACCTCGAAAGAATTCTAAAGCAAGTCGTCGCAGGGTCTATTCTTGTTGTCGGGGGATACGATGCTCGTGTCCGTGGGGTTCTTCGGCGGGTACTGGGGATTGTATTGGTGGCTGAGGGCGAAAAGGGGCGAAGCATGGTCTTGCAGGTTGTTGAGCGTGGTGTTGGGGAGGGTGTAGGTAAGGAGCTGAATGCAAAGGAGGAAGAGCAACCAAAGGACGCGACAGAGGATGTGAAAAAGTGGATGAGGTTGGGATTGTATACGGTTGCGGGTGGGATGGCGGTTGCGATGACTGGCGGGTTGGCGGCACCGTATTTGGCTACGGGACTTGGGTCTTTGTTTGCTAGTGTTGGGTTAACAGGTGCGACGGCTGCGGGGCTCGTTGGGGCTTTGGGGACAGCATCAGGCGGGATGATAGCTGGTGCCGTCGTGGGTGCTTCAGGAGGATTAGCAGGTATGTATCCTAACTCTTTTGCAACAAGCAAAACATGATACGTATATTGACCCTTTTTTGCGGCAGCGTACAAACTAGCCCACCCAACTCTCACTGAATTCTACTTTCGACCCGTCACTCCTCACCCGCCCTCTGTTCCCTCCCTCCACCTCATCATCCCCATTAGTGGACACCCGGGCACCATATCCGAGACAGTAGAACCATGGGAAACCCTTTCCATCTACGCAGCATTTTCAGAGATCCACTGCCTGATTTACGAGTCGGGCGCGATGGGAACTCTCTCTAAAGCCTTGGAAGAGCTTGATACTGCCGGGGTCGACATGCACGGTGACAGTCCCACCTTGCCATCCATGTCAGCCATCCACCTCAGTCTCGTTACTGATTCGCCCTGGACGAGCGCTCTCCACCTCTCCAAAGAAGCCGGTCTCCTCCTTGCTAACCAAATTCTTGTTCCCGCATTACACGGCCACCACCCCGTAACTCTCATAGGCTACACAACAGGCGCATACACCATCTTCCATTGTCTATCTGAGCTTGCGCGTCGTGGCCGAGTCGAGTCAAACGTATACGGTATCATTGATTCTGTGTACCTCCTTGGTGCACCCATAGACATCCATGACCCCATGTGGCCTGAACTCCGCCATGTCGTCCACGGCCGATTCGTCAATGCCTATTGTGGTGGCGACTGGGCACTCCGCTTCCTATGTCGCACCGCCAATGTTGCAGGTCTTTTACCCGTTGAAATCCCATCCCTAATTGACGACGACGATAATGATATCACCCACATGGACAGCGGTATTGAAAATGTGGATATATCCCATTGCATTACTACTTTTCTTGACTTTCCTACCAACATGGTCGAAGTATTGGAAGCCATTGGATTCGAGAGAGGTAAAAGTAGAGTTCAGACTGGGGAAGTCTTGTTCGCGTTTGGAGAGGATGGCGAGGGGTTGGACAATAATGTGTCCACTTTATCACCCAACAAGGCTGCGGAACTGGTTGAAGAAGAAGAAGATGTTGGGTGGAAGGGTCGTGGAATTGCGTTTGGCAGGGCTGTTTGAATAGAACTTTGGCCAGTTATGGCCCATGTATATCAACATTCGAAAGAGTAGACAGGCTTTAAATTATATCATTTTTAACATGGGAGCACCCCACTGGAGAGCTCTTTTAGAATTTACAGTTTTGAGAAAAAGAAAATCCAGGCAATCCTGATGTGAGCCACATGATCCATACCCCATCGTTTTCCGAATTCACAGTGCCAGTCCATCCCTCACAGTATCCAACCAGGCAAAAGCTGTAACACACCCAAGAAATGTGATAGTACATTGTTGAATTCACATACGTCTTTGGTGCATTCTCTCCTCTGGAGGGTTGGTCCCAGGTCCGATTCCTGGCGGGCTCACTCACATGCAAAGATATACATTTCTTGAGGAGACTGCGTTTTAAATACATTTTATATTCGTAGCTATTGCGCAGCAAAAGACTCTTTGCTGAATTGAACAAGCCTTAATAATCAGGAAGCCCTTTAAAACCACTGTAAGCTGACCAGGCTTGACACGCTATATATACTAGGACATTGTATAATAAAAAAAAATATTATATTATCTCAAGGGGCAAAGTAACTCTACCCTCCGTCTGTGTATTTCGTGCAATAAGCTACATAAATCACACTCGTAAAGATCATCAGGGATATGTAAGCAATTTACACTGGGCTCCTCAGACAAGTCGATAGTCATTTCCTTTCCAAAATTCAAAACCTCACAATGGTATCGCTCGTCTCCGACCACCTGCATACCCGAACAAGATCCCTAAAAGCAATAACAGAATCCGATTTCGAGGTATCAACCGCATCACAAACAGGCCTGGATGCTTTTTTGGTTTCACTGTTGGCTTGGGCTGGACGGCCACGGAGGTGGATGGAACGGGCGGTGCGGAGGAGACGCTACGACGAGGTTCTCCGGAGGATTGCCTGGACACGGGTCCGGGTCTGGGAATTTCACGTGGGGGTGCGGCATGAGGCGCAGGAAGGGAAGGCGGGAGGGGTGTAGAGAATGAGATTCTGCGAGCGGTCACCGGAAGATTATTGGAAGCGACAGGGTGATGCTTTTCCTCGTGTGGAAGAGATCGGTAGGACTATATAGTAAATTATTTAGTCTCGGACAGAGCAGCCAAATATGCCATACCGCGCACAATCTCACCTCGACAATAGTGAATATAAACTCTCCAACAGGCTTTGCAAACCACCTCTTGGGCTTCATTCCCTGAAACCATCCCAAATGCCCTCCATGCGGAGTTACGCCCAAAATCACGTACGGATTTTCCTTGACTTCGAAGAAAGGTATGGCTTCCTTGGGTGCAACAGGATCATCCAGAGCAGAGAACAAGAGCATCGGTCGACGAATATCAGGCACAAACTGTGCACTAGATCCCTGACGATAATATTCATGGACAGTGCGGTATTTGAAGGCTTTGCGGGTCAACAAGTCATCAAATTCGTAAATGAAGCGAGCACTCATGAGTTGGTCCACATCGACGAGATTGGAGTTTGTAAATTTGTGCATGTGACGCTTAAACACTCGAATCAGGTTCTGCGTCATGCGCTTGCTGTATATGTTACGGCCGAACCAAGTGCTGTGCATGACATGGCTGCCGAGAAGGAGATCGAACGGGTTTGCAACCGCTACTGCACCAATAAAAGGACAGCTCTCGCCTGTTTCTCCAACAAACTGTCAATGAGGAACGTCAGCATGGGCAGCTACATTTTAGGAAGTCATGACCGCTATATGTACCTTTGTCAATACGTTTGCACCCAAAGAAAAGCCAACGCCAAAAAGAGGGGCATCAGGACATCGCCTCCTGATGTAGTCAAGAGCATATCTCAAATCGCCAGTATATGCACCGCAATACAATTGCGCTGAAGTAAGCTCTGTCTGAGCACAGCCTCTAAAGTTTGATACTACCGCTCGGTAGCCCCTTTGAGCTACTTCCTCTACAACATCCTGCACGTACGTCTCGTGCGATCCTCCAGTCAGTCCATGAAGAATGACGATAATAGGTGTTTTGTCGTGTTCAGAGGCCGAAGGGGGAAGAGCAGGATGCCAATCCAAAGCCACATTTCCACCATCAGGAAAGTAAATTAGCTCACGGGTATATTCTATCCTTGGCTTGGCGTAATCAGCAAACAACGCAGCAAAGATCGTTTGTAAGTGCCCGTTAGCCAAGTAAGGTGTTGGGGAAAACACATTCTTCTCCCCCTTGGGATCCGCCAATGTCGGACATTCTTGCCGGATGAGCTTATGCAACGGCACCTGCTCAATACTCTCGCCCCCTCGTTTTCCAACCTGCCTTTTGGCTCGCTTGATGCCAACAGTCCGTGGCGCGTGATAAATAGTCACCGGGTTCGTTAGCAGCAAGCGTTGACGAAGATACAAGATTAAAGCCCACAGAGCAAGGGTGGCGATAGACAAAAGGAGCGAGAGACGGAACGGGGAGAGCGTGTAGAGTTTGAACTGGTTGACCACACTCGCCGGGAGATAGAGCAAGAATCGGTATGGCAATTGTGGCTCCATGTTTGACCAGTCGCTGTAATCAGTAGGAACCCCAGTGTTGACGGGAACGAAAACTCCTTCCGACATGATGGGCACAACTGAAATATTCGAAAAAAAGAAAAAGCGTTGAAAACTTCAAAGGCCTCCAAAGTGTTCGCGTTCGGTACAATGAACTTCCATGCGTTCCAATGCATTCCAATAGATAAACATGCTTGAAAGCCACGTGGAAACCTTGATCGACTGTTGTGTTGTACGTAATACGTCTCCGTCGTTGTGCCGAGGCCTTAAAAATGCATGATATTGACATTAACCTAGAATCCATGACAAGTGGAACTCTACTACAGTATTCCGTAGGCGCAGAGGCGATTACCATGCGATCTGTTGAAGATAATGAAATATCCATCCTCAGCATCCTCATGCCTATGGACTTGGCACTCACGGTGCAAATGAAAATAAGCAAACGAACGGCTTGTAATTACTTGCGGTCAATTGCATATGCTAGAGGGCGGTGCCTATGAATTGACCAATGAATACAAGCGATGAATGAACATTGGGACAGAAAATATGGTGGAAAGCACTATGAGCCGTCGGTTGGCTAAGATTACTGCTAAATCAGGTTCAACCTCACATTCCAGTACCATATTATCAAAGTGTACCATTGCATTCAATGTTTTTGAACAAGTACTTACACTCCATCGCACAGATTTCAAGTCGGCTATCAAGCGCAGGAGTAAATCTTGATTGCTTTCCCGGCGCGAAGGCTTTATCTGGGTACCACCTAGTTCGTTCCAATTTCTTTCCACACACGTGCATATATTCTCTACGAGTTCTATTACAATGTCCTGCTTTTTCATAGTGTGATGTCCGTGTTTCAACGTATCACCCGACCATTGCAGGTGTGGCTTATTAAGCTGATAACCAAAATAGTATTTTAATAGAGTATTCATTCTCAACTGCCAGCCCGCGAACAAATGACCATGGAAGCCGTTGTATTGTGCGCGGACTTCGGTTTGGAGAACAGCGGGATGGTTTCTAATACCAAGTGACATGGAGGCAAGCCCTTGGACGTGGCAATCTAAATGGACTGAGAGATATCTGGCCCCTTGACGGGTGGTGCATCTCTGTGGGAAACTTTGCGTCCACATCAATAATTTCCTGTATGGGCTCATTGTCCAGCGGAATTGGATGTAGGTTAGTATCACAGCAGCGAGCTCTGGTATATCAGGCATGCCGTCGTTTGCCCAATCACCGCAATGCTTTTACATGCTGCCAATATTATCCCAGCTTTTTCAACTTTGAATCGCGCCTAGTAACGCAGTTCGGAATTGCAGTTTGGTGAGATATAACTCTGTCCCTCGCTTCACCGTGCATCGATGCCTGCCATACTGCTGTTGTGTTCATGGAGGCTCGCTGATGAGAAAGGACGCAAATCGACACACAAATGCCTCAAGTTTGCCACACGGCAGTGGCAGATTGTATTCTCGCGTGTTGGTTCTAGCCAAGTCTTCGAGACCAGATCCTTGTACTCTTCCTCAAGCTCTCCGGAACTATCTTTGACGGCCACCGCAGGAGGAATTTCAAATGGTAAAGATGCACATGTTTCTTTTTTTTTCATAGATGTAGCGGACCCACGCCAACATATCCCTCAAGTGAATACTCTCATGGCAGACCAAAATGTTTGCATGAAGTGTAGCGCTCCAGCCGGTCAATGGTGACAATGTCATGTTGTGACCGCTAACCGAAACCTTCACAATATTTGTATGATCTTCCTATCGACCCCCGTCACTTGCAACATACATTCTTCTGTAGTCAGAACGCAACTTTGTCCATGCATGTCAACAGGGACCCGACTGTTGCTAATCATACATCGACACTCCAAATGGCAAAGCTTGGAGTTGCGGAGCTTTCAATTTTGCTGGCTCTAGGTCGTGCTATGTCATATGAGGATAGATTGAGTAGCGCTTGCGCAATAAGACGAATGATGTCAGGGACCGGACCAATAGGCGCCGAAGCTATGATTTCCTTGATGACATATTCAAGGTCCAGGTTCTTTACCAAGGAAGGCCTTATGAACCCTTTGTGCGAGCTATTTTGCTGACTCTTTGGCGGTGTTGATCTATGACAACAAGAAGTCGATTATGGTATATTTACACATCTTGTCTATACCTCTGAATGATGGCAAAAGACGCTTGAAGCGCTCAATAGTCCGGAAAGTAAGATAAACTTTCATCCATTGATCCATTTCCCTTTGATTCACTGGTTGCGTAGTGTGATCAAGTTCTCTTGGCATTTCTGTGACCAATATGCGCAGCACGGGAAATGCACAACAGTATTTTCGCTCGTGCTGACTGATTCTGTGACAAGACAAGGGGCATGACTATGTCTGGAATACAAATTCATGGTAGTATCGAATGCATTAAGGAATGGAAAGTCATGAAAAGTGACGGGGCAGCAGTCACTTTGTGACTGGTATTCGGACAACTGTATTCGGACATCAGTTTGGACCTGACGCCTTCGGACAAATGCGACGTCCACGTGAGATTATGATGACCTAATCAACGGAGACGCATCTGAGCCGACTGATGACTTGCAGGAACCTGGCAAAGGTAGTCATGAACGCAAGTCCAATTAATCCACTATCCAATCCAAAAGGTCTGCTAGATAATGCTTGTGGGTTACCTATCAGCCATATAGTTCTCACAAGCTGGTACAATTAGGATTAAAGCTCGATTGTGAACTATGCGGGAAGCCAGCGTGAGTTTGACTTTTTGACTTGCGCTTGATAATCGCTGATGGATTGACGGTGTTTGGATAGGTACTTGCGATGTGAAGGGTGTCGAGTCACATTTTACTGGTACATTCTTTGAATTGGATTGTTGGGTGGTGTGAGAGAAGACGGAGATTGATATGTGTGGTCTAGTGATAAGGAGCATCAATTGACCGATTTCAAGGGGATTCATGAAAAGATTTGTGGATTGCTTATTCCATTACGGTGCGTTTTGAATGTAAAGTATGTATATATCTATGGTTTGGTCTAAAAGTGAACGATTTTAGTACACCCGTTGCCGTTCTTGGATCCGAAGAAGAACGCGCGCATCGATCGCACCAAACCCTGCACCGCCAACAACAGCTGCTAGAGTTGACGAAAACAGAGGCCCACAAAAAATTGTTTGAGGGGAAATATAACCTTGCCATCCCGGCTGCTCTCCAGGCTCTTCGCTTCTCCATTGCAATTCATGGACCCGATGCCATTGAACTGGTTCCGTCGTATTTGCTTTTGGGCGAGGCGAGTATTGGGTTGAATCAGACCAAGCAGGCGGAGGATTATCTGTCGTTGGCTAAATGGGCGGTGATGAGGTGTGGGGAGGTGGATTTGGAGGTCAAAGCGCAGTTGCATCGAAATTTTGGGTTATTGTTCAAGGCAAAGGAAATGGCAGAAGAAGCTATAGAGGAAGTTGCTTTGGATGTGAGTACTTTTTGAGTTTTTTCTGATATGATATAGTGGCACTGATTTTGGTTGTCGTGAAACTTGTGATCAACAGATATATTACTCGTCCCTCAAATCCGGCAACCCTGAACACATCTCTGGTACGTTCTGTTCCCCTTCTCATGCATCGGTTTTTGTCTCGTTTTGCAACTAACGCACCTTGCAGTCGCAGGCGGATACTACCATCTTGGCACTCTTTTCCAATCACTCAACCGCTTCGACGATACAACAAGCATTTACGATCGCATCATCCATATTTACAAAACATATCTCGGCACGTCCGAGGCACTGAACGAAGCACAGCAGGCGGAAGCTGTACAGATTCTAAAGAGCGCTTTGGCCTACCGTCAGAATTACGTGTCGTCTCCAATATCTGCCGCAGAAGCGTTGTGGGTTTTCGCGTTACTGTGGAGGAAAGTCGGGTCAAATGAGAAGGCGAGGGAGTTTGCTGGAAAGGCTCTTGAAGGTACGCTACTTTTTAGTAACTTGTTTGTTTCTCAAACTCTGGAGAGACGTTCCTGCTGACACCCTCCCAACAGCGTACGAGGCAGCACTGGGCCGCGAGCATTCCATCTCGATTGAAATCCGTGCGTTTTTAAAGACCATGGTGGGGGATTCGGGAGCAAGCAATAGACTAGTAGGAAACAGAAAGAGCAGTAACGCGTAAAAAGACTTCACACCAAAAGTCCATTGTGAAAGAAATGATATATTTATTATAACTATAGTGGCAGAAACAGATATCACACATGCTCCTCATCAGCTTTTTATTTTCAAATCATTTTCATCCTTTTTTTTAAAGTTGTTTTTCTTTTTTACAGGCCCTCCTCCGGCCGGAGCCATTGGCACCCCCACCGCGGTGAGTCGTGGCCGCCGCTCCACCATCGCGACAGTCAGTCCTGTTCAACCAAAAGACAAGTGGAGAAGACGAGTAAAGAGAAGGGGGGGAAAGGCGAGAAACGTCGCCTTTTTATAACCCTGGGGAACTGCGCTTTTTTTTTGCAATCGGGAATTCTCGGCGGAAGATTCCCTATCTTGCGTACGTCATTCTTCTGAGCACGCCATGAAGGTCCAATCATCGTCGTCGTGTTCACCTCCTGGCAGATCTCCTGGCGTGCGTTCCGTTCCCCCCTTTGGAGTGTGAGGTGAGGATTATGTAAACGCGTCATTTGTTTATTCATTTTTCCCACGGTCGGTCTTTTGGCTGTTTTCTGAACGGTCTCGAGCAGAGCAAGAGCATTCTTCTACCGGGCTTTCTGTCGTCCTTTCTTTGGTGGGTCTACTCCGTAGATTCTGCGCAATTTGGTGATGGATGTAGGCTTGGATGGGTCAACGGGTTTGTCTTTTGGGAGCGGTGGGGGCGTCACCGCTGAGGTTCTATTCCTCACGCAACTTGAGTTATGGTGTTTGAAAAGAGGTGAAGAAACAAAGAACAGTACCTAGCTGTTATAGGAGCGTTCAGAATCCCATCGGTAGGCCGCAAGGACTGTCGTGTTGCCACAAGTTCTACTCCCCGCTCTTCTCCTTCCACTTTTGCTACTCGTTCCTCCAAGGCTTTGACGGCCCTCTCAACCTTGCCGTCATCAGTCTCCTCAATAGCAGGCACATCCCTATACATCTCCAACAGCTTGGAAGGAACATCCACGGAATGGGTAGTAAGGATTTGTCGTTGGAGAGAGGTGATTTGGTCCAAGCGGGTTAATTGTGTGCGTGTCTGTTGTAGGGTGTTGGTGAGGTTTTGGAGAAGTGTTTTTTGTTGTGCGGTGAGAGTTTGGAGGTCTGTGTCTTTTGTTTTTGAAAAGAGTGAGTGGCCTTCGTGTGAACTGCAGAGGAAAGCAATCGGACTTACTTTCAAGGGATGTGAAATGAGACTTTATAAGGAGTTCGAGGTATTGTCGGCTTCGGGTGTCAAGAGACCTCGGTATACTCTATTAGGTGGTCAAAACAAGTCCTTGAATACAAAAAGTGATCTTACGCAAACAGTACCTGCTCAATGCTTCTAATCCCCTCTTCGACCTCTCCAATTTGCTTCAGCACCTCCTCCCTTTGTCCGTCATTCCCGACCTCCATTTCCAAAAGTCTTTCCCTCAACTCCTGGTGCTCGGCAAATAACCCCAAAAGCACTGAATGAAGCTCTGTAAACATGGAACGTTCTGGCGTCGCTGGTGTTTTGGGGAGAGGTTCGTCAATAAGGCGAAGACGAGGGGCAAGACTGACGCTATTCCTGGGTTGTATAGTCGTTATGCCGCTTTCGGCTCGCACCAGGCGATTTTTTAAAAGACCGATTTCGGATTGAAGCTGTTGGATTGTTACGCTATATGTGTCGGTTTTTTGGGATACTTGTTGGGTTACCTATTAAGCCCATCATTTTAGGTCACCAGATGATCATCATACGGGCCATATCAGAAACCGTACCTTGGTCTTGATGGCTCGAGCTCGACTAGCATACTTTAATGTATTTACTGTTTCATCAAAGTTGCTACTCCCAGGACTGATATTAGCGATCATGACCGTCCGGCAATTGCCTCCCAAGGAATCTTTCAAAAGCCGGGTGAGTTTACTATCGCGGTAGTTGACGTATTTTCCCTTCTTTTTGGTCGTATCCGAGAGCGCTGTTATGCAATTTCCGAGAGCGAGGAGAGAGCGATTGATATTTGCGCCTTCTATCATCCGCATGCCGCGATTCTAATATGATACTCTAGTGTGAATAAAGGAGAATAAACGGCAAAAGGCAAGTCATATAAAACTGACCTTTGTCTCCGCAGCTCTTTCTGACCCTGCCAAATCAATCAGAGAAAGCTTCCCAAACCTCTCTACAATCTTCCCTTTCCGATTCCGCATCCGGCATCCGACCAAAACCTGCAACACTGCATGAGACCGTGAAGAAACCTCATTGGCGCCCGTGGCTTCTTGTGTGCGATGTCGATTGCCTTTTCGGAGGAACCCCAAGACTTCTTCGGGGGTTTTGGCTGTGACGGTTGTTATCCCTGCTACGACGACGCCTTTTTGGGCATCTTCGCGTAGATCGAGGTAATCGGCTTTCCCAGAAAGCAAGTCGCGAATGTTTTCATTGTAGATCTCAAGGTAGGATAGGGTTACAGTGTAGGTTCCTTGAGTGGTAGCGTCCTCGCCTTCGACTTGTTGCTCTCTATTGTGGGCATCGATGAGGGTGAATAGGTCCATGAGTGTTAGGGCCATGATACCAGGTGCTGAATCGGTTCCGAGCATGGTGTACGTTTTGCCGGCCCCTGTTGCGCCTGAACATTCACTGCGCACATTAGCAATGAGTTGGCGTTCAAAAACTTTATATTCCGTCTGTGTGCATACCATAAGCAAAAACAGTCGCATTATACCCCTTGACGACCCACTCGATCAAATACTTGACCGTTTTGTCAAACACCTCGGTTTGTTGGGCACCTTCACCAAAGACCCGGTCAAATGCGTATATTCGCTCTTTGGGACGGTCTTTGCGTAGGACATCGTCGTATTGATCTGGAGTGGGTTCCGTCACGAGGACTGTCTGTTGAGAAACGCAGAATGAGGTATGATACTATGGTTGGATGGTTTTTGTAGATTAGGGAGTTTTTACCTGGTCGTCGTGGGATCGTGCAGTGATTTGAAGGTTCTCCTTTGCGAGTTCTTTGAGTGACAGTGGACGGATTCGGACAGACACCTAGAGCAACATGGCCGTTAGATTCATCAAATATCTCTAATGCATTCTCTCTTTTGAAAACGTAAAAGATGTACCATCAATTTTGCCACTGAAGATCCGGCAACGCTTTCTCGTTCTGCTTCTTCCGCCATTATCAAAAAATAGATACTGGGAACCGATGCTGATCGTGTTTTTTGGGCGGGATTGAGAGTGGTTCGGAGAGAAACAGCAAAAAACCCAACCACCCAGAAAAAAATCGTTCCGAACCAAAATAGCAAGTGTTCAATGGGGAACCTCCGTTACCACTATGAACTTGTACCGCCTTGATGCGAAACAACCATCCAACAAAAAAGATCTTTGCCTTCTATCACACTCCAATGAAACCAACACACACAAAAAGAAACACCCGGCCCACCGTATCTATATCTCAACTGTTTTTTTCTTCTCGGGATGGTGGTTCGGTGGGTCGGGATATGCCCCATCCCGATGAAAGGGTGGTTTGCCGTTTATTCAAATAATCTCAACGGCGTTTAGGAAAGAATGGTATTTTTGTTATACGAGGTTTATTATAAAGCGTCTTGTCATTTTTTGTTCTTAGTGTTGGGCTGCTTGTGTTTTTTTTGTTGATGTTTGAATGGTGGGGCCTATGAAGCGCGTATTTTCCTTGTTTGCCCTCCGTATTTTGATTACCTCATCTGCGCTTGTATATCTTTTTGGGATAGCCCAGCTGTAGAAGTTTTTTTTTCAAAAACGTTTTTTTTTTATCTTGGTTTGATGACATTCCTTTGTTTTTTATATTGTGGGATTTTAAGGATACATTACCAAACTTTGGAAATCAACCTTATGATGATGGCATGTGAAGCATTGCATGATCGTTTAATAAACGACTCTTGTGAAGCAAAAGTTTGCCAAAAAAGCAAATGCATATACGCTTCCTTGTGCTGTGTATGTACACCACACAAATTTCATTAAAATAAAAAAAAAACAAGCAAGACATCCTTTTGTCTTCAGCCAAACCCAACCCCATAATCATTGATCAAATCTTCTCCTCCTCCACTCGCAGTTCCCATTGCAGAAGTCCCTAATGAACCCATCATGGTGGATTCTGGGCTACTCCCTAATACCATGCCCGGATTAATATCTACAGGCGCATTGGAGGATAACCATCCACTATCCATTCCATTTCCTATACTACCACTAACAGCATCCCATCCTCCATTACCAGTGGCATTCAGGGCTGTCATGTATCGTTGCATTTGGATTTTCATTCTTCGTGCGGCTGTGACATAGCGAGCGGCTTCAGAGAGTTGTCCTTCGAGTTTACGAATTTTTTGTTCGTCTGCAAAGGATTTTGATTCACGGGCGACGCGTTCGTTTTCGAGGGATGCGACACGGAGGACTAGACGGTGGTTTTCGGCTTCCATTTCTTTGATGCGGGCTTCGAGTTCGTCCATTCTTGCTACGCGGCGGAGACGGGATCGGCGGGCTGCTTCCGTGTTTCGGAGGCGTTTGAGTTGGAGGGCGGCTTCGTCTGATCCGCCTTCGGGTGTGGCATCGCTGTGGGATCTTGCTCGTGTACGGGTTGGGGTGGGTGTGACGGTAGATGATGGCTGTTGTTGTTGTTGTTGTTGTGATGGTTTCCGTTGGTGTCCTGCCATATGGATGTTATTGGTATTGTTGTGGTTGTTGTTTGACGGTTGGTCCGGTGCAATATGGTTCATGTGTTGGGACCGTGGTGTATTGTCTTGCATCCAGGAACCCAGGTTGGGCACCGACGCTCTTCTATCGATTCCACCAAGGACATTATTGTTTGATGAAATAGACACGTCGTTGTTGTGGTTTCGTCGCACGGGATTCATACATGGGTTGGGTTGAAAGCCCGGGACGCCCTTTGACATTTGCGGGACCGCTGGAGGCTGGCCCGACGTTGGTGGCGGCGGAAACAAGAGTCCGGCGGACGCAGCCCACATGTCTCCACCCATATCTGAAAATAACTCCATGGAACCCATTTCTCCATCCACGGCCACATTTGTGGGAGACGACTGCGATGAATCGTAAAATGTCATTAATGGGTCCAAATACGGCTGCGGCGTTCCGTTAAAGGTGAGCGGGGGTGGAGATGTCTGTGGGGAAGGCTGTTGGTGAGGATTCGATGCAAGAGAAGCAGCAGACGGAGGTGAGTAATCGCTCGGAGTTTCTGGAGTTGGTAGGAGGCGGGCAGTCGTCGTTTGGTTCTTGGTGTAGTTGTTGGTAGTGGTGATGTCGTTTCTGTACCACGGCTCCATTCTCTGTTGACCACGCTGGACCTCCATGAAAAACGTAAACGACAACGTTAAAAGAAAAACAAAAACGAGGGAAAGCCGTTGATCAAGACAATTCAACTGTTCAAAACCGAAGCCAACGAATATCCAAAAAGCACACACTTTAAAGTCATAAAGGGCTGAACGCTTCCTTTTGACTTTCGCTCCACCTCTCACGTGTACAGATATATGTTCTATATATAGAAATATAAACTTCCTTTTAGGGAGAGGACCCGCGAAACGGGGCAAACCCACAGCAACAAAGAAGCTCCGAAATAAAACAATATCAAGTGTTCTTTTTTTTTTTTTGTTAAATGTCCAAATATACGAATTTTGAATAACAACTGCATATTAAGCTATTTGTAAAAATGGATAGTGGACATGATAGATATTGCTCACCGCCAAGTATTGCAGCTCACTGCCAAAGCTCCAATGTTGGACAACTGCCAAGAGTGAAAGGTTGCTCCCCCATCTCCCCGGAGCCAACAACAACAAGTGCATGCACTCTTGATTTCATCCAACAGGCCTTTCCTGATCATGCTCCATAATCCACCAAAAAAAATGCTAGCTCCTTTGTCTGTTTGTAACATTTCTTTCAAAACCTTGATGGAAATCTGGAATCACCGGGACCTGATTGTTGTGCCCAAAACACAGTCGTTTGAGTTGAATTTGTTCTTGTCCCCATTCAACACAGCGTATGGTTCCTCCGTAACCACTTTGATGGTTCCCGGTAATGAAAAAAGGTTATCGGAGGGAAGCCTCCGCCCCTCTTCTCCATGATTCACAGTTGGCGCTCTACATCACGTGAATGGCTGATGTGGGACAGAACCAGCGGTGTGTTGGGTGATTTGCTAAACAAAACGTGCTATAGTGTTTAAAACCTCGTTGCGGACAAAGAAACTCTAGAACCGTCTTGAGAGATTTAAAAAGATTTGTACACGGTTTTACAAATTCCGTTTCCAAGTGCTATGCGAGAGAGATCAGCACAGTTTGCTGGCTCCCGTTCAACAAAAAGGGCGGCGGCGGTCCATTTTGAACTCTACAAGAACGAACAATGTTCCAACCTGCTACGAAAAAAGGAAAAAGATTCGATTTGCGGTTGCGATCCAGGGCCTGTGACCTCTTTATTACCAGGTGTCCTTTGGGAAATGCAGAACGCTTACTGGTTATGATCATCCCTTCTCAGTACCTGGAAGAAAGAAGATGAACGGCAATGATCAGCATCAGGCAATTCATCACCACAGCAACAATTTAGTCATGTAACGTATCATCACGTGCAAGATCATGCTGTGCAGTTGTCTAGGCCCGTTACTTCCCAGTTCTTGCCCTGGTCGCTTCCGATAAAAAAGCATCTTGCCAAGGAATGCCACCCAAATTGCCCACACACACACACACATACTTGCATCATTGTTGGTTAAAAAAGGATGGATATCGTCCGCGAGTGGAATGCATATTCTGCCGTGTTTCCGCGCAAAATTCCCGGCCATACGCTTGGGCGCGGTAATAGTGTGTCTGTTTTTGAACGAGCCAAAAGCGCAAAACGTCATGATTGACAAACTGTGAGGAGGGAAAATGATACAATGTTCCGCCCACATTTACAGTGTTTTGTCATGTCGATCCATCCTTGTCAAGAAGCATCATGAATATTGCCTTACTTACTAGTATACCATAAGGGATAATCATTGCTCTTGTTTTGAAATGCTGTGACTCTGCTCACTTTGTCTTTTTGCCTCTTCCGTGGATCCCCTCCCCTCCGAACACTTTTGCAGATCATTTGTATCGGGAGAAAAGCGTGTCCAATAAAAAGCACATGATCACACTCGCTTGCAGATCGCTTTTTATTTCCCAATGGAGCATGGTTGTACATGTAACACAGAACGCGTCATTGCAAGGATTTGGAACGCTTGGAACTGGGCTTCAATACGCAGACATACGTCATTGCGATGTAAACAAATGTAAAATTTTTGTGTGGTTGTGTGAGGCGTTGGCGTTTTGGAATTTTTGCAAGTTTTTTGTTTGGATTTAAAGTTGTTGTTGAGAGAGAGAGAGAGGGAGAGAGAGAAGAAAGGGAGGCTGGGTAACAAGAGAAGAAGAAGAAGAAAACGACTAGAGTGAGGGAAGAAACGCGCTCTTTCAAAACGTGTTATTTTGGGAGATTTCATCATTTTCTGTAGAGAGAGAGATTTTCATCTTGACTTGACTTCCTACTGCGAATTAACAAAAAGAACGGCCAAGAAAAAGGCTTGTCGTTTGTGGGCAGAGTTCGAGAGTAGAGCAGTTTTCCTTTTTGCCAACTCTTTTCAAAAAACGACTGCGGAACTTGCGTCATCATTTTGTTTTATTGGTTTATTGGGCTCCCCCCCCATTTTTTTCATCTTGCAACTTGTTGCTTTCTCTCTTCTTCTTCCCTCCCATAACGTTACGATCGCTTTTATTTTCTTTCTTTTGTTCTTTTGGGCGTATTCGTTTCTACGCTCTCAAAGAAGACGGAAAACGAGATATTACGCATCATCACACATTACGGGTTTTACGCATTAGTGTTGCTTTCTTGCTTTGAACGCGGATCGCTCTTCTGTTTTTCGGTTATCGAGCCTTGGATTGTGTGATTTCCCTCGTTTTCCCCATTCTTGGTATTGTGTGTTGGATATCCATCCATTCATGTAAGTATTCTTTTGTTTTTTCGAGTATTCGTTGCAAGCGTATTATTGCTGCAGTGTTTTCTGGTAGCACTCTCATCTCACCCAGACCTCACCAGATAGCCTCGCTACCGATTTTTATTTCGCCTTTCTCGTTCAACAGCGTTTGCCGTGTTTTTTTTCCTGCGCACATTTCCCGTGTGCGTGTGTGCGTGATATTACCGTCGTTGTCCTTCAACGACCGATTCCTTGTACAGTCCAACAGAAAACTAGTCTCCCTACTTTTCAAACATGGCTACAGTGTGGAGAAATTCTGGCGATATGGAAGGAAGCTCATTGACGCCTGGACGAATGAGTCCAGGCTTGTGTTCTCCCGTCGTCAACTTTAGCATGGCAAGACCATCGTCAGCGAGGTCGCCCATGGAGTCGACATCAAAAGGCACAAATGGAAACATGGATTATTTTTCATTGAATCGAAGTAAGTCGATGGTAGAATGCATTGTGTCTGTAGTTGTGTCGTATTGATTTTGTCTTGAGCAGATTCCTCTCACCCAGCTGCAACACCTGCCACACACATCAACCTTCCCACATCAACGCCGCTACCTTACCTCACCCCAGCTGCTCCCGCCGCCGACTCACCCTCAGAGTACTTCACTCCCATGATAATCCCCACTACACCTTCCCACGGGCCGGCGAATCTCTCGCAACGCACTCCAATCATCAGACCCATTTTCCCACCGGCAACTCCAGGAGCACTACCACCAAGAGTACCGCCGTCGTCGAGTAACGGCGGGGACCGGTCACAATTCCGGCTGGCTCTTCCCGTGCCAAATGGTGCCGCCATCCCTGCGGCAACGAATGTGGTACCGCAAGACAATGGGCAGTCCTATGGAAGCACAATCCAACCCCGCGGTCAGATGCATCTTCCTCTCCCTTCACCACGCTTCAATTTGTCGCTCCCCGTCACGCCAAAAGTGTGCGGATCGCCGAATTCACCGCCAGAACCGCATGCTTTTGAACCGATCGAGCTGGCCAATTTACTGCACGCGCAGGGATCCCCAAGACCCGCGAGTATTACCTCTGCGGAAGGCAATCCTTTGGTCCTCGTTCTCGACATGCGATCGTTTGTGCAATATTCTCGTCAGCGTGTAAAATCATCAGTCAACGTCTGCATTCCTACAACGCTCCTCAAAAGGCCAACTTTTGGCGCCGACAAGCTATTTGATACACTGGCATCTGACCACGCCAAAGACATGCTCAAGCAGTGGACAAACAACACATTTATCATTCTCTACGACAATGATTCATCTCAAGTGTCGTCTGGTTCGCCACTCATGCTTCTCGCTCGTAAACTTCAGCAAGGAAACACGACCGCGACTATTGGATGGCTTCGTGGAGGCTGTACAGAATTTTGTCGAAATTATCCGGACCTCTGCGACAATTCTCCACCACCCGTCGGATCAGAAGGCATTGGATCACCACCGGGCGCGGCAGGAGGTCAAGGCCTGGCTCTGCCCAATCTAGCTGGTATGGGAATGGGACTGACTGCCACTGGGGCTACTCCTGCAAAGATTCGTGGAGGGCTGAACTTGTCTCTTGACCTTTCAGGTCTCGGGCCTCTCACCGCTCCGTCGGCTCTCGGTGCGTTAGCCGCTTCCAGACCTCCGCCGCAACCTACATATGCTGCGCATACGAGTGTTCCAAGCAAGAGCCCGACTGAAATATTGAAGGATGCAACTGTGGATCCTGCCGACGTGAATGTGCCGCTGTTCTTGAGAGAGCTTTTCCAAAAGGAGAATGTCAAGGGGGCTATCGAAGAAAACTTTAATGCAGTCGAAGCCGCCGAAAAGAAGAGACTGGACTGCTCGTTTCGGGCGAGAACACGCACAGACCCGTTTTCTGTTTCTGATGCCCTTGAAGCCGGTGCAACGCGGAATCGGTACAATAACATTTGGCCGTTCAATCACAACCGTGTCCGTTTGCACACCCCGACGCTGCCGAGTGTTCAGCCCTCAACGGCTGCACCCGGTTCCGACTACATTAATGCCTCCCACATTGTTTCCCCCGCCGGACATCGAACCTACATTGCAACACAAGGGCCCATTCCCTCAACGTTTGAAGATTTTTGGCGTATGGTATGGGAACAAGAATCGGGTGTGATTCTCATGTTGTGTGCAGATGCGGATGTACAAAGGGGAAGTCAGACATGTCACAAATATTGGCCAGAGGAATCAACACCGGTCTTGAAGCTCAACCGAGTCGAAGTAACATTGCTCAAAGAGAGTAATATCAGCTGGGGCCAAGATGACAAAGCAAAGGGCAGCGACATGGTCGTGCGATGCTTTAAAGTTGTTGTGGACGGCCAAGACGCCAGTGCACGAGAAATCTACCAAATTCAGTATTTGGGCTGGCCTGACCACGGTGTTCCAGATCACCCCGACGAAATGCTCCGAATCCAGTACCTAGCCGACAAACTCCACGGACGCCTCGCCAAACAATCCTCTAGCATGGTCGGGCCCATGGTTGTTCACTGCAGTGCCGGATGCGGACGTACAGGTGCCTTTATCTGCGTCGACGCCGTCCTAGCCCTCCTAAAGCACTCGGATACACCCTTTACATCATCGACTCCCACACCACCCGAATCCGACCCCCAATCCTGGTCCATTGTTCGCCCCATTCTTACACCCACAACATTTTCATCCAATGCCCCGCATGACATGATTCTAGCCTCAGTTCACCACCTCCGAAGCCAACGCATCCTCATGGTACAAAGCCTCAGTCAGTTTGCATTCTGCTATGAAGTCGTTGGAAGGTTTTGCCGTGTCTCTTCTTTGCATGGGTACGAGGATATCGTCATGCCTCCCCTTATCGAAAAATTACTTGATGAAGTGTTTGATGATATGGAAGGTGTCGTTCATGGACGTAAAAGAGAGCGAAACATGTCTACAGATGACCATTTTGAGCGGTTGAAAAGGGTTGGAACAAGAGGAACAGAGTAAAACGGTTTTAATTATTGGATATGAAAGAAAAGAGTGGGAATGGGGGAAACAGGAAAAAAGGGTTTTTTAATTGGACATACGTATTTTGGGGATCCCACTTTTTTTTTCTTTTTTCTTTTTGTATACCACGTTTTTTTTCTTATCTTTAAAAACACTTGGGGTTGAGATCCTTTGTAGTCTTGGTTCTACAAACTGTTGAGGTGGTGTGTGTGTGTGGTTTTTTGTTTTTTTTCCTTTTGTGTAATTTGAAATACAAATGATTTGAACTTCAAGGGTTGCATCCTACAATAGTAGATAATATTATCGCTCTAGAGTTTCTGGATCTAAAGGTTGTATCCTCGGGCTTTACAAACTTGGTCATTTTCTCACTCGTTTGATCAGAGTCGACAAGATCCAAACGCAGCTAACAATGTAAAAAACAAAATGACACCGCGACGGAACAAAACCACAAGATCCTAGCCGCACACACTCCATATTGCAGCATAAATTATAGATGATACAATTACGGCCAATAGTTTAACGGGCCCAGCTTCCCCACCAAAATCACTTGACAAACCGCCCAACAACCACCGTCCTCCCACTCCCACCCAACATCCTCGCAATATCCCCAAAAACACTCGCACCAACTCCTGCACCCCGCTCATTAGCTCCACACCTCGCCCGCCGCTCAGCAATTTCAATACACGATTCATGATTCTTATCTCGCAATTTTGGATTGGCGCCCCAAGCCAACAGAGCCGCCACAGTTGTTCGCCACCCGTTGACGACGGCCCAGTGGAGAGGGGTGCGGGTCCATGTATCCGTTGTGTGGATGTAGAGTGCTGGATTGGGTGAGGACTGCATGAGGAGGTCAATAATGGTCGAAGGGGCGCCTCCTCTTGCGGCGTGATGAAGGGGTGTTTGACCATTATCATCCGTGTTGGAGAGGGGGTTAACGCCCTTTTTTGTTCGTGTGCAGTCGAGGAGGAGGGATACGAGGGCTTTTGGTCCGTGTTGGGAGGCGAGGTGGAGGGGTGTCGCGCCGTGGGGGTCCCGCGCGAAGGGGTTGGCGTTGTGGTTGAGGAGGAGTTGGGCGGTTTCAAAGTGAGCATTGACGGCTGCGCAGTGTAATGGGGTTGTATGCCGGCCACTATGGGATCCACCATCGACGTGGAGGTTGCGCTTTTGCAGGAGATAGTCCACAATGGTTTTTGCGCCGCGGCCAGAGGCTGTGTAGAGGAGGGAGAGATGGGTGGTGGATGTAGGTTGAGAAGCAGGGATTTGCACAATGGGTGCACTGCCCGATGAATCAAAATCGCCCAAAGCACGATAAAGGTACTCGGCAAAGTGCACCAATATCGGCCGTTTGAGCAATTCAATGGGTGCAAGGACGCCTAGTAATTCGCCAAATAACCCATCTCTCGTTTCGGTGTCCGTATCGCCGCCCTGATCTTTTGCGTCGGTCACAGCAGCGCGATTCTTCCACAAATGAGATAACCGCTGACACGCTCGTAAAGCAGCCAGCGAGTCCCCGCCTGCTTCCATAAAGTGTGTCTGTATCCCCAAAACGCCCACTCCGCCTAGCACCTCCGTCCAGACGTCACCGACCACCGCTGTCCAACCACCCATTGTCGCACTCGCATCGTCATCAGCCTCGCTTTGAAAAACCAGTAGAGGTAACTCTTCTTTCGCTAGTACACTTCTCGCAATTTTCCCCGTTCCCGTCTTTGGTAGATCTCGTACAAATACGAATCGCGCAGGAACCATATGTCTAGGCAACGTTTCTTCAGACAGAATCCGTAGGAGCGTAGAGAGCAGGCCACCTCTTGATGATGCCGGTTCGCCGCCATCCAAATAAACATCCACATCCTGGGGAATGCAGAATGCGACCAACTGTCGCGTCTGATGATAAATGACTGTCACGCTCGACAGCAGAATACTCGTAGCGGATGACATTAACGCATGTTCAATCTCTTCCGTTTCGATCCGTTGTCCAGAGATTTTGACCTGTGTGTCCATTCTACCGAGGAGTTTCCATCCATTCCCATCATCTCGCGCAACAATGTCCCCTGTTCGAAAACATCGACCATACACGGGATGGTTGATGAATCGTTCGGCAGTCAAGGTTGGCCGATTTAGGTATCCAAGACCTACTTGGTGTCCAGATATCCATAATTCGCCAATTTCTTTGCTATGCTCTGCAACAGGTAGCATCTCCGTGGGATCCGTGCAAGGGATTTTCTCCCAGCCATGAGGTGACGACATGATAAGGAGAGAGTTACCAGCAAGCGGTGCTCCAATATTCTTGCGACTGATTCCTGGGCGGAGGCGGCAGGCTGTTTGATAGACACAGCATTCTGTTACGCCATATGTGTTGAGTAGGACTACCTGTTCTGCCCAGGTATCTACAACCGACTGAGGTGTAGGTTCCCCTCCAAGGGCGATGACCTGTAACGCCGGCAAACCCTTGGGTCCATACCCTTGAAGCGTGCCAAAAAGCGCCGGAGTGGTGAGGACATGCGTTGACTGTGTACTAGACAGACAATGAAACAACGCAGTAAAGATAGTGGTCCGTGGAGCCAACGCGACGGTTGCACCGGCTATCCAGGCTGAGATGAAATCACCCAGAGATGGATCAAACGTGTGAGAGGAGGCAACGAATATGGTGCTTGAAGAATTAATTTGATGAGCAGTGTTTTTGGCGTGAGAGTACGACGTTAGAGATGATCGGCTAGTGATGCATCCTTTTATGATAAGCTTACGTTAGGTCTGTCGCTACCAGGCAGAAAGGTCACTTGTTAATTACCTTTTGGTCGACCCGTACTTCCACTCGTAAAATAAATATGCGATACATCGGCTCCAGTACAGGTTGATCCTGCTACCGCTTCATCATCCTCCCCACAGTTCTTCATCTCATTTGTCAGAGCGTCCAATGTCACACACCGCCCCGATTTCCGTCGTTCGCTCTTTCCCACGGCCTCAACAAGTTTTGCCCGTCCCGCGTCATCTTTTGCGATAACAACATCAGGATCTGTGTCGTCTATGATGTAGTGCAGGCGGGGATCGGTTGCGTCCATCGGAACTAACGCTTTTGATAGCGTTTGTTGAATACATTGCTACTTGAATTCACTCTGGGCAGATATACGTACCTGCTTTCGGAGAGCACAGTAGCACCGCGAGCATAAGTATCGGAAGCATGATTCCTTCATCCACCAGAATTCCAACTGTTCCCTTCCAAACAACACAGTGTCAATGTCTAAACGTTTCCTATTCATACCAACATTCACAAAGCCGACCTTTCCGATACTCATGTCCCACATTTGTCTCGCTCTGCTCCAGTAATTTTCCCAAGATCGTTGCAGTTCTCTTGGCTTGGCTCCATACTTGTTGATAGGTCAACCGTTTCAAGACTTTGTCCGGTTCGCGGGACGGGTCATACCACAATAGAGCAGTAGCGTTCGGACAGCGGCGTACCTGTGCTGCTATGTGCTTGGTTGGACAGGTATCGTTTGGAATGGTGTGCGGGCTTGGATGTGTGCAATCATTCGTCGTCATTGGTATCTCTATTGGTAGTTTACGTTGGGTGTCCCAGATTTGGACCACTGGAGGTAGGTAGCAACGCGGTTGCTAACACAATTCGTGAGTGGTTATATTCCATAGGTATGTACTGTATCAACAGCTTAAACATCGAAAGAAAGGCTTTCCACCCAATATGTGATGAATTGCCGTCAAAGGCGCTATGCATATACAAGATACAAAATGATACATGATGCAGTCTACTCATCTAAGACTCCTATGCTACTCCTAAAGAAAATATATCAAACTGTAAAGCCATGCCCAACAAGACCGTCCAGGGCAGACTTACCTTTCTTCCTATGAACAATCTCGACCCCCAACAACTTTACAAACTCTTTCAAAAGGGATTGATGACCCGGCCAAGCAGGCGATGACACCAAGTTACCATGCACAATCGCATCAGTTGCTGGCACTTGCTTATACTTTCCACCAGCCAGTTCAATTTCGGGAGCACAAGCCGGGTACCCCGTGCACTCTGTTCCCTGCAATACCTTTGCAGCAGCCAAGATCTGCAATCCATGACAAATCGCCGCAACAGGTTTCTTCGCGGCAAAAAACGCTTTGACGATCTCCAGGACTTTCTGATTCAGTCGCAAGTACTCTGGCGCCCGTCCGCCTGGCACAAAGAGTCCGTCATAATGCTCCAGCACAACAGAGTACAAATCCGCGTTGACTTGAAATTTGTGTCCCGGTTTCTCCGTATAGGTTTGGAAGCCTTCGAAATCGTGCACGGCTGTAATGACCGTTTCTCCGGGTTTTTTGTCTGGACAGACAGTATCAACTTTGAAACCAAAGGCTTCAAGGGCTTGGTAGGGGACCTAGTATACCAAAACCGAACTTGCGTGAGTATCTTTGCGTGCGCTTACACCAAGTGCCAACCCTCCCCAAGTAGAAACATACCATAACTTCGTAGTCCTCGACAAAGTCACCAACAATCATGAGAATCTTACGCTCAGACATGTTTATTCAATCTTTACTCGATAATGGAAGAACAAGGGGAACACGTGTAGCGATGAAGATGTGTAGAAATGTTTTGCGAGCGAGGCTCTCCAACTACGAAAATGGTACGTCCCAGATCATTACGTACAAAGCTGTGACACGCGACTGTCAGTTTGCATTTTGCAGAACAAGCCGGACTTCCGGCAAATGTCCGAAAGCCTGCTGTGCAATTTCTTTTTCTTTTTTTTTTTTTTACATCGGTCTCATACGGATAAGATGAAGAAGAAAAAATAATGTCAAAAATCTCGGCTCTCTGCCAAAAAAAAACGATATGGGCTGAAATGGATTATCAACACGGTTGAATAGTTTGCCGCGATGAAAACTGCATGGCCAAAAAGATTAGATCTGTCAAGAGACACGACGATGAAAAAAAAGCCGACATGTCAACAAAAGCTCAAGCAGATTCCTGGTTCAAAAGATGATGATAAGGTCAGCACGCTAATGTCCCTACAGGCTTGTCAAGTATTGTGACATATCGGGTGCTTCCTACTCGACTAGAACCAGGCTTACCCCATCATTTCCTTTTCTGAGCTACCTTTGGCTTTGCATTCATTTCAAGACGATTTGAAACAAAACATTACGCAAGTAGCTCCCAAAAATCTTGCTAAAGTATAGTATTGATTCGATGGGATTATAGCATCATTGATGCAAGTGGCACAATGATGTTAACCACGACAAAGTCCGGGTCAAATCTCGGCTCAGAATAACTTTGAGGAAGGTAACATTGAAACGAGCTAGATTATGAACAAAATATCGTCGGCAATATCATTGCCGACGACAACCGTGAACCAAATATAATGATTTTTTATAGCCTCTTACAATCCCCAAAAAATAACTGTACATCCTCCCAAATAATGCCACTCATCGTAACAGCTAACTACATGTCAAGCACTGCCAACCTCGACGGCATTAGCTGAGCCGTTTTCCTTCTTGTCGCTACCTCCATCAATAACCATCTTTTCCGTATCGTCTTCAGGTAATGCAAAGCTTCGTTCACTGATATGCGGCTTGTTGAAGACGACGGATTTGTTTTTCCACCGCCCATTGTTTCCACTTGGCTGCCCCATGGAAGGCGAGTCTTTTTCAACGGTTTCAACAAACTTTTTAGATTTGAAGACAGGTATTGGTGTAGATCTTGACGGATGCTGGAAGGCGCAATTGGGGCGCTGTGGACCGTGATGAGATTTTGACAACAGTGACGCACTAATATTTTTGAAGCTTACCTGGCAGAAAGGTTCAAATTTACACACCGTCCCCGAGGTAACTTCCGTACTAGGCGTTTTTCCAGGTACCATACTGAATACGTTAACGCTTCCGTTCTTGTGCAAGCTTTTGTGTAAAAACGGACATCCAGGTTTTGTGCAGTTGGGATCGAATCGGCAGAGAGGCTTGCCCGCGTGTCCCATGCTATGATGTCCGGGAGGGTGCGTGAACGAACATCCTGGTCGCATGCATTGGACTCCAAATTTACAAGCAATTGGATATTGATCAGTGGGATGAACGTACAGACATTGGTTCCCTTTCGGACATGAAGGAAAGGCGCGACAAGGCTGCGTTGGATGCCAAAAAACGCAATTCGAGCCCCTCTTACAATGTGGCCAATAAGTGCATCGCGTGGGTGTGGTTTCGCTTGGTGTACTCAAGGGACGAAGTTGATTTCCTGGTCGACGGCCGGCAGATCCATCTACTGTAACCGTGAATGTCACATTCTCGTCTCCTTCCTGTTGCCCATTTTCCATTTTCGACAATTTGCTTGCTCGAAGCCCTTCAGTCGACGCCTCTTCGTCCTCGTCCAAAGGTCGTCTAGTATCCCTCGATGATTCCCGACCTCTTTTACGTCCATTAGAACGTGTCTCCCGTACGTCGTCAGCTGCCTCTTGAACTGCTCTCACAAGTAGGTGAGCCGGATTGCCTCTTGTCTCACGACGAGGATGTTGTTCTTGATCATCTATCAGATCGCGCACATTAGCCTCTTGAATGGGGAGCAGTCCATTGTCTATCCACACCAACCTAGCTCCTCGTCTGAGCGCACATCCAAGTTGATGACCATGTCTTCCTCATCGTGCGTAGTAGTTGCATCCGCTTGGGGTGTCACTGGAGGGGCCGCTGACGCCGTATAGTTGCATATCCATTCGCTCACTGTGGTCGCAGCATCGGGCATGTTCATGACTGAATTGGCAAAACAAATGTCAAAACAATGGCGCCGGGCATAAATACTGAAGACAAAACAAAACGTGCCTTCTGCAAAGTCTGCTTTCAGTTCATCTTTGCTTTTTCCAGCCTGCACTAGTACTGCAGCATATTCAGACATGAGCTCAACATTCTCGCCTGGGAAATTCTCTGAGAGATAGCTCTCAAAGTCCACCTGTCGAGGACAAAATACATGTCAGAAGAGGTGCCAACGAAAAGATCGGAGATTTTAGATCTGGGTATATACCTTGAAGCGTTCTACCCCTCTAGATTCGGCCATTATTGAAAGGCAAAAGGTCAATCAGATAGCGGTGTTGAGGACAGGGTGACGACGTCGGGCGGAGACACTGATTGGAGCAAGACAAATCAAGAAACTTGGGGTGTGGGGCAAACCAAAATATCTGGTGGTGACTCGAGACATGAAGCAAATCACGTGGTTTATTCTTACATAAGCAACACCGAAATATCCTACTCTGTCGGTCGTCTTGGCTTTGGATAAGGGGATCTGCAAATTCCCTACTTGGCGAAATGGTGGGTACTTGTCAGTCTGGTATATCGTACAGTTTCGGTTGGTGTCGATCTTGGTTACCGATTATATGCTGGCACGGTCTTTGCCGGAATATCATCGACGTTTGAAATACCGCCATGTTCAGGCACTCAAGCAAGGACCTTAATAAATTTTCCGTATTTCGTAGGTTTATTCATATTTTCCAGGGAGCAGCTCACCTTGATTTATACTTTTGTTGCCCCTGGACTTACAAAGTTACCTTGTCGGATATCGCAAGTCGAGTGACTGCATGCTTATAGCTAGTTTTCTGAAGGGAAGCAAGACGCCACTAAAAGTCATGTCTGCTCCAATTGTTTATTCAATCCCTTTTATTGCAATGGTCATCCAAGTTTATTTTATCTAGCAGGCGGTAGCCTCGTCGTAGATCCGTCAAATATCATTTAGTCATAGAGAAATTCTCCGTGCCCTACGGTGCATATTTTTGCAGAAGCATGTACCCTTTGTTTACGTCTGACCCCTTGATCTGGTACCTAAATGCGTTCATCGATCATAGTTATTGAATGCTAGGATGGGACCAAGCGAGGGTCAAGATCGACCGTGGCAGGGCGTTGGATTTATTTAGTTTGCCTCAATCCCGTATAGCAGATTTGGTGTATTTGACATTCTTCCAGGGGAAGAACCACGGACAGCCAGCCTTTTCTGGGATAACTCGAAGTCTATTGGCGTGCGAAATCTTCCCCGTTGCGTAATTCGAAGAGTGTTGACGATGGCCTCTGAGGAAAGCACGCACGGGGCAGACCGGTCCAAAACATCTTCACCCTCATCTCTGCCGCCACTCACCGAGCAACAACAGAGCGACAGGCATGTTCGTCTTCTGGAACCCGATGGCTATGCAAGTGACGGCGATCAAAACTGGAGTCAAAGCCAGTCCGAAAATGTCCGTGGGTGGCCACAGCGCCCACACACTGCCGGAGGTCAACGCCATGTCGACAAGCATCCGCATGCCTCAAAGAGTAGCAGATACTTTAGAAGGGTTGTAAAGAGTGGTGATGAGGAGATTATGAGCCCAAAAGAACAGAGGAGGTAAAGCTATCAAGGATCAAATGCCTGTTATTGAAAAAGCCAACTGATCGGTTATTGTAGACTGTGGTCTCACCAATCCCTTCGTGCTCGAGAACGTACTTACGATGTCAATCTTGTGACGACTCACATGCCACTCTATGAACCATTGTTGGACGAGTATCTCGCAGACTACTTCAACAGCCCAAAGATTCGAAAGCACTTGGTCAAGCTCGGCCTGGTGGGACCTGTGATCCATGTGCTATTGTTGTCTGACACTTTTATTCATCATTTTGATTATATGTGTGCGCCCAACGCATTCATTCAGGTTGACGATGAAGGGAACATCATTGACTCAAGGCAGTTCAAGTGCAATCAGATCCGTCTCGACAGAATGGAGCATGAATCACAGATTATGAAAAAGATGGAGGAGAGGGAAATGGACCGAGCTGTTGAGGTAAAGTCTCCAGTCCCTTGACGACCAAATCGTTTCAAAAAACTCAGTCAATGTACATTTTGGGCAGACTGCTATTCGCCAACAAAATGAAGAAGACAAGACTCCCCGATCACAGAAACTCAGGAAGACTGTGGTAAGTGTGGTTTATCACCGTCGTCGAAACCATGCACCACGGACCACTGATCAGGCATCAACACACGCAGGAGGCACCACATTCAAGTCTCCCTTATCCAGATTTTCTGGCGCATTATCCTTCAACCATGACAAGAACAGCTTTGCTCTACTCGGAAAAACCTGCTCCACTTACCACAGCTGAGCAAATGGTTGTCGCAAAACTTAAGCAACAAACGCCTCGTAAATTGAAAGCGTTGGGCATCAGTCCGGCTCAATTACATGATCGCGAGATTCATTCACAAGAGGTAGCCAGGAAAGAACGAGAGGCGATATGGAAAAGTGGTCCTACTGCGTCTCGATACCGTAAGGACCACGGTGGCACTGAGCCACCACCTCTAAGACAACAAAAGAAACAGACAATGGCACCTGTCCTGAACGGTGACAGTTGGAACCGAAACGCAGGCCAGAGAGACGAAGATGAGGAAAGCCTTTCGCATCTCTTTGATGTCGCCAAGCGGGAATACAAGGAGGGGAAGTTGGAAGAGGCAGAAAGTCACATTCGCAAGATCTTGCACAAAGTTGAAGAAAAGGAAGGCAAGCAAGCATGGCAAGGCCAGGAGCGAACAGAGGATAATCTTCCCAAGGGATTATTCGCGGACGACAGGGGAAGCTCTACAGAGAGCCCGAATCTCTCACAGGTAATTCTTGACAAAGATGTCCTGCGAACACGTTCAGGTCGATCCACACCCTCCACGCCTCGACACCGTGCTCTGCGCCCCAAATCTGCACGACCAACCCGGCAGTCTCATTTTCCGGTCGCGACAGATTTCAGCGACTTTGATGCTGGCAGTGAAGGTGGATATGAATCCGACGGAGATGTATTCTTATCGGATGAGCTGGACCCACATGCTCTTGCTGGAACTGGTAGTAGGAATGAGAATTCCTTGTCAATGACGGAAGATGTCGAAGGCATGCTTCAGGAGGTTGTGGAACAGAGTACGGTCCCTCCTGACCCGGTGACTGATGAGAGGAATTCAGACTTGCAGCAATATACGACCAAACATGCCGACGAGCATTCAGGTAGTATGGACCTGGCGAGAAACGTGGCCTTGCCCCTCAGTAGACCCATGAGTGCCAAAGATAGTAAGAATGCGCTGAATGGAGCAACGAAATCGTCACCCTACGCACAGCCTCAAAGTCGAACGGCATCTCGTGCGGCTAGCGTATCGAGTTTAACAAATGGACAAAATACCGGCAAGATGTCCAGAGCGGCAAGTGCGACTCTAAATAATGCGCCGGATGGTGTTGCGTCGCCTCTGGTGCAGCGAGGTAGCCTTCCTGCATCGCGAACTAGCTTTTCATCACAGACCGCACCACAAATACGCAGTAGGGAATTCAGCACCGGCATTCTGAAAGCGATCAACAACAAGAATGGCGATGAAAATGAGCAACCGTTCGGACGAACAAACAGTGCGAATTTTGCTGCTGGGATACCCCTTCCTGAAAGTCGACCAATGAGTATCGACAACTTGAAGCAAACCAATGGGATTCGTAGTCGAGAGCAAAGTACTGGTACACTTCAAAAGGACAATCCCCATCATAGCAGCCAAAATATCAAAGCCATCGACCAAGCCCCTCCATCCCTTCCTCGCGATGAAGTAACCTCAGCGAAGCCAATGAGCCGCACCGCGAGCGCTATATCACTCCACCGACAAATATTCAATCGCTCTGCAAGCGGGAATACACTGGACGTTATGGTCCAAGCAAAGAGCCAGCAGTCCCTTTCCGGGGCCCAGGTACCCAGTGCGTATGGGATCAGCCAAGATGGAAGGCCTTTGAGTCGAACTGGTAGCGCGCAGAGTGTGAAGGCGATTTCAAGTCGACCGCAGAGTGCAAAGAACGTGCAAAGAACATCGCAGGCCAATAGTCGAGCCCAGAGTCTACAAGAGCTGGCTATAAACAGTTCTTAGAGGTAGACCAGTGTAGACGAATTTTGCTTGGCTTAACCTATGTGAAATTCTGGTTTTTGTAATGTACTCGCTTGAATTTTGTCGAGTAGACCGGGAATGGTGTGGTTGTAGTGGAAACTATAATCGCAAGCATCTAGTCCTTAAAGATTTTTGAATGTATGTGGCTTTTTGACACTTGGTCCTGTTGTTCCCAATCTCCGTTGCCCTCTATATTCAATATAGATGTTTGTTCATAAATTTGAGAAGAACATAGCAGTCGACAAAGATGGCTATTTCTTGCATATGCATCAATGTCAAAACGAATCATTTGAATCAATAAGCCCACGCAAGTAGCCCATCGCCTACAAAACCATATGGATCTCTCCCCCCTACCACTCTTTTATGACCCTTCCTTAACCCTTTAACAACATCCTCAACAACCTTCTTTTTGAGAATTCGCCACCCACGGCTTTCTAACCAAGCTTCCTCCACTGTCTTTAAACTAGGGCGTAGAGATGCTTCTTGGCGCAAGTATCTCCACGTGCTGTCTGTCGCCAGACGTTGGAAATCGATTTTAGAGATGATTAGCAAAGAACTTTTTGTGTTTGTTATTATTGATGCTGGTTGTTTTTGGGGATTTTGGAGAGCTTGAAATCCGGTTGGGTGTGTTGGAGGGGCTGTTGAGACGTTTGGGACGGTTTCGCCAAAATACTCGCCAGGCCCGAGGGTGTGGATAGTGAGCAGTTCGGTGAAAGTGTTGAGGTTTGGTGGGAGGTATTGCCTAAAACTGGTGAGGTTGGTGCGCTTTGAGGTCAGATTTGTTTGTGATGACGTGGAGGATGACGAGGAAGTGGTGGAAGAGGAAGTGGGTCGTCGGGAGATGGCTGGAAGATTGGTTTGCGGGATGGTGGATTCTAGTTGGGAAAGAGGTATGATACGAAATGTGCGGCCACCAAGGTCTTCCTTTACAAATTGGATTGCTTGAACAACCCTGCAGGTACCGGAACTTAACCAACAAATCATTACAATGCGATAATATACGGGTTACCCATTCAACCAACTCACCTGATAAAATATAAACTACTGCTTCGCACCCCTTGAGTAATGACGACCTTGTTCGCATCAAACTTTCTCATAACACAGCAATGGGTCAACGTTGCCATATCCGCGTTAAGCGTTTTAAATATCGGCAACGTCCGTAGCATATCCTGCTTTACAGTCTCGGATTCCTTATAGGTACTTAGGACTCTCTCGTAATCCTTTCGCGATACAGTGAGGAATTCGCAGGTGCGTTTAGTCGTATAGGTGGTCGTACGCAATGAGGACGTTAGGAAGGAGATTTCACCGAATGAGTCTATTGGAAATGAGGTATTATTTATCATGGTACATGGTTTGCAAAGGATGATCAGGGAACTCACCTCCAGATGTGATATGACCAACAGTGACAGTATATGCCTTGTTTAACTCTTCTTCTATTTCCCTTATGACCTTTACCACTTCTTCATCATCGCTACCGTCACTGCCGGCATCCGACGCAGTCTCTCCCCCAGTTAAAAAACCATGATCATGGGACATGACGCTTTGTCTCGCACTACTTTTTCTTGCTGCCAATTCAGCCAGCTTTGCTTCGTATGACGCCAAAGCAGAAGAAACTCCCTCGTCCTTTGCTTGCTCACGATCGGCAAGTATTGGATGGGAGGTAAACGTAGTGGGTTGGCGAGATCTGAGTATTCCTGCTATGGCCACGGACTTTTTGCGGGCGGCGATGAGTTTTGCTCGGTCCACCTTGGTAATTTCCACATCACCATCGAGTATGATATAGAACCCTCGTGCTGGATGCCCTTCTTTCAATATTTGTCGACCAGTGTGCCAACGTGTGTAATGGGCTGCTTGGAGGAGTGCTCGCTGGAAATCATACAAGGAATTTTGCATCAATTTCTGTTGTCGAAAATAATGCCAGATCTTTCAAATCAAGAAGAGGTCAACACACCTGTACAGAGATGGGGTATTTTTCCATACATTTCATGGTACTGCACCACATCACCATTCTATCCAAGTCCGCTCTAGTCCTTTCTGTTCTCTTCTTCCTAAACAATACCCGCATACTATGGTCCAACCATCCTTTGAACTGCTTTGGCCTTGCAAACAAATGCGATACTCCAAAAAGGTCATACGAGATGATCAATGCATTTTTCGAACCGGGAGAGATTTGTGTTGTCCTCTGAGTGGAAGTATCGTCTTCATCCTGATAGGTTTTTGGATCATATTCCCAAGACCATTCAATGGGGTTCTTTAGAATCCGTGCTAGAAATTTGACAAAGTGGACACTGTGGGCTACCATCCTTGCTATGCGACGGAAGCGGAGATACGCCGTTTGGGGTTCGTATTCGGGGGGTGTTGTGGTGCGTGAAATGGATGTAAGGAAGGTTTTAGCATTTGTTGCCGGTCTGTAGGGTACGTCGATTGAGCTTCGTCGGCGGTTGAATAGGCTGTTGGGGGGAGGGTTGTCAATGGAATTACGTTGACGGGATAAAGTATTGCTCATATTTCCTGTTGGGCGATCAACAATGGATGCCCGACGGGATGGGGAAGACGAGCCTATGGATGCTCGGCGGTTTGAGAGTGCTCTCCCTCTGTCCTCCCCACTAGTGCCTCTGCCATTTATTCGTCCCGACTCATCCATACTTGCACGTCTGTTAGATAGTCGTCGTGGTTCATCTGCCGTTATGCTTGGTCTGCGGACCGATAGTCTTCCTGTCTCGTCCACACTCGTGCGTCTCGTAAGCAACCTCCCAACATCTTCTGCAGTGATGCTTGTTCGTCTGCCAAGCAGTCGACCTGCATCTTCAGCGCTTGTTTGCCGATTGTTATCCACAACAGTGCTCAGTCCTGAGGTGTTAGTTTGAAGGACAACGACGGGGGTGAATTGCTCAATCGGAGGTTTAATTCCTTTGAGCATTTCCTCGCTCATGAGCATATCTGATTTCCCCATTCTATCTTCAATGACGCTATATAATCGACCATCAAGCGTTCCACTTCGACCCCGATGCTGCACCTGCGATAGCCCAGAGTATTTCAGTGGTTGGTCCGCACCGATGCCCTTCTCCCGTGTTGCCAATGATTCTACTCCTTTTTGGTAAGCCGGGGTACTTGCCCGACTTTTCAGAAATCGTTTGGTTTCCCGGAGATGGGACGTGGCAGGTCGAGCGGAGGCTCGTGCTTTCTCAGCAGCTGGGGCTGCAGCAAACTCGTCCGGTTGGGTGTGGGGCCGGGGCTGTGGCATCATGGAAGAAATTCACCCCTGCTGAAATGTTCGTTCCAATACCCGTAGACGAAGAGAGATGCGACATGTATATGACAAAACGTCTCGGAGGTTTTTTCAGACCATGATCGTTATGATCGGTAAAGGTGAATCTTGTAATTCGTATGATCGGGGGATTATTTTTAAAAGTTCCAATTCTACACATCAAATCCAAAAGAAAAAAGCAAACCTATTTGTCTCAACAACCTACTCTATCTAACCATCATCTCTACACACCATAAATTACACAGCCCCAAGTTTTCCAACTTGGACCTATCGCACTGACAAAAATCAGTCTATATAAAATGTATCCCAAAACTATCCTTTTAGTCCCACAACCTCCCGAATAACTTTTCTTTTATGCATTCCCCATTCTCTCATTCTCAAATACTCGTGAGCAGCCTCTGCCTCAGATGGACCAGACCTCGCACGACCCCGCAAATACGTGACAGTCGCATCCGTTGCAATTCGGGCAAAATCGTCAGCAAGCATACGAAGGATTTCACATCGATCGTTGGTGATGATTGTGCGGGTTGTGGGGGGTGGGGGTGGTGGAGAGGGTATAGGTATTGCAGTATGCGATTGAGGTGGAATGATACTTTGACGACGGCTTGGTAACCGGGCTACAAGGACCATACTATTTCTTCTGGCTTTGTTGGGTACTGGTGGATTCATTGCAATGGGAGCGGGTTCATCTGTTTTCTTTGAATCATCGCGAATGATTTCCAATTGCTCCTCACCGAAAAATGCACCTGGCGATAAGGTTTCTACTACAAGCAGCTTTGATACGCGGTCTTCGTTGGCTTCGAGGTAGGTTTCCTTCTTTTCGTCATATTTAAGCAGGAAGGTCCCATTTGGTAAACTTGTTTTGATAAAGTCCACATTACGAACCACTCGACAGATGCCGCTTTTGAGAATGTAAACGTATCCATCGCCTTCATTCTGTCAAAAGATAGTTAGAGCGAGTAATGCATAACGCGAATAGATTAAAAAAAAAACTACCGGTCCAAAAACTGTCACATTGGGTGGAAACGTCACCACTTCGGTGTGGCGGTTCAAATAAGTTGTTCCAACAATCAAAGTCTTAAAGACACCATGTTCCCGAATCAAGTCCAGCTTCTCCTTCTCCTCTTTGTTTGCAAGATCCTCTACAGCTTCCTGGTAATCCCATTTATCTATTCGAACCAATTCTGTGCGCTCTTTACAAATCGCCGTATCAAGTCGGGGTAAATCCGTTTGCGTCTCATGGGTACCAAATGCATCTCCGCTTCTATGCTCGGAGATTAAGCGGAAGGTTCTCTTGTCCCATGGTGTCGAAGCGTCACTAGGTGCATCCATGGTCCGTACAAGGCATATGCATCCCGTCAAGACAGCGTACGAAGAGGATGGATGGTGACCTTGTTTATAAATAATTCGACTGGCCTCACGCGTTTCAAGCACCATGACTCTACTCAGTTGTTTTTGGACCTTGAGAGGCAACCGCTGCAATCCTCGCATTTTTGTAATATGCGACTGAATGACTGTTACGTCTGCATCTGTCCGTTCCTGTGGTTGCTTGTTCAGAGCTCTTCGCACATCGTCGGGAACAAAGGTTTCAACAGAGAAAGAGCGGAAAGTGTCACTTGAGTTCAATCTGGATAAAAAGTTCATGATAGCAGTGCTCATGTCCAGAATATCAGTCGAAGGTGTCATGTTGAAGCCGCTGACCATGGCTCGAGTGTTCCGTAAACCGTCTATAACAGCAGCGGTAGCCTATATAAATAAAAGACGCAGATAAACAAGATGTCCTTGCAAGATAACATGAGCGTTTCTGTGGATACCTCACGAAAACGTTCTACCCCAACTGCGGGCACCCACGGTGCAGGATCAATAGATTCATTCGCATCAACAAAGCTGACAGGTTTACGAGTACTCGAAAGGTTGGGTGCTCGTGTCTCACTCATCGCGTCGCTGCTGACCAAGATGCCTCCGGTTTCTAATATAATATTGTCCACTGTTTTACTGTGAGGAGGGTGATCTCCAGTCAGTTCTTTGCTATCATGTCGCAAGGACTCGAGAGATTTCAGCGTGGACGTTCCATTTCCGTCCAAAGTCCCGTTTGAACCCGGTGCAGCCCGCTTTGATCGAGATTTAACAATGCCTTGATTTTCCCCAAATAGCAAATCCAATTCCTGCGAACTTGTCAAGCCATCCGAACTCGAGCCATTCACTTCAGCGGATAGTTCCGGCTGAGATTCGTCCACTACACTTTCCTTACTCCCACTACGTGACAGTGTCGTGGGGACGCACGTTGATTGTCGTCGTTTGTACATTTTTTTAGCTGTTGCAAGGATGAGGTCGTCGTAAACTGGTTCGGGGTCGTCATTGAATTTGGATTTGAGTTCGTTCGAAAGGGATCCTTCTCGGGCCATGAGCTGAGATTTAAAACGCTTGTACCTGATGGGAAAGACAATTCTTGAAATGAATGGCCATGGTACGTAAAACTGCAAAGTGCGCGTTAACGAGAACCTACGTAGCACTGCTTCCCCGCTTTTTCAAAAACTCGAGGGCTTTCCCTGCACTGACTCCACTCGTCGGAGATGCACTGAGAATGTTCATATTGGAAGACGACGAGCTCCCCTCATCATCAGCACTAAAGCCTCGTTCCCATTCGCCAGATACCCACAAGCTACCCTTTGGTTGACGTTTCCCGAGTTTGGGACTTTTGGGTCCTCGCTTGTCCTCTTCAACTCGGTTTGCGTCCTGTAATAAGGGTTCCTTGTGTCTTACCACTGGCGCCGATGCTTCTCGTCGTCGTATGGATGGTAAGCGGGGGAGAGTAGGACCTGCGGCACTTGACTGGCGGGTGATTTTGCCATCCACACCAGACTCTTTGTGAGTACGCAAAGGAAGTGTCGGCGGAAGGGTGAAAGCGACCATTGAAGTGGACCGCTTGCATTTGGGCGATTTAGGAATGTGGTGATTGGATTTCATGACCACATGAGGTTTTTGCATCCACCTGCCAACGTTGTAGAGGTATGTACAAAAGACAATGAGAGCTTCTCAGACCAAAAAAAAAGAGATTATTCTTGGGAAGATAACAAAAAGCCTCAATGGTGAGGGATGATCCTGCTAGTGCTGTCCCAATGTACCGCACAGTGTCCACAGACAAGTTTATTCAAAAAATAATGCTGGCATTTATACGGATCAATATGCTTGATCCTTGATTTGAAATTTCAAAAATACTGGCCGCCATGGCGGGGCAGTAAGATATAAATAGCTTTGCTCACAAGTAAAAACAAAGGGTTAGGTTGGGTTGCGGTCACATGACACTAAGTTCATTGAGATACAGTACATTAAAGAGTCCGAAAGCATAGTGTGGAGGTGATTGAAAATGGCACTAGAACCCCGCATAATCAGCACCCCCTCTATTGCTCAAAACGGTGTGGCATGTATTGTAATGTTTTTTTTTTTTTAAACTGCGGTGAGGCGCATGCCAAAGGTCTATGAAAGGGGGGCCTTTTCCTAGTAGTAGTTAGTTAGCTTTTCCGAACCGGTTGTCGCCGGTTTATTCCCTGGTGTAGTAGCTAGTGCCAGTTTCTGTCACCTCTACACTATTAGGATTCAATCGTATCAATATTAGGACCTCATGCACCTCAACCCATCACCATCAATTATGGTACTCTACTGATGCCCGCAAGTCACAGAAACGAAAAGAACCAGATATAATTTAAAACTTTAGAAACATGCAAATAAAAAGAACATTGCACAAATGCAACGAGAAGGCGTGTTTCTCGCAGCTACGTGCTTATCCGTCAGTAAGTAAAGGATTACATCAGCAAGTCTCGCTGGTCTCCTTGCTGTTTCCCTCCCTCCTTCTCGGTCTCCCCCCCTCTCTCTCTCTCGGCCATAACGCGCCCAAGTCCCCGCTTCCAGAACAGGGGCTGACTCTCTACCCGATCACAGCGGGATACTATATCCGCCAAGAAAAGAAAAAAAACCAATACAACCTTCCCTAAATACAAAGCCATCAATCGCTACATGCAAGAAAAAGGCCACTGGGTCATGAGGTTGAAAATGCCGTCATTCGAATCTGATTCCATTCCTTTGTTTTTCTTTCGTTCACAAGCTTCCCATGTTCGATGGGTCTTCCAAATCATTCGAACTTTGAGCCAATTCACCAAAGTCTACAGGCCCGTCGTCCGGTAATTCGCCATCTATATACGAAGTCTCGAGGCTACTCATCAAATATGGATTGTTTGATCCTGTTTCTCCTGGAGTTGATCCAGAGTTTCGTCTCATGTCGGTTCGGATGTGTAGTTTGATGCCTTGCCGAGCCAGACACTTGGCAAGTTGGGAGGACTCTACAACAAAGAACATGTCAAGAACGCTGGACGCGTGAAAACGACCGCCAATCTATCCAACTTTACCAGTCATTCCAGGAAATGTCTTTGGGGGGAATACTGCAATGATGTCGGACATTGCCGATGCCATGGCTTGTGAAGCATCCTTGGTGATGTCGTACAAAAAGAATTTCAACCGATAATGGCCGCCCGTTCTTATGCTCAAGTCGGCAAACTAATGGAGCGATAACAGAATATTCGAACCTTGGTCTCGGAAAGGTGGCGTGCTATTCTTATAAAAGAACTTACCGTGAAGAAAAGCGCCTTTTGTCCGTCAACATCTGTGAGAATGTGGCAAGGGCTCACCAGGGAGCCTACAAGAACGGAAACGTAGCTAGAAGGTGGTGGCGTCAAGGTTGACTCTCCTGCGAAGAGCGATTCAGTTCGTCGTGCGGCAGCACTGCCCGGATTCAAGACGACTCCTCGCTCTTCTGTTCCATCTGCCGACCAAAGCGACGCATGACAAACGAGCGACGTACTTTCCTTGTAGCTATGGACAAAACAGAGACAAATTCACCGTCAGATCATCTGCACGGAGGTATGGAAAAACACATTTTTGGTATTATGTGTCTTTACTACATGTCCACTTACTCTAAAACGACTCGATCCCCCTCCCTTCGGATGAGTTGTAGGATTGGTGCTGGATCAACAGGGCGGTAATCCTTTGTTCCAAAGCCACACATTCGAGCCCGATTGGGCTGTTGGCGAATGATGAGTTCGTATAATCTGTATTCAGAAGAAAGAAAAAAAAAAGAAAAACCAACACCCACGCACACACACACAAAAGCGTCGAAAAATGGTCAGCGAAAAGATATATGGATACGACTGTCGTTTGTTGCCGCAAGCAAAAGACTCCTCTACAAAAGGCATGTGTGGCGGCTACGCCAACACACATGCGCAAAGGACATGCGAGTTGCGGGGAGACTTGCCATAATGCGCAAGCGTATTTCACTTAAACCCTTCACTCCCAAGCGTGCAAACCGCGACAGCGTGAAAGACACCAGTGAATAACTTTTGCCCATCCGCCCCGAAAGAACCCAACTCTACTACGGTATTGTTAAGCCATGCCAAAAACAACAACTTTATTACGTACATTATGGGGGAAGGAGGAGGAGGATTGGACGGAGGAGACAAGCTGGCAGACGTAGCCGTGGCACCGGCCGAGTCAGTATTTTCTGTGGGACCCACTGGAGACGCGTGCATTGGGCGGCCAACAGAAGCGACAACAGGGTCGGTCCGAGGGTGTGATAGAGCTTCTCAACTTTGTTGAAACTGTTTACTTGTCTTTTGTAAACTGGATCGGCGCGATACGGCGGCGGGTTATGACGAAAGGATTAAAAGAATGAGCGTATGTGTGTTTTGTGCGTTGGTGTGTGAGTCGCCAGGTCCCCCCACGGACGGATTGGTGCTTTAATCGTCCCGGGGAGGCGAAGCGGGTCCTAGCAAGAAAAAGTACACGGAGTACGACGGAGGGGGCCGTGCGGTTGGCAGCGAACGAGTACCGGGTAGAGGGTAATAATGTCCTGATATGCGTGTGTTGGGCAACTGAACGGACGACCTCCAAGATTTAAAAATACGGGAGGTTCTATCACGACGATGATTCGGAACAAGAGCGTTACCAAAGGGCAACAGGACCGCCATATAGACACGAAAAGGAACGCTAAAGGGCTAAATAAAAAAAAGGATCTGTCAACAAGGGAGGGGGGGTGGAATATAAAGGAACTCGCTAGCAAGGCAAGCCGCAATGGGAGGGAAATGGGAAAAGAAACGAGTTGCGGGAATCCGCGGAAATGCAACTTGTCTACGGAGAGCGAGAGAGGGCGGGTTTGTTGTTCTGTGTGGGAATTTTGTGTTTTTCTTTTCCTTGTTATTTTTGTGGTGTCTATGGCTATTTCAAATATGTGTCTATTATCGAATATGAGTGCATATCGATTCATCTTTGCAACCCATACGACATATTCAGGTGGACATTTGAACATGGCCGCACAAACAAGTCGCATTATCGCAAGTTCCGATCTCCTTTCAAACAATGAGAAAAAAACAAATAAAAAAACGACGTATTATTCCCCCCCCTTTGAGTTCTCTCACTCTCTCTCTCTCATATTTGTAAATGTAAGCGTATTTTCCCGATCTGATTTTCCCCATCTATTTGAACGTTGACATTTTGCCGTTCTCCTGGTCATTGGCATACCCATGATTGGGAGCGCATGGGACTTGTGGGTCTAGAACCCGTATTTGCTATGGACCCCATGCACCCAGTATCCAGTGTCTTGGAACCACCCACCACGGTCACTCCACGGACGGAATTTCAAGACATTTTATCCTTGTCTCTTTTGTTCAGCCCATTTTCTCTCTCGTTGGTGCTGAGCGGATGGGGTGTTTGTGGGAAAAAGCAAAAAAAATGGAGATGAACAAGGCATAGGAGGCACAGCCATTAAATGTGTTACTATGGATATTTGGCACAATTCATGTCTCTCAAACACAGCAAGAAAACCACGCAGTTAAAGAACGAGGCTTACCACTTGTAGATTTTTGCCGTGACGCCGTGGGCCCCCCCTTTCCAACTGGCGGTTTGCTTTGTTCACGCAAAACAACGCTAAACGCTACCGCGGTCAAACGTCTTTCACTTGCATTCATTAACATCCCCCTGCTATTGAAATTCCCTGACGAAAAAAGGTTAAGGTTCCCCCCCTCCTTCAACCTGAAACTCCCAGCCACCGTGAAGAATCCTTTGTCAACACAAAACGATGAAAAGGGATATTCTGATTGTCGGAGCTGGTCCTTCAGGACTGGCAGCATTGAAGGCACTCAAGCAACACAATCAAACAAAAAGCTGGAAGCTTGTCGTCGCTGAACAACGATATGGAATCGGCGGTGTTTGGTATTGAAAATTGAACTATGATCAGCAGTTGCACATGAACAACGGATGGGCCGAATGTTGATTGTTTTAACAAAAATTGCAACTTCTAGGCTGCCGTCGTCTTTGACGCCCATCCCACCGGACCTGCCCTCGTCCCCGATCTACGACTCGCTCACCACAAATTTGCCTCATCCGGTGATGGCGTTCTACTCCCATCCGTTCCCCCGAGCCACTCCGCTTTTTCCCGGTCACCCCGTCGTATTGAAATACCTGCAGGCATTTGCGGAACGGTTTGCTCTCTTGTCGCACATTCGCTTTGGGCACAAGGTCGTGGGTGCAGAATGGGATCCTCGTGTTCAGAAATGGCGGACAAGATTTTGTACGCGGAAAAGGAACACGCCAGAAATGGCTGACGCGTCTGAACACGAACGCGCAGCCAACGCGTCTGAGGAAATGTACGACGCGATTCTAGTGTGTTCTGGACACTACCACTATCCCAAAACGCCGGATTGGCCAGGCGTCAACGAGTGGACTCTGCATGGGCGAACCTTGATGCATGCTTGCTACTATCGGCGACCGCAACCTTTTCGCAACAAGGTGGTGTTGATCGTAGGTGCAGGCCCTTCAGGGAGAGATCTGAGCAATGAGATTGCGTCAGTTGCACGACAAGTGTATCACTCTGTTCCTTGGGCATGGCATCCTGCACGATCTGCAACACCCATCGTCCATACGACATCGTCAGGCATTGCTCTCAAGCCTCCCATCCGCAGATTCCACTCGAATGCTATAGAATTTGAAGATGGTACACAACTGACGGACGTTGATATTGTCATTGCTGCCACCGGTTATTTCTATCGTTACCCTTTTTTACCTTCCAATATCCTCTACGATCCATCCCAATCTCCAACCGCGCCTTCAAGTGCCTCCCTCTTTTGCGATGGTTCTCATGTTGAACCTCTCTACCAGCACATGTTTCCGATAACACCGACGTCACCTGCAGCTCCTAATCTCATCTTCTTTGGACTCCCGTCCAAAGTTGTTCCTTTCCCATTGTTTGAGATCCAAGCGCTTGTTGCAACTAATCTCCTGTTAGGTAAGAAGCAACTTCCACCCTTTGATGCCTTTCAGGATATCCCACATTCGCATAACCTGCCGAACGAGAAACAATTTGCATATTGTAATAGCCTTGCTGAATGGGGTGGCGTAAGAGATTGGCAGGTCAAGGACTGGGTAGTGGAAATGTACGCTAAAAAAGATATTCTGCGGAAAACTTGGCAGGAGGTTGAAAGACGAGGTGAGCAGCACCTCCAAGAGTGGATTGGAGGCGTGGAAGGAGAGAATGAGTGGGTCAATGTTATGAGACGATTAATCGCATTGGGAGAAGAACAGGCCAGTCAGGGGTGATTAGGAGTATATTCAATACGTCTAAAGCCTGAATGGCTACCGTCCTCGGATGCAGCACCCTTCGACGGTCATTTATAGAATCTTGCATATTCTGATATCTCCATAGTACAGGAAGAGATTGGGCCTCACACATCATTTACCCTGGGCAAAAACTGAAATTCTAACTGATTGTCTATATTCCACCCGCAGTAATAGTTCTGTGATTAGTGTAGAGGTGACAGAAACTGGCACTAGCTACTACACCAGGGAATAAACCGGCGACAACCGGTTCGGAAAAGCTAACTAAGCTACTACTAGGCAATTATACACGCAATACGTAACGGTTGGTTCTAACCGGATAATTGCCCACCACCACACGCGGTCCCTACTAGGCCTTGATCCAGAACTCTTGATGGCATTGAAGCCAGACTCTTGCATCCAGGAGCGAATCGACTGGGCAGCGTCACAAGCCAGAGGATGTTCAGTGACAAGACTTGGAGACTAAAACGGCATGTCAGCGAGAGAACAATATGAAAAGAGATGATGCCATTGGTACTTACCAACCAAGCTCAACAAGTGTAGCAGCATAATAGTAGGCTTTGTTATCGGATCCAATTGGTTGCCGCTGGTTCTGATCACGATTGCTGTCGGGCGGTCGAGGTCCTCGGCACCACCACATCGGCGTTCTCATGACTGATGAGAGTTGGGCAGATGCTTTGAGTCGAGGGATAAAGAAACAAGAGGAAAGAGACAGAAGGTCCCCCTTTTATAGACCTTTGGCATGCGCCTCACCGCAGTTTAAAAAAAAAAAAAAAAAAAAAACATTACATGCATGCCACACCGTTTTGAGCGATAGAGGGGGTGCTGATTATGCGATATGATTAACCGGAGTGAGCCGGATAATAATGAATCTTAGTGCCATTTTCAATCACCTCCAAACTATGGATAAAGTTAAGATTAAGGCACAGTAACACCGCTAACCAACGGCACACTGCAACTACGGGGCAGTGACTGCGTGCATTTAAGTGAATCAATGCATTCTAACCTCCATATTGGGTTGAGTGCAGGAGTGGAAAGTCTGCGCCGCTTACGTATCCTGATCGTCAGATTGTGACTGCGCCGTCAGTGGGAGAACCATCAGTGAACAACGAGTTCAACCCATCTGCGAGCCCAGTCTTCCCACCCAGATATGGCCCCTGTTGCACGCTTCCGCTTCCATGCCCTCCGTCGATACAGTAGCATCTCAACATGCCCGACTACATCCACAGCCGCTCTCGCCTTTGACATGGATGGCGTCCTAATTCGCGGTGGAAGGGCGATCCCAAGTGCCCATCGTGCATTGCAAAAGTTGAAGGGTGATAACCCATTGAATAGGTGTGTGAGCTGATTACTGTCTGCCGTACGGGCCATGGTTTTGCGACAAGTCACAACTGCTTGTTGTATGTTGTGGAAAGAGATGAAATTGGCTTGGACCCATTGAATACAATTGACTCTTTCGTTTAGAGAAATTCCATTCATTATTTTAACGAATTCAGGCGGAGAATCAGAAGCTAGTAAAGCTCATAAATTAACCCAAAAGCTCGGTATTGAGGTACTAAAAAAAACACTCAAAATCCAACGAATCCGCATCCTAATACGGCGATGTTTCTAGATCCATCCATCGCAAATCGTTCTATCCCATTCACCGATGCGTCACCTGGCACCCCAATACAAGAACAAATTGGTCCATGTTGTCGGACCTGATGAGTGTAAAAATGTTGCACAATCCTATGGATTCAGCGATGTGGTAACGTCCAAGGAAATGAAGGCGTTCGATAAAAGCATGTGGCCATATCGCTCTGTTGGGGACGAAGTGGACGACACGGTCTGTTCTTGATTGGGACCCCTTTGTGATTGGATGCATTAGATTGACTCGTCAATATTTTCTAGCAATGTCCTTACGATCTATCCCAAACTCCCATATCCGCCACCCTCATCTTCCACGATCCAATAGACTGGGGCCTCGACATCCAACTCATCACCGATACACTCGCCTCTCAATCTGGATTAATTACAACACGCCAACCGTCTCGTCCCTACTCCCAATCTACACCCTTGTACTCCTCGAATGCGGATTTTCAGTGGAGTAATGAATGGCCGTGGCCGCGGTACGGTCAAGGCGCGTTCGTGACTGCCTTGAATGCAGTCTGGAAAAGATTGAGCGGAAACCCGCTTGTCATTGAGAAACAATTTGGAAAACCCTCATCTCCCACGTATGAGTTTGCTGAAAAGATGTTGAGTGCCGCTGCGGGTGTAGAGGTCAAAAAGGTGTATATGGTCGGGGATAACCCGGATTCAGACATTGCCGGGGCAAATCTTCATGGATGGGTTGGCATTCTTGTAAAGTCGGGTGTATACAGGGACGGAATGCCATTAACCAAAAAGAACAAGCCACAAGTGATTGTTCAGGATGTCGGTGAGGCTGTTGATTGGGTGTTGAGGCAAGAAGGAGTTCTCAGATAAACTCCGAATAACTTGCACAACAATCGCCTCACAACTTGACTGCTTATAGAATATCACTGATGAATGCCAAGAAATAGGAAAAGGCAGTCCGTAAATCTATTTCGCATAGCATGTCTACAGTATTTAGAAAGAAGGTAAAAAAAAAGTAACCTAAAGTACCAGAAGGGGATCTACTCTATAAAACCGTAATAACTATTTAAGTACAACTGGATATGGATCCGTTTTTCATGCGTGAGGACTCGTCGCATTAATCATATCTTCGATTGCCATAAGGTGGGTAAGACGCGTCGGATGAGTAGGAAGGGCTATGTGGCTCTTGAGCTGGGAAGTAACCCTTGTCTTGGGCAGAAGGATACAGTCGTTGTCCATCCGGGTGCAAAGGCTGTTCACCAGTGGGCGTAGCACTATATCCAACAGGGAAAGGAGGGTTCACAACCTCATATCCCTGTCGTGCCTGCATAGGCTGTTGAACATTGTTCATCGTCGAGGACGCTGTCGACGCAAATCTTCCAAGGCTGCTCTCCCTCTTTCCAAATTGCAGACTATCCATCGTGGTCATTGTGCCCATTCCATCATCGGATCCCCAGTGATCGTCCGATTGCGGACTATCTACGGGATTTTTGGCTCCATCGCGAGAGTTGTAGGGCGCCACACACGCGAGAGGGAAGGAACCTTCTTGCTTGGTCGTCATGTTGAAACCGTACCCCCAACCGTCATCGAACTTGCATTTAACAATGACTGGGTCGCCAATATCTAGAAAAAGATGCGTATCACGCAGTTAAGCTTAAAACTCCAAACAAAATTGAGAACGAACGCTACTCACAAAGATAAATCTCATCAGAGAGATTCGGCACATAGTTATATATGACTTCCATGGTTTCCGCGATTTGGATTGGTTCACCGACATCTCCCTCTCTATTAGCCGCAGCAGCCGCAGCGGGGGCCATCGCACCAGCCATCAACATTCCACCTTTCTCATCCCCACCTCCGATTTTCCTCCCGCTGCTACCATCCTGGCCACTCGCGCCACTTCCCAAGATAAAGCCATCGGGAAGTTGTCGTGCAGCGCGCTTTCGCCGCCCAACGATCAAGACAGCTCCTACAGCAACGAGGGCAACAAAGCCGGCAACCGATGCGCCAATGATCACTGCATTACTGGGTTTACCGTACTCGGAGTTACTTTGAGTCTGGCTGCTGGGCCCGTTTACTCCAGAGGTTGAAGCAGTTCCCCCTGTTCCCCCTGGAGTTGTCCCCTGCGAGCCACCACCTCGTGTGGTGGACGTTGGGCCGCCCACAGATGTGGGAACTACGATGGGTTGATTGGCTAGTTTGGCTTTCTGCGCTTGACAACAGAGATCCGAGGATGTAGCGGCTGCACTACAATAAGCCGTGGCTTCAGCATCTGTCCAAAATCCTGTCATAACAAAGTGAATTGTGTGAGTTACGTCATCCATGCCCGAACAGCGGATTCAAAGACGTACCGCACATGGCCCATTCAAACGGCAATGCAGCAACACAGTCCACATCCGTGGTCATCCTCCTCATAAACGTTTCAGTAGTATTCGGAAACGGTCTGGCGACGCCTGGCGTGCAACTCTTTGCGTCTGCATAAATCTCTGTCAAACTATCAACGGCCTGCTTTGCTGTTTTGCTACACAGTGGCCCTGGGATGTTGGTAGGGTTACAGCCGTTCACAGTCGAGACGTCAATGACCATTCCGCAGAGGAAGGAAATGTGATATCGTCGCCCCTTGCCATTCCAAGTGGGACAAGCATTATCTCGTTGAAATGTAGCAAGGGAAGTTGTGGTGTTGTCGTAAAGGGATTGAATGTAAGCGTCAAATGCGGTCAGATTGGCAAAGCTAGTAGAAGCTTGAATAGTGTAGTCTGCGAATAGTTGGAACGAGTTATATGACAGACTGTTAAAACGCCAAGAACAAAAAAACTTTTGGGAGCCCGCGTCGCCCGACGTACCTTTCCATGCGGTACAGGTTGTCGTCCCAGCGAGTGAAAAGCACGTAGGCTGCCCTGCTATGCCAGCTGGCACACCAGCTCCTGGTCCTAGGTCCGAAGTCGTCTGTGCATTCACACCCCAGAATGCTACCCCAACCAGCAATCCCGACAATACGAGTCCTTTTCCATGTGCCATATTCCACACAATGAGGTCGTGGCTCCGATCGGATCACTCTTTATAGAACTCTTACTGCCGGTCTTGAAATGCCAAAAAGACAAAAAAAACTTGAACCCCTCCTCCAATACTCGAATGCCTTTTGTTTCTTGACACCCTTTTTCCAAGAAACCAACCTACGAGCAGCCCCCCCCCCCCCCCAATCAAAAAGTGCAAAACGGTCAACCGCTGCCCGTCACACACGCGGTCCGCTTTCCCAATTGAAGGAAAAAGAAATGCAAAAGGTGTGAAATTTGATGAGATAATTCATTTCTCCATTTATGGTATTCATGATCATAGGTCACGTGGTAGATATCGGAGGCTTAGTATTCCGCCGCGATTTTTGCTCTTTTTGTATTTGAACAGAACGGACATGAAAGACGTTTTTTTCAAGCATCGTTTTATTTTTATTCAGAGTTTCCAATGGCGTCAAATGGTTGGGACACATGGAATGCCTTATTTTGTTCATGAGCTATCGTTCTCTTCGATCTTGTTGATACATGTTGAGAATTCCAGCTCCGTTTTGCGATCAATGGCATATTTCCTTTGTAATCAGTTTGCAGTGTTGTCATCGGCATTCATTGTAAAATGGCACTCTCTGTTCAGGATCTCATTCGTTCTGTTCAATCTGTTCATAGCAGATATTGTAAAAAAGGCTGGAATACACTGTCATCCATATCCAGATGCGTGGCTGGGTGGAGAATCGCTTCGATTGTATCTTGATCTACCGTGGGAAAGGATGGTGCAGATAGGATGTAGAATTTGAGAGCATGGGAAGCATGGTCAGCAAGTTGATGGATGATGGCGATGTAATCTAGAAGCCATTGGTGGTAGTTTGGCAGGAAAGCTTTTGCAAAGGAAGTTTTGTTACAGGTATGTAAGGTGGGTTTGTCGAGTTTTTCAAGCTTTTGCTTTTTCTTTGGCGGCATGATGATCTCTGTGGAAAAAGATGAAAGCCTGGGAAAATGGGCACGACAACTTATATAGGATTTTTGGATCAAACCATAGTTCATGAGTCTAAATCGAGTAAAATTATGATATGTGTGCTATGTAAGTGACGGACACGGCGGGAGGTGTCGCAGCGTTTTTATACCGTTCATCCTTTAACAATGTCCACCTCCACCACAACCTACGAGACAATCGTCATTGGCGGCTCGTTTGCCGGTCTCTCCGCGGCCCTCCAGATCGCCCGCTCCTGTCGTAAAGTTCTGGTCATTGACAGCAGTGAAAACCGGAACCGCTTTGCACAACATGCTCATGGGTTCCTGGGTCACGACGGAAAATCTCCCAGTGATATTTTAACAGAGTCCAAAGCGCAGTTGAGGCGATACTCTGATTGTACGATTGTTGAGAATGTGCGTGTTGTCTCCATCCAAAACTTGACTGCAGAAAAGGGAGCCAGTCCCTCTTTCAACGTTGTTACATCCGATGAAAAAACCTTGCACACCCGCCGCATTATCCTCGCCACAGGCCTCAAGGACAACCTTCCTCCTGTTGAAGGCCTCCAAGAATCCTGGGGCAAATCCGTCTTTCATTGCCCTTACTGCCACGGATACGAATTCCGCGGCAAGCCCTTGGGACTCCTCTATACCACTCCTATCCAGAGTCATCAAGCTCGCTTGTTACCAGACCTTACAAAGGATATTATCCTCTTTACGGGTGGTGCGATCAATGGTACCGAGTCCGTGTTCCCTGCTGTTCAATTGAGCACTGAAGAGACGGCGTTGTGGGAGAAATTGGGAATAAAATTGGAGCACACGCCAGTGAGCAAATTCGTTCGGGATTCAAATGCCGAGTCCGAACTCTCCTACGTGGAATTATCGGATGGTCGGAAAATTGAGCGAAGGGGAGTATTACTCCTCCCACCTTTGACCCTGTCTACACCCAATCTCGTCGCTGATCTCGGTTGCGATGTGACACCGAGTCCGTTTGGTGTGGACTTGATTAAAGTTGACCCGGCGACGCAAGTTACGTCGATTCCGGGCGTTTACGCGGCTGGTGACTCTGTGAGGCCTATGAATGTGTAAGTTTTTCTGTTTGGTCTTCCGGTTTGTGGTGACTTTGGGATTTACTGAAATGGTTGATTCTTGGGATTCTTTAATTTATAGGGCGGTGGCGGTCGCCGATGGATCCATTGCGGGAATCATGTGCCATCAGTCTTTGGTAGCCGAAGATATCAAGAAAATCCAATAGGTAGAATTGCCATCATGCTGGACTACTAGCCAGACGAGATGATACTGGATGCTCAGGTTATGTATATACTTGTGACAGTATTATGATATGCCAGTCTAGTAGATGATTGTAGCGCCTTCGCGTACATGTATCAATATTGAAACCAACGATTAGACTAGGACTTGCATCATTGATGAGTGCTACCCGCTGCACGCGTCCAAATCGCAAGGCAAACACGGACTGCTGATCAAGAAGCAGAATATTCTACGGAAACCGTCAGTCAGGTTCCCGGAACAGCACGGTTTTAAAATTCGGCGATTTCGGGGCTTCTATACTTGTACAGTATCTTTGAGCTCAACTCCAAGCTTCACCGACGTGTCAACAAGCACATGTAAAGCAATACAGTTTGCAGAAAATGAAATGGTATTCAATATGAGTTTGTTCTTGGGACACGCAAACGATGATGGTCCGCCGATCATAACTACATTGTTGCGCGCCTTCCAAATGGCGGCCGAGTATAAAATATGTTATCCAACAAGTATATTACTCTGCCCGATGGCTTCGTGTACAATTCTAGAGACATTCTTAGGGTTGTACACTTCATCGGCACCAGAGTAGCTAGGGTTGATGATATAGGATACTTTCAGTTCTAATCATAATATAATTCTACTGATAATGTTTATGGAAACAGGACGTTGTTTTACGCTGGAGGGGGGCCTGTCAACTGACAACTGGCGCTCATTTATGCTCCGGGAAGAAATGGAGTCCACTGAATGTTTGTGATTGTGAACTGGCCCATTTACGCTATCTGTGACCTGGTACTTGAAGGATATACCAGCGTTAACCCCCACAAACACCAAAGGGGGCATGGAACTTTGAATTGTGATTAGTCCAGAAATTTTGCATATCGCAGCATCATGTTATCAGTAATACGAGAAAGGTATTCATCGTTTTCAAAAGTACCATCTCCTTTTCAAAATGTTGCTGACATTGGAATTGCAGGGTTGGGAAAACCTTGTGTGGAACAGACTGTCATATTTGCTATTTTTAAGCAGGATACCTCCTGAAAGTCCTTTAATTCTACAGCCCTGAATTACACATTCGTGGGGAACGTTCCGACATCTTTCAAGCGAATATGGATCTTTCCTCACCAAAATAAAATATAAAGCTTTATGTAAAATTGTCTTGCATTTAACTCGCCGTATATTCCATTTGTAGCTATTTGGACAAATATCAGGATATAGTAAACGATATACATGTCACAATGACTTACAAAGACTTGACTCTCGATGCAGAATCTCATTCCGGGAACCCAAAGACAACCGATCACGCAAAGTTGCATGCAAGGCGTCTTTACCATTATAGGCGAGACGTACTGGTGGCCTAGGTTTTCCTCACCTAACGAGCAGTGATCAGTGATCAGTTAGTTGAGGACACGTAGGAATTTGGTATGGATCTCTGGTAGCTGCTCGCTATGGTCTTATATCTACTGATTAAGACTTTCAAAATATTTCATTTTTGAGAGGTTTCTTAGAGTACCTTGGTTAAGAATCCCTCCTGCACCTTCCATCTGCCAAACTGCCTTGCGAATATTGGAGCCTGTATCGTTGAATGCACGATTGTGGATTCAAGTATCTCTTCAACAGCTGTACAAGATTTCGCATGGTAGGAGCTACGATAGCCGCAGCCTGGCAACTGACAGGGTCAGATAGATCACATCCAATGGCCTGAAGAACGACTTTGTAAAATATTTGCGGGTGATTAAACGATCCGCTCCAAACAGGCATAAGAGATGGTAAACTGGACGGACAATTCTCTAACGATGCAAAAATATTTGCGAGAAGATATTGCTAAAGTGTCCGTGGTTTGCTGGATTTGCCTTTGTCCTCGACGAATAGCCGCCCCAATTCAAGGTCCACGTTGATGAATACCTTAGCATATACCTAATCCGCACAAGAAGGGAAGTATAGAGACATTCCGTGAGTACAGTGATTGCACCAAGTGCAGAGGAAATACATTCAGTTCCTGTAGTTTGTTGATGCTCCGTACTTACAAAAGGATAGATTACCTTGGGACTGGGTGATGACATTAGCCTGGGAACTCGACTCTTTTAGTTACACGAATGCTGTTATTGCATCCCAGATCTCACCATCATGGGCGCACACCTGTATTTCAGTATATGAAAAGCATCAACGGCTCTACGAGTACACTGATGCTGAAATCCTGCCTTACACACTTGCCAGATTTATCAAAGTTATGAAAGTTCAACACAAGTATTCAAGGCATCTCGTGGACTGTAGATCTTTGTCCACAACGCGGACTTTATGTACGATTCTGGTGAGTTTGGTGGATTCCCGCAGTTAGCACAGTAATTTGTTTTGGATACTGAACTTTTACTCTGGTGCAGACCAGAAAATCGTCCAAACCAACTAGCATATGTCGTGGCGAAGTATACCGGAGCAAGGGGACCGTAGGTCTCGATGTAACTAAAGCGGTAATTACAGAGGCTCCTGCGGGCTATCCCTCAAGTGTATCGCTGAATACATCGCGGAGCTTCGGTGGTGGAGCTCCCATGTAGTGCCGTGGCGGCCTTTCTACTTGCTTAAATATCACGCCGATAATCCTGGTTTTGGACGAAGTAGAGCGAGCCAGTTATTATACGTGCCAGCGGCACGACTCTACTTGGGATGATCGTCATCAACATTGCACTGCTCTTGTGCATTGGAACGCCGACTGCTCAGACATGCACTGCGCTACCATGTATTTTCAAGGTCGGTGTTGGCCTGGTGTCCTCAAACTTGTTGGCAAAAGCGTGGCGAGTACATATTGTTAGTAGTAAACCCAACGTCCTAGACTTAATGTTGGATACTTTTTATTCTCATGCTCTCGACCAAAGGACTCTAACGACCCCGAAAAGGCTGGAGTTATTGTCTGCGATACTCATCTTTTGTCATTTTCAAGCGGGGGCAAGTTGTCCGGTCACATTTTTGTTGCATACCTCGATTGATGCAGCTCACAGTCCTTTGGTGTCGCATTAGTGTCTTTTGTTTTGAATTCCTGTTATCCATCATCTTCAGCACACCCATGTCGACGATGGTCCCTGCAACATCACTCAACGCATCTCTTCAATGAAAGTTTTAAGACGTTATGACTGGAATCAGCATGAGTTCCAATGGTCCACTCGTCGCTGTGACCACGATCCTCAGCTACCAAAACTCGCAATGTCTCTTCTCTAGTCAATGAAGCAAAATGAATCGATGTAAATGTCTATTACATAGTGGCCATTCAGCATTGTTCGTACCATTGGCGTAACAATTCGGTATGTATCCCTGTTTGCAAATAAGCTAAAGTCTCTTTATTAGATTAGAACTGATGCATCGGAACCCTGCGATAGAGCTTCATTAGCTATTCCTCTACGCTTCGTTCATCGGTATTCTATTCGCTACTGGGGTTAGCGTGCAATTTCCAGGTTTTCCCCACATTTCTTTTGGAGCGCCTTGAATCAATCGTTTAGGGTCACTATACGCAGCACGGCTTCGGGCAAGTCCCCTAATACTACAAAAGTCAACCCCACTGCATCAATTGAATTTGTGCCTATCTGTCAGCTTTCAAAACCGTCTTTGTGAGGCCATCGCTTCACTCATATCTCGCTGTACAACTGCCAAGTTCCCGGATGCATATTTTATGAACTGGTCACCGGACGTTCAGGAGAAACAGCCAATTTCACTGTTCTTAGACCACAAACTGCTATTGTCAACCTGAACCAATACGGTACAACTGAGGACACGTACACCTCTTTCATGTTCATCACTACGCTGGAATGTCCCATAGAACTCGTCTTGGCTATACATCTTGCAAAAGAGTTGCAGAACGTACGGGCAACGTAAATAAACAAAACCAATATCGCAGGTGAAAGCCGCCAAACCGCCAAAACCGGACCCAAAGTAGGGGAGCCAACGTCAATAAGCAAACCCGGCACTTTGGAAACCAAAAAGTGCCAAGGCCGCAAGTCTAGACCCAACGGGCGCTAAAACATGCTAAAAGCTATGATAGCATCGCAAGAAATCATCATATTTCAGAGGATCATCAATGGTTAGGGTTGTCTTGCATTTGCAACAAGGGTACAACGTTTATGTGGGTCATTAACATTATGTAGACTTTTTGATTGGAGCCAGCCGATTTTCATGCTACTCAAAGTCTCGCACGTATTCAATGAACCCAAAACAGATGAAAACAAATTCTAACTACTCGTAATATTCTATGATGATTATAACATGATCAGGATTTAAATGCATTATGCTATCTGGTACAAAAGTTGTCCGTGATTGATCGTGAAACGATAATACTAATGTTTCCGACCCTTCCTTGGTCCGTTCTCCGCTTTGTAAACAGAGTTACCTTTGATATCAAAGTATTCCACCTTAAAACCCTTGTCGTTCAAAGTGGCACTGACGAATCCATAAGTGCCACCGACTCCCCAACTGGGCGTGGTAAGATTCTTGCTCTCGGGACAAACCTCTTCACTTCTTCCACCTGCACCCGATTGTACGTACATGGTATTTCCCTTCTTGTTCTGACGAACGGTGTACTGCAGAGAATGAACGTGGCCGTACATGTAGGCAGTGGGTGCATACTTGTCCAACAACGCCAAAAGGGATGTCATGTTCTTTTCGGCTGTGCAAGTTCCCAAGGGATGGTGTCCGGATACAATGAGGTAGTCTTTGTCGTCGTACTTTTGGAGCTGCTTTTCAATCTTGGCGAGATGAGCCTCAATGGAGTGATGTTGGGCTGTCCAGTTGTGAGCCGCAAAGTTTTCTGCGATTGCTGGGTACTTTTTGTCGCCGTTGTAGCCGTAGTAAAGGAGATCGGTGTCGATGAACACGAAACCAGCCTTTTTGCCGTTGCCATAGGGTATCTGGAGCATTAACAGAATTGATGGTCAGCTGGATTTTATACTTGATTCTCTGAGCATCCGATTGCATTCCACTGACCTCCATATCCCAGAAAAAGTCATCCATTCTCCACTTGCCTTGGTCCTTGACTTGAGTCCGATCCACAAGTGCCTTTGGTAATCCCGCCCAATCGTGATTGCCAGCGACACCGTACCAAGGAATCTCGGCTAGTCTCCCTTTATACACATTTGCCCACCAATCGGTCCATTTGCCGTCCGTTGCAGACTTGACTCCTTCATAGTTGTACTGGGCAGCCTTGGATGAGTTGGCATTTGAAGCGTAAAAGTTGTCACCGAGGGCAATCACAAACTGAACATACAAAAATGTCAATTCAATCTTGTTCTCAGAATGAAGATATCATGCTGCTGGGAGATATGGGACTGGGATTCGAGCACTCAAATGAAATATCTACCTTTGCGTTGGTTTTCTCTGCAACTTTCTGCATGGCACGCCCAGTTACATTCTGTTCAGGAACACCTGACCCCCAATCACCGATGACGGTGAATTCCAAGCAGCCCGACTGTCCATTGCCGGGTTTGCCGCCGAAAGGCAATGCCGCAGCGAGGGGCAACAAGGAGATTAAAGCGGTAGTAAGCTTCATAGTGAACGAGGTTGCAGAGTGGATGGGCCATCTTTTGTCACAGTCCTTTTTAAATTGTTTGTCAAAAGCAAAATGCTGAGGAAAACGGCAGGATCCAACCATGCCAGTGCGTGCATTGTGTGCTCTACCCTGACAAAAAGGATACTGCACGTGCAAACTGAACGTCATAAAAATGTTTGTCTTCCATTCAAGCACCCAAAAGAAACAGCACGTTGACAATCCTTCCAATCGTAAAATCTAACTTTTCTAAAAACGTGCTTTCGAATGAATGACTAAGCCATTGCTGAATTTAGAACGAGAATGGTAAATTAAATATTTTATTTTCCCAATGACGTTTTTTTTCCCACGAGGGACAACAAGCGCGCGCGTTCAGTAGAGTTGGTCAACGTCAGCACGTTGACTGTGGGAGAAACACACCTGCCTCACACGATCCCAAAGCCATCCTTGTGGAATCTACCCCTACACGAGGAGCCACAGATGAGCTCTTTCAGCAAAGACTAGACAATGACAAGCATTGTTGGTTTGTCTACTACTCCGGTCAATTACGAAAACAATGCAACAGAATCTCACAGAGGATATGCCCGTTGGTCGTTCCCATCACTTTGTTAGGGCGTGTAACTGAACGAGATGATGCCTTGTGTGTCTAGTCTTGCGCCGCCATCAACATGCGCGGTATAATTCACACGTACATACGACCATCAACGTAATGTCTGCTCGAACTGTGTCAGACGGCACCGTGTGTTGAAATGCTGAGAGCTGAGATTGCATCCACGTTCGGCAAGATTCACAAACACTCATCTCTTTGACATTCTACGAGCATTGGCACCAGTGGTCGGGGCGGGTTAATATGACTGTGCCACTCGACCGTCGCCTTTGTTATCAGTTCGGACATGTCCGATAGCTGAACGCACTGCCACTTGTGGAGTTGGGTGCGTACTGTACAGGTAGCGAAATTCCAAGTCTACAGAGACCTACATCCGTCAGTGTGATCTGATCGCGCTGTGTCAGACGGCGACGTGTGCTAAGTTAAGATGGCGAAAGCAGAGATTGCAATCATGCTCAGCAAGATTCACCAACACTCGCATCTCTTTTGACATTCTGACACCACTTCAGCGGACAGTCTCTATTCTGCCACCGCGTGAGTGCTCCCGCGATGCCGAGTAGATTCAAGCAACCCACCTGATTAGCAGCAGCACCCAGGCGGATGTTGACATGAGAGTATTACGTGCAGATCCCGCCCTCACCAATGCGGCATGCTCCCAAGTTGGCACAAACATGACAATGAGGCTCGTGCATAAAACCTCTTTTAAACAGTTGCATACAATTGCGCCGTCCTCAACACAACTCGTAAAACGACAGAGCTCAGGCACATACTATAGTATCCTAAACTCTGCGAGTTTGTGGTGTGGCTTATGGGCGACATGACATGCGCAGACATCCGCATTTTGCGTGCGCGGTTCACCATGGACAGGGCGCGCACATGCGCGCCACGCCATGGAAGTTTCGTTCCAGTTCACACACAAGTCGTACAGGATTGAGCTCATTTTTACGCAAAGGTATACTCCCCGTGCATACGACATGCATTTCCATCCAGGAATGACGTATCGGCATGGACATGTTATGAACATGGGCGAACCACATCTTGCGTCGTCCGTCCGGAAAACACGTAGACGAGTGAGCTCGGTTTCGAGTTTCCTCAGACGGCGTAGCAAGGCGCAGCATTTCATCCCCATGCCGCAGGAGTAGAGACACGTTCTGAACATGTCGATCACACCAACGGTGGACTGCCCGCATAACTCGTAACATAGTTAAAACTTACCGATGAATAACCGTACTTCCCTTGAGAATGCACCCCGCAGAGGGGCCGTCGTGACTATGCACATGGGCGATGGAGTGTGAGCTGCACCATTGACTCCGAAGGTGCTCCAGCGTCCGAGCACCATGCAATCATTGGGTTCGCCTCCACTATCTTGCTGCGCGTATACCATTCCCTCAAGCTCATCAATGGTCGTCTTCAGGGCAATCATTGGGTTGGCCTCCACTGTCTAACAATGCCCAGCGCGCTCCCCAATGCAATTGCCATGCGCAACGAACCAGCATTCGACAATGCGCGGGTCGGCCCACCTGCGGTCTCGCAGAGATGATTCTTGAAGCGTGGGCTCGCCGAGTTCCCTGTCCGGAACCGTCTCTGAGAGACCACTGGTCGGCTGAGTTCCCTGTCCGCAGAGGCGATTCTTGATGCGCGGGCCGGCCCACCAGCGGTCTCGCAGAGACGATTCTTGAAGCGTGCGTTCCCCTTCCGCAGAGGCGATTCTCTATGCAGAATGATTCAGCGTCCAGCCGCAAGTGTCGGCGGGTTCTCACTTGCAGAGACGATTCGCAATGCGCTGAACTTACCAAGCGCTCCGAAATCATCCAGTGGCATTCTTAAAAGAGTGAAGCCAGAGACGTACAGTGCCGGGTGGCATGCGTTGCGCAGCGACGGAGAGGACTTGATGATCTTGAAAGACGATGAGCATCTTGGTGATCTTGTCATGCGCTGCACTCCGACCACACTGAACCGGCGTCCAGTGGAACAGCTCGGAAAAGCGAAGCCGGAGACGAACAGTGCCCGGTGGGTATGTGCTGCGCAGAGACGGCGAGGTCTTGACGATCTTGAAAGACGTCCAGCGTCTTGGTGATCTTGTTGGTGATCTTGTCATGCGCTGCACTCCCACACGCACTGAACCGGCGCCCAGTGGAACAACTCGTAAACGAGAAGCCAGAGACGAACAGTGCCCGGTGGGTATGTGCTGCGCAGAGAGGAGGCGAGATGCGTGCATCTCTCTTGGCCGACAGTGAGTGTGCTAGAGAATCGTGTGGTCCTGGGTTACGTCAAAGAGGTGCAGGACCACACGAAAGTGGAATGAGTGGAACTGTTGCATAGACGATACGGGGCGGAAAGGTATGCGAGCGACTTACTTGTAGACGACTCGGGAAGATGGGTAGAGGAGAAAGATGGGTGGAAGGGAAATGGGGAAAACGCGCTCTTTAAGTACCCGGAGTTGAACGCGACTTTACATAAAGTATTGCCATTTTGGGGCATATCAAGTATACGTTGTTTTTGTACAACATGCCATATAAGGGTAAATGGACTTTGGTAATCAGCTGCACTGCGATATGCTACTGAAGGAGGACATTACATCCCGACAAGCAGGTAAAGTATTCTCGGGCTGAGGTTCAATGCTTGCGTGTATGCTTGTTGATATCTGGGACATGCTCCTGGTGCATTTTCTGGTTGAAAGAACTTCCCCCCGAGTTTACACACTCTCCCGCTAGCGGCCGAACCCCATAATGGCTTTGAGGAATCCGGCCCCATATCTTTCCAATACTTTGATGATGTCGCTTATTGCCACATGAGCAAGAATCACACCAGGATTTATAAGGCTGAGCGGGTGCTGTTGGAGGTGCCATTGCCTGCAGTCGCTTAAGTAGGACTATAGTTGGTCTATTTTGTCCGCACGGCCAACTGTGCACATCTTACCCAACGGTAGCAGGGTGTACCTGCATAGAAAGTGAAGATTTTGTAGAGCGTGTCTGGGATCCGCGAATTCACTTCACCAGTCGGGGCATATTTATATCGCTTACACCTGGGGCCGTCATATGTGTGTTACGTCTTCTGAAACTGGATAGCCATGATAAGAGATCCGCCATGTTCAGGTACCGTCCACGCATGCCCAAAAGCAATAATATGAGGATAGCTTACTCTTTGCAAAACGTGAGACGCAAAGTTGAGAGAAATGATTGACAATTGCACACGAGTGTTACAACTAGTATCGAGTTTATCATCGGACAAGTGTTTCTGCTGTGTTCCCGCTATCTTTCCGATGAAATGGTCGATACTAGTTGTAGATCTCTTTATTTCAACCAATCTTGCAATTCAAGACCTCTGTTATGTCCACTTCCAAGCCTTGCGAATATATACACATTTAAATGAAGCAATCTAGTTTTGTTAGCGGGATCACCAATATCCTATGTGATCGTTTGATACGTCATTGCACACAAGTTTTAGTCCTGCTCCCTACAGCTGTTACGACTCCTAGGATGAAAAGCTGTCCGTCGTCATAACAGGGATGTTCATTATTTGACGACGCAGTTTAAGACTGCAACTACTCGGCCCGCCACGTCGTCCGCCCCGTCGCACCACCCAACAAGAATAGCACTCTGTGGTTCTGCAGCCATCTGTAAGCTGACTTGCCGATCTGATATTGACCCATCCTCATCCATATGAACCAATATGACATCACTCTCGAATGACCCTGTAGGCTTTGAGGGCCGAGCCAAATACTGTACCTGCGCACCTGGCAAGTACTCTTTCAGTGTGGTCGAGAGCTGAGAGAGGATATGATTTTGAGATGCTGAACGGAAGATATCTTCGCTACTATCGTTGCCGAGTATGTCTCCAAAGGGATTGACATATTTTTTCAAGGTATATGACAGGCGATGACTCCCATCGGATAGCCCTTTTGGTGGAGGTAGTATGTGAAGCGGTTGCCCTGGCATCTGAAGAACGGTACCCACGAATGGAGAGTTTCCGATGGCTCCGTGAGCTGCCTTACTAGGGCCGTCGGGCTCGCCAGATTCATTCCACCGGAGAAGAGACTCGCGCACCGTATTCCAAGATGTCCTCAAAACTTGTCCACTCACTAGTCCATCCGTTGTCTTTTCCTTATCCTGTCCTCCCCCACACCATATAGCCTCACCATTCGCTGGGTCGAAAGTACGTACGCCCATTTCTGATTCTAATCGTCTTTTCAGCACTTTCATCTTTGATTTTTCCCCGTGAACTAACATGACATTCTTCGGTTCGCACATTTTGATCAGCTGCATGATTCCCTTTGCGTCGGCATGCGCGGAGAAGGATAGGTTCTTCACTTGAAGATTGACATTCACACGTGTGTGAGCATCAATTTGAATTTGCTTTTCTCCAGCAAGTACCTTGGCACCCACGGTTCCCGCAACGCAATACCCAGGAAGAATCACCATATTTTTTGGGTCATGACACCATTTCTTGAAAACCTGCAATGAAATGCCAGCATGAAGCATTCCAGGGGACGCAAATACAACCATTGGACCTGGTTCGTCGACGAAATGACTTTGAAAAGTGTCAATATACTTGAAGTCAAACATATTTCGGTCGACAAAGGTTGTTCTGATCTTTTCATTTGTCCAGTTGATGAATAGCTTATAGTATTCGATAGCGCGCTCCGTCAGACCAGCTGAGAAGTACACGGGGATCTTTCCTCGCAAATCGTCCATACGCTCCCAGTAGGCTTCTATTAAGATGCAAAGTTCCTGCGCTCGGCCGAGTGCAAAGACCGGAATGAGGACTTTACCACCATCCCGCACGCAGTCATGGACCTTCTTGAGGAAGTCTCGCTCACGTGCGCGTTTGGACCCTCTGACGGTTGTCGCGTAGGTAGTTTCAGTGATGAGGAGATCTGGGCGACACCGGTCGATCCAGGCTGCCCCCAGATGTCGATCCGGTGTCATGTTGTAATCTCCTGTGTAGACAACACTTTGATTTCCAACCTTGACTTGGAACATGGCCGCTCCCAGTACATGCCCAGCGTAGTAGGCCTTAATCTCAAGCTCCTCATCCACCTTCACGGTCTGATGCAAGTCAATGGGAATAACCTTTTTCATACAGTTCCGAATGTCATCACTCGTGAAGAAGTTGGTTTCCCCTTTCCGTTCCACTGCTACTTTTCGCATGTCTTCGAGAAGAATTGGACAGATTGCTTTAGTTGGGTATGTCATGTAAATCGGGCCAGAATAACCACAAATCTCTGTGAAATGTGGTAAGGCACCACAGTGGTCCAAGTGAAAGTGTGATATTATAACGCAGTCGATGTTGGTATCATAGGCTCCAGAGCGGGAGATGTAGGTGAAGTCGGGAAATCGACGATGATCGGAATACCCCATATCTGCAAAAGCGAGTCATCGCGCAGAGTGAGAAAAATAACGGTGAGTTCCAGTTCACTGAGGGGTGTCATCGCCCTGCATATATCCATATGGTTCTAAGTGAAACGGCTCCGTAACAATCATATATGCTGCTGTAAGTCGGTCCATGATTGTTCAGCAAATCCGTGTTGCCCAGCCATAGATCTCCTCTGGTAAGCCACGTATAAGGTCTACTCACGCATCCCACAGTCGAACATGATGTTCTTTCCTCCCATCGTCACTAGAATACAACTTCTGCCTACATCCTGGCCGGCCCCCAGCGGAACAACTTTGATTTCCGACATGGGTCAACGATCGCTGGATGCCTCATACAAGGCCTGATGCTGACTGTTTCCCATTGCTTATCACATGACAGTCTGTCACATGGGATAATTCCACGTGGGGCGCAGCCCCACTCAACTTCCTTTTGAACCTGGGCGTGCAACGTTAATGTTTACCATTGGGTGGACAGCCCATAGGACTCATTGACGTCCTGCCGATTACCATCATGGTCATGAAAGATGCTGCCCTTGAGGGCCCACTACGCATGCAGCGCAGCCCATCATATTGTTGTTTGCCCGCTATATGAAAATTGTTGAAGTGTTGTGGGCACGACCTGAGCCTGTTCTTCATTGAGTGGTGCTGACCACGTACCATGGGCGACAAATAATTTTAATGTCCAACTGTTATCGGAAATTGGGAACGGAAGAGTGCCTTTTTAGGCGGTCGAGCTGTCGTCTTTGAGCTTGCGACATTGTTCGAGTATGAATCAAAATGAGTATTATTCTGAGGCGCAAGGAACGAAAGTTGCACCGCCTTGACAACCAGGAAACAAATACATTCGAACCAAATCAGGGCTGTTGTATTTTTAAACTTTAAAACCTAAATTTGGTGTGACCACAGCTGCGACCTTCCGCCTTCTTCCTTCCATGTTGTTTGGGCGTTCCTTTCCAGACTTTTGTTTTTTTGGCCACGACAGACTGTCCTACTCTCCTGCAATTTCTACAGAACAACGCCGGTTTCACTTCGCACTTTGACCTGCTTTCGAACCTCCACAGTTGCGCGTCCAGGTTGGACCTTCCGTGCCCTTTCCAGCAGCTACTCCGTGAGACTTGCGGCTTTCCGCTTTTTCAGTGCGTGACCAAAGTGTGCCCGCCTCTCGGATTCTTCGCTTTGTCCGATCGTTTTTCAAAGGAAACCTACAAGGCCCGTTGCACCCGCTGGACAGGTGGAGGCGAATAATGGAAACGAACAAGGTCGGTGACCATCATCTGGCTTCTCTAATCGAGCTTCATGCTAATGCACTCAGTAATAGGACTCCGCAGCAGTCTCGTCCCCATCACCACCTCCCGAGACATTACCAGAGATAATCCGCTCGTGGGCTTCAACACCGCTGCAGGAGTTTGAGACTTTTTATGGCTACATGTCAACCCCCTCTGATGCTCTACTCATTCTGGATGCCTGTCGAAAAGGCATGCTTCATACTCTCAAGCAAAGGCCGAAGAAGCCACTTCGGACAGCGGATAAGACTGGCGATGATGACGCCATTGTTATAAGAAGTGGCACTATTATAGTCTTTGAGGAAAATGGCACAAGAATGCGGAGATGGAGAGATGGCCTGAAGTGGACACCATCTCGGATTTCGGGGCCTTTTCTCATTTACAGGTACGAAAAATTGCGAGACGGACAGTCGTTGAAAAGTTTATTCACATCTTTTGCCCTTCCTTCATTTTCCCATTGTCAGGGAACTAAATACCTGTCAGTCGCCTTCAGAAACAGCCACCTCCTCACCACCCGCTGAATACGCCCGCGGCATAGATCCTCCATATTCTGCGGCGCTCACCGGTTCCGCAAGCGTTAAACCAACAGGCCTAATCAAAAAGACATTTGCAGCAACGCTCCAGAATGCCAAATATCATATAATATCGTATTACGCACGGGAAGACGTCCTCGGTGGGCGATTAGGCACACCCACTCAGTGGGCAGCAATGAACGGGTTAGACTTTGATGAGGATGTTTGGTCTGATGTAAAGATGACAGGTGGCTGGAATCTGGACGGAAAGCGACTGGACGGAAAGCGAGTACTTGCTGCAAAAACACGGGGATCAGTGAAAGCGGAGCAGAATGGAGCGGAAAGACGTTCGCCGCAAACGCAGAGTAGTGATGGATCAGTAGTTGCCGTGACACCATCCCTCGTTGCCGGAACGCAAGCCGTAACACCACAGGGAGACTCTCCCGACCACAGGCATTCCTCCCAGAGCAATGTTTGTGATTTGTTGAGACAGATGACTCCTGTATGCCACGCGTTTACTCAGTCGTTGCCTTCGACTGACACAGCAACTCAGTCACATCAATGCGCATCACAAACGTTCGATCACCTCACCGTACCCGACTCGCAGTGGGCTATTCGTAGTTTTCTCGGCGAGCGTCTTGATTCAGGACAGAGCGGAACCATGGCAAATACCCTACTGCAGACTTCGTCCCCAATATCACCAGTGGCCTGTACTGAGATGCTGCAAATGCAGGGATTATCTCACGACGAAACCCCAGGAGGTAGCTTTCCGTTGAATGATCTAGAGTCCCTGCTCGCATCGTTTTCAAGTAGCACACCTCCACAACACACATCCATTCATCATCATACCATTGCGGCACATGCGCCATCTCCATCACCTGTCAACACTGGAGGTTATCCAACTCCAGTTTCGATCCCGGATTCTGGGTTTGCGGACATTGCTGCCTCTGAAGGATCAGCTAGTTCCGGATCCCTTCTAGACATGTGGCAAAATAGCAGCGATACTCTTGTCGAGTCAACCGATCTGTATCATGGTTCAGAGCTGGAAGGACATTCCATGGCGGACTTGATGCTGTTGACACAGCAAACCATATTGCCGCACTTACCGCCACCCACTGAAACACCTCCCATGTACATTCCCACCACGATGTACACAGCACCAACCACATTCGGAGAGCTTCCCGTCTCAGTGATGAGCAACCCCCAGTCGGAGCCCGCAATGTCGCATTCCAACGTTCATGCGGTTCCAACTGGCTTTGACAACGGAGCCCGTCGCTTACAACAGCGAGGAGCTCAGCGACCAGGAGTTATGCCATATAGTTGGACAAAAAAACGTAAAGGGGTGCGTAATGAGCAATGTTTCGGGAAGCGTTTACATGTGGCTGATTATTGGAGCGTCTTGCAGAATCTTCCTTCATCTTCACCAGCATCAGTACTTCAACCGACACAATACCCCACCGCCACAACGCATGTTTATACTTCGGGCATTATTTGGCCAGAGGAGGACCTGCACGCTATCCCTTCTGCCATCGGAGTTAGCACTGTCTCACCTTATTGAGTGCAACAAAGGTCTTTTTAATTCTTGTACGTGTTTTATATGCAGCGGGATTCGACAGGCTGGCTTAAGACAGTCTAGTATTCGCTGAGATGTGAACGGGATCTTATTTTGTTGTATATACTTCACTGAATATTTGACTTTTATCTTGGTTGCGCTATTCTTGTGAAGTTTAATTTGGCACCAACGGGGTCTCATACAAAAGTCTGGTACCTATGAATATGCAGGAAAATGCAGGATCGCTCGTTCTGTCGCCAATTATTTGGGGTCCGTGTCAAAAAATGGCAGTTTCTCCAGTGCCCCGTAGTAAAGCCCTTCATCAAGCACCATGTCAACTGTTTAGAGTGGTTCTTTCAATTCATTTGGTGTCAATCGTTCAGACATATTTGTGGGTAACGCGACCTTACCTAATGCGAAACTGTTGGAGTGTTGATCACTTGACGTCGGGCCACAAATAATCAGGTTTCTTAAACAGCGTCAGGCGGCGGGTTGAGATGGTATAAACACCCCCCCGCGGTCTTTCCTCCACAACCATCAGAGAAACGATGACGCATCAGCTGCTTCGAGGGCAGTGTCGGTGGGCCAATAAGGGGCTGGCCCGGGTTTTGTTCAATCGCACTACTCGACAGCACATGAGGACGTTGGCTGCGCACCCCGCCTGATGTTTTTGTTCACCTTTTGTCTGGGCGGAAATATTGATTGCGTCATGCTGCTAAAAAGTCCATTACTTTGGTGGACGGAGTTTAAATCCAACGTTCTTTTTATAAAGCAAGCGTCTTCAGTCCGTGTTAACACACTGCACGTCAACACAGCCCTCCCTTTTTGCCGTTGAAAGCCATACGGTCTGTGTCATTTGGCGCCCTTCCGAGATTTTCCCCTCATTGAATTAAGCGAGGGCAGAAGCTGATCGATTTGCGTTGCTTGCCCACATCCGGGCTTTAATTGAAATTTGTTTACCTTTTAGACAGACCTGCCAATATTACTAGTAGACGTTTTCACACCTTTTTTTTTGGATTCACCCTTTTTGACGTTTTGATCCATACCCTCAACATAACACCCTTTGCATCACGATTGCGGCGTCATATAATGTTTGCCTGGGCTGCATCTCTATTTGCGGAGGCTCCTTCGACGGTGGACATGGATATGATGGAGCTTGAATCAGAACAAGCCGGCATGTCTGTAGAAGGGGAAGAAAACGCAAAAGAGCACTGGATAGTGGTTGGAAACGTGCATGATATGATTGATAGAGATGATAACGTTATTGCTGAGTACTACGAAGACTTTTCCTTTGATCACGACGAGGAGCATTCGGACGAAAGTGAATGTCTAGATGACGAAGTCATACCTCCGACGCCGACCATACCGCCGACAATTCCATCCTTGTCGGGACTGACTATTCCTGCGCTCGATCAACCACTTTGTTGGACATCACGAGTATTTGCATACTATCCCAAGCCCGCATCCTACTACTTGCGGCATCCTGCCCCCTCCCACATCTTCAAGAAGGATCCAAAGTTCTCCATCTCCATCGGAAAAACACCGCATCCTCATCCTTTGCTGATTGCGTTGCGATTTCGCGAGTTGCGGTGGCGAAAGCTGCGCAGATACAACGATCAAGCTGCTCGATGGCGAAATTCTCATCCAATAAGCCACAAGCCTTTCGGAACAAGTAGATCCGGAATACGATAGCACACTTTGTATTTACATATATATTATGCATTGTATATGGGATTGTTCGCCGGATGTGCTTATACATAAAGGAGTTGTACCTATGGAGTTTGCAGGTTGAGAGTTGTCTGCGATTGTTGGGACAAAGTAATACTACATCATTCAGAACATTGGCTTTTGTAAAATGTCAACTGTCGACTCTGCCCTCCTGCCGAGCCAAACACAAAACAAGGTCGCGGCAGTGCACTTGGCTATTCGCGGTCACTGTCATAACTTGAAGACAAAGCGCTCGCTCTCAACTTGCGCTTCTAATTCGAAACCTTTTAGCTGATCATCGTAAACCTATCCCCTAGTCTGACAATCGCCTGTCACTGAAGCTGGCCTCGTCGAATAGGTCATGAAGAATTTAGCGGATATTCCTCATCAAGTTAGATAACAGCACCCAGAGAAAACTTTAAATATTTAGCAACTGCGATCTGCATGCACCGCGGAAACCATCGGCTCACGAGTATCGTGAACCGCGAGCCAGCTGTTTGCATACGGCCCTGAACTGGCGAAGGGGATCTATGAATAGCAACGAACAATGTGTTTCCCGCGTCATGGGCAACATCAGGCTGTACTGAAGACTATCAAAACGATGGAACATGTTCCTAATTTAAGAAAGTCCAGCATTTGCTCTATTGCTGGGGGTCCAACAAAGAAATCTCCGCTCTCCGGGAACAGTTTTGCGTTTTTTTTGTTGTTCCTTCCTTTTCACTCACAACACCGCAAGACCATGGCCGAAGCAGCCAGACATATCGCTCTTTTGAATAATATAATAGATCAGCTTGCCCGAGAAGCTCAGGGTCTTATTGGCATATTCCAGCGGGTTGCTCAACACCGCTCACCGGAAGACCTTCAAGCACTATCCTCACAATGGCTGACGATACGGCTGCTCACAGCTTCCCTAAACCAATCCTTGGAAGCTGGTTCCCACCGAACGACATCCGACAACGACTTGCAGATGTACATTGACCAGCTCGGAGAAGTCGTGATGAAGATGGTGGATGGGGTTGGAGATATGAAGACTCATGAATACAATTTCCCGTTTTGCATCTTGAAACTTCTTTCGGCTGTAAAGAATGTGGTTAAGGTGCATATTGAAGGATTGACCGGAACCAGTGCACCGTTGGCGTCCCCTTCATCCACCGAACAGCGCCCAGCACAACATGATCGTGACCCCAAAAGCGACCCGTCGTCAGCCGCTAAACCTGTTTTGGAACGATTGACAACGAACGTCCTGCCGAGTATAGGAAAGACGCCTGACCTTCGTCCACGCTCTCCCACGACCTCAGAAACGAGGTCGTTCAAAACGCAATCACCTGTTGGCGAAAACCCGACCACAAACGTTTATGGCGACCGAGGTGGGTCATTGGGACGACCCAATGTTGTTGTTCAGGGAGCCGGTATGATCCCGTCTCGCTATGGCTCTACTACATCTGTATCTGGGGAACATGGGGACACATTAGAAACCTCTAGCCAGGACAGAACAAAGCATTCCATTGACGATGTGGCGTCCCTAGAGAAGGCGCTCAGCGCTGTAGGGGCTCAACTTGACCAAGACGACAACCAGCCTCCTCCGATACCTCCATTGTTTACCAAACCTACAAGGTCTCAATCCGTCTCGGCTTTGAATACTACTGAAGAGGAAGTTGTCAAGAGCAGAGAGAATGTAGATCACAAAGCAGTACTGAAAGAACGGGATAAAGTGGAAGAACTGGAAGCGGTAGCAATCCCTGACAAGTTCGAGGAGACGAGCAGTATAGACGTGACGGTAGAAATCCCAACTGTAGTCCCAGGGAGCACGGAATTGAATCTAGACCCTCAAGGCGACTCGCAGTTGGACAAGCCATCAACAGAAGAAAGTGATGTGTCAATCTCATTACCGACGCAAACAGAGGCACCAAAAGTGAACCCTGAGATGATCACACAGCAGGACACCACGGACAAGGTGGAGCCGACTGAAACACCAGCAGCAACAGAAACGGCAGAAACGGCAAAAACGGAAGATAGAGATGCGGTAGAGGGTCAACATACACAAGCCCAAGTACCGATACCAACCCAGGGAGAAACGCTAAACACTCACGTTCAAGTACCGGCAATCACACCCACCATAAGCAACGCAGAGACTGCAAAAGCAAGCCATTCACCCGAGCCATCACGCAACAAGGAAGCAACCCCAGCGAAATCCACTGCATCCCGTAATAGCACTTGCTTGCCCGACACACTTCCCGCCATAGATACCTCAGCCACAGCAGATCGCCTAGCCGCCGTCCGAGCCAAAAAGCAACTCAACCGATCCTCACTTTTATACGTCCCCTCTGTCCGACAAGCAGCAGCCTTCTTTGAGAACAAAATTCACAAAGAAGCGGAATCAGCCAACTCGCTCCGTATTCGTTCTGCGTCAGGTCGCTCTTCAGTGCGGATCCCCAAGCAGGGGTTATCCGTGGATCGTTTTGCGAGTAATGAGGGGTCTATGGAGGATTTGTTTGCGGGTGCCTCTCCACGACCGGTTTCTCCTGTCCCAGATGAGAAGCAAAGTGGTATAAAGGACAAGGAAGCAGAAGCTGTTGAAGCGCGCACTGCTGAAATGCGTACAGAGGCAGTGGAGGAGCAAGAATCTCCAAAAACGGCTGTACCAGATGAAGAGGTGGTCAAAGGAGACAAGCGAGTCCATGACACCAGTTTGGATAAAGGAGTCCGGCAAGAGTCTACTCATTTTCCTATCAAGGGCCGCTTGAATGAGGAGAGTGTGCAGTCGCCTTCGGCCAATACCCCGAGTACGGCAGTACAGGAAGATCCTGTCCCCCGTCTATCAGACGAAGCATCCCGACAGAGAACCAAAGACCGGTTATCAAAGTTGTTGGATATCGCTAAAGATCTTTTAGCGGAGGATGCTCTTGATAACCTCGTTTCAAACGATATTGGACATTTGCCAATGACCATCATGCGTATGGAGACGGACCATGTTTCCCCTCCTCCTTTATCTGCCGTGAAAGCTTCCGTAGATGTTAAACCCACCAAGGAGGGCCCCGGAGATTCACCCATCATGCGCGACCCACGGTTGTTGCAATTCACCAAGGCCCAATCCTTTGCATCCAGCACGGCGACACTCGGGAATTCATCATTCTCGACTGAAGATCTTGTACCGTCGCACGCTAGTACATCTGATACGGGTTCTGTATTGGTACCCGCTGATACAGCATCATCAGAGAAACAGACTCTATCTGGAGAGTTTGCGTTTGATGCATACTCTGATGAAACGGCTCATGATGCGCAGCAAAAAGAGGATGAGACGGCGCGGCAGTCCATTAGACCCGTAGAACCCACCACCAGTGATCCATTACCGGTATTGACGACCTCGTCTTCGTTCCCGGAATTAACTATGCCGGGTACGACAAAGTTTTATGGATCGGCTGCGGATCTGTTGGCAAATGACGATACACGAGTCAAATCGTTCATTCGGGATTTTACAAGTGAGGAAAACGCTACAAGTAGTACATCGTTGAGTCGAGAGCATGCCGTGAGTGAAGAGCCAGTTTGGAAGCCACATGGTTCTGCCATGGATAGTAGTGAAACTGGTGAAATCACCGAGGATCTAGTTAAACAGGTGGAAATGGGTGAGCAAGAAGCTGAAGCGATAGAGCAAGCGGAAAGCAAAGCGGAAGAAGAAAAAGACGCAAAGAGGCAATCTCAAGCTTTTCCTGTTGATTTGACTGGCGGTGCGGAAGGAGAGGAGCGAGGTTTTGCCTTGAGAGGCGGACGAGCCATGACAGATGTTCAACAATTACGACAAAGCCTCGCTGCTCGACTTGTCCAAACCCTCCAATACCAACCTCCCGAACCCACCCGGCCCCTATCCGCGCACATTACAAACGTATCAACCCAAGCCGAGGCCCCAACATCACAGGCACTGACCATCATGCTCATGCCACTCAATGGCCAGTTCCCACTTCACACCATTGAACTCGTACAGCCCTACCGTCTCGGTCGCGGAAACCCCCGAGAAGGATTCAAATCCTTTTCATCACAAGTCGTATCCCGTAACCACTGTGATATCTTTGCTCAGGATGATAAAGTCTACATTCAAGACTGTGGAAGTAATTCTGGGACGTTTTTGAATGGTGTTCGTATGAGTGATGCGGGTACCAAGAGTGAGCCTGTTGAAGTCCGTAGTGGGGATTTTGTACAATTGGGAAAAGATTATGAGGGTGCAGCTGTTGGAAATCTACCAGAAGGTAAAAAAAAACAAAACGATTTGAAATTGTTTTTGGTTCATGGAAAACCGTTTAGCTAAAACTATTGTGATATTGATTTATTAATTATAGCTCGACGACGATGTGTCAAGATGCAGATTGTCATTCTGAACCGTGACCATCAACAATCATCGCCCTCCCAACAACTCCAGGAACAAACCATAGATCAAACACAACGAGAACAACAAGATGCTATGCAACCACAGCTAACGTAATTGTTATACGGTTTGCCAGAACAACACAAACGTTCAAACATAACTAAAACTAGTCATTTTCAAATTACAGTACCGCTTCCGAAGACGACCTCCGAAAAGACCCCGACGACGTTAATATCTCTAAAGCACGGGACAGCCGTAAAGGGCTATCCATGTAAGTATCCCCTTCCCCATCTCCCCATCTCCTAAACACACCCTCACAAAAATCCGCAAAACTTTACTTTCACAGGATCAACCCCCTCCGCATCTCCACCGTCGTCCCACCAACACCCCAACCCCTAACCTCAACGCTCACAACAGCAGTCCCAACCACACCACACCAACAAGAAAAAACGGGTAGAAGTAAATATACGGTAGCGATATCGGGTACAAAGGAAAAAGTTCGCAAAGTCCAGGTGGTGGGTGCGGATGGTAAGGATGTTTTGATGGTTGGGTTAAAGTTTTGGGAAAGTAAACGGTATGTTTTTTTTTTCTCACTCGAGTCCTCTTAAGAAATACACACATCTTTTCTAAATTTTACTTTGTTGGAATATATAGGGTGATTACAATCCAAGACCTCCGTCCAACCTACGAACACCACAACCCTTCCTTAGAAATCTTTCCAGACCCCACCACAAAACCCACAGACCCCTTCTCAACAACCCCCTTTGTCGTAACAACGGCCACAGGAGCCGGAATGGGTACACTAAAATACACATCAAATATTAAACTCGCCATTGAAACGGCTCCATCGCAAACAGACGAAAATGGTGACACCAAAATAGGAGACGATGGTGATGCGGTTTCGTTTTCGGTTACTGGGGATTTAAAGGAACAGAAATATATTCTTGTTATGCGACGGTTGAATTCGAGGGAGCAGAGAGTTGTTGGTGAGGCTAGTGGTAAAGTCCTCGTTCGTAAAAGTGTGCGGGAAAATAAGTGGGCTGTGAATGTTGAGATGGAGGATGGTGTGTTTGGGCAGTTGTACATGGCGGCTGTAGTATTCGCCTGTGTTTCTGGGGGAATGATTGCGTAAAAAAGCAAACAAGAGATAACTTTTTTTTTTTTTTGTTGTTCTTGTGTGTGTGTTGTGTGTTGGGGGGGGGGGGGGGATGTTTTTTTGGAGGTGACCATTTTTGTCATTTGTAATTGTATAACAAGGATTTGGGTTTTATCTTTTTTTTTTTGGATAAACATGTTTTTCGCACATATTTCTTATTGCTTAAGCACATTGGCAATAGGTGGTGGTAGTTATCATTCATAGCAAACGTAGGATCAACCGTCAATTTCTCCATACTTTTCGTATGAATCTTGAACACACCAACGAACCATATCATATTTTTAAAAATCTTTATTATTTTCGAAACGAAAAAACAACACCAGCTACTCACTCAACAGTACAACAAAAAAACACACAACACAACAAGTAGCATCATCCATAACAACTTAATCCATCCTCAACCCCAAACTCGACAAGACATCCAACTCTGGTTCCTCAAACCCTTCATGTACATCTGTATTAACATTCCAAGGCGGACACCAAGCCTCAATCTCACATTCCAAAATCTCTCGAAAACGGACTTGTTCCGCAAGCGTATTTTGGAGGGCTTCGTTGCGTCTTTTGGCGCCTTCGCATGCTCCACGGAGTACACTGGCTTCTTCATTCCATCGACGTTTTTCGAGGGTGGCTTGCTCTGTTTGGCGGTGTTGGGCAGAGGTGAGAGTTTTTGTGAGGTGGGTGAGGTGGTTGCTAGAGGAATGAAGGGATTGGGTGGTGGTTGAGAGACCGGTTTGGAGGGACTGGAAACGGGTTGTGAGATGGGCGAGTGTGGTTTCAAGGTCTTGAAGTCGTTTTTGAAAGAGTTGGGTGAGACGAGTTAATTCCGATTCGGATTGTGTTCGAGTGCGGTGGAGGGATTCCAATTGTTTGACAAGGGCCTTGGTGGTTATCTTGTTTTCATTGATTTCACGCATCACATTGTTGATCTCTGCTTCTTTTGCTTGTTGGACCTCTTTCGCTTGGGCAATCCCTTCTTCAAGTGTCTGGATACGCCGTCGTAAACGTGTATCCGTCTGTAAATCCCTCGTATGGGCCTTTTTGAGCATATCGAGATCGGAGCGGAGGGCAGCAAGGTTTTTTGCAGATTCTTTTCGACACTTTTTGAGAGCGGTGTGCAGGTTTTTCTTGGTGGTTCGGAGATTCGTTAATTCACGTGTCAAGAGACGGAGGACTTCGGTCTTGTGTTTCTGAGACGTGTCTCCATCTTTGGTGGTGGATGTCACGGGCGTCAAGGGCGGAGGAGCAACTAGGAGAGTTTGGTACCAAATAAGCCAACGAAAACTTGAACCTCTCTAAAAAGAAAGAACCTAACAACTTACCTCTCCAATCAGCCGTACAAACCCGCACAGGAACAGACCAATACCCCCTAATCGCCATCACAACCGTATACTCTCTATTCACCTGTAACCCCCTCACAACCACCACCCCCTCAGGCATACAAATTGTCAACTGATCCCAATACGACAAATTCACCATAACGTCCACATCAGATGCCGAGAGGGTCGTGCTACCGGACTGAGGGAGAGCAGGGGGGAGTAACAAGGGCTCATCCATGGGTCCCAAAATGGTCGGAGGGGGTGACAAGGTCGTTTTGGGTTTCGTGTCAGAGAGGGAACAAAGAGTGACAATGAGAGATTGGGGTAAACTCCACGTCAATGTAATAAACTCGAATCCGACTTCACAGACAGCAAGTTCAAACCGACTATGCATTTCGTAATGATTCGAATAATAAAACTGATGGTGTTCATTTGATCGTTTTCGACTATTACTCGTTGTCGTCGTCGTTGTCGTAAAAAAACTTTTTTCAAGTTTCCACGTTTTATGTTTTCGATGATGGTGTTTTGGGTAAGCACGTAGTTCCCCATACACCACATTCTGCTCGGCAAAGTACCTCATCCGCTTATCCACAGCATACGCAACCAAATCCCCCAGCATAACATACAACCCATGTCCAACACAATGCACTCCCAACACTAAATCCATTCGCGTCGGTGCATGTTTTGTATAATAATCCACAGCAACTAGTACGGACACCACGCACATGGTCAAGAGTCCATAGCCCCTCGCCTGCCCAATCACGCTCCCATAGACAACGATAGAAGCAACAATCGTCAACACCTTCTCATATTCAATAACACCAAACAGTGATCCATCGACACAAACGAGAAACACGATTAATCCCATAAAGACTTGAGTGGAGAGGTACCAAGCTTTTTGTAGGGACCGGATAGAACATATTGAATACCCTATCCATTCTACACGCGCTGGGAGGGACCCCCATTTATCCATGACCCAAACGGTGAACCAAAGACTTAGGATATCCATGATGCAACATTGACTGAACAATGTATCGACCCAGGCATCCACGTCGTCGGGTGTCATAATGTGCTGTGGGTCCGTTTGGGTGAGGTTGTAGCTGTAGGTACTGACTTTGGAGGCATCAATGATTTTTTCTGGGTGATTGGATTGGACCTGGGTGGGTTCGAGAATCTCCTCCACAGGCTCCTAAAAATAATCCGTTCATATATGCATCTCAACTCTTTTGTGACTTTTGGTTTTACGTTACCGTTCGAACCCATTCCTCCTCCTTTTTCGACGTCCCAGACCGCAACACAATCTCTTTTAACCTCCCCAACGTGATCTTGCCTCCCCGCTGTCGCATACTTAACCTACGAAAAAAACAAATGTCAAATGCGTCATCACGATCGTCATGAGAGGACATGGAAACGTACGTGTGGACATTATTAGTGGTGCATACACACTATATGGGTATTTGTAAAAGAAAAAACCAAAACACAAAACCCCGACGAAGCGTGAGATCTTGCCAAAAGGAAATTCAAAAGGCGAGCTTGCCCCGACACCTCGTCTGAGGGGGATAAGTAATTAGTGGCGTAGTCACTATAAGGTTAGTGCAAGTTTGCCCGACAAGGGCAAAAGAAAGTTTATATCTTTAATTTTTTTATTATGGTGGGAACAAACCCCGCGGCATTCTCGTAAGTATCTTTTAACATGTTCCTTTGGATGATTTTTCAAAAGAAACACTAGTGTGTGCAAAAATCCTTTTAACCAAGTCAACTCTAGTATATATTTAGAATGTCCTAAACACATACAACAAACCCAATATACAAATTCCCCCATTTTATAAATTATACATCTTTCCCATAATAAACTTGTTTGTTATCCAAATCGTTCAATAATCCATCTTCTACTCCACAATACACGTAGTAGTGCTATCCGCCCGCCTTACACGCTCCTCATGTGCCCGCTCCGCAAGGCCATACAACATCCGATACTCATCCGGCCCAGTCTGCTCCACCAAACTCCGGAAATCACCGCCCTCTTTATCAAGTAGTTTCTTTGGTTCATCAAACTCTAGAATCTGACCAGCATCCAACACAAGGACACGGTCTGATTCAATAATGGTGTTGAGACGGTGGGCAATCGTCAGGACAGTGAGGTTTGCAAAAGACTTTTTGATCGTGTCTTGGAGCATGGCGTCCGTGCGGGAATCAATGGCGGCAGTCGCTTCGTCCAAGACAAGGACTTTGGATTTGGACAAAATGGCACGGGCAATGCAGACACATTGACGAAGACCAAGAGAAAAGTTTTTGCCGTTTTCAATGACTTCACTGTCGAGTTTGGCTGCCATGGCACGGATCTTGTCGCCCAATTGGACGGCATCGAGGGCTTTCCAGATTTCTTCGTCCGTGCATTTGGAAAACGGATCCAAGTTGGACCGAATTGTACCGACAAAGAGGACGGGTTCCTGGGGAATAATCGCAATATTCGATCGAAGATCGTTGAGTCCTATTTTGCTCACGTCCACGCCGTCAATGGTAATTTGCCCGTCAGCCACCTCAACGATACGCAAGAGGGCCGTCAAAAGCGTACTCTTTCCACTCCCCGTTCGGCCCACAATACCAATCTTTTCGGTACTCTTGATATTCAGGTTGATGTTCTTGAGAACATCCACGCCGCCTTCCTTGTACCGAAGCACAACATTCTTGAAGGTAATGTTTCCTTGGTCTGGCCAGTTCTTTGGGACAGGATTGTCGGGAACCACTGCGGGTGCCTCCGGCTTCACTTGGGCATAGTAGACCAATTGTCCAACTGAAGACATTTGAGATTGGACTTCACCCCACATGCGGACCGTCCATTGCACAAAGACGAGCATTTGGAGCGCGTTAGACAGCGCGAGACCGGCAATGGATGCCATGTCTCCCTCGTCACGCGAAACGACAACAAGGAAGGCGGTAAAGTAAACGACAAACGACGACAAAAAGTCTAGGTACAAAGCCTGGAACGAGCGAACTAAAAAAAAGAAAGACATGTTAACAACGTCTCGTTGCAAACATGTTGACTTGTGAACATTACCATTCATGGCTGCCATCATGGCACTATGGTTAGCATCTAATTTTTCCAAATTCATGTCATCAAATCGCTTTTCAGCATGGTAAGATCGAATCGAAAACAAGCCTTCCAGCGTCGCCGTCAAATGGTTGAAAATGGGCGGCTTGCTGATGGCTTCCAGCGCCTTTGTCTTTGTTTCAGCAGGGGTAGACACTTTGATGACGATACCACCCAGTACAACGAGACCAATACACGGGGCCCAGTTCCATGGAACGACTGCAGCACAGAGAATGAGCGCACCCAATCCAAGCGGTGCATACTGCAATCCTTGCATGGCAGCGTCAGGGAGCGTGTCGTCAACGTGCAGTTGGTGCTTTGAAAAGGCAGATAAGACTCGGCCTAGAGGAGTAGCATCGAAAAAGGACATGGGAGCCCGAATGACAGCACCAAAGATATTGTCGTGCAAATCGGTGGCTTTACGGGTGGACACGTAGGCAAAGAGGAGACCACGGCTCAACACGCCGAGGGCAAAGGCAATGGTACACGCACCGTAGACACCGAGGTAGACTGCATCCGTGAATCCACCAATACGGGGAACCCACAGACGAAGCCAATAGTCAGATCCAATACGGATACCATGGACAACAAAGAAGAAGCAAATGACCGTAATGGTGACCGCCGGTCCAGCACCGTCCTTTTTACCTGCCCGACCGTACTTTGCAAAATCGCCAAACCCAGTGCTGGCAGCCGATGTGTCTTCTTGAACGAGCTGTCCCTTGCGTGCGTTCATGACATCTTCAAGACCTTCCACGTCGTTCATGCTATACACGGATAGCTCGTTTCTCCGAACCGCTTCAGCCAAATCGTGGCCAGAGCCCATACTCCGAATGGTTGTGCCAGCATCCTTTTCAATTTCCGTTCGAATCGTCTTTTCGTTGATTTCCTTGAATTTGACAGAGAGCTGGTTCCGCGATACGACCGAGAGCTGGTTGAGCTCAATCATGTGCTTGGGGTCGGGGATTTCGAGCGTCTTGTTGGAAAAGTGATTATCTTCGTTTTCAATTTGGTACGTTTTCTCCTCTGGAATGTCAAACTCTGGGCTGTTCATGGGGACACCGGGCTCGTCGTCGACACCCTCGGTAGAGGCTGGGACAGCGACCGACTTGCAGAATTCGGTGAATTCTGGGTGGTTGGCCATGAGGTAGTCAAAGGTACCTTGCATGGCGATGCGGCCCTCCTTCATGACGACAATATAATCCATGCGTGGAAGGTACTGGAGCTGGTTCATGGAGACAATGACCGTCTTTTCCTTGAGATACTTTACAAAGCACTCTTCGAAAATGTGAACTCCCACGTGCTGATCAACAGCTGAGAGGGGATCGTCGAGGAGCAAAATGTCTGCATCGTAATAGACGGTCCGCGCCAAGGAAACACGCTGCTTTTGACCGCCAGACAAGTTGGCACCTCGTTCGGCAATCTCGGTCTTGTCACCGGCAATCAGCAATGTCAAGTCTCGCTGCAACGCAGCGACGCGGACAACTTCCTTGTACCGAGCGCGGTCGTAATCCTTGCCAAAGAGGATATTGTCCCTCAAGGTAATGTTGAGTAGCCACGCTTCCTGGGACATGTAGGCAGTGGTTCCGTACATTTTCAAGCCTTGCCCGCCCACTAGACGGATTTGACCCAAGAGAGCGGCAATGAGAGACGATTTACCGGAACCCACGTCTCCGACCACGGCCACCTTGCTTCCTCGCTTGATTTGCAGCGTCACGTCCTGGAGCGTCGGTTCGGGTGTGTCGACGCCGTCCCATTTGAAATCACAGTTGCTCATGTCAAAGGCCAGGTCGCAGCCGGGAGGCGGAGTCTGAGGCTTGAGCTCTTCCACTTCGTCCAGGTCCAAAAACTCATTCAAACGAACCACGGCCGTGAACGCTCCGGCGGTCGACCTCACGGCCAAGGGCAGCATGAGGAACGGGTAACGGAGTGTGTTGTAGACGGACAAGATGGTAAAGGAGATGGCAGCGGTGAGGACATTGTCCAATGCCACGTACATTCCGAGGGAAGTCAGCGCGACAAAGACGGGCACGGCAAAGACGACGGTAAAGTTGATGGCCTTGACAATCATTCCCGAGAGGATATAGCCCATTTCCTTTTTGCGAATGTCTGCAATCTTTCCGCTAAAGGGACTTTCCCAGGCGTAGAATTTAATGAGCTTGATGGCCGTGAGAATTTCCGACATGATGTGAACACGAGAGGTTGTGACGGCGGTTTGGTTCCGGTTGAGGGTGCTCGTCTTTTTACCCAAATAAATTTGGATGGGGAGGAGCAACAAGACAAAGCCCAAGCAAGGGAAAGCAGAGAGACCGACTTCGACAAAGGCGATAATGATAATGGCAGCAGCTTCGATAAAGGCGGACCACAAAAAGTGAAAGTTTGTGACTGCATCAACCAAGCGGGTAATGTCTGTCGAGTAAATATTGATGACATCGCCGGCACCGCCCTTTACGCGGGAGAGACGCAAGGATTTGCGGTAAACGAGACCGGTCATTGCAGCGCGGACTTGGATGCCGATCCGATTGCATTCAGCGTAGAGTTGGTGAATGGCAATGGAGCTAAATAGGGAAGCAAGCAAGAGACCCATTGCGTACAAGTGACCATCCTTTGCCGAGGGAGCTTTGGAGGAGATGAAGCTGATAATTTGCTTTACTATAAAGAGAGTGGGAGAGATGGTTGAGTTGGCGAGTTGAGCACAAAATGCAACGCTTGTTACATACAAAGCCAGTAAGCCGAAAGCCAAGTAAAGATTCCCCAGACAATCTTGTAGATTCCCACGAGGGCATACGTCTTGCCATACACACGCGCCAGGGCCCTGAGCACTGATCGTTCACTAAGAAAAAAAAGAGTGGGTGAGTGAGTGAGTGAGAAAACTACAAGGGCTTTGTAGACAGTGTACTCACGCAACGGGCTTTGCGAGTTCGAGTTTCCAGGATGCTTCCAGTTGGTCCACATTGTACCTCGCAGATTCGTTCTTGCGTAGTTTAAAGTGCAGTTGCTTTATGGGAGTGTGCGTTGCTTTGGCGAGGATGGGAAATATCCAGATAAAAAGCCAGTTTGAGAGAAAGACAGAAGACCAGAGTCCCAAGGGTTGTGTTCTTGGTCGAGCCATGTTTGAGAGATGAGAGAAAGAGAGAGATGCTCGTTCCTTTGTCTACTCGTTTGTCGTTTGCTAGTGTGTGTATGTATGTGTGTGTGTGTAGTGGTGACTTGGCTATGTACACAATCTCTAAAGTGAGAAATCGTATGTAGAGAGAGAGAGATATATATGTACAAAAGTCCAAGAAACCAAAGCAAGACGAATAAAGAAGAAAGAAAAATGGGGAAATGCAGTTTGCCCTCCTTTTATATAAATAATAACTGTAAATGACGCGACTTGTCTGTGTGTGTGTGGGAAAAAAGATAATAATAATAAACCCTCAAATAGGCCGCATATTAGAGAGAAACCTTGGCTCTTTTTTCTTTCTCTCTTTATGATTACTATTATTATTATTATAGTAGAGAGAGTACTAGTAGTCATAGTAAGTAGTAGAGAGTGAATAACTTGTATGCAAACGTCTCTTTTCCTAATTAGACTCATTTCCCCTACATGTTTTGGATCGTTTTCTTTCTTGGCTTTTTCTCTCTCTCTCTCTCTCTCTCTCTCTCTCTCTCTCTCTCTCTGTAACAGTTCTCTCCCTTTTCTGTCTCCAACTGTTTCATTCTTGGCAATTTTAAAGTTTTAAACTCTCTATATTGGTTTTCTTCCTTTTCTTGTAGACTTGGCATTTTGTTATACATTTTATCATATCGATATGAGATTACGGGATAGGGATCTGGGACATTTCCATGCGGTAAACCTTAAGACGAGAACGGGGCCAGGTGCGGCGGCGGCGGCAGGAATGAAACGCCTCCCCCCACCCTAACTCGTTTCAGGGCCCAAATCTCTCCCTTTTACAGACACTCCATCCATTCGTCGATCGCCCGCGGGCTCCGTCGTGTCATGTGATATCATGTGATATAGGTTGTGTCACATGATACCTCGTGAATGGCTTGTGTTGCTTGTCCGAACTTTACAATCTGTCCGAACTGGTCTGCACTTGCTTTTACTTGTGTGTGTGTGTGTGTGTGTGTGTGCATTGGCATACCAACAGGGCCTCCTTCTTTTTGGCAATGGACGAGACGGAGGGAAAAGCCATCCTGTCCATGGACGCTTTTGAGCACCACAAGGAAAATGTGGTCCCCGTCAAAGCAGGGCGCAGCGCCGCAGTCCTCGCCAACATGCTCAACAAGGGCGACATTGAACACCAGAGAGCCGCCCTCGAAGCAGACCTCCTCGTCGCTTGCACACTCGACCCGCTCGATCCCTACCACCGCTACCTCAAATTCCTAGAACAACATTATCCCAGTGGCCACCCAGACTTTGGCCTCGTCCTCGAAGCAACCGTCAGGAAATTCAAACGCGACGAGCGCTACAAGAACGATCCAAGATACCTATGGATGTGGCTGCGCGTCGCTCGTCAGGCTCAAGACCCCGTTCAAGTCTTCAAGTACCTCAGCGTCAATGAAATTGGTGGAGAACTCGCCGCGTATTACGAAGAATACGCGCAGCTCATGGTCGCCATGAAACGATTTGACGAGGCCGGCGAAATCCTTTTATTGGGCATCCATAGGAGTGCTCGCCCTCTCGAGCGATTAAAGGCCCGTTACGAGGGATTCAAAAACCTACCTCGTCCGATCGTAGAACCAGAACAGGAACCTGTCCCGCCCGTATCTACCTCGACTCGTCCCGTGTTGGCCGCTCGGCGCGGTGGGACGACAGCTCTCTCGGCACCCTCACAAACATCCAAATCCACCACCAGCACGCTTCAGGTATACCGCGATAGTGAAGGTCAACACCAAGCCCTCTCTGAACGCGTCATGCCAACAAGTACCCAAGCGAATCCGTGGCCAGACTACGGAACATCCATGTCACAACGGAAAGAAAACGTTCGAGAACCTACTCGCTGGACAGGTGCCATCTTGCCACAGAAAAAGGCGAGGCAGGTTCCGACCCGAAGTAAGATTGAAGTGTATCAAGATGAGGTAAGAAAGTCGGTTGCGGACTGGCGTGTCGTTGTTAAAGTGTTTCGAGGGGGAGATTTATACTTTTGTCTGTTGACTCGCTCGAGTTTGGACCACCAACCTCTTTTTTGTTTGATTGCTTTGAGTAAAGCTCAATCTCTCCTTTTTTTTAGCCATCGGAATCGGATATCCCACCAGTGGGACCTGTAGAAAGAGTGCTGCGACCCAAAGATGTCAAGGCTTCAGGAGGTTGGTAATCTTTCGCGTTCCCAGCAATGCTTTCTTGTTTATTTGTTTTTAATGAGATCCCATGGCAGAGCCATCAACAGCATCCGTGCTCATGGCAATGGACCGCTCACCGCCGAAAAGAGACACAATATCCGCCAGTGAGCGAGAAAAGACCCACCCTACCGCAAAGGATGCAAATACCACACGCGACATCAAGATTGTTGCCATGGTGGATGAAAAAGACCAGGACGGCTGCCCACTCTCATTTGAAGAGCGTCGAGCACGGAAATACGGCAACTTTTCATCACCACAGCCCACCCGTACACGTGAACCCGAGAACCAGGAGAACGTCCCTCTTGCACCCACACAGCCCTCTACCAAAGTCAAGTCCTGTCCGTCACCCACCATCAACACCAAAGCCGCCCTTGCGGACGTTTTTGAAATGTTTAACAAGCCGCTCCAATCTGAAGCCGTTGCACCCGTTGGGGGGCCGTCAGAAGCAGATTTGTATGTGGAAGATGATGAGACGATCAGTGCTCAAGTGTACAAGAGGACACATGCGTCGATTGGTGTTTTTGTGGACCAAGTGGAGGAGCCGAGGGAAACCTCAACACAGAAACAAGAAGATGACAATCCCTTCTTGGAGGATCGGTCTGGGATGACACGGTCACGCGGGATACGTCCCAAAGGCTCAAATGTTGACGAGGTCAAGCACGGCAGAGACGACAGCCGAACCGGACCCCTCAGCGAGGAGCCTTGTCAATCCATCCTTCCACCTTCAGACTTGCGTGGCTCTCGATTGGGCATGCCCTCGGCGCATTCCACACCCTACCACGGCCGCTACACGGACGAAAACCAACCCACCACTGGAGACACACATGACACTCAACCCACGCACCCAGACCGTCCCTACCGCTTCAGCATGCGCGGCCTCGACCTCATGACACCCATCACAGAAGTGAGTCATGAATGCGACCGCACCCTCCTTAGCACCATTGGACGCACGGGTGACGATGGCCACACGGTCATGACGCTCGCGACTTTTGGCGACCGAACCCTCAGTAGCATCAGTTATGACTCTCAGCATACCGACCACGACGACGTTCCCTCTGATTTCGCAGGACAGCCTATTGTGCTTTCACGACAGGACGTGGGGATCGGACGATCCGTTCCAAAGAACCATGATATCGATACACTTGTGGAAGATCTCAGTGGGGTCCGGATTGCCAGCAGTGACGATGAACACGTCTTGTCGGATACTCTACCATCCGTTACAATCCCCCTCCAGGTACCTAACCCCTGCGACCCTTTTGATCCATCCATTACAGCCCTTATCGCCGCTCACCTCCGAACACAAACCTGGCCTCGTCTCCATATCCACGCGACACCGACACCTCTCGCCCACCTCGAAACGAGTAAAACAGAACCAGACCTTTCAGAAATCGGTCCATACACCCTTGTTTCCAAATTGGGACAAGGCGGTTTTGGCCGAGTGTATTTAATCGAACATGACACGGATCCATTATCTGACCAAGAAGACGATGCGAGACTTTATGCCCTTAAACATCATTTTGTACCTACACCCTGGGAATACCTCTCCCTCCTCACCCTCCACACTCGTATCGACCCCACCCTCCGCTCCTCCATCATCCACCCCCACTCTTGCCACGTATTCCCTAACGCGAGTTTCATGGTCCTTGATTATTTCAATGGGACATTATTGGATGTCGTCAATTGTGCTCCTGTGTATGGGTACGGCACTAAAGGCCTTGACGAGATCCTTGCCGCGTTTTTCGGGGTCCGGGTGTTACGACTTGTACTTGGTATCCATTCCGCAGGCTTTATTCACCGTGATATCAAAATGGACAATTTCCTAGTCCGACTTGATGAGTCTCCCGAATGGGATGCTATTTATGGTGGGCCTGGATGGGACGCCAAGGGCATTGTATTGGTGGATTGGGGAACGAGTGTGGATACCCAATTATTTCAACCGCATCAACGATTTAAATGTGATTTAGATTCTCTTGATCCGAGTTTTGAGGCACCTAGTTTGAATCGGGATTGGAAATTTGATGTGGATTGGTATGGTGTTGCTGGTGTCCTCCATGTACTTTTATTTGGACAGTACATGCAAGTCACCACCACGAGTGATTCCATTCAATTAAGGGAACCCATCAAGAGGTATTGGTGTCCCATTTGGAATCGGTTGTTTCATTCCTTGTTGAATTCGGGAGAGGATTGTGCTGGGGAGGTTCAAGAGTGTTGGGATGCTTTGGAGGCGTATCTGGTCAAGAATTCCAAGAGTAGGAATTTGAGGGGGTTGGTTAAGAGGGTTGGGACCGCTCTTGCGGAACGGAAAATATAATAGATTATGTTTTTTTTTTTAAAAAAATTGTTGGTTGGGTGTTATGATGAATGGTCAGACTCGGTTCCGCCGTACAAGGTCATTAAATCCTCTAATGATCCCTGATCATCATCGTCATCATCATCAAATTCATGCTGTTCTTGTTGGTCTTCGCGATCGTCGTGTTCAATGGCGATCTCATCTTCATAAATTTCAACACTAGGTCGTCGATCGTCCTAACCCAAAAAAAAATCCCCCAACAAAATAAGAAAAAAAAAAATCACGTACGATTTCTTGCATTTCCTTACCTCAACTTTTGGCATACTCGCCCCCCGTTTCGGAGCCAACGGAGCCCCCTCCTCACCCTTTCCAATCTCGCCCTTTCCTACGTCACTCTTCTCACCCACATTCTTCCCAACCTCAACCTTATCATCCCTAACAAACTCCTTCCCAAACTCTGGGTTCATAATATCCGTAACAAAAACCCCATCATCCTTCAACGCCGTCAATTTCGCTCGTAATTGCTCTTGTTTCTGTTGTTGTTGTTGTAATAGTCTTTTTACGACGGGGCTTAGGGCTGTTGGGGGTGTCGTGCTGGATTGGCGGGGTGGTGTCGAGGGGTGTGGTGGTGAAGAGGGTGTTGGTTGAGTAGTTTCCCGTACCGGTTTCTGCATAAACCAAACAATAAAAATAAATATGAATATTGAAATTAATAAAGAAATACGATAGGTGTTCCTTTACCATTTGCGAATCATCCATCGTAACATTCCGAGGCGTCTTGGCATTCGAATCCCGTCTCAAAAACCCTTCAATGGAGGATACCCGCGACCCAATCTCATTCCATTCGACATGCAGTAAATCCACTCCGGGAGGTACTTCCCCTCGATAAAATTCCCCATGAATCCGCTGGTACACCACTTGCACAAACGCATTCAAGTGTCCAATAAACTTTTGTCCTACCTACACCATCTTCATTAAAACAAAACCCATACACCATATGATAAGATAGACATTACCTTATGCCACCCAATCCGTCGTAACAACCTCACACACGCCCTCCGTAACTCCCACCTTGCATGAAATAACCCTACCGCAATGGGGAACACACCCCCCTGACTCTGCGGTAACAAACTCAACAGCTCAATCACCATATCATCATCACCACCCGCTAATGCATCCTGTAATCCAAGAAACGTTCGTATCGCAATGGGTTCCATCATGGTTTGCGGGGATCGGAGGGCAGAAAGGAGGTATCGAACATCAAGAGATTTTATCGCTCGCCGGTGTAAATAGACTTGAAAATCCTATCAAAAACATGCATGAACAAATTGGATATCATTACCATGTAACAAAAACTATTTACAACACACCTGCTGGCAATTTCGATAACTCTTTGATTGCCTCCATCCTTCAATCCGATTCCCCAACATGAACGTCTCCCGCTTTCGAAGTAGCGAGTCATTGAAAAAGGGGCCAAACCCCAATTCAGCATGCTCAACATGGTGTCCCAATACAGCAATACTTGACGTGCCAAATGTGTCAATTTCGTACGCGGCACACACGTCCACCGTCCGTCGGATATAGTCATGAAAACGCTGTCGAACGTGGAGTTCTCCTGTATGTGAAAGAACCGCCAATAACGCCTATCCAACAACAAAAATAAGCAAAAGGTCCAAAACAACCTTTCAAACCCACTACATTACCTCTTGAATAAACTCATTATCCCCTTCCCAAGACCCAGCACGCATCCAATCCCTGTCCTTCTCCCTCTCCTTCCCAGTAGAATCCCGCAACCCATTCGACGCACTACCCGTCAAAAGCGGACTAACAGTAATCTTTCCCGTATTGATATTGCACAACACGTCCCACCACGCTGGCTGCTCTTCAAAAACAGGGTTCGTCACACCAGCAATATATCCAGGCCTAATTTACACAAAAATGGGGTTAAAACAAAAACTCTTCAAAAACGTTACGGAAAAAGATTCAAAACTTACACGGCTAAAAGGTAGTCTAGACCAGCTAGACTCACATACGGAAAACACCGCTCCGCAAACCCCCTCAAAATACTCCCACCCCCACCCGCAAGCGCACACGCCGCAAGCACATAATGAGCCACCTCCCCACTCGGTCGCTTATCCCCCAAAAACAAGACCCGCTTCTCACTCAAGAGTGCGTTCATGAGTACAATGATCGGATGTGTCTGGGGACCGCTGTCGAGATGGGGATGCCAGTGGAATGGAGCGCCGTTTTTCCATTGAAGGGAGGGTGGAGGTGTGTCTTTTGAGGGGCCGGGTGGGGGGTTGATGGCAGATGCTTGCCCAAACGAACTGAGAAACTTTGAGACGCTAAACTGTGGCCCAAAGTTTAGATATAAAACCAAATGCAAAAATCTAGGGGCTTCTTACATCGCCAATTTCTTCTGAATACGCCGTGAGTGGTATTCGTATTGGAACCTATGTTTACGAAAAAAACCCATTTAGAATCGTTTCTAAATATATCATAAACCGTTTTACCATACCTTAATTCCACCATATGCGACTTTGGTCTCAAAGTAATGGCGGTCCTTATTACTCGGTTTTGTCTGTGTCCCAGCTCTAACAAGAACAGGCTGCCCATCCTGCGGTACCGCACTCTCCCTCCCCTGTCGCGCAGACGCAAAACTGGCCGTCGTATCCACACTACCACTTCGAATTAATCTATCCACTCCAGGCGAGTTTGGCATACCATCTACCGCATCCTGAAACTTTTCCTCAAATAAACTTCGGTCCTCTGAAGCACGTAGAATCTTTTTTTCAAGAGTCGATAATCGGGGCATGAGTGACACGTCCATTGCGTTTATCGATTTGTACAGTTCGGTCACGACGTCGATAGAGGGAGTTGTGAAATATTTGTCCAATGCTAAAAGTAGTAGTGGCTATCGTCCCCAGAGGTATTTGCATTTCAATATTCAAAAAGTATCACCACGAAACATGACCGTATTACACACCTTGAACGCATGCACCGACTAACACAAGACATGAGACAAAAGACATGAGAGTTTGACTATCGGCTGAAAATGCGCAACTCTTAAAGGAGGAAACATACATTGTGTCGTGACGCAATCGCCATGGCTTTGACTCTCGCACCACGTCTCACACCACTGATATGCTTGGTCCGCACTAAATTAAGGACATATAATAGAGGTTTCCGGTTTTGTTCCTGTGGAGGCGGCGGAGGGAGCTCTACCACACACGGTATGAGCCATGATATATAAACAAAAATATTTAAACACATGTCTCACATACCTGTCGTGTTTTCTACCGCACCATCCAACACCCGATCAATGGCATCGAGAAAATAAATCTCATCATCTTCCGAACAAAACCGTATAGCTAAATTTTGACCATTATGAGTCTCAGATGATCATATAAGGTTCTGAATAGCGACATGTGTGCACAAAAACACATACCCCACGTTTGACCCCGCACAAACAAATATGAGCACAACGGTCCATTTCGACGATACTCCACTTCTGAAAGGTTACTATTCTCAAATGAATTTCGGTACAGAGATCCAATCAGCATTTTTCGCTCAACTGTCATACTCGCATAGCGCTACTCGCAATAGAGCGTACGCGCACCTCAATAAGAAACGTACAATTCTGTTACGACTTGCGTGCATCGGTCATCCCAAATCGTACATTTTTCAGCTAGTTGTAGTTGGATGGTAGGTTCCGGCCCTATTGTGCTCCATCCTAACAACAACATGATAAGACTCGGGACATTGCGAGCATCGTACTTGGGAGATCATACCGCGATTTGCATCGTATTGGTACGCAGAAGCAGGTAAAAGGGAATGCCGTCTTGAGAAATGTCCAAAAAAAATGACATATCAGTTCCCAACATACGGATGCTTCAAAACTCTATAACCTCTTTTGCATACATGTGATCTGGTATGTTAGACGTCAACGTCTCTGACCCGCTCTCCTGTATACCCACACATGATTAATACATTCATATTCCGCATATTGTGTCCTCACATATATCCCCACCTGACCCATAATAGGTTGATTCAAGAAGAACATTGTCCAGTCCTCTTCCCGGAGGTGCGCCCCATCCGGCAGCATAAGGTCTGCCAACATGCTACAAATTAATGAATATTACGACTTGCCCTTATAGTTCTGTTCAGGGTGTACAGCTTACTGAACATCTGTCCCCGTTTCCAGAGGATATTGGTAGGACAGCGACGACCCCTTGTCGATATCAAACTCGGCAACGAGGACGTGATCAACATGTGCAAAGAGGGATGAAACGTCCATTGTTGTCCGTGAAGTGTCTCAATGGCTATTTTACAGACTTTTGGAAACGAACGGGATGGTAGAGGATATCAGACACGGTATAAATGGCCCTTGAAATACAAGAATCTCTGCCATTTGTTTTGGAACACTAAAGCGACCGCCCAGCTGAGTGTTGGGTATCGCGCATGTTGGGTCATCAAATCATGGGCTGTTACTAGGATCGGTCGCTAAGAGCATCTTTCATAAATATAACTTCGGCTCGACGATACACAACGGTTTTATCTGATTTGCAAGCACAAGAATGGGCGTATTTGGCAAGTGACATTTCATACCATGTGAAATCATTGCAATGGAAAACACTTTCAGCACCCCGCAAAAAATATAATTTCTGTTCGGTGGGGTGAGCGCAAACGGGGTCGTCATTAAAAACCAGCCCCCCCTTCGTAGAAGCCTCGCTCTACGTCTTATGAACTGGTTCCTATAAGCCTTGCTATACGTGTTATGAACTGGCGGGGAAATTGGACATTTGTTACCCGACTCAATATTGTGTCTTGCGACTTCATTTCCAATATTTCTTGCCAGCGGTCCTCCATTACTATGAAAGTTAACATTTTCAAGCGTCGCAAATCGCAAAACACCGCTCCGCAAATTCCCTCAGAATACTCCCATCCTGCTCCGCCTCCAGTTCCTCCTCCGTCGCCCCCACTTCCTCCCATGAATGCCAACAATAGCACCATTATTGATTGTTTACAAGCACCGACGTGGTCCACGCCGGCAGCAACCAAGGCTTTGCAGCGCGAGGTTTGTTATTTCATGCTTTCATGACGTTCACTGACAAAAGAGGATCCGTACGCACTTAACCATCTTTTCTTTGAAGCTACGTCGCATTCACAAAACTCAATGTGAGACACCTGAAGCCGAGCGTGGCTGGAGTGTTGACATGGACGCACTGACGAACCTTTACCAGTAAAGTATATGAGGACTAGGCCTGAAACCCCAAAGCCCGTTGCAAAACTCACATTCTGAGATCCCATTTTTTACAAAAGATGGAAGGCACTATTATTCCATTTTGATGAGAGTTTGCCTCTCCAGCAGGACTTGAAGGTTAGTGATCCAAACCAATTTCCGCACCATCAGAAATAATCACAGAACGAATTTTCCTTTGAATATACAAAGGCAAAGAAAGTTACGGAAGGAATTGTTTTGGATGTCAGGTTTGGCCCTGATTATCCTCAGTCGCCGTAAGTTTTCAGCTACCTTAACCAGTAACATTCCCCGATGAGTTACTAAAAGCTCTTATAGACCTTACATTAGAGTCGTAAAACCGAGGTTGTTACAGGTAGGGTTGCGCAAACAAGAATGCAAATTCCTTTCTCACCAGACCTGAGATTCATGTATTCTAGTTTGCGAATGGAGGCGGAGGCCATGTTACCGGTATCATACTAAAAAGTTTTTCCTCGCATGTCATTTTCATTCCTAATTCCTTTAGCCGGAGGTTCCATCTGCATGGAACTCCTAACAACCACAGGCTGGAACCCCAAAATGACAATGGAGAGTGTGCTTTTGTCAGTCAAACTGGCCATCTCCTCTGTGGATCCACAACCAGCGCGATTGGATTCTGGAACACGGTGGAAGAAAGGATATTCAGCAGGAGAGGCCATGCAATCCTACGTCCGCGTAGCAAATCAACATGGTTGGGGAGTCCCCGGGACGTGGTATGGGTTGTTCAACAGTTGAAAAAATGATGGGTCGAATTTGGGATCTTGCGTATTGCCAACAAAGGCATTAATAGCAAAACATCAACTGGAATAAGAATATCTTGCAGGTCATTTGAATAGCAGTACGTCCTAGAACTGGGGCCATTTTTCGAGGTCTTTGAGGTTTACTTAGTCACCAAATGGTTGATCAGCATTAGTTATGTCAGGGGCACCTGCAATGCGATTCTCCGCAAGGTGCAAGAGGAGCAAGGGCGTGTAACCTTTGCTGACCATTTTATTCAGGTTGCGAATGCGCGGAATCTCTAAACAGTCAATGGTGGGGCAATTCATAAATCACAAGTTTAGGAAGAGTCACAACGGGAAACGGGATTGTGAGTCCATACCATTCCCAGATATTATATCTAAGCAGTAGTCGCAATCACGGATTGTAAAGATTTATTTGTATTGTAGAAATTTGAGTTGTTTTCATCATAATTAGACCTGTTCTTTGTGGTAAAAGTAGTCTCCACGTATTGAACACACATGGGTGTTTGGTAGAGGAAAAGGGGGCAGACTAATACCAGCCAAATTCAATCATATCGCCATTTGTGCGATCCAAAAGGAACATGACCCAAAAAACACTGTAGATTTTATGACTAGTGTGGCATTTGCGGTCCGGGGTTCTTTGTAGAGAAATAGAGGCTTTATTTCACTCACCCGCCAGGTTTGATAGGCAAAACGGGGCACCTCAAGCATGGCTTCTTGTTTGCAGGGTGTGCAGTCTCTCAATACTGTCACTGTTTCGGATAGCCACAATGCTAGATGAAATTCCTACAGCAACTCCAAAATCAGTTAGTAAATCTTCAAGATTGTTTGTTCCTGGGGCGCTACTTTGAACGATAGGCGTGGAAGAACCTTCCGCTACTTGTTTGCGGCGTTGCTGAGTGTAAAAGACGCGTTGGAATTACGAACATTGAACAGCCAAATAGTTAGAAGCAAGCGCTTTATTATGATGTGCGTGCCACCTCTCTATTACGCTCGGAAATGGCACCCGTAGGACTTGTGTGCAGTATAAAACATGGACAGGTTGTCCACCCCCCCTCCTGAAATACCCACCTCAAGATTATCTTTGAACTCGCCAAAATGGTCCGAATTGCTAACAACGTCGTCGCTACCCAGCTTCGCGGCCAGGCTCAGGATGCTGCAGCTAACAACGGCGTCAAGAATGCACATGTACAGAAGCAGAATTTGCCCCAGTTGCCCAATGAACATGCGAGGCAACAGAACCAGCAACCTCGTCCACAGGTAAAATCAAAGTCATCCTGAACTGGATAATGTAATTAACTGTAGTGGTGTATGCAGAGTGCTGGCCAAAGGAATAATGCGCCGAGGCCCAACTCCCAATCGCATGTGACAGGAAACAACAATGCTCAAGTCATTACCACCGCCCAGAAAGAGCGGGTTGAAAACCAGCGCCAACAGCGTGTCCGCCGTCCCGTGAGCGCGGGAGCCAATGCCCAGCACACTCAGCGCAAACGCCCACGATCTTCTTCATTCGACGTTAACCGAGACGAAGTCCGTAACGACGACCAGGAGGTCCATGGCAAGGACTTTGATCTCCACGCAGAGCGCATCAGTAGCGCGAACCAAAAGCGTCAGGACAGAAAGCAGCAGCGTCGTGATAGACAGCAAATAAAGCAAGCCGGAGATGTCAAAGATCATAGGCGTGAGGTGAAGGGAACTAGAGGAGGCCTTCGCGGACGCTAAGGAATATTGCGACTACCATAAAAAGGCCGTACTCGACACCGCCGATAAACAACACCAAAAATTAGGAGACCATGAGATGGAAATACGTCCTAGTGGACACCAACGAGTATTGCCTCTACCCATATAAAAAAACGCTATAGAGATGATATCATTGCTAAATATCTACCAGTAAAAATGCTTGTTTAATACCAATAAAGTGTCCTATCCCGTATGGATTTTTTGTGGTTCCATTTCGTCGGACTTGATTATGGCATCATACATTGCCATAATCACATGACCTGTTGAAAGGGGACATCCCTGGCAGTTCTTTTGACAAGCGCCAGCAACTGTAGTTTCCATTCTTTTCCAGAATCACTCCAAGATCGCGGTCGGTCACTATCTGTCATCCTCAAGAACGTCTAGCAAGAGCACAACAAGGGCCGTTGAACCGCAATGCCGAACGCAATCTGCCAAGCAAGGCTGGCGGAGGAACGCAAACAATGGAGAAAAGATCACCGTGAGTGTCACATTTATGCTCGGACGATATATTCTACCTCTTTGCAGGACGCACCGTCCATCGATCAACTCTAAATATGTCATTCCTTTCTTTAGCGTTTGGATTTTGGGCGCGCCCTGAAAAGAATGCCGATAATACGTTGAATTTGAACAAGTGGTCCGTGGGAATTCCAGGTAAGGTCTAGTGACAATAAGCAGGTTCTGGCTGGAAGGGTGCTAGGCGAGCTACATGGAGAGGGATTCCCTGATATCTGTATATCTGCAGTTCTTAAATCTGATACCGTATCTTGTTGCAGGGAAACCTGAGACACCATGGGCTGGAGGGACGTACCCACTCACAATGACATTCCCCGATGATTACCCCCAGAAACCCCCCAAGCTTCAGTTTCCTCCAAAGTTTTTCCATCCCAACATTTACCCTTCTGGCACAGTATGTCTTTCGATTTTGGATGAAGAAAAGGACTGGAAGCCTTCGATTACAATAAAACAAATCTTGCTTGGCGTGCAAGACTTGCTTGATGATCCAAACCTGGAGAGCCCAGCCCAACAGGACGCATATGTGATGTTGAAAAGGGACAAATCTGCGTATGTCAAGAGGGTTAGGGCGCAGGCGCGGGAGTACGCTTCTAGGGAGTAACTTGGCAGGTTAGGTTAGGGTTAGGCACACTTTAAAGGCGGAGCTATCAGCTACAACGTTGAGAGTAGAGCGGAGGCAAAAATGCAAACGATAATGTAAATATGTTTAGTGCAGTGCGCTGGATTGACAATGAGAAACCCCCACTATCGTATCAATCCCGCTTCTGATTTTCGAAGCAAACTAGGGAATGTACTCTATTGTTATTGAATAACAGGGGGTTTTTTATAAGTATCCTTTGAGAATCGCTCCATGTATCACCACTTCCATTTTTACACATATCCAAGACAGTGTGAGAAAAAGAACGGTAAATCAGCGCACAACAATAGACGGCAAAAGAGCGAACTTCCAACGAACGAACTGAACCACATTGGTAATATCAAAGTTATAAGTGAAGTAGTTGATGCTGGCGGCCTACGATGATGCAGGCACGGATTCAACACTTATTTCTGGGTACCACTTCTTGCCAACCGTGGGGCGCGATCTACACAACCAGCATAAGCAAAAAACCATACAGGGAAGAGTTCAACAAATACTCACTTGATGCGACGATACAAATCTGCATCTCCTACAGTTTCTAACTTTGATGCTTCCTTCGACGTAGATTCAGTTGCTATATTCCAAATAGTAAGATCAGGATGAACAATATGCCCGAAACATACCGACTCACCTTTGCCGGTTCCTTTGAAAGCCCTAATGCCCGCCACGACCTTTCTAACGGCTTCAAATCCGCGCTTCCTCCTTTCTCTTCTCTGATCACGAACCCGTTTTGCTTCCTCGTTCATGTTCTCGGCCCCTTCAATACCCTTCAAAATATCGTCATACGGCAAGTTTGGTCGAAGCTGCATCGCGTATCGGATTGTCAACGCGTCGGGGGCGTCGGGTGGAGGCTGTAGTACCCGATGAGGTAAAGAAAGGACCGCATGATGGGTCGCAAAGGATAGAGCCGTGCCGGTTTGGACAAGAAGGGTGGACGGAAGCGGGGGAAGAGTCAGGGTTTGGCGTTTTTCCGAGAGCATCTGATACATGTCATGAGATCATCTCGCATTCTACGGGAATTACTTGACGGTTGGTATACTCAGCGTACCTCGACACCTGGCACATCATTTGCAAACATAAGGAACGAGAGCCACGCATCGCGGTATGGGGCTTCACCGTATTGCTTCGGATCTTCACCGCGGAAGTACCTGGAAAACTTTGTTTCAGAAGGTTAATCAACACGTTCTGCAAGTCACTCTCAATTTCATCCTGAGCTTCAACAATACCTTAATCCTTCCACCCAGCTTCGCTTCCTCATCAAAGTACCCATCAAAAGCTCCGGTTGGCACTCCAAGGGCTTCAAGAATCAATTCGTTGTACATAAATGCCAAGTCTGTCAAAAACTTGTTATATCCTTTGAGCATTCCCTTGAAGTTTGGAAGAGCGGCCTCCGAAGGATACTGATTGGGCGCGTAGCGAAGACGAGCATATAAGGGCGCGTTTGACGAAGCCTGTTTACCTAGACAGGAGGAGTCAGCATCATCAGATACCAAAGAGTCCACCAAGCTAACACACCATCCAAGTCAGGCCCAAACTCCCATGTCTCTCTACACTCTCCGTCAACGATCCCGCACCAACCAAGGAAGCCAGAACTATGATTTACGGAACATTTTCCTTTTTCGTCATCACCGATGTTAAAAAGTTCCTCTGCGGACTTGGCCATCTGGTCCGTGAGCTCTTCCGGGATGCCTGTATTCGTAAGGTAAAAGCTACCGTGATAGAGAATGGCCATTCGCAGCCAATACAGGAACTCGGGCTTCGTTGCGGGAGAGAGTGACTTTGAGTGATCCAGGAGCAGAAGGGGAATAGGAGGAAGCGACGAATTGGGCTCCTCCGGGGGCGGGACTGAAGGAGGGGGTATCGTGTAGGGACTAGGCACATCAGTAGGGGAAATAGACGCCGACATTTTTAGTTTGATGAGCTTTGCTTGAGCGTGTACAAAACTGTTGCGTGGATAGGAGCGCCGACCAAACCGCACGTCGACGCACGCGACCACGTAATACAATACACATGCATGAGAGCCAAAAACTTATTGTATACCATCGTGATGCCTCCTCCGAGATTCGAACACGGGACCTTCTGCTTACTAGGCAGACGCTCTAACCAACTGAGCCAAGGAGGCCATACTTCCCTCAACAGAACTATACAATAAGTGGATAAGATAGATGGAATCCGGCTGCAGTTGTCGGCTGGAATGGAAGGAACCAAACGGATGAGAACGAGTCTGCTTTCGATATTCTCCTCCAGCGAAAGTCTGAAGCTCATCTCGACGTCTTAGGTTTGTAAGATGAGGATAGCTGTGGAAGGCTGCTGCCATGGGGAACTTGATCGTATATATGCATCGATCAAGCATTTACAGCGGGTGGAGAACATAACCGTCGACCTCTTGTTGATCTGTGGTGACTTCCAGGTGCGTAGGACCTCCCACCTGTTGCGGGTTGGGCAGCATTTGGGAGACTTTTAGACGGCTGAAGGCCTGCCTTTGTGGCAACTTTCGTTGCTATTACCATAGTCAATTCGAAATTCCGCCGATCTTGGTGTGCTGGCTTGTCCTGACAAATATCGGGCGGTGGGAACATTCTATCAATATTATACTGGTGAAAAGAAAGCGCCTGTTCCCACCATTTTCATTGGAGGCAACCATGAAGCCTCAAGTTATTTATGGGAGCTGTAAGTGAGCGTGCAGCGTCATGTATCCATCCTGGTTACGGTTCTGGGCAGCATCGTTAACTCGGAGGAGGAGGGCTTTGGTACTCCTGCCACTCCTGATACTGACATGCTTTCCTGTTGGTACAGGTTCCATGGCGGATGGGTGGCTCCAAACATTTACTTTCTTGGCTTTGCCGGGGTGATCAACTTTGGCGGACTTCGCATATCAGGATTGTCTGGAATCTATAAAAAACATGATTACGATGCTGGTTAGATATCGAGTCTGCATGACTGACATGCGCCCATGATTCTTGACTGACGTCGTTCAATGTATTAGGATACTATGAAACCCAACCTTTTAATGACGCACATTCACGGAGCGTCTATCATGTTCGCAAGTTCAATGTATATCGCCTAGCTCAGGTATTTGGGATACTAGCCTGATTATGAAGAGTCTCGGGCCATTAATACCCTTTTTCTAGATATCAAAGCCAATTGATATAATGCTTTCACATGACTGGCCGCGAGGAATTGCGTTTCACGGAAACACAAGGGCTCTTCTTCAAATGAAGCCATTTCTCGGTGGCGAGGTAAATATACCTTTCACATTATGCTTGAGTACGGGAATGTGAATGGCCAATGTATGTTGCAGATAAATACAAATACCCTCGGAAGCTATCCCAACGAGTTCCTGTTGAAGAGGTTGCGCCCTTCGTACTGGTTTGCCGCGCATCTTCATGTCAAGTTTGCTGCCATATATCGACATGATGGTGGAGACGCTCCTCAAGCGCCAAGACCTGAGGAGTCATTGACAACGACTGCCATGGAAGATGTGGAAAATCCCGACGAGATCGACATTGCTAGCGATGTTGAAGATGACCCTCAAATGGCGGATGTGAAGGCGGCAGCAGAAGAACCAGCACCACTTGACGAGGCCAACGAAACCGAGAAAATTATTGAACCCCCGACGAATTTGGCTCATAATGAAGCAACAATACCCGACGTGGTCCCTTCAAATATCGTGGATTCGCCCACCCGGGAGACCGAGCCAGCTCAAAATCATTCCGACCCATCACATGCCCCCAGCGTCCCTGAGGACCCGTCCGGCTTTTATCCTCAAGAAAAGCCATCAACGGATATTAAGCAGCATGCAAGTTATACCAAGTTTCTGGCACTGGATAAATGCTTGCCTGGCCACGATTTTCTTCAGGTTGGTGGATGCACTTGCAAGGAGGGCTGGACTACATATACTCATATCTACTAGGTTGTCGACATCCCAGAAGCTAATGGGCCGATGGAGTTCACTTACGATGAAGAGTGGCTCGCAATCGTCCGTGCGACTCACGATCTGTTTAGTTTGTCGTCTGAACAAAAGAAAGTACCTGAGGATACCGAGATTGCCCGGTACGTGACAATATGAAAAGCGAGGTCGAAGGTAGTTCGGAGGCTTTTCTGACACATTTATGATCATACACAGGCGAATAGCGGAAGAGTTGGAGTGGGTGCACGAACACGTTACCGGAAAGGATGATGGTTTGCGGATCCCACAAAACTTTACCATGACCGCACCAGCGTATATTCCCAGTCAGCAAAGTTCTCGGAAAAAGACCAAGCCAGGTTTGATGGCTGTTTTGTTTAAACCTCTGATTGCGTTCGGGCGACTCACATTCCTTCTCTATTAGCACCCCCTTACCTCAACCCTCAAACAGTCCGCTTCTGCGAACTATTGAACCTGCCGAATATGATTAACGCCGATGGTCTTCCACCCGGGGCCTCACAGGCCAGTGGCCCTACTGGAGACGAGGTCGCTGAGGTCTTGGAAGCTACAGGGGATTCATCGTTGACGCATGACTCGCTTGATGACGACGTAAGCCAGCAGCCAGAGTCGCTCCCCCATTTAGAAGAGCATGAAGACCGGGATGTGGACGGGGACGAAGAGGAAAATGATGACACTGAGATAGGTGCCGATTACATTTCACTTGAAGCAACCAACGGCATGACTGGTGTGGATTCACCTAAGACATATGAGGATGATGAACTGACCACTGAGACTTCAGCCGAACACCAGACTGTAGTGTCGATTATACGTGAGGAGCTGGATACCATCTCTATAGAACGCATTAATGAGGAATCTTAAGCTTGCAGTCTTAGCTCTCCCGTTTCAATATAGTAATTGCGTTAAAGAAAATACATCTGTAGTGTAAGGCCTGGCCTGCCCACGGTTAGCAGCAGTTGGCCCATCAGGGGCCTCATGTGGGGATATCAGGCAATTAAAACTCGTAAAGCCTGCTTTAATCTTACCCTTAAAGCAGCCAGCAGGATAATTCTCACACGGCCGTCGGACATTCCACAGCTTATTTGGTGCATAAGCGGACTTGTAAACTCTGCGTTGTGCAAACTTGGATCATCAGATATCACTGCTTGACGCTTTCACCTCAGTTCTCCCGGGAAATTATGTCGGACAAGCTGGGTGGCAAAACACAACTAGGCCCCAGCACACCAGAGTTCGGTGCACTAGAATATGAACTCCAGCTAGCTCTTGGCGCAAGCACGGCCCGCATAGTTGCAGCTCATTCTCTGTCAAATCCGCATTTAAACGTGCAATTCGAAAAACGATGCAAGGTGAGATTCCATATCTGATATTCTGGGTACTGGCTAGTAAGCTGAACTCATAACGATGCGTATCCGGATGAACGACTGGCTGTAGGACATGCTCGTTCTATCCTCGTGGTTGGACGCCTCACAATTGGCAGGTGTGAACACGGAGGACGATGTCATTCGCCGAGGATTCCAATTCCCCCCTGCACAGCAAGGCATGAAGTTTTCAGTTGGCTCGCTGGCTGGTAAAGGTGTGTTGAAAGGTAACAACGGATTCTGGAATGGCAGCGGAGCTCATTGGAATTCAACTGAAATGACGACGTGACGCTCCCATGCACAGATCGAAAAGGTGAAGGCAGGACCCTGCGCAAGGCATTGTTGTGCCGAGTGGGTGTCGGGCGAGCTTATGTGGCGGATGAAGCAACGGCTGAAGCCAGCCCCATTCCTAATGGTTATGATAGTTTCTACTTGAGAGGTACGGCAAATCTCATTACGTAACGTCGGAGCTGCTCTGAATCAACGAAAAGCAGAACAGTCTGCCCCACGGGATGGGAAAAAATCGCTGGACGAATACCATCACGAATACTACATAAAAGATACCGCACAGGTATTTATAAGACAATCTTTGCATAACAAGGGAACTTTCATCAGTCTCATGCGTCATGTCGATCTAGGTCGTACCCGTGTATCTAGTCCACTACGACTTTGATTTCAACAAGGAAAGACAGTCGCGAGAGGTGATTAAACTTGAAGCATGAGTATCTATGTTTATAACAAAGTTTCTCATTTCAATTATTGGATTGCACCAGAAAGCAAAATGTGACAACTGTGAAGAAGAACATGCCACTGTTTTCTGTAACGCCGATGCCGCAAACCTTTGCAACAAATGTGATTCACAACTCCACGTTTCTAAGCTAGCCAGTCGCCATGTTCGCACACCGATCGGAAAGGTACGAGTTCGTGATTGAGCTAAGAATTGGCACCGACTTGCTTATTCTGATTATAGATATCTGATATACTTAGGGATCAGACGTCTTCGGTCATTGCCGTCACCATCCCGAGAAGCTCATTGAATTCTTTTGTTCTCAATGCCATATCCCTGTCTGTGTTTTTTGCAAGATGGTAGGAAACCACGCGAATGGCGAAGCAGCCAAGCATCAGCTTGTTAGCGTGGCAGAAGCGTACACAACTGTTTTACAGGAAGCACAGACGGTACGAAGCTTCTCAAGCGCTTTTGCAGGAGGAATTCTGTGTGACTGAGATCCAAACTTTAGCATGACCCTATTCTCCAAACCCGCCGCACGGAAATCAATAACCAAATAGCTGCAGTCAACTCGCGAGCTAAAGCAGTTGAAAAAATGGGATCACAGATCGAAGCCCAAATCGAAGAGATGTACAAACGAGCGATGAAGGACCTGAAGAACATCGTCCAAAAGAAGGTATCTCTTCTCCGTGCGCTTCTTCTTGTGTGAATCGTCAGGTGTCGTGACCTTCCAAACTCTCGGTGCAGCTTATCGTACTCCTCGGCGATGAACTAGAGCTCGCCCGGCAATTAGCCGAAATAGACCGACTGGAAGATTTCCTGAAATATCAACAAGAAGGCGACGCAACCACCTTCTTGTTCAACTGGTCGAAACACCAGCAATGCCGTGCCAATCTGCATGATTTTAGATTTTTTCGGAATGAGATCGACGTTCAGCTGGATGCAAAGGTTGGGACGCTATATCCCTGTTGGTTCCAAACGTGCATGGCGGCTTATGAATATTATGTTAGGTCACAGGAAATATCAGTGTAATCATTGATCATGACCGACCGGCTGTAACTGGGGGGGATGGACCACATGGAGGCAAGAAACATGGCAAAGGAGCGAGCACTATAGGACCTGCAGGCGGTTTGGTATGTGCCGACATCACTTTGGAAATGTGCAACCAAAGCATTAATGTTCAGGAAATCAGGCGGGTAGTTTTGGAATGGGAATGCCCCGCAGTAAATTGCAAGAACGTCGGGTACACAGAAGGATATCGGTGAGGAGATACTGTCCCGTTGCAGTTGCTTGAAGCCACTAATCTTTGCCGCACGATTTTGCGTTCGTAGGACTTCTTTGCAGAAACTCTGGGAAGTTTTGATCAGATAAGCACATCTCGGGTTGAGGACGATGCCGATCGTGAGTGCTTGCGCATGCGACAAGAATTTCCCGTTAGCTCATACTAAAGTTCTGTTTCAATTCATAGGATTTTCTCAGATGTCCACGGCAGCTGAAACCTTTTGATTAGATGTATATTATAGAGACAGCATCCGTAAGGGTATAGAAATGCATCGATGTCAACCCATTATGACCTTCCCCTTTTTCATCCGCTTGCTTTGGGCTTTCTTCGCCTGCTTCTTACGCTCTCGCTCTTCATATTTTCTTTGCGCCTCGGGACTAAGTTTCGCTGCTTGCTCGTCTCTCTCCTTCTTCTCCTGAATTTTCTTCTGCGCTAGCGTCTGTAGTCAAGGATGTAGTTGTAAGGCCATGTCGTCCAAAAAAGCTTAGCAACAGAACCCACCATTTTCCGCTCGTCCTCTTGCGATCTGAGGATAACTTGCTCGGCAGCTTGGCGCAGTCTTACCAACTTCGCCTTGGCCTCAGCAGTGACACTTCCAAATTGACCAATGTAATCCACCATGTCGATAAGCAATTCAGTTACACTCGTGATAGCATCCCGATGCTTAGCATTCAGGTTTGCCAGATTGGGTAGACGTAGAACAAACGTCAAAGTCTTTGGCGCCTCGCGCAACTCTTCCGGTCTGACAAGTGAACCACGGTTACGATCCTCCTCATATGAAAGAAGACAGAACATCAACCCTCACTTAGTTGGCTTCGTTTTGGGCAAGTCGGTCAAAATAATCTGCTCAAGCATTGGCGGCTGCAATTGTTCCCCTTTCCCATTCTGATCTAGCCCAAGCGAACCCCATAGCTTTTCTCGTATGCGCTCCTCGTCCCAGAGATTAGTAACAAACTCGCCAGTGTCAGCCATAATAGTATATTCTTTCGGGGCCGGTGGCTGACGAATTCCAACATCACGGCGCTTGGAAAACTCGCTCTAGAATGTACGCGCCATAAGTCATGAACATCAGCTGCTCTGTTGTGCCTCTACTCGGAACACACCAAATCCCATCGTTCCTTGATGACAGAGTTCGCTAGATTCTTGTGAAGGATGGCAAACACTGTTGGATCTGACTCTTTTTCATTCAAAGTAACAGTAAAGGTCTACGGAAGGAATTTTCATTAAGGCACTGTAAATATCAGAACGCAAGAACGAGATCCCCCTTTCCAGACCCCGCAACGAGTAGCGAACTGCTCACCATTTTGTCATACGCCTGTTGAGGTTGCAGGTAATCCAGAATCAACTGCAGAATATCGTACCTGCCTGCAAGCTATAGTATATGGAATCAGTTATAGCCGAGAGCCTATCCAATGATAGGTCACGCAGGCACTGACATGAAGACTGCCGTACACATGTTTTACATGTGCTCTTCCAGTGGCATAGAAAATGTAGTCGCGAGGACCATCACGAATGAGCTTGTGACCTCCTTCGTCTCCAACTTGCGCAAAGTTTCTTTCCCAGATGGGCAGTGTTATTCTCATCCTACGTATACGTTAGCCACATCTCACTTATTGAAAGTTGCGAGACATGTTCGACATAAGGACATTACCAATTGCGCGCAATCTGGTTATTTCTTCTTCTGCCATATAAGTATGATATAACATAAAGAACAAGTCCGCCAAGAATGAGGGCTTCGACCTGAAGATGTCGTCAGCCCAAACGCAATACCGAAGCGAACGGTATCGATATCACGAAAAACCCACCTGAAAATCCCAGAAGTTGAGCTGACTCCACTGAATGGACTTTTTCCCATCGGATTTCGGCGTTTCGTTTCCAAGAACAGTCTGATAGCGACCAGTTCCGGGAGTTGGTCGCGACTCTACCACGTCCTCGTCGTCCTCAAACTCATCCTCGGCGTCAGCGCGAACCGATATTATGGCCAAGCAAATAAGTAACAGGACCAAGAAATAGCGCACAGCCCGCATGGTTCAAGCCAGTATACGACCAAACGAAAAGGACGCAGGGTTACGCTTGCCCAGATCGAGTGATGATCACTGAACGATGTTGGGGTGGTAAACTAGGTTTTGCTGGTAAGTTGCTTGTTGCCATAGAATTTGCTGTTACACAGCCTTATCGCGCTTTCTCCGCTCCGCCCGCTCCGTTTGCTGTTTGCTCGCTGGTATTCTGGCCGGCCCTCCACTTCGACACCAACAAGACCTCATCTCTGGAGACTTGCAGGACACTAAGCTTCAAACATGGCATGGTACTATTATATTGGCACTATGCTCGGCGGGTTGGTATATTTTTGTTATAAGGGCAAATTTCTTACTTGTGCTAACGACGATATTGATCTATAGAAATGTCATGCGCCCTGGAAAAACTGGCTTCGATCAGGACGCTCTTGTTAGTTACGCCTTTCACGGAATCATGTTCTGGGCTCTCTTCATGTATCTGGGTTACATTGAGCAATCCGTGGAATCACAGACCCAATTGGTGACTGGGTTCTTGACGGTCATTTTTGCCTGGTTCTTGTTATCATATGCATTCGGATTATGGCAATTAAGAAAGGGGCAGACGAAGATGGATCCAGAGCCGACAACTCGGTAAGTTATCATTATTGAAGATCGTAAGGCAATGATGCTGAAGGATGCGGATTCCTTGCAGGGCCTGGACTGGTGGACCTCATCTAACCCCCGGCCAACGAGGCCTTCGGGAGGGTCTCAGTCACCTAATGGGATTCACGACCGCATGGGGTAACGCAGACTTGAAGCTAATTGCAGGCTTCCTTGTGGCATTCGTTGCGGTGACCTTTGGGTTTTGGAAGATAGAGCAAGAGAAGGAACGGGAAATGGAGGAAATCATCAAACAGGCTCAGACACAGCCAGCTGAAGAGAGCACGCCAGACAGAGGGGACACAAAGGGTCCCCAGAGCAAGAAGGGGAAGAAAGAATAAGCGTACTTAGAATCCATAGAGCGCAGATAGTCTTCCTAGTGTATTGGGCAGGTCCCATTCCGTAACAATACGATTCTTTGATATTTATAGTCTTTAGGCAGCTATGACTGCCTAGTACCAAGTCTTTGTGCCAATGCAAAAAAGCCATACTCGTACTGAACTTTGATTTGTTGATGTCATTACTGCAGATCTTCTACATTCCCATTATTAACAAAATGTTCAGCGTTCATAATCCTTTGGTTTATCAGACATTGCACCACCCACTGAATTCAATAGAACATAGGAAGATATCAGCAAAACTGTCAAACTGTCTTATTGAAGCGAACCCATAAAATACCTCAGTAGATACTATCGGTGCATCGGTCCATTTCGAGAAGGCTGCTTTTTCTGTTTCTGGTATTATGTTCTGGCAAACCACGTAGTGGCATTTGCGTTTGAGCAGCTTCTTTGAAACAATCGTGGCACCTCCTGCCGTCAGAATATCTTGCCAGTCAGAGCGAAAGGTGTCATTTGCTGCCCAAACTGCAATCGAGTTTGATATATGTGTGTTCAAGAAATAAATAGGAAAAAGTCAAATCAAGTCAGTATGTCAAGCGCTACTCTCTAGTGACTAACCATAAATGTGAAGATCATGGAAGACGCCATTCATGGGACTTTTAACACTTGACCACTGATACAAAAACCATCAGATCGTCAACACGTAACATCGACAAAGGTCGGTCCGCAACTTACATGATTCAGCTCCAGGGAAAACCCATTGCACAGCTGATACTTCTCATATTCTTGGAGGACATTCTGTCGGCGATCACCTCGGTAAGATTCCCCACTGCAGGTCGAAAATTTGCATACTTACCTCTAAACATGCATGGCGAATCCTTCACGACAAAGATTAATCGACGTCGTTTTTAATCTGAGCTTTGTTGGTCACCCACCATGCGTAAGAAACTACAGGGACACCTAGACCCAGTGCACAAAGGTATTTCTTTGTCCGCAGAGGTTTCGAGGCAACTAACAGGATGATCGGCGGACTTGAGTTTCTTCGCTTCCGCCCCTCGAACACTTGAGAGAAGTCGTCGAAAACGCTTCCGCCGCCTTCTTCAATTTGTTGCGTCACGTATAATCGCTCTGTGGCAGAGATCAAACGATTGATCAGAACCTGTAATACAGCAAATCGGGACCATGGCTGCAGTATACCATCCCGCCCAGCGTTCGTTCCAAAAGTAGCAGTCAACAATATCCCAAATCCACGAAATATGCGTGTGTTGGTTGCCAATGGGCCAAAGATTTTGACAAGCTCCTGAATCGGTTGAGCCGCGGCTACTTCCCTTTTCTTCATAGTACGTTCCTCATTTTCGCGGAATAGTTGCTCACTCATCGCAATCTTGGATAGTGAGACCTGCTTCATACCCTTTTTGGTGCGAGGATGGGACTCAAATCTGAGCTGGAAAAGTTGAAATTCCTGTATTGTCTCCAGTACATGGGCGACACGGAATGTGTGAGCAGAGTACGGGGCAAGGCATTTGTCGCCAGGAGCGAGTTTGAGCAAACGCATTTGTTGGGATTCAACCAAGGCTTCGTCCCCTACGCAAAAGTACATTAGCCCCAAATGGCATCTCAGTCTGCGGATTTGGGCGTAAATCACGCACCATCTTCAAAAGAGACCATGTACTTGGTGGTCTGACCAAACCGCGAGTTAATGATCGCCTGTGCGAGGTGGATAGTTCAACAGCCCGCCGCTGGAGATTTATTGTAGCGAACGCCATATCCCGCTACGTACCGCATAAAATAAATTATCATCCCACAAAGCCCACACTCGGTCTCCAGTCTCAAATTCTCTGGCATTTTCCACGCCGTTGGGTTTGCCGCAGTCCTTACTTCGGCTTTTTTGTCGACTAGACGCTACCGGCTGCCCCTTGCGCCGTCCGCCAGATTTTTCCACATAATCCTGGTCCCTGTCGTCATCACACTCTGATGAACTCTGGCTATCAGATTCATAATACACTGGACGATTCTTCACCCGTTTCGGTTGTGATCCGTCGCTCTTTACTCCTGGCGAGGGGCGCGACACTTCTGGAGTTGTAGATCCTCGCGTCATGTTGTCTTCTCGAGTAGAAGGCGGCAAGGACGCCCGCGGGAGCTTTTGCTTAAGTTTCCAACGCTTGCCACATTTACAGCACAAGGAAGCCTGTCCCTTTGGACCATTTCGCCAGGCTGTTGTAACGGTGGTCCCACATTCAGTACACACACGATCAGATGTATTTGGCTGCATTTGCGTGAAGGAAGGAGAAGATGACCCTATATGCCCTTGAGAGGAGGCCGTCGAAATAGGTCGTATAGGTGAGGACACTACCGGAGGGACCTGTGCGCGTGCTGGCGAGCTCATTTCAATTTCATTGACTTCGGTTCGATGCCTGTTCCTTATTGCATTCTCCGTCCGTGCAACTGTGGCACATTCTTCCCAAGATCGCTCGTGTAGAGGCATCTTTAGTTTCCGACGTTTTCGGCGTCCGACATTTTCCTCCTCACTTGTGTCAGCTTTTTGACCAGTGTCACGCTGCAATGGTATGTAGCGAGGACGCTTTCCAGGTGTGCGCCGAGGAGATCGTCTATCAGATTCAATCTCATGCGCCTCACCATTCTCTCCACGAAGCGGGTCCTCCGAGAAGGCCAGGAAACGGAATCTGAGCTGCTGAGACGGAGTAGATATCAGAGAATCTATCCCAACCTGTGCAGGACGATTGTCAGACTTTTCGGTTCTGGCTGAGGGAGGCGATCCCTCTGTTAAAATAGTCACAAAGTTCGTGGAAACACTTTTGAGAGCTTTCTCGCTGTCATTGTGCACAGTACCGACCGTTGGTATCCCTTGAACAGGCTGAGACGCCGTTCTCAAAACATCGTCCTGACCAGCTGTCGATTCCGTGCGAGACAAGGGCCTCTGTCTCCCAACACGGCAAGTAAGTCCTCTTCCAGTTTGGCCCACAGATACATTAGATTCCGACTCTGCTAATTTCCGAACATCTTCAGCTTCCTCTCCAAGATGAAGAAATTCTGTATCTGGCACACTTAAAAGTTGGGTAGGAGAAGCTTCGTGCTCTAATGGGAAAGGACGCGATTTTCGTCAGTAACGCGTTGTCAGGTCCTAGAAAGCGTGCACCATACCTGTGGTCGCACATTGTTGAACCGCATTGCCAATGCCATTGGGGACTGTTTTAATTTTATGAGCTCACGGCGGGGCTGTTCGTACAAACAAAAATCCACTAACCGGCGACAAGCCGTAGGGGCCCCAAGCCCTGGCGTTTGCGCATCCTGGCATAACGTTGCTCTGGCGTTCCGTCATGGGAGGATTTGGCCACGCTTCCATCCGACGTCGGTTGAGGTTGCTTGGAAGGGGTGACTATCTCGTCCTTTTTCTTTGTTGACACATTGGCCGCGAACCCTTCTAGAGGCGAAGGGCTTTGGGCCGTTGCGCTACCACGGTCTCTCCAGGATGAGACAATTCGGTGGGAGGGGGATGATATGTGAAAGACCGCTTCCGGCGAAGGTCCCTGCGGACTTGGCGAGATATTCTCACTATCATACACAGCCGAGATTTCATTGACCATCTGAGTGGCATCCTGTGTGTAATGTAAGGATATGCGATTATAAGGCTTTACAAGTTCAGGTGGAAAGCTTTCTTGAAATTTCGGACCGCTTAGGGGACTTGGTGGAAAGCGAAGGTCAAATGAAACAGCTCTTCTACGCCGGTCTGATACCGACTTCTGCTTGACCAGCATAGGTTGCGATACGACTCTCCGTAACGTAGGGGCGTCGATTGGTTCATCTCTTTCAGGTGTCCATGGGTTTGCGGTCATTTCTAGGCACTCACTCAGCGGTCGCATGGTGGCCAAGTGGATTGCTTCCTTCCGTCTCCGTTTTCGAGCATCCCCGCTTGAAAGTGGAGTCATTGCTAGCCGACTCGAGCGTCTTGTCGGCGTCACATCGGGCGCGTCTATCCGCGGGGGAGTCAGATCTCTACCTCGCTGTCGTTTCCGTCCACGAGAATACCGACCACTACCGCAAGCATTCATGGTTCTATAGTGTCGTTGTGAGGGCGGCTCACAGTTTAAAATAGGAGTCTTAACCCCATCTAGGACGTGGGTATTCCCCCCTTCATTGGGCTCATCCAGAGGTTCATGAGCCTCAGGTGTACAGGCCCCTATCTGCTTGACTAGCCAGTCATTGGGGTCCTCTGTTGGAAGACTACCGTTTGCAGGCCCGCATGGGGTACTTGCTCGCTCCAAAAGGGACGGTAGGTCGCAACCGTCCGGGAAAGATAGTAAATTAAGGTCTTGCTGATTAATAAGCAGTGACGGTACCGGTGCAGCCCTAGCATTAGGCTTCACGTTGCTTGCGTCTACCAAGTTTATTTGGGATGTAAATTCCGGTATTGAGAGTAGCGCAAGAGATTGAGAATTTTGAACCAATGATGGTGGGCGGCCATGTGGAAGGTGACTCGCTATAGGTGCTTGGTGTTCTATTTTTAATTGTCGTTGTTCCGATTTCAATGAAATAGCATCGCCCGCACGGCCGCAGGTTGATGGACCCTGAACGAGTGGGCTTAATCCCAACTGTGGCAGATCAATATCACTTTGAACCTGACTTGAATCGCAGGCACCGTGCTGAGATCTGTTCAGCATCGTTTTTGCGTTACCCGACAAGAGTAGCAATCCAACGTGCGCGCCGCAAGGCGGGCCGTTTGCACATGTTGGAATAATGATATCTGACGAGGGGTTCCCATCCAATGACCGCGGGATATCAACGGTGATGGTAAGTGACTCTGGCCCAACATCCCCTGCTTCCAGAGTTCCAATCGTCGGCAAATCTTTTCAAACCGCAGCAGTGTGAGCTAAAGTTCAGCATATTTTATCGCAAGGAAGTCATTACCATCTATGGCACCACAGTCAACTTGAACAGGAGGACATGGTACTGTTATAGAAGGCGGCTGCACGGCCCACCTCCATAGCCGTGTCGATCGCTGCAACGCGTCCTGTTGACTTCCTTCGCTGTGGTAAAGGACCTGAACTTCTGGCATGCAGTTGGGTCGTCAGAGGAGTGTGAGGCGGACATTCGGACAGATCTGGGGTTTGGTAATAAGGCCTAAATAGGATAAATAGATGGGCGCCACATCCAAGCCCTCCGAAGCACGTCCGGACATTGTTGACAACCGCCATCAATAAACGACGCAACCAAGAGCGTTGTGAAGAATTCGCTAAACACCGCTCACACCGTGGAGGTATCTGTTGACAATGCGCCTAACTAAAGCGCTGCCCTATTGGAGGTCGGGATAAAATCCTTCTACCATTAGAGCAATGTCAGAGCTCGATATCGCGAGCAAGTCTGCACAAGAAAGGTTGTGTTTGCTCCCTCCAGTGCAAATTAGGGTTGATTTTGAGAGGCTTCGGCAAATTGTAATAGAAACCAAAAGGCATGCAAGCAACAGGGACTGAATACTGGGAATCAAGGTGGACAATATCTGAGCGTATGTGCGACCTCAAGCATTGCCTCTACATGTACAGAGGCTCCTTTGCGGAAAATATGAAAATCAAGACCGTGAAGTGCTGCTTGCAGCCTTGTGTGAGTAGTGTTTAAGAGGAAGGGACTAAATCAGGAATACCACTCCACCACCATTGCACCAATATTGGCCCACTGCAATCAAGATTGCAACCACAGAGTTAACGTGACTGATAAGATGTGGGCAGTGACTGTGCGCATTTAAATGAATGAATCCATTGCAACCTACTTCTTGTGGGTGCCCATTGAGCAACGGTGGTTGTCAGAAGAATGCAAATGATGAGCGTTTGGAGAGAGTGCGTTGGGAGTGAAATCGTACTTCGGTGCGAGTTTCACTATGTGGTCCGTGGGATTTGAGTCCTTAATTATGTGCCTGCATGCTGGGTTAAGCGAACCTAGGCACACACATAATCTTGAGCCCACTACAGTATTCACCATGGTGTGGCGCAGGACGGCAGTGGCTTGGCAATGACAAAGTATTTTTTTTTTGTCGACAACCACTATTTATTCGCGTTCTCCCTCTGCGACAACCTTGGCTGAAATGGCCAGAAAGAGAGAAGCACCTACGGCGGAAGATGTGGACGAGTCCCCTCGCAAGGGTCTCAAGGCCTCCGCTGAAACAACGGCTGGGGTGCTACCTGCAGAAGTGTTGGAGGAGATGGGCGAGTTTGAAGATCAATGGGAGGACGATGTAGAAGATGGTGAAGATGAAGGGGAAGTAGTTATTGCGCCAGACAGCGATGATGAGGATGGTGAGTTACGCTTTGAAGTAAGTTATGCTATCGGTAGGGATTCCCACACTGGAACGCTACTTGAGTGATGAGAATTTACTATCACGACGGTCTTCTGAGATCTGACCATGCTGTAACTGCCCCACTGGGGCTTAATCTGACTGATGTAGCGAGGGAAACACTGGGGTTAATATTATGTTATTTCTCATCGCACTGGCTGACCATGTGATTCATAATAGGGATGGACGTAGATGCAGATCAGCAAGAGGACGAAGACGATGAAAAGCGGGAAGATTTCAAAGTGTATCTTCCAGGGCAAGAGCTTGGAGAAGGGGAGGAGTTAGTAGCAGATAACAGCACCTACGAAATGCTGCACTCCATGGGAGTTGAATGGCCTTGCCTCAGTTTTGACATCTTACGTGACAACCTGGGCACGGGGAGAACAACATTTCCTGCGACCATGTATGTCGTTGCCGGGTCACAAGCGGACCGTCCAAAAGACAATAAATTGTATGTTATGAAGATGTCTCAGCTTCATCGGACAAAGCACGATGATGAAGATGGCATGGCAGACGACGATGACGACGATCTCGATGAGGATCCCATTTTGGAAAGTAAGACAGTTTCTCATGTTGGTGGCGTAAATAGGCTACGGGTATGTACTGCGAGATTGCTCTTTCCAATTCGTTGAGTAACACGTGAGGCAATTGATAGGTTATGCCCCATCCAGAATCGCACATTGTTGCCACTTGGGCAGACACAGGCAAAGTGCACATTCATGACCTTACTGAGCACGTTCGAGCACTCGATACCCCTGGGGTGATTCCACCAAAAAACCCGGCGCCCATCTACACGGTGGGGCAACATGGCAAAACTGAGGGCTACGGTTTGGATTGGTCCAGTGTTCAAATTGGTCGTCTGCTGTCTGGTGACACCGCAGGCCGGATATATCTTACCATTCGCACGCCATCAGCGTTTGAAACTGATGCGCAAAGCTACCTGGGCCATATAGGATCTGTGGAAGACATTCAGTGGTCGAAGAAGCAAGCGGGAGTCTTTGCGTCAGCGTCTGTGGATCAAACCATCAAGATATGGGACGCGCGGAACAAGGGAAAAGCGGAATTGAGCGTACATGCCCACGACAGCGACGTCAACGTGATCAGCTGGCATCCGTAAGTGTCTAGTTATTGTCTAGTTATGCTAGTCTAGAAATCACCTTTACGCTGCTCGACTTTATGCCGCCGGGGTCGTCTTCGTGACTCTGTGCTTTGGCTGTCAGAGTAAGCAATATCGAATTTGGTCATCTCCACGCAGTATCAACACTGAGGATGCAAATCCATCAGATCTACTTGATATCTGCACTATTTTTTGATCATACATTCATCGCGGCGATGATCACTGGGAGATAATGTTATCTTGACCGATTAACTAATGTGCTCTCACGTTTAGAACCGTCGAGTATCTCATCGCATCTGGCTCGGACTCTGGTGTCTTCAGCATCTGGGATCTCCGTATGTGGTCTGCCGCAAGCAATCCACAACCTGCAGCCACGTTCAAATGGCATCAGGGACCTGTGACTTCGATTGAGTGGAAACCCCACGAAAGTTCTGTCGTGGCTGTCGCGGGTGCGGACGATCAATTGACAATTTGGGATTTCGCTCTGGAGCGGGACGCTGAGGAGGAAACGACGATGACCACTGGGGTGGATGGGTCACAGGTTGAAGTACCGCCACAGTTGCTCTTCATCCATCAAGGCCAAAAACACATCAAAGAGGTTCATTGGCATGGGCAGGTACCGGGGGTGTTGGTCAGTACGGCGTTTGATGGATTTAACATCTTCAAGACTATCAATTCATGACGACGTACTGGACCACACATGTTTATAGAAAAGTTGCTTTATTTTGTATATTTTTTGGCGTTAGTACTTTACAGAATATTTATTGCATGCATACATTTCTTGTCGAGTCAGACAAATCACACATTTTGGTGGAGCCAAAGCAACTGTCGATCGTTATAAGGAGCTCGCGGACACTTTTTGCTTTGGAAAAATGTAAATCCAGTGTATATGTTTGCGTATCAGTAGCTATTTTACTTTAAAATGTCTAATATCATCGACAAGAACTGGGTCACAATGTTTATATCTTCATTGCTAGTCAATTAATCAACTGGGACGTGACATTAACCGGAGAACCGGAGACTCGGAGACTCGGAGACACCGAGGCTTGTTCCAATTTTTCTTTTGACCTGACGTACCAGACCTTACACGTGACATTCGATCACCCGGCAATTTGGCTAGAGGAAGGGACTTTGGTCGCTCACTGTTGCCAAAATCGCAAGGTTAGAACTGGGACATTCTGCGCACTTCGAGCCGGTCTCGTCTCGCTTTGTGATTTGGTGATCCCTACAGTCCACGTACAATGGGTCCTGCTCCAGACCACTACACGGAATTGACTCCTAGGTGGAGCTGGCAGCTCGTTCTTCTATCCTATGTAGTGGCCGTGTTGGTAAGTCCACGAGCTTTCTTTGCAGAAATAGCAAAGTGATTGAATAGTAACCTTCATGCTTGAATATAATTTTAGGGCTCCTACACGACGACGCAACTTGTTATTCACGCAACGGGATGCAAGTCACGGACTTGGAAGCTTACGTGGTTGGGGTTGGCGGCTCTTACGCTAGGAGGTGTATGTACTATGAACGTCGGGATGAGAGTTTTCGATGACAGCTAATATGGACTCGCACTAGTGCGGCATCTGGAGTATGCACTTTGTTGGAATCTTGGCAATGGATCTGGTACGTTAAGGTCACCTGTTTGCCCGGGTCTGTCTGAGAGACACCAACCTAGTTGATTAGGGTATCCCCGTATCATATGATGTTCCCTTGACTGTTGGCAGTTTCTTGGTGACTGTGATCATTACCTTTTGCACATTTGCCGTTGATGAAGTTCTTGCCTTCTTGCAACAAATTCCGCGACGAAATTTGAATCTATTGTTTCCAACGTCCGACGAGGCAGGCTACCAGCGTGTTACGGGAACAAGTGGTGAAAATACCCCGGTATGGGACGAGGAGGAAGGTGGTGTTGGAATACTGAATCCACCAGAGTCACCACGCACATTTATCGAAAGGGACGAAGCTGACTCTGAAACATCGGCGATCGACGATATACCAATAGCACGGACCAACGTGGCACCTTTCTGGTCACACCGCGCGGGGGCCAATTATGTATTGGGACGCATATTTTGGAAGTTCTGGCTCTCCCTCAGCATACCTGTCATGCTGAAGGGTTTCTTTTTAGCCCTCGCATATGCAGGTCGGTCTGTTTTGAAACGAAGATCTGTTTATCTCGACTTATGTTACTCATCAATGACTTTGTGTAGCCATGCATTACATGGGAATGTTTGCGATGAAAATGGATGCGGTCATCGAGTGGAACCCTCTCTTTATCGTTTTGTCATTCCTGGATGCGTGGTTGATCTGTATTATTGCCTTCGTATTCAGTAAGCACTGGAAGAGTGATTTTCTTTGCCACGAGAGGATGTGCCTAATGACTATGCTTGCATAGTGCCTCAGCGAGTCGAATCTATGCGACAATTCATTTTCAGCCTGGTAGCGGCAGCTGGCGCCGCTATCATGCACTACACGGGTAAGCAAAATATCAAATTCATGCAATATTCAAATTCCCGCTGACATAGTATGTAGGAGTATATGCGGCCACTTTTTATACTACAACTCCACCTCCATATAACAAAGGAGCATATCCGTTGTATGTGGCCTTCTATATAATTGGTTTCGCTCTGGGAACCTGCTTTATTAGCTATATTATGCTGGCCAATATCGTCACCCAGTCTCGGAATCGTTTGGCAGAAATGATCACAACCAAACGACGACTGTGGAAAGTGTTGGCAGAGAAGGAGGCTGCCGAGAGGGCGAACAAAGTCAAAACGGATTTTATCTCGGTTGCTAGTCACGAAATTCGGGTAATTATATATCTGGTACTGGGATTTAATACCGATATCTTGAGGCCTTATCCCCTTACCTTCTATAGACCCCCCTTCACGCCATATCAGGATACACAGAGCTCCTGGAGCAAACTAATTTAACCGAAGAGCAACGGAGTTACGTCGAAGCAATCAAGACTGGGTGCCACACAATCCAATTAATCACAACGAATGTGCTGGATTTCACCAAGCTGGAACGTGGAAATGCCGAAACACGGGCTAAACCGGTAGAGCTGGACATCCGCCTGGTAGCGGCTAACATCGTCAAGAGTTGCGCACCAAGCCCCCAGCAAACCAACGTGGACTTGATCCTAGTGGTGGAAGATGAGGTACCACAGCAGATTTTCATCGATGAGATCTATATAACACGAGTAGGTGAAATACTGCAGTTGTAACAGCAATTAGGTGCTTGCTGAGCGACAATCATGTCTAGGTTTTGATGAATCTTGTCAGCAATGCGATAAAGTTCACGAATGAAGGCTACGTCCTGCTGGCGCTGGAAATGGAGCGGAATGAACACGGTGATGATGTTCTGCTGATACGGGTGAAGGACACAGGCGTCGGTGAGTCCGCGTTCATCGGTGTGTTTATTGCGGATGCTTATGTCCGGCGACTAGGAGTACCGCCGGCGTTTAAGAATGCAATCTTCGAACCATTTAGACAAGCCGGTATGCTCACACGTGATCTAAGTAGATGAAGAATGTGCATATTCTAATATACACTTGTAGATACATCGCATACCAGGAAACACAATGGCGCAGGTAAGCGTAGTGCATTGTCATTTGACGGAAAATCTCAAACTGACGTGCATATAGGCTTGGGACTTGCAATTTGCAAACAACTTATAACAATAATGCAAGGCACAATAGAGTTCCAGTCCACGGAGAAAGTAGGAACCGTTTTCAGCGTCCGGATACCGATTCAAAGTCCATGTAAACCTGATGCATCACTCGGTGCTGTATCCAAATACACTCACCGTGGACGGATTGCATTACTCACTCGAAATCGCCTGTCATTTGACCTCCTGAAGACGCTATGGACGAACCGTGGATTTTGCATCATAAATTCACCCGAAAATATACCAGAAGCGGATCTGCCTGAGGCCTTGCGTCAAGCAGATATTATTTGGACGGATATAGAGATCTTTAACCAGAAACCTGCTTTAAAAGATGTGGTCAATACCTCCAAACCGCTGTTCATCTGCTACCAGGAAACCGACGTGGATTTGGATATGGCTTCCCTGGGAGGAAATGTGGTTGGCGTTAAGAGACCGATCATCGTTCATCTTATCGAAGAGTGGTTACAGAACCCTGATCGCAAGCTAGAAAACGATGGAATGGTGCATTCAGTCGCCGAATCATCAACATCGATTGAGAGAACAAGCGCCGAGTACATAGTACCCGTAACGAAAGCAAAGCAAGTCTCATCTGGTAAGACGAAGGAAGTTCGATTTTCTGTTGAGAACGGAAATCGACAGATCGTCAACGGAGCGGAGGCCGTGGCTCGTACTGATAGCGGTGCTGAGTTGTTGGCGGTCCCTGATTCGCCGGCACGGGAAAAGACGCAATCACAAGATGAGAATCGTGAGAGCAGATTGATCCATCCGTCCAATGTCTCCCACTCAAAAGGTTCTGTCTTGTTGGTTGAGGACAACGTGGTACGTTGGTGCTGGTTTCGGTACCGATCAACCCTGGGGGCGACTCTCTTTCTCATTGTCATTTATCACCGATAGGTCAATCAACGATTAGGCTTTCGTCTCCTCCAGAAACTGGGTTACGATGCCACACTCGCGACCAATGGGCTAGAAGCAGTCCAAACTCTACAAGCCAATCCTCTGAAATTCGACGTAGTACTGATGGATTGCCAAATGCCCGTCATGTCTGGCTCTGAAGCTACCAAACGCATAAGAGCAATGGAACGACAAGGCATTGTCTTTGCCCGGAGAACGGAGTCAATGGAGGGTAGCCCACCCAGAAGGCTCCCTATTATTGCCTTAACAGCAAATGTCAGCGCCGAGAGTCGCGTAGAATGTGAAACGGCCGGAATGGATTTATTTTTGCCGAAGCCGCTAAAGATGGGGGACCTGGGGAATGCTTTAGAGAGATTTCTCAAATGAGATGGACTTCAAAATGGGAATGGTTCTTGAAATCACGACGTATGGACATGATTGTACTGGAAAAACTGTTAAGACTTTTTGGAAAGGGCGACACTATTGTATAGGAGGACTGTTCGCCCTATGTACACTTTCGTTTTGTTTTTACCTCTCTGTATCATAAATGGTCGAGTTAATTAGATATATTAGACTTTGGCAGTATCGGACAAGATTTTCCTTTGATATAGCATCCTGCCGTTCTTGCACGCCTAATACGAAAAACACTCCTTTGAAAAGTTTATATTGCGCTGACTGCGAGTGAATCAAACATCGCATCGTATTCGGAAGTTTTATCTTGCCCGCATGCACCTACCAGCTAGGACCTTCCTGAACATTCGGAACCAAGTCAGCATTTGCTATCAACTCTCATTCTCCATCAATTACATTCACTCTTCATCATTGTTGATCAGTCCATGATTGGTCGATCGTGACATGTAAACATTACAAACTGTTGGGTCGCAGATTTTCCCCGACCTCTGCCATTACAGATATCGTATTGTTTCCGCCCCAACAAGACGCGAGGACCCGTATTTACTTGCTGATCGTGTCAATGAACATCATGCAGGTGGCTTTGCTTCGCTTAAAGAAGCCTGCAGATCCGTGACAAAGGGAAAAGAGGGAAGAGGGAATGCCAAGGGTCGGAAGACAATAAAACATCGTGTGGCTACAGGCAAGGCTTGGCGATGCTCCCGCAGAAAAAAGCATAAAACCCCCATCACAGGTTGCCCCTCCTCGAGCCAACCTTTTGCTTGAGACCCCACATACCTTCAGGTCTGAGAAATCGCAACTCTTGGTACATTACCTTTTGTATATTGAAAACGGATCGTCATGGCTACTTTCACTCCTATTCTGGTCAATGCTCACCACATCGAAGCGTCCACCTTCGGAAATGACCGTAATGGTGATAAGCCGTTCATGATACCGGATGACCGACGAGACAGTGCCGTCGAATTTACCTCTTGCAAATCATCTGAAGACATGGAAGACATGGACTACAGTACTCAGCGCACGAAGCTGCAGACTCAGGTGGACGAACTGGGGTACAAGATCGCACCTTCCGTCCATATTCCTCGCCTCACTCGCCGTGATCGTCGTCGGCTTCGCCAGCTGGAGTACGAGCTTCGCATGGCCTGGCGTCCTATCGGCAAAGACATTGCCAATCACATTTACGAATCAGATGTCTTGGCTGAGGTTGGGATTCCTCCCTTGGCCGCTTGATTAAATGTTCACACTATCTGGTCGTATGGTACCCGTACGGTATACCACCTGTAAATGAAGCCTCTGGACTGTTTGTGTCAATTTCCCATGTTATTTCAAGTTTTGATGTTTTGAAGGAAGGAAAGGAGTTTCAAATGTTATTTTTGCAAAGTCGATTTGTAAATAGATGAACCGTCAGTTCTTGCACAAAGAACTATCCAGTATTCTGGTGTACACCTTAAATACAATCTTCTCAATGTAAAATTTATGATTTTGCAATGTTTCCAGTACTCGTCGGGTTACATTTACTAGTCCTAGAAGTGTTTTTCTTTTTAAAACGCACAAAGCTCTATGGTATGTACATGGTTGCGGATTCGACATGAGCAAACGACTCACGAACCTCAGCGCAAACGCATCCACTTAGATACGACCACAGAAGTCTACAAGGATATCCAAAAAACGGCAGGTGTGCTATACTACTAAACAGAGCTTAGTCTACAAATGCTTCACCACTCTCCCTCCTTCCAGTGTCAGGAGCCTGTCCACCGATGCCGGAATCTCCTCCAAGCAGTGGGTCACAAATATCAAAGTCTGGTCCCTGCGTAATTTCGTATCCAACCATCTTTTGGCACGCTCTACCGCCTCTTCGTCCAGTCCTTGGAAGGGCTCGTCCAAGACCAGTAGTCGCGGCTCCTTTATAAGAGCACGGACAAAAAGAACGAAGCGCTGTTCGCCTGTCGACAATTGCCGAAAAGGGCGATCTCCGAGATGTTCAATGCAAAATTCGGATAAATAAGCGTTGATCACCTTGTCTTGCGCGGGAGTAGGGGAGCGGATGAGAGCAGGAATATCAAAGAAGCCGGTAGCGATGACTTCTCGGCACGTTAGCGGTTTTGTAAAGTACATGTGGAGTTCCGGTGACGAAAAGCCTGTTTGGCATTTAATGTCCCACTATCGTGCAATGAGGGAAAGCATGTCAGATTAATTGTAAAGTACAAGGTGCGAATGAATGATCGGCCCTTTGAACTTACAATAGTCTCCCCGGTTCCTCGTTTCTTTCCAAACAGCGATATGTCATTTGAATAAGCTTGTGGGTTGTCACCGAGAAGCAGAGACAATAAAGTACTCTTGCCCGATCCTGCACATCGGATACAGCATGAGACGAGTGTCGTATGTATAAGACTGAGGGAAACAGTCACTGACCATTATGTCCCATAAGCGCCCAACGTTCACCAGCCCTTACTGTCCATGAGACATCGCGCAAGATGGGAGTTCCGCCAAATGACACGTTCACGTTCTGCAGTTCTATCACTGGCTCACTCAGACTTTCCACATCTACATGCTTCTTATTGTCAAATCCTTGGTGTTGCGAAAGGATACTTTCCGTCGGGGCTTGCTGCGCCCATTGTTCCCTTAGTCCTTGCCACCGAATAGTCCTGTCGCGATTTAACAGAAGGACATGTGTCACCCATTCTGGCAGTTCATCCTGAGGTCGCAATGTGAGGATAACCTCCGTCAAACCCTGGTCAGCGACTTGTCCGAGCAGATCTGAGATTTCTCGTCTACTTTTGACATCAAGACCCACTGGAAGGAACGCGAAGAAGGTGGTGAGGTCATGTTCCAATACTAAAGGCACAATATCAGGGCTGCCTTACTGAATGGCTCGTCGACAAGAAGATAGTGCGGCTTGGCCAGCAAAAACTTTGCAATCCTTGCTCTACGCATCTGGCCGTTTGATAGCTTCATAAATGATAAATCCAAATGATGACCAAGGCCAACTCTTTCAGCCGCCTCCAGAACTTGTCTGCCCACATTCTTCGTTATAGACTCTTCCTCCTGGCCCTTCAGAGAAGACTCTAGATATGCACGTAGCGTGATGTCCTCCCACTCATCAATATACTCGAATCGCTGCTGATAATAGTGTTTGCTGAAATCAAAGAGCCCTGACTCTTCTTTGAAGGAAACATGGCGTACTAGATCTTGGGGCCACAGAGACAAATGAGAGAACTCTTTCGGCTGAGCTTCGGAGAGAGGTTCGATGAAGGGATATACCACAGTTCCGGTTGGATGTGCTCGTAGTTTGCCCATCAATACCTCGCACATGCTAGTTTTGCCCGAACCGAGGGGGCCAATAATTGCCCAACGCTCTTTTTCATTTATATTCCAAGACAGATTTTTGAAGACGGGAGCAGAGGACGGACCGTATCTAAAAAGGTTTGCTTGGTTGATGGTGATGGAAGGGACGCGCCCTGATATCTTGTTTTGAGGTAAAGAAGTATTGGCTTTTGAATGCTGATGTCGGCAGGATACGTATAACCAGCGCATCCGCAAACTTGGTGAAGGCATCTTTCCGGCAGCAGGAGCCAACGAGGTTGAAATAAGGAAGGGAAAAGCTCGGAAACATTGGACTTCCGTAGATATCTCATCCTTGGGAAGCTGTGCCACATGATTGAATCAGTCACGGCATTCGATCAAAAACGTTTATTCCATGTATTTTCATCTCTGAACTGGCAAGTAGCAATTCTCGTATTTGCAAATACCACACTACGGTTGCATAAAAATGCCACTCCGTAGCTGCTGGTTCCCAACACACAGAGAGGCCCAACTGTTTAGATGGGCTCATGAAAGCCATAAGAAAAAGAATAATAGCCAGATCCTTCCTGGTTGATGTTAAAATCAAGGGACAGCCAAGCCCTTTTGCATTTACGTAGCTTGCTCCAAGGATACTGGGAGCTCACCACAGTGGATTGGTTTGTTACGTAAACTGCTATTCTTAAGACACGGCAACGACCCTCAAAACCAATGTTGCCTGTTCAGTATTGGGGTGTTTTAGGTAAACCACGAACATGTCGTCCTTGTTACTTTTCAGATATAAGTCTCTGCATCAGCGAGGATGCTATACATTTTGCGCACGCTATTTGAGTAAGAAAACGAATGCTGGGGAGGTACCTCTGACGAAAGAAGAACAGCAAGGTTGGGAAGAACAGAAGCGTGCCATTCGCGATCTGCGAGCCAAGATTCGGCAAAAGGAAGCCGCTTTGCGTGTGCGCTCCGGACTTACTGCGGATCTATCAACGTATGTACCAAGGATCATTAACAGCTGGAGTTCATTGAGACATTTTTTCAATGTTCTCCCTTTCCAGAAACAGAGATATGGTAGAAGGAGCATCTCGTCGTCATCAGCCTGCTGAAAGGGAATCTAGCGAAACAGGCCCCGGCGAAGCAAAGTAACGGCTGTTCAATACCATCAAAGATAGTGCACAAGATCTGCACCGGCATTCCCATTTGCACTTCGCCATGTAAATGCAATAAATTTTCTTCAAGTCACTGCTGATCATCCTTGGAGGGTTCATGATGGGCTGCCAGTGCAAGGGCGCGTGTTACCCATCAGCCTAATATCCCATCACTTGAAGGACTCATCCCGCAACTGATGGGCGGGCACTAGTCCTACTTGTACTGCTGTGAAAGCCTGCACAAACATCCCTTTACAGAGCAACTGACCAAGGAAAGATCAATAGCGGGATCTCTTGCAATCCACTGAACGCTACACGGAAATGTGTCGTTTCCCGCGCAATGTCAAAGTTGACCTTTATAATGTTTTATCCCAAAGCGGCCCGCTAAAAAGGTATCCCATATGGTACCAATGTTTAGAGATCATGAACAAAGCTGCTCAGGCGAAGGCTGGCGGCATAATAAAGAAAAGCGCCTGCAATTTGACCAGTAACCCCGTCTATTTTCAATACCACTGCACCAAAACACAGCACTATTTCACGATCGCCGCTTGTTATCCCACCCACCTGTATCTGAACCAAGTGGAAAACAACCGGTCAACCCATGTTATTAAGTGGTTTTGGTGGTAATAATAGCCGAACCTCTCATTGGCTGCACGTGATAGACACTGTCTGTCAAAACGAAAAAATGCTATTCATGATCGACGATTCGTAAGCAGATCTCACGAGCTTGCTTTCTCACTAATGTAAGACTTCGGCTTTTCCTTTTCTTTCTTGTTCTTCCCATTCTTCATTGCCAACTTTACGACTTGCCATGGCCGCTACAGGAACCATCACTCATTACCTTACCGTAACGGGCAGAGAATACCTAGCGAATACTGGCATCGCTAGCAGCGAGCTAGCATCGGTTAATTTTGACAGCGGGCTCTTTCCTTACGCCCGTGACAAGCTACGACGTCAAAAGAATTGGCGACAAGACGGCAATGTACATTTTGTATACCATGGGGCAACGTCCGGCGGCAGGCGTCCTTCTGCGGAGGATACAATTCTCGATCCTCCAACAACTGTCGATTTGACAGGAAAGCATCTGGCATTGTTCTCTGCCATACGGGACCCGACTAGGAGACCCAACGAATGTTTCCTCTGCAGCAAGGAGATGAATCTGGTTGGATGGCATGGTATAACCATTTCATCTGTTTCATTATGTCAAATTGTCCATACGTCGTTTGACAGCGGATTTCAGCCTTTGACAGGATGCCAGTAATTCCAGCGCCACTCGCTCCCCAGGCGCCCACTATTGCTCAGGTTGAAGAGCCTTGTCTAAGCACAGCTGTAACACAGAGAGTACTCAATGCAGCTTGTGTGCTTACCGACATGCTTGTTCACCCCGTCGGAACGTACCAGGCCGCCAAAGACGTCATCGTGGATACGCTTCCTGTAGTCAAAGAAGTAGTAACATCCCCGATCAAGGTGGCGCAAGAGGCAACAAGCGACATTGCTGCCACCGCGGCAAGACTTAGTGGGCTGAGGATCAGTTCGAGGGAGCCTTGGGTATGACCGTGAATGACCGATTACGAATCCCAGAACTATCTTTTTTGATCCCACTTTTGTTAGGCTTTCTTGGATGACCTTGCCGAGGATACTGGTACAGAAGATCCAATCGAGTCAGATGAAGAAGAGGAAGAAGAAGAAGAAGAACAAAAAGACCAAGAAGAAGTAGAACAAGAGAAAGGTCCCACTATCGCCGGAGTTAGCGAGGAGTTACAGATTCAGTTTACAGAGCTTCTTAAGGCGCTCGACCGCCGTTTTGACAAAATCGATGACAAACTCGACCGTCGTTTTGCAAAAATCGACCGTCGTTTTGCGAAAATCGATAGGACTATGGGTGCCATGTTTGAATACGTTGGACGTGGGCAAGTTTTGGCTCATGTAAAAAGGATCTTCAACATTGATGAGACAGCTATTGTGGAAGGTATGAAACTCCAAGGACGGGAGTTTGCGAAGGAAGGTACATATTTATCTATCAACATGTAATCTACCATTGAGAATTCAACGATAGTCTGGTGGGCATGCGCACAGAAAACGAACCCTCTTTTCGACGACTTTGGACTGCTCTAAGGCAAAATTATGAGACACAATGGACAAGAGATGCGATCCCTGTCAAGATGAAGCCTGCAAAGATTGAAATCAACTTTCTTTATTTTTGCTACCATTCGGGAATCTCTGGCACCTCGATCGTGTCGCCACCCTGGGCTAGTCCTAAAGCGCCGCTCGATCAGGACTTCGAAGCATCGCGGTCTGCAACTGGTGTAGGAAAGATTATGTCGGCATTGGGATTTTCCGCACCCAACGCAATCTTAGTCGGAGAGATGACCATAAGCGGCCTCGAACTAAACAACAAAGCCACGAAAAGAAAACTAGGACAATTGGAGCGTGCAATCGTGTTTTTATGCACTCACTATTCGATCAAGCCTACCCGTATTTTCGCTTTCCTCCACACGCTTGGACGCTTGCGCGCCCCAGCACGGCAGTTTCGTGATGATTTATTTGGTCCGAATGGGTATGCACGATCATTTCCGATCCTTGCTCGGCTGGCCAGAGAAGAGAGATTTGTGATGGTGCCTGCATAAAACAATTATGAGCTGCGTATGTCATATCAACCAAGCGGGACTGTTTGATTTTTGATTTCCCGTTCACCATTGTTCGTCCTGACTACCGTATTCGGCATATGTACATCGTGATTTGCAGATATTGTCTGTGAAATATGGTCTGTTATAACAATGCATTGTCGCATGGTCGTATGAAATCGTAAAATGTATCACAATACGTTAACTCGGCGTGCCCTGAAATACATGACTGTGCTGATACCATCCGTGTCGGAAATGCCCATTGCTTTCCCTGGCTTATTTTTCCGGTATCTGCTTATTTCAAGATATTATCTCATCGGTATTAATTAGTGCCTCCCAAGTTACAATCTTACAGCTGTTTGAAAAATACTTCCCGTATGTAGTAAAAAATAAAGACTTACCAGGGTATACACAACATATAGAGAAGTGCTTTCTTAGGATGAAAATAAGCTGCATCTTCTGTCAAGTGCCGTTGCACGCACGGACTTGTACAAGTCGTATCGATGTATTCACCAGACAAGCGGTTCGAATGGATATATATGTGCAGGTGGGTGGGCAGACTAAATACTGGCCATATGTTAACTAGTGTGAACACATGCATGCAACGCATTTGAAAGAGACCTGAAAAATAAAGAAGATGAAGTTTATTATTCTTTATATCGTATGGAAGTATAGTTGAAATCGAACCAGTGCTCAGCTTGTCCGATGAATACATTGATAGGAGTAGTACAACCCCTACAAGTCGTATCTATGACCATCTTTGCTCCTATAGTTAGGTATTTTGCAATGGTTCCTTTAGCTCTACTTCTCGCATCGATGTTATTCACTCAGCGCACCCAGGCATTAACCAGTTTCGGTCAGTCGCCTAAGCGATGAGTGCTACCCAAACACATATAATTCAATGTTGTCCGGGGAATCCATCGATACGAGTTCTACATGCGCGTTCCTAATGCTGCCACGCATCTTTTATTCAGATTTTCGGTGGCCAAAACGGCGGGACGATACCCACCGGAACAGAATGCTTTCACAGCAGTAATTGAAGTAACGGAATCAAGATGACAGGCCCCCGACGGACGTTGCCCCGATTGGAATTCTCCAGCCTTAAACCTGTGGAGGACACCCGTTTTGGGGGCAGCTTTCACATAATACAATATAAATGTGGTTGTCCAGCGTGTGGCGCAGCCGTTGATGATTCCGTAATGATAATGTGTTGCCATGCAACATGAAAACCAATCAACTGAGGTGGCGTATTTGCCGTCTATAAAAACGCGTCGCGTTCGCCTTTCCTCCCCCATCGTGTGTTGATCTCTTGAGGTAGGTTCTCGCACTGTAGACATCTTGAGTGAGAGTTGCATGCTGGGGCGCCGATAACGGAGGGTATCGTCGGGGTGGTCTTGTTCTTTCAGTGTGCATGCTGGGGCGCTGTTAACTGAGGGTATCGTCGGGGTGGTTTTGTCTTCTCGGTGTGCATGCTGGGGCGCTGTTAACTGAGGGTATCGTCGGGGTGGTTTTGTCTTCTCGGTGTGCATGCTGGGGCGCTGTTAACTGAGGGTATCGTCGGTGCATATCATCAGATGTGCATGCTGAGGCGCTGTTAACTGAGGGTATCGTCCGTGCATATCATCAGATGTGCATGCTGAGGCGCTGTTAACTGAGGGTATCGTCCGTGCACATTGGAAAGTCGGGGCCATCTGCTGGGGCGCTGTTAACTGAGGGTATCGTCGGTGTACATTGGGAAGGTGGGGCCATCTGCTGGGGCGCTGTTAACTGAGGGTATCGTCGGTGTACATTGGAAAGCTGGACCATCTGCTGGGGCGCCGTTAACGGAGGGTGTCGTCGGTGTACCTTTGACTTGGGGTGTCTCCTTTGCGCCTATTTAGCTTTTTGAGCTAACCCCATTTTTAAGTTCTTCGCAGGTTTTCAACAATCTCATCGGTGCGAGCCCCTCGGTACGATTCCTGGCATAGTGATGATTGTAGCTGTACTGTGTAGTTGTGATTCTTCCTATCTGTTTGTGTATCGCTGTAATATATCGCACATGTCTTGTGAACTCGCGTGTATGTCCCTTTGAGCATTCATCTTTTTGGTTAATGAACCATTTGGTGTCTAATCATGGCATGAGTTCCCGATTCCATGACAGCCATCGGGTCGCTACGCCAACGAATATTCACTTGGTTGCCCCATTGATACACAATCCCTAATGATTCAGCCCTCCAGCCATCTACCAGTTGCTGGGCGCCAAGTTCGACACTGTTTACCCTGGACTTTGAAGGCCACGACTTGCTCCTATGTCTCTCTTAGCGGTAAGCGTATCTTCATCTCCAGCTCCGTGTTTGCAGTTTGCGTGCACATAATCGATACGGGGGTGATATGTGATGCTTGCCATTCTTTTCCCTTTTTTAAACAACCAATCCGAATTCATGTTTTAACACAATTTTCTATTGCAAGCACCTGCAGCACAACGGCATTGGTGGTTTAGTGGTATAATTACCGCCTGCCACGCGGTAGACCCGAGTTCGATTCTCGGCCAATGCATAGTCGTTTCGTCAAAAATCTTTTGAATATTGGCAGTCTATCTGATCAACCAAAACAGGCAGGATTGGTTTATCTTTTTCGTTACTCTTGGCGAGTGGACCACGCACGTCTTGTTGTTTTTGATTTTAGCAATCCACCTGATCCACACGGAGGCGGGTTATCGTTTCTTTTTTTGTCCGCTCTCCTTGCTGGCATGCCGCCGCATGAGCTGTGTTTGGACTGCTCTAGCTTCTCGAAAAAGAGGTGTTGTACCTGCGGATACAAGTGTACCAGCCTTTAACTTTTAGAGTTTCTCAAAGACTAGTCATTACTGTTGACGGGAGATTAGCCATACAACCGGATGAAGAGTTCATGTCTCCCCCTTCGCCTTAATCTTTGGGCCCAAGGGTTAGGCTCGGCCACGACCGCTCTTGGCAAGGGTGACCGTGTCACGTGTATCTTGCCCGCCAGAGAGAGGACTTTTGATCAAGGGAAAGCCCATGGCCCATCCGTAGCAGGGAAAACGGCCATCGGAGGGCTCCTTTGGGTTTAGCTAACCCTTACTTTTAGAGTTTTTTGCTGTGGCTCTGGTGGTGTCCCCGGCCGAGTTGTCGGAGAAAATGAGCCATTACCCGGGTGGTGATACAAAGCCTCGACCTGGACTTTTTTCCGAACTGCGTGCGAATTCCTCAGGCGTAAAAAGAATTGTGCAAACGGAGCCTTTGTCTCCCCCCTGGGATGAAAAGAAGTGCAAGAATAAACTCTTTTCTTTGTTATTATATTGGAAATTATTATTAGAATTTAGAACTCCTGGTTATCTTGGTTTGTAGAGAATATTTCAAATTGGCGTGACGGCAGGAGGCGTGTTGTTCCAGACAAAGAGAAAGGCACGACGCACGTTCACACCAATTTTGACCGTTGAAAGTTGGAACGAGTGTGATCGCTAAAAAAAAGCAGCTGAACAAGGGAAATAACCCCGTCCTACGAGACGATCAAAAAGCTGAGGGGGATGATGATGGATAAACAAAACCCACACGCGGTGCCCAATGGAAGCCTCGTGCTTTTGGGCCCAACAGTACTCACAACTCCTTGAAAAACAACAGCACTTTGGATCAATGAACGGACCACCCCCGGGTTTTACCCAGCCAGTTATAACGGTGGCGAAGCGGGAACTTGGTAAATCTGGCATAATTTGGACAGGTTGCCAAGCACGGTGACCTCATTCCGGCGTGACTATGCCGCCAATGTTCCTTTGTTTAATTTGAGAAATTCAGTGGCTACGTGACTGTCGGAGATTCCAAGCGTTCCAAACGAACCGAGCCTAGTTTCAATTTGCGCTCCACAGTCTTGGAAGGCCTGTCGCTCGGGTCCGCGTTTGCTTCTTTCGCCATCATCCCCCCCCTCCTCAACCTGCGCCTTGAACTGTTAGGTTTTCGTCGTCGACACACGTCAGCGCAAAGCTTGTAAAGACTGCTTTTCGTGCCGTATGTCAGGTAAGATACGCTTTTCCCGTTCCTTTAGGCCCTGGACGGGAAACGGCGCGCTATGTCTCCTTCTGTCGGAGTAATCGGAGGATTTGGGGCGAATTTTATCAAAAACGCACAGAAAGTCAGTTGGGAGAACTGGACAGCGTGCTTTTCAGCGCAGCGGTGAATTCTCCCGCGTATACTGCAGAGCAGGACTGTCTGGCAACGCACCATTGCTGCTTGGGAGAGGATCCGAAAAAAAAAAAAAAGAGAAGCGGTCCAGTACAGAGCGTCAGGGACGACGCTTGTTAGAGAACACTCTCTGGTGCGCTAATCCCGTAACGTTTAACATATCTTAAAGGCGTCTGCCACTATTATTTCATGATGTATGTCGACATCTCACCGTTCTTGCTCCCTGGTACTCTTACCTACTTAGCTGCGACATACGCTCAACACTGGAAAGTCGTTATCCTCTTCAATTCGCAAGACCCACAACAATTGTGATACACCAAAGAGATGACGGAACGCGAGCAATTTCAGCAAAGTCCAGCTTGGCATCAGTATAATCCTCAAGCCCTGCCCCCAACTCCGCCTTCTGTCCATCTCCCCGGGGGTCAGCACATTTCGTCCGCCAATAGTCCGATGGTCGCCTATGGTGGTCCGATGGGGCTACCGCCTGGATATCCGTTCCCACCGATGCATCCGTACGGATACCCGGGACAACCTACAGGACTTCCTCCAGGATTACCGATGATGCAAATGCCGGGAGGTCCTCTCGTCCATCCTGGACAAATGCTTGGACCTCAAATGAGACCAATGGCACCACCACCAAATGTCCCGCAAGGGACTATTATATATATCCCGGATGGCTACATGCCACTTTTATACCCCGAAGGCCAAAATGGACCACCAATGGGAGGTCCATCGTCCGCCGAACATGGACAGATGCATCCCGGGGCGCTTCTCAGTCCAGTGATGGGCCCTGCGCCCGGCAAGATGCTCCAACCACAAATGATGGGAGGTGTAGGGCAGGGTGGGCTTCCTATGGGGGGAATGGGTTATCACGTACCACGCGGAAGTCAACATCCTCCTTATCCGTCGGCCACATCGATCCTTCAACCAACGGGCTCCCACAGCCTACCGATACCTGCATCCGGAAGCATGAACATTCCCACAAATCCTCGACCAACTTACCATTCTAGTCCTGCCCTGCACCAACAACGTCCACACAATCCAGGAAACCTTGCAATCAATACCAATGTCTCTAACCGAGCAAGGAGTCCTCGGCTAAGCAGTGCCGATACCGCCACACCCAACACTGCTGCTAGCGGAAACTCACCTACTCGCAGCAGTCATAGCAGCTCGTTTCGAAGTCCAACCAGAACTGCGGCCGTTAAAGCCAAAGGGGCGAAACGGCCGGCAAATTCGTGGATTTTGTACCGACAAGAAAAGCATCCCATCGTGTTAGCGGAACACGAGGGAATCACGAATAACGAAATCTCCAAAATCGTAGCAGAGATGTGGAAGGCCGAACCAGAGCACATTAAGAATATTTACAAAACACGTGCTGAAGAGGAGCGTCGGCGTCACCGACTTTTGCATCCAGACTACAAGTACGCACCAAGAAAAAACAAGCCAAAGAGACGAAAGCGAAAGCCGAATAGCGCCAGCCACCATCAGCCATATCATCAACGGGAGGGAAGTGGTGAAGCGACATCGCCAACGGACCCATCCTCTGCATCCGATGCTTGGCCGTCACCTACAAAAGACATTCCAAATAAATTTGGAGCACGGCCGTACATGCCTGAGCGGCCGGGAGCAGAACATATCCAATCTTGGGTAGACTCTGAAGGGTCTGATTCCGGTGATGGTCCATCTCCAGTCAGTCCTCGGGGCTCCTTTGAATTTAATCGATTCTGGGAGCATCCGGTCGACCCACACCACCAGCCACAGCAGGAACAACTACCACCACCGCAACACCAACCACAGCCACATCGCCCACCCAATCAGATGCCACCGCCTCCGCAAATGCAACCAGGACACGAGCACTACATTTATGATGGGCCCGTGGTATATCACCAAGATTTGTTCAATGGATCGGACTTTACGTTTGAGGCTCTCGGGTTTCCCATCGTAGCGGATGATTCTATAGATGCGGAAGGATCTGATGCAGGGGATCTCAGTATTGAGGACTTGATGCTAGCAGATGACGCAGCAAAACCCAAAAAAGAAGGGACGGATAATAATGTGGGACCATCTCCTCAAGGGTGATCTATTTTAATTTTTGTCCAGGAATTTGGTGGTTGTCCACTTTGAAGGAACTTTTTGTTGTTGGGCCGCTCGGGGGAGGGAAGCGCGTCCGAATTTTGATGGCTTTTTGAGAGCTCTTTGGACGGGGGGGCTTTTGACCTTGTTGTGTTCCCGTTGTGCTGTTGCCCGAGTTTAACGAACTCGTAGGGGAAATAAATAGTGTTTTATTTTTTTGCCAAGGTGAAGATCCTCGTATTCATTTAAACAATATCTTGACACCATATTCTCCAAACTTGTGTGTTCTATTTATCTTTCATCTACATGATTGTAAAACACTGGCTCACATATTGATGACCAGGAAAATACTAAGAAACATGCTTCTACGCGTGTTCGCTTCCCCTTAAGGATACGGGACATGCACTCAGACCCTAAATATGCATGTATTTATATTCAGCACTCTGCAAAAGGATTTCTTCTTTTTCAATGACATTCGTATCTTGCTGCTCGGTGGTTTCGGAGGTCCGCCCCAAAACAACAAAAAAACAAGAGAAAAATCGAACATTTCGCCAAGTTGGAACGCCCAGCACCTGATGAACCGAGTTCTCGGAACACGGCAAAAAATGGTTGTTAGTAGGGCCGATGATTATCAAATTTGATTCTGTAATCTTCGTTTTCTTTGGGTTGGTTTTTCTTTACATGGATCCAACTCCAACAAGGGGGCCCACCACCGTATCACAGGAGAATTCTTCAAAGTCATGTGAGCAACCCAGAACTGTTCATCAGCAACGGTTTTGGGGTTGGTTTTTTTTGTTGCAAATGACCACGGCGCAACAGCAACTGGGTGAAGTGGAGCTGATTCGATGCATGTTTTGTGGCGATGGCGAATTTGAGTTACGAACCGATGGTCAACGGTATCATGCCCTCCAAACCAAGTTGGCCGATGGTGGCGAGATGATCGTGGACGAGATGGTGTCGTTTGCGGTGACTGTAGAGCTGATTGACGATCATGACACAACCGTTATGGAACCGCGAAGACTATCCGTTAACGTCTCTGTTTCCCTGGGGCGGTCAGAAATTCCGCAAATATCCTTGGCGTCAACGGATTGGTTAACAAAAGAAGGTTGGAAAAGGCAGAGTGGGAGGTCAACCACTTCTTGACGCTGTTGCCTACGGCGACTGGACAAGAGCAAATTGTCCAGGTTGCGAATGTGTAAAACTGAAATGTCTCCATCTTAGGCCACCAAAAACTCAGTACCGCCCTGATTGCTCACGTTAATACAACTTGGTGCCATTCGGAGACTCCCATCCTTGAGACTTTGGAATGGCTTCGTACGACGGCACCAAGTCTCATACCTTCTCAGGTGGATGATACACCACACTCTATCGAATCATCTGTCAGTACCACGCACACATTTGCCCGAGAATGGATATTCCTTCCTCAACTATACATGAAAGCGAAACGACAAGACATGATATCATTTGCACGCGCCTATTCGCTGACAGGATTTGTATGCCCAGGAAAACCAGCTGTGCTAACCGTAGAAGGCCCAATGGAAAATATCGATCCGTATCTAGTAGATATCAGAACCAAGTCATGGGCAGACATTCCAGCCGGTCATAAAAAGATGACAGTAGTTCATCGTGAGGTGAAGGATTGTGCCAATATAGATGAATTGAATGCCTGTAGACGTTTCACAGACATGACTGAAGTCAGTTTTGATGTCCATGGGCATAGATCCAATCACAATAGTCTAGAGAAGCTAGAGGAATGGTTGGTTGGACTTGGATTGGGAGAAGCTTTTGGTCATCTATTTCCAGAACTGAGAAAATGACAAATGGGCAGATATGGGAGCAATTATGAGATGAGTTTTTGCAGCTCCTAGTTTGGGAATAAGCCATCAGTAATATCCTACACATGTCGGATCAATTTGTCCTCCTGCGATCACAGAACCAGTAAAGCGGCCAGCCGGGAATATTCCTAGCAGCCCCTTGTATTTGGCAGGCCTGCATGCACACCACAAAAGCTGATCAAGACCTCCGTGCCTTCTAGATCTGGATCTCGGTTGGTACCACAAAGATTACATTTGGGAATGTTCTCACTGTACTCCATTAAAATTCCCTGGTTCCCATTGATAATAAGGCCTGATAAGCAGTGTCGTCATGATTTACAGTGACTTGTCTGGACAAAAGTTGGCAGGGAAACCTTGGGCAGAATACGGGACAGCGTCCGGTAGACTCCCAGTAACTCAAGTAATACAGGTACATGAAAATGCGGTGTCTTAACAGATTTCAGCGCCAAGGTAGTATAGTGGCAGTACACTGCGTTGTGGCCGCAATGACCCCGGTTCGATTCCGGGCCTTGGCATCCGCTGGTAGCAAAAAATTCTTTTTGTTATATTTTTTTGTACCAAAATTTGACGTTCCTTCTATTCGCCATCAGACAGCGTACTAAAAACCATCAAGTCAATGTCCTTTGCATTGTACGAGGACATTTTCATCATTGCAGACCTAACCCTATCCCTAGGTTATATGCACAAACCATTGCGTCTTAAGTTCCAGGCAACTCTGCTGGGATCTGTTCACTAATTTCGTATATTGAGGGCTCGATTGAGGTTTGACCATCCATATATTCCATACTTGAAATTAGACCGAACACCAGCTATTCTTGCCTGTACTAGGTACGCCCTCGAAAAAATCTTAAGAGATTAACATTCTACCTACTTTGGTTGGTCAGTAAGTCCCCTTGAATTGGCTAGGACAGGACGCTACGTTTTGCGTGCGGACAATGGATTAACGATAATGGAAACGTTGCAAGGACATATGGAAACGCCAGGTTACAAAGTTAACTTGTTAAAAAGATAAAACCCGATTGACCATTATCACCAGATGACGTTTTGTAAAAACTAAATATGTCATAGAAAAAGTATTCTACCCATTCAACCGAGTATCTAAAATAAATCGTGAAAAAGCCTGCGTGTCATCTATGCAGCATCGGTAACAGCACCACAAACGAAAAACTTTACACGTTTTCCCACAAAGCATCTACAAACGGGGCATTTACCATTCTCAGCAACAGACCTCTCAATACAATTGTCACATACAGCAATATGCCCGCAAGGAACCATAACACTCAGGACATGTCCGGTTAAACAAATGGCGCAAGTGATTCTCACGTTTGTGGAGGTAAAGTGGACCGCTTCCTGACGGGGACGTGACAAGCGTTGAATTTGACGGCTCTCCGAGCGGGAGGAGGTTTGCCGCTGGGGAAGACCGTTCAGGGACGATAGGAACCGTGTTGTGGTTTGCGTAGTTTGAAAGAGACCTTGTATAGACAAGGACCCTGTGGTTGAGGTTGTTGCGCGAGAAGGCATTCTGATTGAATGGATAACTTTGTGAGAAACAAGTAGCAGTTGACCACAGAACCACAAGAGTGTAGCAAATGAACGTTGAGTAGTCCGCACCTGTTTATCGCAACGTTGCAGACGAAACCGGTGCGTGGGAACTTTTTGATCTGGCACGGAATCAAGTGCCGAGTGCCCCAAACGTTCGTCAAGTAATGTCCTAAACTGCAGATCAGCACGCCGCTATATTGTCTCGCTATCGTAGAAAAGAGTTTCGATCTTTCGATGGAGGTGGTAGCAGGACGAGAAGACTTGGAATGAAAACGATGTGGAAGTTCCATCGCCACGTTGCTGACTCATCACGATCAAGGAGTCATCGAGGAGCCAGCACAGATGTTATCCCGCACAAAAGAGACCAGTAACGCTAAATCGAACGAGTGTTGTCGGCAGATATCGAATGTGTTCAAACAGTTCCTTGAACGTGCAAAATGCGATAAAAGAGTGGTAATCCCCGCGATATAAGTTGAACGTAAACAGTTGGCGGAGATGCCCCCAAGACAATGACTTTCGCCTTCGTATAGTCGTCCCACCTGTTAATTATGAGAAAGAACTTGAGCTCTGCGAGGACTAATACAAGGGCAACGCAACCATCCGAGATCAAGACAAAGGCAATGCTACTACAATTTGTACATGTACAGATGAGGTATTCCCAATTATCAAGGCATCAGCGCAAACCAACGTAGGGCGTATTCAACCTGACTTAATACGGCCAACGCAAACAACCAAGATAAGATATCTACAACAAAATGAGGTTTCCTCCAAACGCAAAAAAGAAACGCATCCACATAAAAAGGTCAAACGCAAAGCAACCAAGAGAATGGCGAGTTATGCTACATAGAAGTACGAGACAGTTCCTGTCGCGAGAGAGGAAGACGAAAAGTTCACATATCTACATGAGGTATCAAAGTATACAAGAAAAAAACGAAAAAATAAAACAAGTGCATTACATGCACCTCCTGGCCTTCAAATGCCTGTGAACGGCATCACTTCTCGTGAAGCCTGTTCCACAGTTGTAGCACCGGAAGGGCTTGTAGCCTGGCATATGAGTGACAATGTGTCGTTTGAGGTCCTGTTTGCGGGCAAATGATTTTGGGCACGTCTGGCAGTGGAATGTGCGTACTTTCTGAGCTGCGGGGGAAGGTGGAGGTGGTGGGAGCGGTGGCGGCGACGACGCAACATTCCAGAGAGGAAGGGAGGGGAGAAGTGGGGGAAGATTGTGATGAGGTGCTTCAAACGGTGATAAAGGAGACGATGAAGAGGAAGACGAGGAAGCGGATGACCAGGAAAAGTCCTGCTGCTGCTGCTGTTCAGGATACTGCTGCGACGAGAGGTCTTGCAGTTCTGGTGGATATGACGCGTCGTTGATCAGCGTCGGATCCCAGTAGGGAATGTCGAGAGGCAGCGGCGTCTGGAATGCATCCATCTCACTCGTCCAAGGCATTGTCGTCGTCGGTACTGCGGCCGCCGCCGCCATGTCCGTCATTTGCCATACAGGATATGTCGTTGTCGCTGCCGTGGTGGTCATCAGACAAGTGTCAAACATGTTCATGCTTGGAGGCATGACATTGTAACCATCTTCTCCTCCCCATCCTGCATCGTGAGATGACTGCATCCATGAGGGCAGACACATGTGCGATGGATTGGGGGGAGGGATGGAAGGGAATGGATACGAAAGATCGTATCGCATTCAATAAATGAAAACTCGATAGTGTTTGAAGAGCAGAAGTATCAGTCGTTAGAGTGTGAATGGGCTAGTTAGCAAGAAACAAAGGAAGGGACAGCAAGAAGCCAAAGGTCCTTTATACGAGAAAATCGCAATAAAAAATCCCCCGACCCAACACACAGCCATCAAATACCCACTCGATTACTACGAATAGTAGAGTAGTAGATCCGTTTCCCGGTCCTACGTCCATTGCCGAAAAGTCCACTTTTTGAAAAGTTCCCGTACATTTCATGACGAGTCTTTGATCACATCATCACATGAACTACCAACAACAACCTTCCCGTTCTGCCACTTTTTTAAATCCAGAAGTTGGCGCTCACAGCCACCACTCTACTATATCCATATATGGTTACATTACATACTTTATCCCTTTTGGGATCATTGCATGGCTTGGCAAGTTGAAATGTCGCTTGTTAACGGAGACATGGCGGCGACTGCGGGCGGGGGATCCCCGCGGCAATTGGAAGATGAAAATGGGCGGGGCCTTCAGTTCTAGGCAATCCACGCAATATGGCAATGTTTTGCAAGCAGCTGCTAGTTGCCCAACTTGCATCCGTGATCATGATGGGAGGAGACTACCAGGTGATCATTAGACAGTATAATGGATCTTACGACCCCATACGAATAGCAACAGAATGGGGGACCAGTGGCACTCGTACGGCATTTCTTACAAAAAAGAGTTACTCCATGCTTATAAATCTATACACAAGGGTGAGTTGGTTGCGCAGTCCTTGCTGGGTATTCGCTTGACCCTTGCCATCTCTGCATCTCTTTTCACACCAGTCATCAGGGTCATATGTCCTTCAAGCGCGCGGAAATGCAAGACTCCATCAATTTTCTTTGATCTGCAATTTCATTTTGCGTAACAATCCTCAGCAAATGTATTTTATTGAGGCACACACACACAAGTCATGATGCTATGAAAATGAGGGTCGTCTCTTGCTATTGGTTCCATTAGGTTCAGCATTCATATTCCTTTCTTTTTTGTCTGTCGCCCACGCAAATGATTTGCCATAATAAAGACGATACCAGAGATTAAAGTAAGCAAACAAGGGTGCCCCCCTGCGTAACTCGCTGATAGATCATCACAATATATCAAAAATGGCTCAAGCGTTTCAAGAAATAAAACGTGGAGATGGCTTGGAAACCATCGATTCGGATCACTGGCCCCCACCTTCAGATTGAAATTGTCCGGAAAGCTACCTACATGTCCGAAATATTGGCTTGGGCATAATTATAATCATTTGGGAATCGGACATTCGGAAACACACACAAACGTATATTAACCTACACCCCTCGTACAAAACAACTTGACCATTTGGCCCAATACAATCTAGTGCCCGTGAGGATCACCTTCCTGCTGCTCAGGCTCAATCTTAATCATATCACTACACAAACAAAAAAGTCAATCAGCAACGAAAGGCAAGAAAACTGTCTACCAAGCCAAACACTCACTCTATCCGCAACAAGGCAATAGCAGCTTCCGTGGCCGCTTTCAAAGACTTTAGCTTGGACATGGCAGGCTCCAGTACACCCGCCTTCAAATTATCACGAGGAACTCCCTTGATGAGATCCAATCCGTACCTAAAACCCGACAGTTACAGTCTGCAACAAACTCAGGGTCTCTTATTGAAAATCGTACCATTTTAGCGCCTTTTTCGAATTGTCCCCGCCAGCGTTTTGGGCGGCATTGTGGAACGCACGAAGTTTTGCAACCAAATCAGTCGAATCCTTGGCCGCATTCACAGCCAACGTCTTCGGAATGACCAGCAACGCGTTGGCGTATTCCGCAATGGCAAGCTGCTCACGGGATCCCTGTGAATGAATTCTATCAGCAACTGATTCAAAGTCTGGAAACACGCAAACCAAGAACACAAACCAAAGTTGTTGCAAAATTCTCCAAGTAGATCGACAAAGCACTCTCGACAGCTCCACCACCGGGCACAACAGCATTGCTCTCCAAGGTCCGCTTGACAGCGCACAAGCAATCATGTACAGATCGCTCCATCTCATCCAACATGTAATCATTAGCACCCCGCAAAATGATGGAGGCTGAAGAATGGGCCTTGGTTCCCTTGACTAGAATGCATTCGTCATCGGAGATGCGCTCTTGGACCACCTCCTCGGCTTGACCGAGGTACGAAGCCTCAAAGGTCTCTTCACCTTCCAGGTTAGCCAAAGTGGACACCAAGGTAGCTATGGAAGAGGACATTGAGTGTGACGAGTCACAGAATGTTACATGTAAAAGGTTAGCACACACACCTCCGGTAGCCTTGGCAATCCGCTTCAAATCCTCCTTCTTGCAACGTCGTACCGCCATGGCACCAGCCTCCACAAACAGCTTCAAGCAAAGATCGTCAATTCCCTTGGTTGTCAATACAACGTTGGCACCAGTGGCAAGAATCTTCTTGATGCGCTCGGTCGTAATCTCAATTTCCCTGGGCAAGAATAAATTGAGCCGCCGTACACAATTATATAGAAATACACCAGTACCAACCTTCGGCGAATGTCCTCCAGTTTGTCTGGGTCGTCAATTACAATGTTGACACCGAGGTGCATGCGTGCTTTTTGAAGGTTGATATCGAGACAGGCAATCTTGGCGTTTGTGATTCTTGTCTTCAACGCTATTCAAGGGCGGAAGTAAATAAGTTTGTGACACTCGTGGGTTTACCGCATACACGATTTACGCACCTTGGGAAGCAACAGTGCAGTTCAACGCATATCCCTTCACCAGAGTACTCTCGCGGACACCCCTTCCGTGGGCCTTGAGGATGTTAACAGCTTTGATGGGGTATTTAGCCTCGCCTTTCGCGTTCACTGTCTTCACGGCTGTGATACCGTCCACAACCAAGTCTGCAAAAAAGTCATCGTCCCTATAGTATATGATGGAATTAGTTGGCCATGCATTACCAGTTATTGACACCAGAAAGACAGGATACATACGATCCAATAATCTTTGACGACATTGACGTCTTGGCAACATTGATCAAGCACTCCCGTCCCAAGCTCTCCACCTTTGTCGTCATCTGGTCCACAATAAACTTTACAGCCTCCTTGCTCGCCAAACGGTATCCCGTGATAATCGTTGTTGGATGTATCTTGTTTTTTACGAGCTCGTTGGCCCGTCGCAAGAGCTCTGCTGCGATGATGACAACTGAAGTCGTACCGTCGCCGACTTCCTTGTCTTGCTGCTGAGCGAGTTCAACAAGGACGCGCGCAGCCGGGTGTTCGACCTCGAGGAGTCGGAGAATGGTTGCTCCGTCGTTGGAAATTGTGACATCCTGGTAAATGTTGCGTTAAATAAAGTATCACACTGCTTTGCATTCACCATATCCGTACCCCAATATCATCCACAAGCATTTTATCCAAACCAACAGGTCCCAAAGAACTCTTGACGATATTCGCGATAGCCAGCGCTGACAACACTGCGCGGACCATGTCATTAGTATCCTAGTCGTCTTGCGCAGAAAAGAAGAACATGGCGACAAACCGTACCATTCTGCTGCCTCACATCGGCTCCAGATGTTCTTTGACCTATAAAATGAGTCGTGTCAATATCATTAATGATCAATCCGCACACCATCCATCACGCATTACCTCCGATAGGAAGAGGGTTGGACCTATTGCTAGACATGTTCCAATTACGCAGTTACAGGGAAAGCCAACAATAATTCTGCTTCAAAAACAACCAAAGACAAGGGAGAAAAAATCGAAAAGGCGAATCGGTGATCTCGCGTGAAGGGAGGGTTGGTGCGTTTTGCAATGCGTTTCTTGATCTTCTAAATTAGACGTGTGCCCTTTTGCTGGACACACTTTCGGACACCTGTTGCCATGGACAACGTACCATCGTCCTTGAACAAGTGAATGAGAAATGGCAACCAGACCGCTCACAATTCGATACGGACCCTTCTATCATGCTACATGGGGCAGATATAACAAGCACGGAAACGCATGTCCGTCTGCCGGGCGCATTCTATTTATGAAAAAAAATAACAGCTCAATCGCACGGCAGGTTTTTGAGTGACATGCCTAGTGAGATCACGTTGCACCATGTAGACTGACAGACATCTTATCGGCCATGGAAGTGTGCTTTCCTGGTCCACATTCATATGACATGGTCGTATCAGGACGACAAGGCCAACCCAATTTGTTACATTCTATGCATCCTGCCTCTGATGGTTCATTCCCACCCAGCGAGTGAACATGGACCTCAGAACTGAACATGGACCTTAGAACCCGTTCCGAATCACATCAAACACACCCCGCGGTCCTTTAAGCACTTGATGTGATCCATAGCGGCTGAGTCTAGAGTTCTTTCATGCGTGCCCAAAAACGACAAAAGGACAACGATGATCGGGTGAATCTTCTTCCAAACAAAATTCAAGATCCTCACTAGATACACGGATAGTGTGCAAGCAATAGAAATTGTCAGTATCCATCACATACGGAATTCTAGTCGGAAATGTATTATTCAATGTGTAATTTGGCCAGTACGTTCAATTTCCGATGACTGTGTTCTACAAGCCTCAGGCGCAGCCAAGTGGCGCAGAATATGTCTGCTCGAACTTGCAGCAAAATACAGCGATATATGCAAGATGGAACCCATGACGGATCGCGACGAGATATTCGAGCGGTTTAACCCGTATGCGACAGCGGCTGCTACAATACAGGCTGGAGATGATACAGGGCTGTTTGTACCAGAGTGGGACGGGAACTTTGATGAGGAGGGTCATGAGGGCTATACTGGAAAGGAATTTGGTAGATCTTCCGCTGTTTATGGATTCGCGTTGTGGATGCTTGCAGCTAACTCTTTTGGTTTGAAATGTTTTAGTTGTATATGCTGCAGTGCAGGTGAGGAACGGAATGGATCCGACGATTACTAGGTTGCCTAAACATGATCTCATTCTACGTTTATAGTTTATAGCAAAAGCCCTAGCAAACCCTTTCGAGGTCGCCACCATTCTCCAACAAGTGCAGTTTCTCCCATCTGACAGTTACCTTGCCCGATATGGTTCCAGATCATGCGAAATAGAGGGGGACAGTAGCGATGTGCCTGATGCCGACCCAGTTGATGTACGATGCGGTGATTTCATATCTGCGATCGTATATTGACTCGGATATCTGTATAGGCTTCCGAAGACGAATCAGATGACAGTGTGAATGCGTACGCTTTTCATGCTGAAAATGGGGGACGATCGTTTTCGTCTGATGCGAAGAGTGCTGAGACCGCTGTTGCGGATGCGTCGGGGTACCTGATGAAGGCGGGACATAACGAAGATGAACCCACCCGCCCTCCGTATCAGCTTCCGCCGCTGGAGGGATCGACGTTGGCGACTGTGGGAGAAATATTGGCGTCAAATAGTGAGGGATTGCCTTCTTTGTGGAAAGGTATGTCCATTGAAGACGAAACTCTCTATGGGCATCTGGCTAAGTTTGCGTATCATAGGACAAATCCCATCATGGCTACACGAAACCAGCCACTCTGTTCTCCAACCCAGCATAGAAGGCAACCTAACCGAATTTATCCGCGAGCACGAGCCCTTCTCCATCACTGACGTTGACGACATTCTCCCTTCTCTCGCCACCAAAGTCGCAAGTCACGCTGTATCCTCGTTTATTCTATCTCCACTTGATCTTGTTCGCACTAGGTACGCTTATAACCTGTTCATACTCTTGACTCCCACCAACTCACATTTGTCTTCTAGACTCGTGGTGCAAACATCAAATCCGTATCACCGAAAATATAAGGGCACCCTCCACGCATTCCGTACCATTATATCCGAAGAAGGTTTCGTCTCTTTATACGCCGGTCGCCACCTCATCCCAACTCTCCTCCATCAAACCCTCAAACCGCTATTTCACTACTCATCAGCCTTCGTTATCGAAAACGTCCTCAACATCTCGTCGGAAATGAGTCCCTTGTTGTACGCACTCGCTGAACTCGGACTGAAAGCCGTGGAACTGGTGGTCATGCTCCCTCTTGAGACAGTGCGGAGACGGTTGCAGTGTCAGGTGATAACCCGTGTCCCAGGAGATACATTCGAGGGGTGTGTGGAGCAAAATCCGATTCCGTATACCGGTTTGGTGGATTGCGCTGGGAGAATTGTGCTCGAGGAAGGGGGAGTGCGGACGCGTGCGAAAGGGAGACGAAGAAGGAAGAGGAGAAAGGGTCAGCCTGTGACCTGGTGGGGTAGCTGGGGCGTTTCGGGGCTATATCGGGGCTTTAGAATGAGAATGGTGTCGGCAGTTGTGTTGATGGTTGTTAATACGGTAGCGGATATGCTCGATGTGCCAGAGGATGGGATGGCGTAATTTATCTGGGTGGTTTGTCCGTGATTCTCATTTCTCTTTAACTTCCATACATTCATGTAATAAGATTTATTCACACGTCTTCAGCACAAGCCACCACAACAGACATGGTCATTGTTTCTTGACGATTGCAAGCATTAACATCGATAAGGTTGTAGAGAAAGAGATCGCCATGTGAATAAACTTTTACTCTGCTTTCATTGTATCCAAAAAAATTATCCTAATCACATAACAAGTTATCCTGTCGGATTCACATCCGTGCATTTGATCGAAAAGTAATCCTCAGGTTCTGATTCCATATCATTTATCATGGGACTCGACAAGGTCTCCCTAACACTTCTCTTCCCAAACTCCTCCACCACGTTCGGCAAACTGTGCGCCATGGAGGAGTTGCCCGCCAAGGGAGGTGCTGTAGGTGGACCCATCAAGCGGACATCGAAATCGGGACCCTGGGATTCAGACACTATTGCGAGGCGTGCATCCATGAAGCGCCGTATTCGGAGGCGGTACAGCATGTCGTCCAGGCAGAGTTCGATTTTGCAACGGTTTCGTAGGAGGGAAATCTCTAATGTATATTATAGGACGGTAAATGGTATTGAATCTCAACTCTATTGGCGGTGTCTAAATGGAAACTTACGCGGCCACGTCGCTCGTTCTCCGAGGTTACTGCAATAGATCATCATTTCCGGGTCTATACAATCCTTGAATCAGTCCACCAAAATAAATCACCCTTATCAGCCGCAAAAACTGAGCATCATACCCGGATTTCCAAGAATTCGCGTGAAATCCGCCATACGAACGCTTGGGACGATGGTAATATCTCCGTAATACCGCTGACTTAAAATTGTTCGGACCCGGTATATGGTTGGAGAGGACACTCCCAGTTCTGACAGCTGCCTCTCAGAGGTCAATCCCACGAACTGTTGAGATATTGCTCAGTAGGACTGTCGGACTCACCTGTGTCAGTCGATGATGAACCTCTGAGCGGACTAGGAATGCCATACTGTTGATGGCTCGTGTCAACATGGATGGGGAAGGAGTATTGTGCATAAATGGGAGGACATGAGGGTTCACTGTCGGGGTGTCAGTTCCAGAGTAATGGGAAATACCGGGAAACATGCACTTGCCTTGACACACGATAAAGTGGTTTACGTTGAACATTTCGGATATTCGTGTCATGGGTAGATCACTAGATTGAAAATGAAAGTTAGGCGCCAGCTGGAAAAGCACATTGGAATGCAACTACATACCCTTCCACTAGAATATACGCCCATTAAGTTCAATCATATGTTACTGTACGTTTTCTAGCTCCACCATCGATCTCCTCTCCGCGAGATGCTCACCTGATCCATCGATCCATCGATGCCCTAATGACGAGATTTCCCGTATGAATATCAAGAGAAGTCATTCGAGAACAAAAGACGAATTGCTTACCTGACGGATTCCAGGGAACAAAACCTGACTTCTTTTTCGCAATGAGGGGACAAGAATTAAATACAAAAGGAACTGCACATGATGCAGCACTGGGTGATATACGAGTCAGGACCACAAGTAGTTCGAGTCAATAGGGCCAACGGATATGCCATATCTGAACTTACACAGCTGACCAAATGACCTATGAACCTGGTCAGCGCTAGTTAGGCAATGAACGAAATACAGAGCACATACCACATTGGGTGCAGTCAAGTAATTGAGAAGCCTTGGCATCTCATATACAGTCGACGAGCTGACAGTGATGTTCAAAATACGTCGGGTTCTATTGAACGCTTCCTATGATTCGTTTAATTATTTAAGTATCACATCGTGAAAACAAGCGGACATGGGGAAAGTCCAACCTGAAAGGTGACATCTCCGATATTTTCTCGCATCGTATGAGAGAATGTGTCTACATCGTATAGGTATCCTGCGCGTGACGGAGACATCAGTCATTAGATACCCATTTTCCTGGGGAGACGCAGATACCTGCCCATAAACTGCATCATCACCATCTTTCCAGAACCTCCGCATTTTTGCCAAGAAGGTTGATTCTTCTCCGGGTCTCTCAAAGAAGTTCTATAAGAGAATCGTAAGAAATCCACCATGTAGCGAGTCACGTCATTTTACGGTCCTACCATATTAACGTTTTTGGGATCGAGGAGTTGGGTCACTTCCTCGTCTGTTCGCGTACATACGCAAGCTGCAATAATGGATCCCCCAGAAGACCCGCTGATAACACGCGGAAGTAGATTTGCCTCGAAAAGGGTTTTGACCACACCAACGTGACAGAGCGCTGGAATGGATCATTAGGTAGTTTCGTATGTAAACATGCATGCATAATCGTAACCTTGAAAGCTCTCCCAAACTTACCCAAGGCGCCACCTCCACTTAGACATAGTGCAGTTCTTCCGTATGCCCTTTGCGTTTGGGTGAAAAAGTCGTATTTGGCTTTTAGCGTGATCTGAGGAGACTCCTCCTCGCAAATGAAATGAAGTTGTCGTATGACTTCGTCGATATAGTCTTCAATTAATCTCTTCGTTCCAACGTGCGTGATCCCATAAAGCTGTTGCCGTGCCTTTGTCAATATCTCACTCTGCACTACGAAGATCCGTTCATGGACGTACCCGTGGGTTTCCAGCATCTCCAAGATTTCTACTTAGTGACGTTCGCAACATAAACATCATGGAGGACATATTGCCAGACTCTCGCGCTTTTTTCAATTGGGCCAATCGATCTTGCAAAAGCTCATAATCATAGTCAGGGGATACCTGAATGACACACGTGAGCATCGCTTCATAAATCATAGTCAGATGGGCTCCTTACGGGATCATTTTTCCACTTGTCCTTTCCAGTCAACTTGTCTAACATGCCTCCCGCTGCGGCCCATTGCTCATAATTTGTGGCAACTTCCATAAGATGTTGATAGTACGCTCGTAGATCTCTCCGAAGCAGAAATCCATAAATCTCCTCGGACCAGTATGAGGCAACCTCAGATAGCACGGAGTAGGCACCAAAGTTGAGGTATCGATGGACAAACGACAGAGGCATTCCAGGGCAAGTCTTTGGTGCTGCCCCATCTGCATCGCCAACTTCCTCCGGGTCGCTTTCATCGTCTCCTGGACTTTCAGCTTCATCGTCCTCCGGAGAACCTCCAGAATTTCCAGTAGGCATTTGCTTATCCCTGCCGTTGGAAGGCCCCGAAACGCTAGCCATGGTGCTTGCAATGGCGGTGGATGGAGTGTGGGAAACGAGTTGGGTTGACGTGATGGAAAGATCGCAAGCCTGCGATAAGGTCAGCATATTGTCACGTGCTATTAAATCTCAACGTTACACATAGATCCAACCGGAAATAAACAAATCACAGAGTAGCCGATCGTCTCATTTTTCCAAGTGTTCCTTCTCTAAATAAATGATATGAATAACCAAACGCTGCCAATCTTGAAAAATGGACGAGTGTCCTGCTGACACTCTTCACGCCTTCATCTGGCGTCACCAAATATGCAGCAAATGAGAAAACCTCATCCCGCAGTCGACCTGATTGATCTCAGCATATCCGGTTATGATCTCAATAGTCTGGATGCGTCCTACATGGCTGATGGGAGAGGACTTTCCATGACTCATTGTCAGAGAGGAGCAGAATTATTTTCCTCGGAAAATATATACAAAACGTTGTTGAAATACTGTACTTGGTGCTGTTCCTAATGAATTGCAATTGCAATCAGAAGACTGCAATCAAGTAAGATACTTAGATGATGCGTCCCTCTTTACTTTTGGGCTTTCTGCTCTCCGGCAAGCTCCTTCTCCGTTTTACTAACATGTAAGTGTAAAGATTTTAGTAGTACTGTTTCAGTAGGATATGAGTAAAGAAGAAAGAAGCCAACAATAGCCTGGGACGGGATAGCATAGGCCACCATCCGACGGTCTTTCGCCAGCAGGACACCATTCCATCAGGCTTTGAATGGAGATCGCTCAGGAAGACAATGTGGTTCGATCCTAAATGTGCCAACGTCGATCATCACCTGAATTCCGGCCTTTGAACGGAGGACTGCAATCTGTTGAGATCATGATGTCCTTTCAGGTTGACGGTTTAACGGTAGTTCTCGCGTCGGCAGTTGGTAATTTGTTGTATTATGGGAATGGCCGGTTGGCGAGACTGGGTACTCCTAACACTTTGTGCGGTTTCCTTCTAGTCCTTGTCGGCGCGCTTCTGGCCAGCAGGAAAGGGCCCGACTTCCACCCTGCAACTTTCCGAGAGCAATCTCACGTAGGCAATATGTTGCCATAGTCCATGTCGTACTTATTACTTAGCAGGCTGATATTTAGCGAAGTAAAACTCGAAACAAGGGTGAAAGTGCCATTTTACGGAACCCAATCACCCCTCATGGAAGCCCTCTTCTGGCTTCGTTTTCCACGAAAGTCAACACTGCGTATGACATGTTTTGGACTGCAGTGACTGAACATGGTTCCCGAAATTATATGGCTCAACGGGTTGCTGGGTCGTGGGTCTGGGAGACGTTCGCAGGAGGTACACTATGCAACATAATCGTCCAGACGCATGCACTTCGACCTTGTATTCAATGTATTGATGATTACAGTCGGGTCAAGAGCCAAGAACGTAGGTGCGGGCTTGATTCGTGTGACCGGGGTGGCACCTCTTGCAGGATCCGGGGATGGTGTTCCTACCTCTTCCCAGATGGTTGGCATCTTTCTGCCCAACTCGCCTGGTATGTCCTGGATGTGATTGAAGTTATTTTACATGTTCTCTAAGTATTTAATTGCAGAATGGATCATTACCGACCATGGTATGACCTGTATCAGGAAATCGCTGCAGTGAACGATCTTGTCAACCATGTTTCCTTCGCAGCATGTACTGCATACAATCTTGTTACGGTCCCATTGTATGATACCTTTGATCTTGCGTCCCTCGAGCATATCATCAATCAAACTGGGATGACGGTCATTGTATTGTCTGCAAAACACCTGAACAAAATATTCGATATTTCCGGAAAGTGTCATGCTCTGAAGGTAAGTTGGTTTCTTCTCGACCTCGCACCCGCGAGACGTATCACAACTTTTTCCTCGTAGTATGTTGTCGTCGTTGACTTGCAGAACGTGCCTGCAGATGTACAACAGCGTGCTGACGCTGTGAAAGTTAATGTCACGACACTTCAGGCTGTGGAGCAGTACGTAGATGTCACCGAGCTTTAACGAGGCCACACTTTTAACTTGCAACGGAAGGTCCGGTAAAGCGAATCCGCGAGAGCCCGTCCCGCCAAAGCCTGCAGATGTTTTCACGGTAAATTTGCTTTGGTTGTACATGCGGTCAAATGAGTGGTCTTATCGTAGACACGATTCCTCAGATTTGCTACACATCCGGAACAACTGGGCGTAAGTCGAGGTCAGCTCGCTATTGCAGTCGCCGAATAACCGATAACGCCCCGTAAAGTCCCCAAAGGTGCGATGATCACCCATAGGAATGTAGTGGTGCGCATCAGCCAGGCACTTTTCAGTCCTTTCGGTCCATGTAATAACATGTTCTATAGGCAGCTGGCGCTGGCATGTGTGCTACGCTACCGAACGCATACAAACTAAACAAGAGTGACCGACATCTCTCATATGTGCGTCCCACCTTGAGTTTAGATTTTTGAGGACTTTGGCTGATTTAAGATTCTGTAGCTACCCTTGAGTCACATGTTCGAACGTATTGTTTTTCATACCTTGACGCATCTGTATGATCTGATCCCCGGGCAGCTGTATGTACTGAGGGCAAGTATACTAAATCGTGTTCTCTTAGCGGTTGCGAGATCGGATTCTTCTCGGGCGACATCACCAAACTATTCGATGATATCCAAACATTCCAGCCGACCCTGTTTCCCACCGTTCCTAGGCTTTTGGGCCGTCTATATGACAAAGTCAGTGGTACCATTGAACAGTCGGGATTGGTCAAGAAGTCCGTATTTAATTTGGCATATGGAGCAAAACGACGTCTGCTACAAAGCGGCAGGTATGACAGATTTTGTACGCATCTCTATGTCCCAGGAGAATAAGCTTTCCGCCGTGTTACGCCTAAGAGTGACGAAGGACTCGATTTGGGATCGCCTTGTTTTCGGCAAAATCCAAGCTCGCATTGGCGGACGGGTGCGAACAATGGTGGGTGTTTGAATATCTTTGAAAAGACTTCACCCTCGGCACTGATAAAGCAAATTGGTCATCATAGTTGACAGGTGCTGCCCCAATTTCTCCCGATGTTATCGAATTTGTGAGGATTGTGATGGGTTGTCAAGTTTTGGAAGGATATGGCCAAACTGAATCGACCGCGGCGGGTACGTGAATTTAGTTTGTCATGCACATGCAAAGTGATTAAGTACTATGAACCAGGATGCGTCACGCGCGTTGGAGACTATCAGTTCCCGTTCGGATCCCATGTTGGTGGGTTTAGTGTAACTGCGATGTCCCGTTCGGAGTCCATTTCTGATATTTGGGTTATAGGTGTTCCCTTCCCGTCCGTGGAAGTTAAACTCGTCGATGTACCGTCTATGGAATACTACGCCACAGACAAGCCGAATCCAAGAGGAGAGGTGGGGCTCATTTGGGTGGTCTGCTCGCTGAATTACCAAACTATTGCTAATGGAAGCTGTTAATCAGATCTGCTTCCGAGGTCCGCTAGTTATGAAGGGATACTTCAAGGAACCAAAGCTGACAGCAGTAAGCTGAGCTAGTCATTTCGCATAGCTGATAGTGCTCCTGGTAGACTGACTACCCCCCTGTAGGAAGCAATCGACTCTGATGGCTGGCTCCATACGGGCGACGTCGGAACGATCTTGCCGAATGGAACATTGAAAATCATCGATAGAGTCAAGAACATCTTCAAACTATCTCAAGGGGTGGGTTGCAATTTCCGCCCCCCTTCTTCATGTCGAACTTTGACGAGCCGATTATGTTTGATAATAGGAATATGTTGCACCCGAGAAAATCGAGCAGAAAATCAAGACAACGTGAGTAATCAAGTGCGATCAACACGTATCCTGGCTATTACTAACTGGTCGAATGTTGCTGTTTCAGGTACATGGCCCAGGTAGATGTTCTATTTTTTGCAGAAGGGTGTGGTTATTATTTGAGCGGCCTGGATTAACTCATGCCTGTAGCTGTACGTTTACGGCGACTCGCTTCAATCAACGCTTGTTGTTATCGTGATCCCTGATCCGGAAGCTTTCCTTCCTTGGGCAAAAACGCAAGGTTTCGACGGAACCCTTGAAGACGCATGCAACGATGAGCGGATCCGTAAGGCTGTATTGACCGATATAACGACAATTGGCAAGAAGGTACAATGCTGATGTCGTTGTGAACATCTGGACTTGGTTCTCATTTACATTGCAATTCGGTAGAGCGGTTTGCACACATTCGAAATTCCGAAAGCCCTCTACCTGACACCGGAAGCAATGACAGTGGAGAACAGTCTGTTGACGCCTACCTTCAAGACGAAGAGGTTTGTATGCGATTGATCTTTGCGGATATTGAGGTCAATTCTCAAAGAATTTCTCTTCGGATGCACAGAAATGTTGCGCAAAAGTACTATGCATCGCAGATTGAGCAAATGTACAAGTCCTTGGCGTCTCAGAAGAAGTGAATATGATGGACCTTTCGGACAGTTACATGTAACATTAAAAGAACAGCTTCCTATGGCCTTCATGTGACTACTTTTGAACGTCTTCCAGGGCGCTCTGCAGCGACAGCCATGGCTCCGCTTGATGAGCCTGTCCCTTGCACAGCCAACAGATCTGAAAGATCCAAGGACAGACCTTGTTGTTCCTATGTAGAAAGACGAACCAGATTCTTAATGGAACGGCACTCATGGCAACGATATTAGATAAACTCACATTTTTGTAACTAAGAATGAGATCCTTGAACGCATTGAAGTCTGCTAGGCTGCTCAGAACATCAAAGACGTCACCGTCCAATTGTTCTGGTCGGTTCCTGACATGTACATGTGAGAATTTGATCGCATTGCATTGCGAAGTAGAATAGCACTTCGCCGTACTTTATCATGCCCATGAAATCCGCCATCGAGAAGCCCGGTAATCGGGATTTGAGTCGTTTTTCAATAAATTGTTCCAACTTGGACACCTGCTTGCAGGTAAGCTAAAGACAAACTAGCTGCAATAAACATTGGTGATCATTGCACGTACGTATTGCTGAAACACGTCCATGTAAACAAGTTTGTTTTCCTCATCGTCTGTAAAGTGGTGGCAGTTTTCGGAAAGGAGGGATTCTTGGAGGGATATGAAATAGGGGTCTATACATATCCGATTGTTAACCAACTGCGCAGAAGCATTAGAGTGCTCTAAATACGAACCCATCAACATGTCTTCAAGCTCACCGACGATCGAATCAAAGGTAGCGTCTTGCGCGTTTGTTTCACTATAGTAAGCAAATCAAATCAGCATAGTGTGTCGCGGAAATTGCACAAGAGCCACTACCTGGCCAATACCATATCCTCTTCGAGGAACTGAATATTCTGGATCGGTTCTAGTGTTGGATTGTCCATAACAGCAAAGGTTAGGTTTGGCCGCAAAGTAACAGACGAGGATTCTGAACGCTGTATACCATTGTATTTTGCTGTTGCTGCCATTTTCTGCCGGCTGTTTCCAGTCTGGGTCAAAAAACTGTTGTGAAAGTACTTGGGAGCTGTTTTGAAGAAGCGTTGTTGCTTCTGGACGAGAAGACGCGTGTGGGGTAAGCACCCGCTAAGCCACATGCATCTCCTGCCACCATTTTTGGGGGATTTTGGAGACAGTTGACCTCATATCATCCAAGGCTGTTCGTCGTTATTATGTCCATGACTCTTCTTACAGGCGCTATAGTCTATCATAGTATCAAACCTCGAGAAGGAAGCGTAACAAAAGGCACAGCTACCGTTGTCGTCGTTCTTGTCAGTGATCCGTGTGTATATGCGAGTGAGAAGAGATTCATGGTCAAGTCAGTGGAGACCTACGAGCTTTATAGCTCTATCAACTAGGCTCGTTTATCCTCTCTGATATCCTCAAGGAGGTCCGAACTAGCACATCGTCCACACTTACACTATGATTATGTAAGAACCTGAATTGTTTTTGCTGGAGGCTTAGCTTTGAGGTTTCATTTTTGAAAAGTTGGTGATCTTCATTTAACTACTGGATATATCATGTCTACCGATGTGCAAAAGAAAAAGGCCAAGCGGGGAAAGCGAGGGGGTAAGCGGGCCAAGGAACGAGGACTAGCGGAGGAGAATAGACCTCTGACAGCAGAGAATGGAATTGCTGAAGAGACTGGTGAGCAAGAGGTATCAGAACGGCCACCAATTGAAATACCCACCGAAACATCAACAACGGAGGGACAGCTTCCCGGAAAGAAGAAAACGAGACGTGGGAGAAGGGGGAAAGCAGCGGTTGAGGCTGAAGCGACTGGTGTAAACGCAGTGGGGATTGGCTCTGGACGCACAGATGCTGAACAAGCCGCTTGGGAGAACTGGGAATCTGATAAACCTTCGAAACCTGCCTTGCAAAATCAGCCCTTTTTCGGACACCTCTCTCCCGATGAACAAATGTACTTTCTTACCCTTGAACCTCGTCTCGATTCGCCTTTCGAAACTGCCGAAGACCAGACGTTGTTTGTTCAAGCAATGTATCGCGAACTCGACGGGAAGGAGCTCATTGTAGCTTCGTCACCGGAGTGTTCCATGGTGCTCGAAAAGCTCTTGAAACTCTCCGATGATTTTCGTCTTCGCATCTTTTTTGATCGACTAAATGGACGATTTGGGGACTTGTTCAGGCATCAATTTGGATCACATGTTATACAGGCGCTTTTGGGAATTGCTGCTGATGTTATTGAGAGGGAATGTCAGGGCGAGTCGAACGTTGATCTGGATGAGGTGGATCCAGAGCTCGTGAAGGAGCTACCGACCATGGTGGATTTGGTCTTGGCCTTGTGTGAACAAGGTGAGGGGCACTGGGCCGAGTGGATGGTCGACCCCTATGCGTCCCATCTTGTTAGAACGGTATTATGTGTCCTGGCGGGGAAGGGAGAGATCGATTTGAGGAGCAAAAAATCAAAAAAGTACAACGAAGAGCACAACAATGTCAACCTCGCTCGCACTCAAGGTCGGCCGACGACAAAGCCAAAAAAACAGCGGGTCGTTCCCGAATCCTTTGGTGAAATGTTACGTCAGATTTCTCAGGATATCGTATCCAGTCTGTCTGGTCCCGAACTACGCAACTATGCGCAGGACCCTGTTGCAAACCCTGTTATCCAACTCCTCTTATCCTTCCCACACGCCAGCGAGCCGCTGATCACTGCATTATTAAATATCCCAGACGCAAGCACTAGCACACTATCGCACGACGATTTCATCGAATCACTCATCAAGTCCCAAGTCGGATCCCACCTGTTCGAGAAACTACTAGCAACATCACCACCCCATCTTTTCCACCAGCTCTACATCACGTATTTCCGTGGCAAACTTCAAGAGTTGTGTCTCCACCCAGTAGCAAATTTCGTTGTGC